AAATATAATTCATAAACTAATTTTTATTTATATAAATTACTTAATTATTTTAATTCAAATTTTATTTTAGTTAGTTTTTTTAGCGTAAGATTTAATTAATAACCAAACTTTACTGTTTTGCTTTAAATATTTTATATTCAAAATAGTTATTCAGTTTTTTAAATAAAATGAATTCCAAATAATTCTTAATTAAATAAAAAATTCTTTGTAAAATAAAATTAATTAATATTTTAAAAAATTAAAAATTATATTAAAATTTAATTAAATCTAATTAATTTTAAAATCAATTTATACTCATTATCTATGTAAATTATTTTATATGGATTTTTTATTTTTGATAAGATTTAATGACATATTTTTATTTGTATTTATTATTTAACTTTTTATATTAAAGTTATTTGATTTAAAGTTTTATTTTTCATATTATTTTAAAATATTTATTTATCATTCAAAATCAAAAGTTCTTTCGATTATTCTCAAATATCATGATTAAACAATATATTAAAAAATTATATTTAAAATAAAATACTATTTGCTTTTTAGATTAAAAATTGGTAAAATTTATCAAATATTAAAAATTCTTGATTTAATAATTTCTCAAATAAATCCATTAAAAGCAATAAATTTTATGAATAGATTAAATAAATAAATTATTTTGAATTGAAGAAACAATTTCTACAAAAATATTATTTTTTAATTTTATTTAAAAATATCTTTTTAGTTACTTTGGAGTGTTTCAATGTTTTTGCTAAAATTACTCCAAAAAAAACACTTCTTTTCTTATTTTAAATGCAAATTTTACATAAATTTAAAGATTGTCAAGTTATTCTTTTCTTCAAACATTAAAAATTTAAAAAATTTATTTGTACAAAAAATTTAATAATTTCAAAATTACTGTTGATATTATTTTAATTTCATGTTTATAATTGAATATTTTACAATTTCATATAGCTCTCAAAATATATTTTTAATTTTATTTGAATAAAAAAATGCATGCTGCATCTTTATAGTTTAAGATCTTAATTTGTTAGGACATTAATGTGTATTTATGATTTAGGTTTGTCCTTATTTTATTTTTTCTTTTATTTATTTATTTTTATTTAATTTTATTTAGTTTTATTGTTTCTTATGTTTTTTCTCTCCTATATTGTTTAGGCTCTGTTATTCTTCAATTATTTTATTTATTGTTTTATTATTATTTTATTTTTATTGTTTGTATTTTATTTTTTTATTTATTTTGTTTATTTTTATTTAATATTTTTTTTATTTTATTTAATTTATTTTTTGGTTCAAGCAGGAAATCTCAAGCAAATCTGTTTAAAGCAAAAATTGAAGGCCTTTTAAAGTTTTTTTAAAAAATAGCTAATTATATATTTAATATAGTATATCAAGAGGGGAAAAGGCAAGAGGTGCTGTATAAATAATACTTTTTAAGATTAGGAGTCAACTGTCAATGAATTTAAACTGTTAATTATCTTGGCGGGATAAGAAAATTAACAATAATTGATAAATTCATCAGCAGTATTCTATTAATCTGTGAATTAAAGTACTATTTATTTTGGAGATTTTATATGTTTTCTGAATGTATTCTATTTAGATAACATACATTTCTTTAACTGATCTTGTAAAGCAGTTTAAAAGTAGACGTGTCCAATCTAGATGTATTGAGCTTATATTACACTAATAAGTCAATAAAAGTGATATGCGTTGCAGCTTGAAATCTACGATTTCTTACTAGAACGCCCGTTAACTAGCTATGAAAATAATTAGTATTAAATGCCCATTTAATAAAAATTAAATTCAAAAGTTAAACATATCTCTTATTTCATCTAAAGTGGCTTCCTGATGCGAGGCAATTACATTTAAAAACTAATAAAATGCCCTTTACCATTAATTAGGTAATTTCTTTAAAAAACTTAAATTTTTCGAGGTTTTTAACACGTCCCTTATCCACTCTACATGACAGCTATTATTTCTCCTGTACCTCTTGCATAAATAATTATGCTTTATTTATTTTCAAGCAATATTTTTTCTTTGTTTTTAATTAATTTCCTAATAAATAATTATAAAATTCAAATTTTTTTTTTCCTCTAAGAAATTCACAAAAATTAAATTTTCTGAGAGAAGACAAAATAAATAAATAAAAATCTTGTTTAATTAAATAAATTATGAGTGTTATCAAAATTCCCAAAATTTAGATAAGAAAAACATTCAATTTCTTACTCCTAATGCTATTTTTGAAGGTTCCATATTAAAAACGTTAACATCTAGTGGCATGTTATTTATAGATATAAGCTAATTGGGTAAAGTTAGTTAGTATTTAAATAATTAGTATTTATTATAATCTCAATTTTTTGCTCTATCAAAATACATTGAAGTAAAAAAAATAAATGAATATCTTTGAAAATAAAATTTTGACTAATATCAAAAAGCATTTAAATTTTCATCAGTAATTGATAGCTAACTATTTTTAAATCAAAATAATACTAAAGAAAGGTAATTTTAAAATAATAAAATTAAGAAATTATTTTTTTTAAATTACAAATTAGGCAAAAATATCAATAATTTAAGAAGTTAAACAAAAGATTTTGCTGAATTTTGATTAATTTTTCAATCAAAATTCTTAAACATATCGATAATTTATGATAATGAATAAAATATTTTTTGCCTATCAATAATTATTATGTTTAAATAATATTTATAATTCAAAATATTTTTAATAAAGGAAATTTAAAAATTATTTTTTAGATTAGAATGTTTATAAATGATTATAAAAATAGAATTTAAATAAAAGTTAAAATAATTATTTTAAATCCAAAAAAAATTTGTATTATTTTAATTTTATTTAAATCTTAAAAGAATATAATTGTTTTTATATTATATTATTTATAATTTTTTACTTCATAAAAATAAATTGAATAGTTATCATATTTATAGTGCATTACTAAATTATAACGAAAGTATAAAATTAATTATTATTATTATTATTATTATTTATTTTTAAATACTTTTTTATATTACTTGTAGAATATTTTTTTGCTTAGATTAAATTGCTAAAAAAATGTTTTGTATATGTCAGTAATCAAACAAGTTATTTTTGTTTAAAAATATTTAGAAAGACATATATTTTTTAACAGTAGCTTTTTTTGTTAAATTTCTTTAATTATTTGCTTAATGAAGTTTTTTAATATTTTTATTAATATAAATAGAGAGAAAAAAAGTGTTTTAAACTATATTAAATTAACTATAATCGTATTATAAAAATCAAATAATTTTTATAGAAAATTCACAATTAAAAATAAAGTAAATAGAAAAAAATAAATAGATTAAAAATACTTAGAAAAAATTATATTTTTTATTAGTAGCTAATATTTTTAAATAGCTTTTTAATTATTTGATTAATGAATATGATTAATAAAAAATAAGAATAGAAAAAAAATGTTTTAAAATTTATTAAAATTTTATTTTTTCCAATTAATTAATTTTAAAAGAAATAGCAAAACATTGTAATAGGAAAAATAATAATTGGTATAAAAATACTTAGAAAAACTTATATTTTTTAATTGTAGTGATATAATTAGCTTTTTTAATTATTTGTTTAGTGAATATTTTTAACAATTAGAAAGTAAAAAAATGTTTTAAAATTTATTAAAATAATCATAATATTATGATTAATAAGAATTAATTTTTATAGAAATGGCATGGTATTTTAATCAGTAAAATAATCAATTAGCCTAAAAAGAATTAGAAAAAATAATATTTTTTAACTCTAATTTGTGATTTAATTTATTTCTTTAATTATTTGTTATTGTTGCTTTTGATTATTTTAATAAAAATAATAGAGATAATTATTTTAAATGTATTTAAGAATTATCAAGTGGAAATTTTAATTTTTTTTGTAGGTTTATTAAATTTAATGGAAAATGAATAATTTAACATCTAAAATAAATAATGACTATTATAGCAGTTAATAAAAATAAATTTTTACTCTTATTCTAAATTCATTAGAATTGAGTAACATATAGCGAAAAAATAATGTACAAACACAATTTTAAACCACTAATTTAAAAAAGATTAAATAGAATTTTAATGAATTTTTAATTATATTTTATTAAAATATATTATTGTTTGAAAATAAAATCAAAATTTATAAAAAAAAGAATTAGAAAAAATATTATTTAAATATGGAAGTAGAAATGCAAAAATAATAATGAGATGAGGGTTGGTAAACAAATAAATTAATGAAAAAAAAAAATGAAATGAAGCGAATGATTAAAATTAACAAAGATATTTACAAAAGACAAAGAAAAATGAATGAATAAAGTGGGTAGTGAAAATAAAGAGATAAAAAATAAGAGGGGGGAAAATTAAAGAGTGGGAGAGAAAATTAGAAGATATATCTGGCATTAAAAGGATTAAGCGTAATTTGAAAGGATTAAATAAAGAAAAAAGGTTGAAAATATATACAATATAACATATCTCTAAAATTAAAAATGTCTAAGTAAGGAATTTAATTTTTTAATCAATTATAATAGAAATTTACAAACAAAATATTCACAAGCTCATGCCATTTTTTCATTAAAATTAAGGTTCGTTCCTGAAAACGTCTAAAAGAAGCTTGCTAGAGACGAAAAGTTGAGAAAGGCTAAGGCTGAACAAAGAAAGGCCTCCTCCGCTCAAATGAAGCAAAGAAAGGCTGAATGGATCTCCAAGGCCCAAAAGTACGCTGCTGAATACGAAGCTGCTGAAAAGAAGATTGTCGATGAAAAGAGAAAGGTATTTAAATATAGCAAATAGCATAAAAAATCATTTTTAGAATTCTGTTTCTTGATAATCTATTAATCCTGAGCAAATTACTAAGTTTTTTTTAGTTTTAGTTGCTGTTCATTCGTTCACTCATTATTTCAGCCAGAGTGAAAAAACATTCTTTAAAAAATGCGCTAAAATTCATTAAAACAATAACCAATCAAAATAAATAGAATGATTTTAAATTAGTCCTTACAAGCACTAAAACGCTAACTACGTTGCTCTGCGATATTAAATAGATTAATCACGAAATTGAATCGCATATTTAACATCATCAAGTATTAATCTAATTATTTATTTATAAAAAGGCCAGAAAGACCGGTGCTTTCTACGTCCCCGCTGAAGCTAAGGTTGCTTTCGCCATCAGAATTAGAGGGTAATTCATCAATTGATAATATAAATAAACAACTTCCTCAATGTACACTCACTCTGCATCAAATTAAAACAAGCCAAATATAATTAATTTATAAAGGAATTAGCTAAAATCTTACAATACAAACATACAAATGCATTCATGATCTACTTACTTACTACTGTTGAATTAAAAAAATAAATTAGTAGGAATTTACAAAACAACAAACAAATGAAATAGCTTCAATAATTAGCTACTTAGTTCATTGATCAGATAATTAAAATAAATAAGTAAATAGGTTATTATCCTTAAATCTTCATTATTAAAGAAAATGTTTTGCATGTGGATAGATTTGAGCTAAATTAGGAGTAGAAATAGCTATTCGTACAAAAAAATTAACAAATAGTTAATTAATTAATTAATTTGACTCGTTCAAATCTAAGCTAAAATAAAAGCAAAATAAAAATTTTATAGTTAGGTATAAATAAGTAAAATGTAACTAAAATTAGAATGAAGCTGTACGTTAAAGAGTAAATGGTAATAGTAAATTATAAACTTAATGTGCTCAAGGCGATATCTGATATTAATTAGCTAAATAAGCTAATCCAAATCTTCCATGAACGAACAGCAATTCATTGTTTTAATAAATTAAAATAGAAAACAAAGATAGTGAGAAAAATCTTATAAGTATAAGTTGAAGCAGGGTTAAAAGAAATCAAATAATATTAAATTAGTCGAGTTGATTTGCTTGTTTTGCTCAAGCTTACTAAAAAATATTTTTATCATTAACAACGAACGCTTCTTCATTTTTTATAGAGATATTTAAGTAAATAAACAAGCAAACATAATTTGTTAATTTGGGAGTGTACATTTGAAGGAAAATACATAAGAATTTATTTGATCATTTTCTAAATTTATTTCTTAAATTAACAGTGTCAACCAATTACACCCTGATGTCAAGAGAGTTCTCAGATTATTCAGACTCAGATAACTCCACAACGGTGCTTTCTTCAGAGTTAACAAGGCTTCTTTGAACATGATCAAGAGAGTCCTTCCCTTCATCACTTTCGGGTAAAATTCAATTCTTAAAACAAGAATATATTAAAGTTCATTTTGATTTCTGCTGAAAAAAAATAAACTGAAACGAATTTGCAACGAATAGAAAACATACACAGCAACAGCAGATAGTTGAATGAATTTTAAGATTTAAACTATAAAATGAGCATTTATTTAAATATTTACTTAAATTGAAAATAGTTATCCCACCAGAAACACCATCTCTAAGCTCATCTACAAGAGAGGTTTCGCTAAGGTTAACGGTCAAAGAATCCCCCTTACCGATAACACCATCGTTGAAAAGTCCCTCGGTAAGTTCGGTATCACTTGCGTTGAAGATCTTATTCACGAAATCACCACTGTTGGTCCCCACTTCAAGGAAGCCAACAACTTCTTATGGCCCTTCAAGCTCGATACTCCCAGAGGTGGATTCAGAAATAAGAGACACGCCTATCACCAAGGTGGTGACTGGGGTAACAGAGAAGTCTACATTAACGACTTGGTCAAGGCTATGCTCTGATTTAATTTATAGTAACAAAAATCCTAACCAATAAACATTGTTTAATGATATGATAAATAACTAAACTTGATATATTTTTCATATAAAGTATCCTGTGTTAACATTTTTGTATAATAATATTTAAATGCACTTAACTAACTAGTATTCATTCCATCATTTTGTATTTAAAAAACTACCTTATAAATTTCAATTAATAAATATCTCTTTACAAAGCTCTCCCTCAATTTATTTATTATAAATTTATATCAATGATAAATAAATACTAATATAATATATAAATAACTAACAAATAACATAAACTCACATTATAAAAACTAATCTATCAATCATCTATCTATCCTTCATTAATGTTTCCTTAACAATTTATTTATATCTTCTGAATTTTTTTGTTGAATTAAATCCTGCAAAATATTTTTATTTCATCAAATTTTTCTTCTTTTTCATTCATATTTAATTAAAGCTTGATAAAAAAAATACTTTCATTTCTAACCCATAAATTAAAATAATATAAATCATTATCTTGCTTCATTTTTATTTAATATTTAAAAAACATAATATTTTCTTGAAAAAATTAAATTTAGAATAAATAATTATTTTAATAATTATTAAGCAACAAAGAAATAATCGATAATTAACCCAACCATAAAAAAATAAAAGCTATCTAAAAAAATATTGCATTAGATTTTAATTATGAGCTGGTTAAATAGTATTTCAGTAAATTATTATTATTTTTTTAAAGTTTATTTAATATTTAATAAAATTCATTTATACAATACAAAAATCAATAAAAATATACATTAGCATTTTGAAGAAATACTATCATTTACTTATAAAATTTTATTTATGGGAAAGATATTAATTTGCTCTTTGTTGCTATTTAAAGTAGTTTACTTATTTAAAAATAAATTAATTAAAAGAAATTTCATATTTTATTAAATTTAATAAATAAATTCAAAATAACATTTTAGTTTAAACTAATTTTAATAAACATTAAATTTACATTATTAATGAATAACCAACCTTTCCTCCTTATCAAGCAAGTAAACCCAAATATTTTACTTTAACAAAAAATAAAAATAACTAAATCTTAAACTTAAAATTTACAAATATATTCATTTTAAAAAATGATTATTACTTAAATACTAATCATATTTTCAAAATTTTAATTTTAGCAATATTAAATTTTAAAAAAATAAAAGATTTTTAAAATAAAATTAGTTATTGATAAATAAATAAATAATATATAAAAGCTAAAAGTTATTTTATTAATTCTATAATATATTTTTTTTCTTTTGATTGGAAATTTATTTTATTAGCATTATAACTAAATAGAATATCCTTTACTTTTATTTGTGGAAATTAAAACGATTTTTTAATTAGATATAATTAATAATTATTTTTAGAGTTATTTACAAAACAAAAGTGTTCTAAAATTTAAATACTTAACAATGTTTATTCTAAAATTTAAATAATAAATTAATATTCATGAAAAAATAAATTAATTAGTTTTTTTATTTCCGAAGATTTATATTATAATTAAATTTAATTAAGTATACAAAAAACATATTAATTATAGAATTTAAAATATAAAATCAATGTATGTATGTTTGTTTATTAGTTTTGCAAATTTTAAAAGTAAATTTACTATATGCTGTAAGCCCTCAATAATATTTTATTTTATTCAAAAAAAGTTTAAAATAAATTTTAAAATATTCATTTATTATGGCAAATATATTGTAATGATTTAGGCAAGCTAATATTAATTATTTATGATATGTTTAGATAACTAATACAATATCTTTACATTTTAAATTGTCAAACAAACACCCTACTGAAAAAGTTAATACTTTAAGAAAATTAGAATATTATTTTTTTAAAAGCAAACAATTAAATTAGATTTATTCTTTAACGAATGTTTAAATTTCAACAAAATTAAAGTTTTATAAGTTATAAGTTATTTTTTGTTATAAATTAATATGTACTTTTTTTATTAAAGCTTGATAATTAATATCCATAACAATAGCAAAGCTTTAAAGAATAATTTTTGAAAATGATTATGTTGAAAAAAAGATATTTTAAATTGATTTTTATATTTTTATTTTATCGTAAATTTAAGATAAATTTTAACATTTTAAAGAAAACAGTTATTGAATGATATAACTAAATTAAAGAAAATCTAGTTAAAAATTGTAAATAATTTAAAAGAATTATTATATGATTGTTTAAGCCAATAAAATAGAATCAGAAGAATATTTTATAAGATATTGAGGAAAGTGTAGAAAGAAATATTATAGCAGATAGATTGTTTTATATAAGAAGATAGATATGTAGATTCTCAATATTTAAAGAAATAAATGCTCGATGAAATTTTGCAATTAATTTATTTAATAATTAGCCCAGTTTAAAGCGATATAACTTGATTAATTTCTTTGATTTTTTATTTTTCAATCAAATTTAGATTGAATTTTCCTCCTTTTAATAAGCAAATAATAAATAAATTAAAAACTGTATATTAAAAATATCTATATTAATATTAGAAGTAAAAATAAATAAAAAGCTATATATATTTGATCAAAATAGCAAGCAAACATTCAAGCAAGAAAGGATTTATTTTGTGATAAATTTAAATACAAATGAGCAAGAAAAACAATTTTAACAATAAAAAAAATTAAGGTGGATACAATAGCAGCAAAGGAAAATCTGGTAATGAAACAGATTTTCTGTATAGGGAAGAAGGGGATGATACTCCTTTTATGAGTTTTACTTTTGAAGATTTTCCTAACTTTGAAATAGATAATGAAGATGATATTGAATTACTTTTTATTCTAAAGAGAATTTGTGCTTCATATAAGTATGTTCTAACATTAGATTTCAGAAGTTTTTGGAGTACTTTGAAGCATAACTTATTATTGAGAAGAAGCATTAATTCATTTTTGCAATACGCGACAAAGAGAAGATTCAATGAATATTATAGAAAAGGACATGAAAGAAAAGATATTGAAAATAGTGAAAGTGAGGTCAAAATTATTTTAAAAGAAATAACAAGGTTAGTCTTGGCCATAATTTATAGGATTGTCAGTTGTGAAGAAGAAAATTTGTAAAAAGCCACAGAATTTGGCTGCAGCAAGATTATTCTTGATGAATGGCTTATAGATATCCCAAAGATGATTGATTTAATAGCTATTTATGGAGAAAAAAATGGGAAAATTGTCAGAGAAATTATTAAAAAAAGTTTTGAAATGCAAAAAGAATTCAAAGCAGATTTTGAAGACATGTAAGATAAAATTTTAAAAGAGTATTTAGATCAATTTTACAAGGAAATGCTTCTTTTAAAGAAGAAAGATAAACTAGGTTCAGCAAGCTATGAGATTGTTGATTCCGATATTGAGAGAAAAGTAGAACTTCTATGCTCAATTTTAGACACTATCTCTTCTATTATTGACATTTTAAATTTCTTTCCAACCTTTGAAGTTGAGAGCATTTACTAAGATGAGAAGATCAATATCATGCTTGAAAATATCTTATATGAACTGATATTTGCTCGTGAAGAGGCTTGGGTTATGGGAAAATATAGAGGAGACATTATCTTGTTGATAGATGCTGTGCTAGAGAGAATAGTTTAGTTTTTCATCATGTTTTTCGAGTTTATGATTAAAGTATTTGGAGACAAGAACTTAATAAAGCAAAATATTGGAAAAAAGATTACTTCTATGTGGAACAAATACATTAAAGACCTAGGTAAAGTATAAAGCTTCGGTAAAAAATAAGGGGAAAATCGTTACTGGTATTTGATAGAATACGTTAGTGATAAAGTAGACTTCAACAAACTCTTTGAAGTTGCTCCTGCAGATAATTCTGAAGCCTATCAACTTTTCTAAATACAAGTTTTATCAGTTGTTGATGAGAGAAAAAGAAATATCATAGCATATGAAGAGAAAAAGAAAGAATTTGAATAAAAAGGAGACTATGAAAAGTAGCAATAGCAAGTGATAGAAGAAATACCTGATATTAAATTCGTTGAAACTATAGTAAAAGAAGACATCATCAAGTAAGAAGAAAAGCAAAGAAGAGCAGAAGAATTCCAAAAGAAAAAAGAAGAAGAAGAAAGATTGCTTAAAGAGTAACAAGAAAAAGAAGAAGAAATTAAGAGATTAGAGGAAAAGCAAGAATAACTTACCATGTATTAGAAAGGGTAATTCGATTGTTTAATTTATGAGCTTACAATTTTATTTTTTTAAATCTTTATCATTTATCAGTAGTGAAGTAATTAAGTAAAAGACAAGGAGCTTGTTTGATTTTTTGTTTCTTTAATAATTTAAAAAAGCAAATCAAATGATCAAACAACAGATTTATTATTTTTAAAAAATATTTTGTTTAAAAATTAATTTAAATAAATTTTATTATATTTATAAGGGCACAAAAAGTTAACTTAAAAATGACAGAAGAACAAAAAAAAAATTATATACAGAAATCTCTGTGGTTAGCTATGGAGTATGATGATGAACCAGATGATAGTTATAATTGCTTTTAGCCAGTTGTATAGGGAGGAAATAATAATACAGATGGCGAAGAAGAGGATGGAGAAGCTGAAAGTGAAGAAGAAGACGAAAATGGAATCAAAAGAAAAAAAGTAGTAGAAGAAGGTTACGATGATGGTAGAAGAGTAAACAGAAGCAACTAAGGATATCAACCAAAGAAAAAGCCAGCTCACCCAAATAAAACTAATCATTATGAAGCTAAGTAAAAATATAAATCATAGTATTATTAGAAGTAAGGCAACAATCAAGATAACTATTAAAGATAGTAATATAACAACAAACCTGACAACAGTTAATAAAATTAAGCAGAAAATACCAACAGCAACAATAACAATAACAACAATAATTCTAATCAATATCAAAGAAAAAATAATTATTAAAATAGCAACAACAATAGTTCATAAAATAATAATAATTATAATAATAACTATAATCAGAATCAATAAAAAGGAGGTTATTTTAAAAAGAAATAAAGAAACGAAGAAGGTTATAGCGGCAGTGAAGATGATTCTGCACCCTAATAATCATACCAATAATCTAGAAACTAATAATATCGTAATAACAATAATAAAGATGGAAATTATAATAAGGAAGGAGGATACAAAAGTAAAAAAGATGGAGGATAACCTTAAAAAAATATACTTAAAAAAAAGTAATTCGATTGAGTATAAACTATTTATAAAATGTAATTTCTTTTGAATAACAAATAAAACAAGCCATTTATTAGAAAATAATAAATTCGATTAATATATTCTTTTTAATTTAAATTATTTTTTTCATCTGTTTATAAATTTTATTTCTTAGATTTTAAAATCTAATTTAAATTTATTTTTTATTTATCATAAAAAATAAACGAAAAAAAACTTATTTAAAATCTAAATTATAAAATCTAATTTAAATTTATTTTATTTATCATAAAAAATAAACGAAAAGCAACTTATTTAAAATCTAAATTTTAAAATTTAATTTCAAATAATTTAAATTATTTTAAATAAATTTTAAGTGTAAAAATATATTTTTTAGAAAAATTAAAGTATGTTAAAGAATTTGTTATAGAAAATTTTTTTATTTAATTAATAGAATATATTTTAATAGATATTAATTTTATATAGCTTTTAATTTATTTTTATATATGAATATTATATAAATCATCATCATCTTGTGCATCATTTGCTTTTGTCTGTTTTGTCAATCAATTATTCAAGATCTTCGAAAGTAACAAAGTCGTTTAGTAAATCCTCCCAAACACCTTTAGGGAGAATCTTTCTGTATTTTTTTCTTAATTCTTTGATTGCAATTAGTGAGTAAATGTAGGTTCTTCTAAATCTAATAAACCTAGAAATGAAGTACTCTAACATTTTTTTAACACGCTCTGTGCGTTTAAACTTAACATCTGATATTTCACGGAAAGCGCATAAATTGGGTAAGTTTTTTAATATACGAGCTGATTTGTCATATAAAAAGTCAATTTTTTAGCTAAGATTTATAGAGAAGTACATGATAGAGGATTTCTTACTGATGAAGTTTTTTATTATTTTAACCTAATCTTCTTAGAAATATTTAGGACTTTCAAAATGCAATTTTAATAGCTGGGGCAAGTGGTAAAGAGAAATAAAAATGTCCTCTATACTATTTGTGGCATTAACGCGAAGATGGACATCTTTTAAGTTATAATTATTATTGGTTATTAGTTATGTTATAAAGGTATTGTCAAATAGCTTTGCTTCAACAAAATCTAAATTCAATATCTAAATATTGCCTTGCTAGAAATCAAAGACCGTTCCCTTCAAGAAATCAATTTTTGAAAATTTGAGTGAGACCTTTTTAAGCTAAGTAGCAGTCTCTAAAATTTTGCAAAATAGGAATACTCTTTCTAACTAGATAAAGAACTTGGCTCCAAGTTCAATTTCGAGTTCTTGCAGCTTTGGAGCTTTTTTTATGAGCAAGAATAATTGATTAAATGAATCATCATTTAAGAAGATGTCATTAAATTAGATTTTCAATTTCTAAATAGAATATTTGAATGTTCTCACTGATTTTAGAATTTTAGAAAGAGTGTCCTTGGATTTACTAAGACCACGAACGCAGAGAGCGATTTCTTGGATATCTCTGCTTTCTAATGAGTAAAATAGGAGATCACTGTAATCCATAAACTATTATTAATACTCGACTGTGAAAGAGAATTTTCTTAAGTTGGAGCATTGATTTATGAATTTTGTGTATTTAGAGGCTTCCATTAAGCTTTGTTCATCGTCTAATTCTTACTCATTAATAGTTTTCTTTTGGACAATAATTGCTAAATTTTCAATATCCTCTGGATAAGTGATTAATCCAAGCTTTTTCATGTAATACTGTTTATCTTAGCGAGGGAGCTAAATAATCAATGTGTAATCTTCTTCATTATACTAGCTTAAGAGCTATTTCTTTTACTCACTAGTTAAGCTATTGTAGTAATTTTCGATACTTTTTTCGTATGCTAATTTTTAGGCTTCTAATTGCTAGTTGATCTCAGCTTGTGAGAGAGAACTTGGTGACATTCTCCTCAATAAATCTATTTATTATTATATCTATTTTTTTACTAAAACGAATGGGATAATATTGACTTTATATTATTTTCTCAAAAAAGGATTGAGAATACTCAAATCAAAATAATCTTATTTGTTTTTGACACCAGCATAAGATTTCCTGATAAAGAATTAATTTTTTTATTCTGCAAAATAAAATCTTTCATAACTCTCAAAATCCCACTCTAATAACTCATTTTACTATTTTTGACAAATCAAAGAAAGATAGAAATAAAAAATTTTTTATTAATTAATTGAGCACTCTTTAAGAATATAATTGAATGAATGCTCATTATGATTATAATTGAATATTTATTCTTTACGATATAATTGAATATTTATTCTTGACGATATAATTGAATATTTATTATTTATGATATAATTCAATACTCTTTATGATTTAATTGAATGCTTTTTGTGAATATAATTAAATACATGAATATTATTGAATTCTCTTTTTGTTTATATTGAATACTCTTTATGAGTTTAATTGAATATTCTTTATGAATATAATTGAATACTCTTAATGATTTAATTGAATATTATTTATGATAATAATTTAATATATAAAATGCTTAGGAATGACTAAATAAATAATTGCAGGAATATTCTTTGCTTGTGGAAACAAAAGACATTGAATTATTTATAAATTTAAAAAATATATTATTTTTTGAGATGGTTTTTTTAATTCAAGTAAAATAATAATATAAGATTTACTTTGATTTTAATTGCTTTTTAATAAAGTAATTCTTTTTAAAAGTTAATAATTGCTAAATTTCTAAAGCATTAATAACAAATAAAAAAAATTTATTTGTGTAATACATAAGATTTATTAAATAAATTAGAAAGCTAATTAATTAATATAAAAAATTGACTAAATCTAGATGTTAATTACTCTTCCTTACACTAATTTGATCTTATGACTAAAATAATATTTAATAGACAAAAATTTATAGATATATTTTTTTAGAGATTAAAATTATTTTTTTGTAGTTAAAAATGTTTAGTTGATGAAATAAAATTAAATATTTATCAATCTTTTTAAAAAAAAATAGAATTTATTTTAAGTAAATATTATTTTAAAATTAACTAATGGCCTTAATTAATTAAATTGAAACAAAACTAAAGAGAAGTTTTGGTTTTAGCTTATGGTGATTGATATTAGTTTACAGATGGCTTTTAAAGATTTTTGTACACTTTTCAAATTTTGAGCGAAAAAAAGTGAATTGAAAGATTTTGTCACAGTTCAGAAAAATATTAGTTAAATGAGTCTAAGATATGAAAAAAAATATTGCAAAATTGTATTTTTAATGCTTTTGAACTCTCTACTTTGTAAATAGATTATGACTCTGCAATATACAGTGTTTGCGCGCTCGTTGAAGTAAGTAAAGAGAAATGAAAGATTTTATAGAACAGATATTATTATTTGAATTTGAAATAATTAATTTCTTAGATAAACTGGTAAATTTAATAAAGAAAAATATCTTTCATAACAAATTAGCAAAGCTTTTATCAGACAGTAAAATTTCGAAATAAGATTATTAAATGTATTTTTCTTTGTGAGAGTAAAACAGCTTTGATTTAATTTGAAGGCAAACTGAAGAAATTCTAATAAGACAAAAGCATTATTAAAAAATTTAGAAAACCTATATCTTTGAAGCGTTTATTCAGCGGTTAGGATATATATTCAGACAGTACTCTTAGGATAATTTTAATTTAACTTTAAAAGCAATGTAAGAAAAGTTTGCTGGCCTTAAAAATTTTATTAATAAAAATTTATTATAAAATTTTTTCTTTAGCTAGCGGCTGGAACATGTAGATTAAGATGTACATTTTTGCATTTATATTTATATTAAAGGGCTAAACGAAACAGAATGGGTAGATAAAAAGGTATTTTTTGAAATAAAAGAAAAAGTAAAATGATTTTTTTTTTATTAATGAGGAAGGCGCGTAAGTAAGCAAGTCTCATTGAAAAAAAATAGCAATGGTAAGGCATTAGAAAAAACTTCGACTTTCTAATTAACAATCTTTTAAATATTAAGGTTGTTATGATATTTACTTTTGCAATTAGAAAACATAAGTATTTGATTGTTAAATAAGAAAGAAATGCCTATTTGCGGATGTTGCTTTATATAACATAAAAATGAATTAGATAGTTCCTTAGTCAATAACAACTTGAATTAGTAGGAGTAAGTAAATCAAAAAACAAGGCAAATATAATTAATTCTTCATTTTGAATTTAAATTTAATTTTTATTGTATTTAAATATATTTTCATATTAAGATTAAAGTAATAGAAAGCACAGCAAGCGCTCATTCTTTCTTTCTTTCATTCATTTATTGTATTTTATGTTCAAATTTAAAATATAAAATTTATAAGCCAGCTTAATCCTTTTTAATGTTAAAAAATAATTTAAAAGGACTGATTATTGATAGCCTGGTTTATCAGTGCATTTCTTACATTTTCATATTAATTAATCGTTTTTATTTATAGAAACCATTGTAGAGTAGGAATAATCACAAAAGATCAGCAAAAAATACTAAAAGCCCATAAAAATAATAAAAGTCCTCTTTAGAGGAGGGGCTTTTATAAATTTCTGAGAAAGGAGGGAAAAAAGTATGTTAAGAAAATAAATAAAAAACGTCGAAAATAATAGAAACACTCCTTTTTTTTTTATTTTGTGTTTGCTTTAGATTTATGTTTTGGAACGATCTAATATCTGATTACTATCTAACAGTCAATCTATTTAATTATTACGCTGAATGTAAACTCAGATAGAGGACATATCTTACTACGCAATATTCTCAATAAAATACGAAATGTAAATCTATTTGCTTATCTTATCGCCTTGGATTTTTAAGCAATTTAATCATTTATGTTAAGAAGTTAGAAGCGGTTCGTCAAAGAAAATACAAAATTTTTAGAATAAATTACATTTTTTTTCATAATATTTAAAAAGGGAGTCTTTTTAAAAAAATTTCTTTATTTCATAATTTTACTCAAGTCATAGCCTATCACAAATCATTAGAGGCATATTTAATTATTCCTTTTTAACACCTCCTTGGTGAGCTTACATTTTTAATCAAAGTAAAACTCAGCTAGGAACATAATTTGCATGATCCGCTACCTCATTTTTGAAGTTTGCTAAACTCTTGCTTTTAGTTATTGCTATATAAATTATTTTCTGTGAAAATTAAATGAGCTAAGTATCAGTAAATAATATAAAATAAATCTCTAAAGTTAACTCTATTGCATTATGTTTTAGAGTAACGAAAAATCGTTCATCTACTATTTTCTTTAAAAATTCTCTCCCTATAAAGTGTGGGTGTAATTATCCTAATTAAAATAAACAGTTTTTAATTATATCTAATAACAAAATTTTCTTTTGTCTTTATTATGTATGCTTGATTGCGCTTGCTATCTTACTAGCTAGCTAAATTGCTAACTGCAGTTTTTATACTACCTCTTCAATTTTTTGATAATCAATCAGCTGATTCCTTTTTTTTTCTTCCTTACCTAATTACTCAAATAATTAAAATTTATTTAATAATTGTTTTTATTCTTGAGTTAGTCATTTATATACAAATTTACTGTTCAATATTTTAAGTTTCGTACGATTTTATTTACATAGCAAAAATATGTATAATTAAATTTCTATTTTTATTTAATTTTATCTATCATTTTAATGGGCATAAAAAATTGTATACAAATTTAACTAAGAAATTAAAACATGTAAAAAATCAAATTAAAAAAAATATACAGGCCTTTCATATTTTAAAACAAAGTGCTTGTTTGTTTATTTGTTTATTTAATTGATTGAATTAATTGTGTATGGAAATAGCAAAAAATAAGGGAAAGAAAACTAAAAAATTTAATTCATCTCAATTTCAATTTATTTGCTTCGTTTCTTGTAAATATTTGCTTAACATAAAAGTTATAAGAAGAAAATTACATTTAATAAGTTAAATACTTTATAGATAGCAAGAAAATAAATAGTCTTATTATAATAGCTTTTTCTCATACATGTTTTATAAAATTAAAAGGTAGAATAATTATTGAGATTCCCTCCTAGGTAAAGGATAAAATATAACATTAATTTGAAGGCTAAAATTAGTCTATTATATGCAAATATAGAAAATAAGAGTAGAGAATTTTTTTTTTTTTGATGATTTCCATAAATGGTGAGAAAGCCAGAGATTCGATAAATTTTAGAAAAAGAATGGTACAAATTTCATAATACAAGAAAACAGGTATAAAAATATATAGAGCACATGATAAAGTGAGATAGATAATTTAAGAAATTGATAATCAGGGTCTATTAATGAGTAGAAGTTTGTTTGCTATGGTCTCATTTATTCATGGTTTGATGTTGTGAGATGATTGGGTTATTTTTATGTCATAATAATATTTTTTTATTTAAAATTATTGGTTAAAATGAGAAACATAGTTTAATTGATTAATAGATAGATATAAGTAGATGAATAAGTAGGATTAATTATAGCCTCTATATATTTAATTAACATGAATATTTCTGAGAACAAGAAGAACTTAGTGGGTGGGTGGGTAGGGCTAAGGGTTTGATTGTATGTATGTATATATGTATATATGAATGTAAGCATGTAAGCATGTAAGTTTGTAATTAGATAATGTTAATGAGAATTTGTATCAACCAAAGAAAGCGTTATTAATAGTATAGGACTGCTTGGAAGGAGTTGATTGATTTTTAAATTCATTTATTTGGTCCTTCGTAAAAAAAAAAATATTATAAATAATAAAGTTCTTCTTCTCGCGCTCACTCTCTCTCTTCCTCCTTTATAGAATCAGCGGGCTGAGATTTGGGAATTTTTGCTATATGGAGCTTTTTATAGAAAGCCACATTATTGAGTAAGTCATGGTTTGTGAAGCAGCGACTCAGGAAAAGGATGACGAGGAGATGAATAACTTTGTCTTTAACTCTACTTTTGTAAAGCCATTCAATTGCATAGATTTGCAAGAAATACTGGAATTGCTTACCATACCTTTCATTTTTGATGATCCTTTACAAGTAATTATTATTCACCTAATGGCGATCGCAGAATCTCTTGAACTACTTGATTATGTCGAAGCTGCTCTTGCTGAGAGTGTCGATGCATTCCAACACCAGTCCATCGCTGTTAGTGCTGGTCATGTATTTGATGAAAGCTTTGATAATGTTTTTTACATTATTGGTTGTGTTGTTAAATTAATTAAAAGATTAAATCAAATCTTCATCGTCTTATTATGAAAAACCCTTCCAATTATCGATGAAATAGGTGTAAAGCATGACCAAGTAGTCATAAAACTCCTTCTCGTCGCACTCAGACTAGAGATGGGGTGAATTAATCTTCTCACAAGCGATCAAATTGAAGATCTAAGGTTGAGTGAGCTCTTCTTCTTAGATGTGTTGTTCACTCATAATTTTTTTGTTTGTTTGTTTGCTTTATTATTTGTTTTGAAAAAGGTATGGGAAATAAATGAATTTATTTATTTGATAGTTGTTAACCTTAAGCAATAAGCTAGCAGTTGCTTCAAATTTAATAATTGATTTTATTTGATTTTTTTTTGTTATTATTCTTATTCTTTTTATCAAGGGAATAAGCACGCCGACAGACTTTTAAAGTTAAGTAAGACGGGAAAAAAATATGGAATTTTTTTAATTATTATTTAATGAAAGTATACTTTATTCCCAGTATCTCTTTTTTATTGTGGCTCTAATGTATCTTTAGCTTTCTCTTTATCTGTGAATTTTTATTCACTCTCTCAAATTTGATGTCTTTATTCAAATTTATTATTTTTTTTTGAAGCCTTATTTTAATTAATTATTTTTTATATCTTTCAACCCAATTTTTAAAACATTAATCCAATTATAAAAAATTTCTAAATTTCATTCATTTTATTAGCAAATCTATTCAGAATCTATTAATCAATTTTCAACTTATAATAAATCAATAAAAAATTCACTTATCCATTACTTTTCTTTTAATAAAAGCAAGCATATCCTCTTTTTCTTTCAACGAAAAATCTAAGCAAAAGTCCTAATTTAAATGCGCCTTTTTTGGATTCTGCATGAAATTATATATTAACTCGCACCTTACAATTATTGTTCCGCTACTTCTTTCTATCCACATAAAAATATAATCTAATCAATACATTATCATATTCCACAAAACAAAATCATAAATTTATTCATAAATAACACTTTTATGGTAGTGATGTATTTACATCAAAATAGATAAATTATTATTTCCAAGCATAAATCTGATTTTAGAAATTCTAACTTTCTGTCTCAAAATGTTTCTTTACTTGCTTGCTTTATTTATTTAATTTCTGATTTATTTTAAAATCTTACAAGAGTAGAGGCTTTTTTTCCTAAATCAATCCAGTTATAAAAAAGCAAATTTATTGCTATAAAAATATCTCCAATGTTCTCATTACTTACTGTATACTTTTTTTAAATTAATTTTAACCAAAATTGTTCTCAAATTTAATGGTTCTCTTTTTAAATGTAGAATTTCCAAAATTAACTTTTCATATTGCTTTTGCTACACAATTTTAAGAAGTGAATGGCTTAGTAGCATTTCAAAGTTTTACTTATTTGATCCACATCTAAAAATAAACAAAAAGAAGAAGTAATCCTAACTCGATAAAAATATTGTTTCTCCAATTAAAAAATCGGACCTCAAAACAACAAGAAAAAATACAAATCTTCAAACTGATATATATTTCTTTACTTTTCTCTTAAATATTTCTAAATACCTTACTGTAACCAAAAAATTACCTAAAATATTATCTATTCTAACAGATATTTGCTTATTCTGCTTCATGAAGTCTTATCTAACCAAATAAAATATTTCTCATAAACTTAGAATGCGTATTGAAGAATATATTTTTATTTTTTTACGGGTTTGTACAAAAAATCATTAAAAAATATTGGTAATGATTGACAAAAAAATACGAATTATTACTAAAGGCAACTTGATCAAAATAGAGTTGTAAAATAAAATTCTTAGCTTTAAAAAGCAAGACGCCAAAATTAGAGCATGATAAAGTAATAACTTGCACTTTTATAATGTTGAATAAGCAAGAAATTTTAAGCGAATCCCATTTTTTTTCATTCATTTTAATTAATAAATCGCACAAGCATACAAACAAATAAGCAAACATACATACATAAATACGCACATACTTTTTTACATTAAACTCGTAAATGAATTAAATTACACTGAAATAAAATTTTGCATTTAAAATTAATTAAAAATGAAGGTGAAGAAATTTTAAAGTAATTAATTATTGTTTCCTTGAATGGGTATTTTCTTATTGCTAGAAAATTAACATCAAATTTAAATTTACGTTCAATTAATAATTACTTATTGTCAATTCAATGATTAACTTTTATACTCAATACCTGTACACAATTAATTATTAATATTTTATTTATGTTATTCCCCAAACATAAATAAATAAATAAGTAGTCTGCCAAAAACTATCAAGCAAGATAAAATATTAGTATCATAAAAAAAATAAAAATTGGATTTATTGATTGCTAAAATGGATGCGCTTAACAAACTTAATTGAGGAACCTCTACCTAAAATAGCATCTTACTAATTCTACTACATTTATATCCGTTTCTGCTGAACTTTTCAAGCACTAACTCTGATAAAAATACATTAATTATTAGCTTTAAGACTTGATGATCATGTTTTTTTGATTACTCCTCTATAAAGGTTTTTCTGCAAAATATTATATTGACAATAACAAAATCTAAAAATATTCAAACAATACAATTAATTTGTACTATTAAAAAAAGCTACCTCAAAATAGCATAAAAATCAAGCGCATCTTATCCAAAAGAAATTAAATTATCATCCATACATTTATATATTACAGAAACATATTACGAATTTTTTTCAGATAGAAATAATGATGATAATTTAAACTCTATATTTTTTTAATTCATATTAAACCTTTTTAAAAATTCTACATTAATTTTATTTAAAAATTTTTATCTTTGATTATTTCATATTTAATAAAATAGCCCGCTTTATTTATTTATTTTTTCTCATATTACTAATTATGAGTCAGCTACTTACCTACCTCGTTAGTATATACATACATATAATCAATCATTCAAATAATCACTTTTTAATATAAATTATTTAAACAAATGATCTATCTATTTTCTTCTAAGAAAAGCTGAAGTTGATTTTGTAATAACTTGAGTTATAAAAATAAAATTATCGTCTAACATTATTATTTTCCTTTATATTTTTTTTGGATGAAAAAATTCATTTATTTTTGCAATAAAGCTTATTTATTATTCTATTTAAATCATTTAAAATTTTATTTCTCAATAAGATCTATCTATATTTCTATTACTTTTTGTAATTTATTTTATAAAAAATAATTTATTATTATTATTTTTATCACTCATTCTTTCATTAAATAATAAATAATCTAATATTGAATAATATATTTTATCGCTCAATTAAATTTATTTATTTTTACTTATATAAAATATTTAATTATCACTTTAAAATAAAAACTTATTCAGATTTTATATTCTTGCAATAACATATTTTATTATACAAATTTACTTCTTTATTCTTATTTATTGTTTTTTTTAATAATTTGAAGTTGTATTTTTATTTTTCACATTCAATAAAATATTTTAAAGCATTAAAAACCTGATTTTATTAAATTTCTCTCAATTAATTGAGTTTAAATTATTAATTTTATAAATATAATTCAATATTATTTTTTATATCAGAATATTTTTTTTTAAATAATTTTAAATTCTAAGTTTTACATGAGAATCTTGATATATAAAAAAATAATGCCATCATTTTAAATTTTAATTAAAAAATTTTCGATTTCAAAAAAATAATCATTGCCTTTTTAATAAAAACTCATTCTTAATTTTAATAAGCATATTTTCATATAAAGCAAAAGTTATTAATCCATAATCTCTTACGACAGCTCTTTCTTCCTAAATTGATTTCGTCAAATATTAATAAATAAAATTTTCTTCAATCTTGAAAGATATCTTAACAAATGATTAGCAAATTTTTTTAAATAAAAACTAGAAACTATATTTAAATTTTATGAAAATGTTAGAAAAAACTTATGAAATATTTTACATCCTCTTTATATGCGTAAATATAATGATTTTAAACGAAGAGGAGCTTTTATTAATTGCAATTAAATAAAATTTTGTAAAAGTTTGTAGTAATCTTTAAATTAGTCAAAAAAGAATTGATTTTTGTCACTATATTTTTTTACACCCAAAAAACTAAGTTTTGAAATTAGGGAAAAAGTTATTTTTCTTTCTTTACCTTTAAAAATGAAAATTATACAAAAAAATTCTCCAAAATTTACTTAAAAAATTTATAATTTTTATTATTAGTAATAACACCAAATTATTATAATGCCAAATTATTGACATTCTTCCATATAAATCTATTTGCCTATTCTTAACTATAAATTTTTACCACAAGCTAGCAAAATAGATATAACATTTTTATAAAGCTATCAAATGTAAAATCTTTTACAGCTATTAAATGTTAATTTATTGATATCAAATTCGTACCTTCATGCTATGTATTAGACTTAATAAATAAAAAAATGCATGTTGATTTTTCGTCATTTTAAGAAATTGAAAAAGGGAAAAAAATTATTAATTGAAAATTTTAATTCAGCATTCATTCCATCCTCAGAACTAAAGCAGCTTGAAATAAATTTAGAAATTAATAATTTTCTTGTGAAATTTTATCCTTTCATCCATCCAAATTAATGGCAAGATAGTTAAAATTGCATACCAATGTCATAGTTTTTTTTTGAAGGCACCATAAATAATAATTTTGGATCTCAAGCTCATATTCAAGATATAATAAGTAGATAAAACATGTATATGTTATTCTTAGTATATTTTTGTAGAAAAGTGTGTTGACCAAATTATATTTGTAAATACAAAATTTTTTATAGACTCACCTTTTACTATGATACTATTTTCGTTCTTGTGTGCTAATCAGCAGATAGTTAACAATATTTAATAAAATTAGTGGTAATACTGTATAAAAATAAAAATGTTTGTACTTACAAAATCAAATAAATAGAAATTAAATAAAAAGTTTTTTCTAAACAAAAAATATTTAATAATTATAAAACTAAGACTACTTATTTTATACTATATAATGTATTTATTTATTTATTATTTAGAGAGATTTAAACAAATTATTTAACATTACAAAGTTACTTTTCAAATGAAGAAATTTTTTTAGAATCAATATTATTTATAATTATCATAAATATATAAAATTTAATTGATGATGTAAGGAGTAAACTAATTCTTAAAAATAATTTAATTATTTATTATAAAATATAAAGATTATTCTTGTTGTTTATTAAATATTTATTATTATTTTCATTTCTTATTTTATATTTGAAAAATTATTTTTTTGTATAAATTTTGTGGCTGTTTTTAGTTGTTTAATTGAAAATTTTATTTATCCAAATTTTTCTATGATGGCTCGTTTATTGGAATTGTTTGAGATATTTGATGATGCTATTATTATTATTATTATAATTGTTGCTACTGAGATAGTTGCTATTTGCTATAGCTCACACTTTGATACTTGGTTGGAATTTTTGGTAGATATAAGTTTTACCATGCCTTCCCATACTTGTTTTATTATTTTACTTTGATCCTTTCTTCTTTTCTTTTTTGATAGTTTGTTTATCTCAACAGGACTTCTAATAAATTTTCGTTATCAATGTGCTTTTTTATATCAGGAGAATGGGCAACAGATCCGTCTAAGTCATTATTTATTTATTCTCTCTTATTCTAGACTCTTCTTTGTATCTTTTGGTATTCTGAGTCATAAAAATCATATCTTTAAATCATTTTTTAGATTTTATTTTCTGCATTTATGATAAAGGAATATTTTTTAGATATAAAATGGTCATCGACATTGCTTTGATTAAATGAATAACTATTTTAAATGGATGGAGGTGTGTGGTTACTAATACTTCTTTTATCACTGTTTTAATTAAGACTGCAGTTTAAATTCTATTACTGAAAAGACTAGCTCCTTTCTGATCTTGATAAATGTTAATTCGAATTTAAGACTTCTTTTTCAGGACTATATAAATTGCATGATGCTTTTTCATCTTATTAAAATGATACTTATGATTTTTTTTTATTAGAATTCTAATAGTAATTCATATGAGGAGAAAGTGATCTTTGTCTTAGTGACGAAACTGATGCATTATCATAGCTTATGTTTGTATTTATTACTTTATTAGCTTAGCTGTGATAAGGAGAGGAATTATAAATTACAGATTAACTCATAGGACTTTAATTTTATTCAAATTTCTATCTTGGATTTCTTAATATTTTTTGAGAGTAGTCTTGTACTTTATGAATAACATATTTGTTTTTTCTTTTTGATTCATCTACATCATCGAGCATAATTTCTTCAAGTGCCTTCTTCTAATCTTAATCACTATTTTCTTAAACTGATTACATTAGCTTCTTAGGCAAGTCTTTACTGATACTAGATTGGTTCCTTGTCAAGAAAACGCTTATGTCTTTCAGTAATTTTTTAGATCGATGACTTTGCTATTATTATGCTTCTTCTAATTCATCTTATTAAATGTTCATTCTAGCTTCAGATTCTTGCTATTTTTTTTGCGCCTATTCTCTAATGGAATTAATTCTAATTTAATTACGAAAAGCTAAACCTTTTTGGCTAAATATTAGTATATTTTAATCGGATTAGATATTCATAGTTTGAAGGACAGATAGATAGATTTATGTATAAAAAAAATTTGTATATATCTTGCGAAATAAAAAATATTTAGTCTTTTTGCTATGATAATTTTTACTATAGTTTTATTGGTTATTGATAATAATTGCAATACAAGGATTCTTCAAATTAATTAAAATATTGATTATAATATATTAAGAGTAATTTATTACCATTCGATTATGCTTTTTAGATATATTACATATTTATTAAATTTATTTGAATATGAATTTACTTTATTTGTTTCATGTAGTAAGTTGAATACAAAAAAAGTGAATTAAAATATTAATAATATTTTAAAATATAATTTATAGAAAATATTTACAATAGTTTATTTATTTATTTAATTTATAATGAATTAATTATTTTTAGCAAATTTTTAATTAAATTTTATTTCACCTATTTCTTTTTTATACTGCTTATTGATCATCAGAATCACCAAATATATCAGATATAGCTTTTATTATTCCATCAAAGGAAAGATAAAATCTAACCATCTCACTGGAATATGCTATATAAATGAAAGCAATAACCTTTGTTTATTTTTTAAACAAATTTAAAAATTTTATTCATCTTTTTAAATTTTACTGAATTTTAAATTAAAATAGTATCTTTTTTGTTATATTTATAAAACTATACCTTGAAGCAAACTAAGACACAAGAAACGATCAGACCATAATAAAATAAAAAATAAGTTGTGCTTGAAACCTATTGAAATTCAGGTAGTTCATACTTTTTGTACCAAAGCAATATCCAAACTACATCAGTAAACGAAGTTATTACCATCAAATAAAATATTCTTACTATTTAATCCTAAAATATTAAATTATTATTATTTATTTATTATGCACGATTGTAGAATTTAAATTCATACCTATTTCTTGCCAACCAAGATAATAGCAAATAAAAATAGTGGGAAGTTAATTTCTGCCTTCTAAAAGCAATTTAATGCACTAACAAATAAGAGCGCTTTTAAAATTTTATTAACTGTTGCTTAATTTTCTTCAGACTCAAATGGCTAAATCATAGTTTTATTAATTACTAAATAATAAATTTTGAATATCTTTAATATATTATTATATATTTTTTATAAATCTATGAAGATTAATTTACTATAGAAAATGTATTTGCTTTTCCAAAAATAAATAGTAAATTCTTGTTAATTTTTAAAATATTTCCTAAAGAAAATAAAAATAATTTTTTAATTTTATCTTTAAAAAGCATTATATTTTTTAAATAAATAAATATTTGAATTTAATTTTTTAATGTGAAAGCTTTACTTCTAGTCAATTAAAGTTTAAATTATTCGACAAATAATTTTTAAACAAAAGATTAATTTGTAATATAAAGATTAGAATTTAATTAAATTATTTTTTTAATTTTTTAATTGCTATTTTTTTACCAAAATTAAAAAACAATTTAAAATGTTCTATTAAATTTTGTTCCAAAAAAAATTGTATTTGCAGCTAAGCTATACACTAATATCTATCAATGTTTTTTATATTCAGCATAATTAAAACCATCTAATATATTAAAATTACATTTATATATATCTATTTTATTCATAGCCATTAATAATATCTAAGAATATAAACTAATTTTGTAGCCTAATATTTATAAGTTAAAAAAAAATTTGTTTGTTTAACTATTATGATCATAAATTTACTTAACTTCTGTCTTCATATTTTTTAATTACTTTTTAAATAATTATTAAATTTAAGATAATTTTTACAATTTCTCACAAAATATTTATTTAATCATTTTAGAAATGTTTTGATTTTTTATATTAAAAATAAATTAATTTCAAAGAAATAAAATATTTATTTTTTTAAGAAAACAAGGATACACAAAACAAAGGAACTCTTCTATTAATTTACGTTTAGTAGTATATATCAATATATAAAACTTTTTGGTTTATGAATTATTGAATGTACTTGTTGCTATGTTCAGTACTTATTTCCATACCTATAATAAAGAAAATATTTTGGTCATTTGAGTTTTTAAATTATTAATTGATGGAATAACCAAACCTATCAATTTTTATTATGAAACATACAACTTATATTTATTTATTAACTAAAAATAAATTATGTTGTAGAAAAATTTATAAAGTAATTATAGTATAGTTGATAAATTATATAATTTGGATGGATGTTCAATTTTAATCTTATTTTTATTACAATTAATTGTTGATTTTTTATAGAAACTATTTTCTTTTATTTTGTTATTCAAAGCTTTTTAAACTTAAATCATTTTCTTTTATTTCTCTATTATTTGTTAATTATTCATCTTCCTAGGTGTTCCAAATCAAATCCTAAGGTTTAAAAGAAGGATCTGATAAGTAGCTTAATATTAATTTAGTATCCCAATTGCAGAAGTCAAGCATACATATAATTTGCTCATTAGTTAAGCTATATTACTCATTTAAGTATTTTATCAAGTTATCCCATTTCTCTTATTTATTTAATTCTTGCTAATAAACCTATAATTCTTCCTCTAAATCTTAAAATAATTTATTGGATGGCTCTTAATTTGCTAGTAAGTAATTAATAGTTTTTTAGTTTTCTGTTTAAATTTCACCTTAAAAAATTACTTCTTTGTAATGCTCTTTCATTTTATAAATTATATTTTTCTTAAGTATTAGCTGCAATAATTCTTAGTTGGAGTCTTCTGAAAGATCTTCCAGCACAGCTTCATCATCTTCACCAGATTCATAAGCATTATTTTAATTAATATTTTATATGTCATCTTTATTGTAAAATAAAGGACTAACTTTTCTCTTTAAATTATTTTCCCTATAAACTAAATTGTTTGGTTAATCTCCTATGTTGAAATTTTAAGTAAGTTTATTAGAAAAATCTTATTAATTATTGTTTTCTAAAGCATTAAAGTAAAAGTTTTGAGGGTAATTCTAGAATTAATTCATATTATATTTTTATTTTGGCTCTTGCATTACTTAGTAATAATTTTAATTACTATTTATGCCAAAAGGTGGCTAGTTAAAGACTCCCATAAATTCGCTATTTCTCATATTATCAAAGAAATTTTAGCTATTTTCTTGCTATATATAGCATTCATGATGCTTCTTCTTTTAAGCGTTCTAAAAATTGCTTTCGTATTATTATATTTATTTAACAACATTTTTAAATGACAAATTCTCATTATCATTATCATTATTATTATTATTAGTAGTAGTACTTCCTACTTTATGTTCTTAAATATTTTATGAATTCGTTTAAAATTGTTCTTACGAGTTTTTTTGCTTTTCTTTTTAGTCTACCTTTTAAGCCTAATTCTTGATGTTTTAGCTAAGTTATATGGGTTACTAAATATTTTATTAATCATCTTTTAGCTATCTGATAATTTATTTTTAAAATAATTTTTTTTTAGTTGTTTCAATCTATTTTTTTTTCTCTGACGAACTATATTCAGAGGAGCTTGGAGTAACTAATTGCCATTTTTTGGCAACTTTCTACCCTATCTCTTCACCATCACTTTCTTCAACATTTTCTATATCATCCTCAACATATTCCTATTAATTATCTCCTTTTTCATCTTTAAAATCTTCCTATCGCCAATCATTTTCCTAAGGCTATTCTAATATTTTTTTAGTTATAACTGGAATTTTTTTTATCAGCTCAGCCTCTTGTTATGATGTGTAAAACTTAAACTCATACTTTTTTTATCTTTAGTTGAAATCCATAAATTATATGTGAAACTCTTACTTGACTTTATCGAATTCTAAAATAGAGCAGGATTTATGTAAGAGACCATAATGTCTAGTATATTTATTACATCTTCTATTACGCTTTTCGTTTTCCTAAACTAAGTAAAAATAAAAATCAACTAAATTAAGCAGCCTATTCCTATCCAATTTAGAGTGATAATATCTAAACCTAGACCGAATCGACTCAGTCGTTCTGTGAGATTATATTTTATCTTTTTAGTTTACTAATTCGTTTACAACTTTCAATTATACTACTTTACCTTCTTATTTAAAAAACTTGTAAAAAGCCACTAATATTTTAATGTCTTCAACCAAAACAAATCTTATCATAGACTTGTCTTGCTCAAATTCTTCATTATCTAAAACTTTTGATAAAAACTCATATATAACTTAATTATCTCTATTCTCAATCTCTTACATTTTCTCTCTTTTTTCCTAAGCGCTATTCAAACTTTTTAAATTAAGATTTGCATCTAAAATCAATAAATTCCGCTTTATTTATTTAATTTTGAATCTAATATTTTCTGGTCAATAATCAATTTTTATAATCTTAGCAAAAAATATAAAAAAATCAATTATTTATAAACTACAACTCAAATTTCAAACGCTATTAGCAGCTACAACCTAAACATTATGTTTAATTACAAACAAATTATTTGAAATTTTTTAATTTTTACTTTTAAAATTTACTTTCATTTAATTGCATAAATTTCTAAAATTATTTTATTTTTTTTAATATAAAAAATTTTTGTTCATTTAAAGTTATCAAAAATAATTTGTTATTTTCAAGTTTATTTTTAATTTATAAAAACCCAAAATAAATAAATAAATTAAATTATGAAACAACTAGATCTTTATTTAGCCTTTTAAATAGTGCAAATACAATTAAAAAGATAAAAATAGTTTTTAAAGGTGATTAATATTTTTAATACTTAATAAAAAGCTATTAGTTATTCAAGCTTTGCTTTGTTTATCAGTCTAAAAAAAAGTAAAATATTTAAACTATATTTCTATTAATTAAAAGTCACTTTTTAAATTATTTTAAATTCACTACAATTTTTAAAATTAAAAAATTTATTAAAAATTTTTGTTAACAAATCAAAATTAAAGTAAATTGAAATTATTTTAATTATTTAGAAAACATTTAAAATTTAATATATTTAATATAAGTAAAAAATATCAAGAATTAAATACAAAATAAAAATAATTTAGAATTAATTCATAAAAATATAATTTAATTTGCAAATAAATATTCAAATACTTTATTTAATTGAAATATTAAAATAACAAGCGCTATTAAGATAGTTAAAACCAATACTTCTAGATTAGTTTCAAATCTACATATCTTACTATCCTATCTAAATAGCCACTTATTAGCTGTTATTTAGGTTATTTATATTATTTTAATTTGGATTGCTTTCTTAAGGATACTCATTTAATTGTGGACTGTTATTAATTTATCTTTCAGGAGTGTCTTTCTTTTTGTGATTTTCCTTTTTCAAGTTACTTTTCATGGAATTTACTAAATATGGAAGAGCATATTTTTCATATAACAATGTGATTGTCATATTAGCAAGACAGTAGATGCCAATAAATATTCTCCAATTATAAGGCATTACTGAAATTGTTTTGCCTTTTTTTTCAACAGAATCTTTAATCTTTTACAAAAAAATATAATTTTTTTATTTATTTATTTATTTTAATTTTATTTACATCGAAAAAGCTCTTGAAATCATCTTAAGTCCAGAATATTGTAAGTACAGACAAAAACAATATAGCAATAAAGAATAGTGTAAAGCATAAATTGGTATAAAATGGCTTTTTGAAAACTGATCCAATCGAAAAAGAAATTACTACAGCTATGTACTGAATATTAGTAACCCAGAACAAAGTCTTTTTTATTTTTAAAAAAAATATTATTTGCATTTTTAGATAAATAACTTAATAATTAATTAGTCTGTTTTACTGTTGAGTCATAGCATTCACTGACGGTTTTTAAGCTCTCAATTTCACTCTTATCATACATATCTACACTATCTATATACCAATCCTAACCCTTAAGTACCATTACAGCTATAATCTAATTATACAAATTTTGAATTAAATTTTAAATAAAATTATTAATATTAAATTCAATTCAAACTATTTTTATTTCATAAATTGATTTAAATTAAATTCGTTCAAACGTTTTTAATTTCATAAATTATTCTCTTAAATTTATTTTTAGGTTAATTACTTAGAATATAATTTGAATGGATGTCTATCCTACAACTGAAGTAATAACTTCGTGAGAGATTAAATTGGCTGTTGGTGTTTTGTGAGTCAGTTGATCGGAAGCTTCTGTAAGGCCAAGCATAAAAGCTAGTGGTAATATAATGAACAAATCCCAATATAGGAATTACATGTCACTTGGGATACTATTACAGACATATAAAATAGTTGTTGTTGTACATTAGATTAAGCTATAAAGCGCCATATATTTAAAGCATTAGAATGAAGTTACAAGTGATGCTCTTCCCTCTCTCAGGATTTTTTCTATACAACTAATATTTTGAATTTTACTAGTAAAAGATGCTGCTATTGAAGCCTCAGTATCACTTAGAGAGACACCCATATCTGCATCTTTAAGAGCTCCACAATCATTTGCTCCGTCACCACACATAGCTACAAAAGTATAATTGATTGGGTCTTGTCTTTGAAGTAGTGAAATAAGCTATTGTTTTTAATCTGGTTTCATTCTTGCATAAACCTTAGCATGAGTTAGGATACCCATCAAGAGAGTAAGATTAGTTTCCTAATTAAGAGGATTCATGTATTTTTCAAAAAAATTTCCTGTGATTGTTAAATCTTAATTCAATAAAGGTTCGAGATCGCTTTCTTTCCTCAATTAAATTTATTGGTTGTTTAAAGTGGTAACTTTTGTTGTTATAGAATAGTCTAGTATCTGTATAGGAGTTTCAGCTTTTATTATTGAGCAGTTCTTGGCCACTTAAGTTGCAGTTAATGCGTTATCACCTGTTATCATTATTACAATTATACTCTTCGATTTTAATAATTAGATGTGCTCACTTGTAACAGTTTTTAGCTTATTCTCAAATATCAAAAAGCCAGCAAACACTTACTTTTGTTCAAAACTATTTCTCTCCTATTCTAAATCAATCTCTTTCAGCTCTTTAAAGCTTAAACCAATCACACGGTAACCCTTTAAAGTATATTACTAAAGAACTTCCTCATAATTTTAAGGAATGCTCCATTTCTCACAAATACTCTCAATCTTTTCAGGAGAACCTTAATTTTCATAATTTATAAATATTTTTTAGATTTATTTATTTATTTTAACTCAGCTTGATTACTTAAATAGAGTAAAAATATTACTTTTTAATTATTACTTAAACATAAAAAGTTATTTGAAAAATATTAATGTTAAAATTAGCATAAAAATAGAATTAAAGTAAAAAAAATTAATTTATTTATTTATTTGATTTACCTTTTGATAAAACAAACTTTTGATTGTTATAAATAGCGAGGACTGACATCATTTAACACTCTGATTCAAATTAGAATCTTTTGATTAATTTAATTTAGCTCTAAGATGATTCTTTGGTAATTTAAGCAATTATAGGCAGTCCTTATTCTTTTTAATTTGGTTCTGATTCTTAAATGGAATAATTTGTTTACTTAAACATCTCTATATCCATAGGATCTCCTAACATCTATCCTTTTAGCAGCATGATGCTGTGACATGAAGCTGTAATTATTTTTTGCATTTCACTATATTCATTTTCTTACTCTGAAGAGAGATTTTCTATATCAGCTTCTTCAAATTTAGCTTTGTTGCACACCTTAATACATTTAAACGTTAGTCCTTCTTCAGTAAGTGTTCCTGTTTTATCAAAGCAAACAGTCTTAACCTTACCACAAACATTAATTTTTTGAGGATTTACACAAAAAATTTAGCTCTAGCTAAGTCTATATTTTAAATAATTACAAATAAATCAGAATTTGAATAAAAATTTTGTGTTACCTTTTTAGGGCAAAAGAAATTCCAAAGGAAAGCGCAGTTGGAAGTGCTGGTGGAACACTGATTGTGATGAGATCTAACGCTCTAACTATTATTTCAGATATTTCCATATAACCGTTATTGTAAGCAACAATGAAAGAAGGCACTGATATAAGGAAACTTAAAAATGCAATTGAGGCTAACACTAAAATGAATTTAATAGAATCAGCATAAAATGACAGTTGGCTGTGTTTTTTTGGGTACATAATTGATCTTATTAAATTGCCTTTTAAAGTCTCAAACGAAATACGAATAGCTTGTGTTCTTAGATGATTTTGAGATAGAAGCTTGCTTCCTGCATAAATTATAGTTTGTTTATTTTCTATGAATAATGAATCAACATTTTCAATATGAGTTTTTATGACAGGAATACTTTCTCCTGTTAACATGGCTTCATTTACAATTGCACTTCCTTCGATTATTACTAAATCACAAGGAGCAACGTGGTCCTCTTCTAAATAGACAGTATCTCCAAATACTATTTGTCTGGAATCTATGATTTAAATTTAATTATCTCTAAGAACATTAAACTCCCCTGATTGATGACTTATTTCTTTAAGCTTTCTAATATTTCTTTTAGCCTCTCTCACTTCCAAAAAAATACTGACAACAGAAGAAAAGAGAATAACAGATGCATAAATACGATATTCATCATAATACCACAGACTTATACTAAATATCTAAAAAATGTAAAAAGGAGAAAGTATTTCATCAATAATAATTCTAAAAGCGCTTCTTTCTGGAATATCAGTTGAGTTTAAACCATTTTTTTTAATTGTTTCAACAACCTAGCCTTCACTAAGTCCACCCTAAAATTAAGAGATGAGTTGCTTATTAGTAAATTAACTCACTTAATCACTTAATGGCATTATCTGATTTAACTCTTCATAAAATGCATAACGATAATAGCGATACATAAACATCTAAATTATAAAAATAATATTGAATCTTTTGTAAATTATAAAACTTAAATATCCTCAATAATTTATTAATTTATTGCATTAAAATTGATGTAATAAGTCTTTAAACTTTATAAACTTCAAAATAAATAAAAAAATAATTTTTAAAAATTTATTCAAAAGATATTGTAAGAATGTTTGTATGTTTGTTTGTTATTCGTTTTTTTATTTTAAAGGGAAATCAATTTTGCTTTTTAATTGATATTTAGAAATTAAATATTTATGTGTGTTAGTTAGTTACCTTAAGTCTCCTACCTTGAGGCATTATAATCTGAAGCTATTCAATCTAAATATCAAAGTCTATTTTAGTAATTTACATAAAATAAATTATAATTTTAATTTCTTATTCATTTTTTTACCTGGACCATATATTGCTACATAGTCAGCTTATTCGATTTATACTTCTTTATATTGAAGAAAGATTTTCCAATTAAATTTCCATCTCAGAATCAAATAAAAGAATCCAAGTGTAATAACATATAAAAAGTATGTGAAATATAGGGACAGGGTGGCTTACTTTAGGGGTATAATTTACTAAATCAATCCCTCTTCCTAAATGTTTTGATAAAGTACGAAATTAGCTCCCCTTTTAATACCCAGTTCATTATTTGATTAATTCAATATGCGACTATTTTTTATAAATAGAAAGATAATAATTTGAAATTTAACAAAATTAAAATGATTTATTATCAAAATATTAAAAATGATCTTTTCATAGGAAAGAGAAAACTTAAATTCAATTATAAAAAGCAAAAAACATCTCATAATCGTAAAAAGTTCAGCATTTTTATTGAATGCAAAACTAATATATTAATTTTTATTCTCACTCTTTTTCTTGGTATTGTTCAGCCCTTATCATGCCTGAATATTTTGAATACAAATACTGATTGAGAGCTTCACAGCTATTATATTCCCTTAAATTAATTTAATCCTTAAATTATTGTGAAAGGCGTCAATAATTGATATTATTTTATGATTTGTTTATTTATTAAGAAAGTTAATTATTTTTGTTAAAAATTGTATTGACCTTTTGTTTATCTATTAATTAATGACTATGTATGTATTGGTCATTCTAAAAAAGCGATAAAAAATACAATATAATTAAGATACAATATTTTTTAATTTAAAACCTTAATGCCTACTTTCAAATGTTGATATTAAACAATTTCTAAGTAATATTCTTGCCAAAAACGTCTACTTTTTTACATAAACAGTAAATTTACAAATTATTCACTTAAAATTATTAGCAATTTTATATAAATTTACAAATTTATATAAAAAATATTCTATTTTCATATATTTATATTTATTTGATTAAGTTAATTTCTTCTGCTTTTTATTCATAATTAAATTATTTGTAATATCTATCAAATAAATGATTTTATTTAAATCAATTCAAACAAAATTTAAAAGCAAATTCAGCTGTTTAATTTTCTACTACCATAGTTATTAAGATTTCAAACTTGTATACTTATTAGTTTAATCTATTGCAAGCTCTCAAATTTAATTATTTAATTTATTTAAAATTTAGGTTTATTTAAATTTTTATATTTAGAAATTATTTTAGAAATTTAATTTTTTATATGCTTGCTTGCTAATATAATATAGTAAATATTAAATTAATAATGCTCATCATAAATTTTCAACAAATATTACTTTCTTACTTACTCATTTTAGAGGAAAAATATATAACTACTTTTAATAAATTAATATCAATATAAAATAAATTAATATTTTTGAATGTTTCAAAAATAAAAAATACATATTTATTTGATGGTATTTGTTTTTATATTTGGAAACTACATTTTTTAGTGCTAAAAATTTAGAAGTATTTCGTTTACGTTGATTTTATTTACTTAATATGATAATACTTATATAATTAATTTTACGTTCTTTTTGTTTAGTAAAATAGCATAACTCTAATTATTTTTTTTGAAATCTTAATTTTAGAAAGTAGAAAATAAGTAAAAATAGGTAATTAATGAGAGTGAATAGTTAAAATGAAAAAACAGAGAATATATTGACAACTATGAGGGCAGGTACAAGCGAATATCATAATATTTAGTTTACAGCAGGATCTAATTTATAGCAATCGTTGGAGTCTCAAAAAGACTTAAACAAGTTAGAAACAAATCAAAATGAATTAGCAAAATCTTAAAAGAGCAAGAATGCTAAATCTAGCATTTAAAGATAGATTGGATTAGGCCTTAAGGATTCAGAAAACAGCGTTATCAGCGAATCTTTCAATAGGTATAATCATAAAATAAATGTTACACCTAATGCTAATAATTATAAGCATAGTAATACATAAAATATGAATTAAAGCTTATTTAAAAGAAACAATACCTAGAAGCCATCAATTAACTAATTTTCATTTTGGTCAGTCGTTTAAATTCGCAAAATGATGGAGAGAATTAAAAAAAAATATTCATATGCTAATTTAACTAGCTTGCAATATGAGCTGATTGGAGACAAAAGCGTTTATCATCATAAGAAAGAAACGTTTAAAGAAAAATATGGTTACAATTAGAACTAAGAAGAAGAGTTACCTAGGCTTTTTAATAGAGTATCTGAATGTTGCAGAAAAACTTTAAGGTGTCATCATTTAAAAAAACGCATACAATCGTATTTTTAAAATTCAGTTGACTTTATCCCTGTTTTTAATCCTTCAAATCCTTTGAAGTTGTTTTGGGATTTTTTAATCAGTCTTTCTCTTTTGCTATTCTTTTTTGCAGCACCTATTCATATTGCTGTTTCATCTCCTATAACATAAATTGTCGAATAAACTTTACTTTATGTCTGTTTAGTATTGATAGTTGTAGATACTATTGTTTCCATTAATACAGGATATTTCTCGAAAGGTTAAATTGTGACAAACAGATTCACAATACTTTAATTCTATTTAAAAAATTAATTATTTGTGGATATTATTTCAATAGTGCCCTTTTTCTTTACTATTCCATAAAGTAGTTATTCTTTCTTTCCTTCTATACTTACTTTGCTAATTTTTATAAAATTTGGAGACTTTTCAAAGATATTCAAAAAGCTAGAAGAGTAGTTTCTATTAAGACCAACAACTACTAATATTGTAGAGCTTCTAAAGCTTCTTTTTGTGCTTTTATTTGTTGCTCATCTTGGTGCATGTGTTTGGATGTTTGAAGGATTGTAGTCTAATTAGTAATACAAATGGTTTCTGACTGATAAATTAGATGATATGTGGTCTCCTTAATGGTTAGACCTGTATGTGAAAGCATATTATTTTAATACTGTAACAATGGTTACAGTTGGATACGGTGATATTTATCCTGTAAATAACTATGAACGTATACTATCTATAGGAACTATCTTAGTAGCATGCTGTATTTTCGCCTATATGTATATGAATTAAGCTTTTTAAATTAAATTCTAAGAATTGTCAAATAATTTGAAAAAACAGAAAAATGAAAATCAATTATTTTTAATTTCCCCCATTTAAAATAGATAAAATTTTATTAGAATTGATTCCAAAAAAAAAACACACGCTTTTATTTGAATCAAAGAAATATCAAATTGTCTTTACTATTTTTAATTTACAATTAAGATTGTAATTTTTCAAATGGTAAATTGTTATTTTTACATTCTGAATTTAGTTAGAATTTTCAAAAATTTTAATTTTTTCTCGTCAATATTCTTAATTTTATTAATCATAGTAAATTCTTTCTATAATCATACAAACAAACAAATTAATTACTTTATCTTAAGACAAATACAACAAATACTTTTAAAATATAGAGTTAATTCAATAGGAAACATTTTTTAAGATTTCTTCAGACACGCTTAGATAGTTAAGGAGAATTTTTATACAATTAACAATTATATGGAGAAAAAAAATATCAGTTCTCAACTGAGAAATAATATCAAAGAGTATTTGAGTTATTACTGGGATGAAGAAAGAGGTAATTTAACAGAAAAAGAATAGAAAATTATTTGCTAGCTGCCTGAAAGTCTTAAAAAAGAGCTAAAAGTAGAAGCTAACAAGATAGTATTAAAGGACAATCCAATTTTTCATCAAAATTTTAGCAAATTTATAAATGATAAAATTTGTGGAATTATTTAAGAACAAAGATGCCATCCAGAATAAATTATTATGAAAGAAGATGAATAGGATGATTGTAGTATTTACTTCATCTAAAAGGGGAGAGTAGAAGTATTCATTAAATAGCTTCATCCAGATGGTAAAAAAAACAAAACAAATTTTATTTATTTTGTTCAGCAAATTAAAAATTTAATTTTTTAGTGTAAATTCATTTTAAAAATAATTTCACTAATTTGAATGAGAGAGATCTTTCTATTATTATTATTATAAAATTTAAGAAAGTCTTTTTAATCATTTTAATAAAAGACAAAACCAAATCTTCTTACTGTTTTTTCAATTTTAATATTTTTAACAAAAATTTAAATTAATAAAAATGCATTTTTACCATTCAAAAAAGGTACTTTAGCCACTAAGTCTATAATGATTCTTGAAAAGGGGCAGTACTTCGGGACTTATGGGTTTTTTACAGGGTTGACAAGAAAATAAAGTATTCGATGCATGGAATTCAGTTAGTTTTTGGTGATTAAGAGAAGTGATTTCATTGAAACTTTAAAATAGTTTAGTGATGATTATGAAAGGTTTTGTATGTTGAAAGATTAACTCATGTTTAATTCTAAAAACAGTGGGATTGATTAGTCTTGTTTTGGATGTAGTAGTAAAGACCACTTCTTTTTAGAATGCCCTGCAATTCATTATGCTCCAAACCAGCAAGAGATAATTAAGAAATATAATTTTACATCAACTCATCATGTCAGAAGATAGAAGAAAAGAAATTTTACTAAGTATTTTTTAAAATGTTTTGATAAAATAATTAATTAAAATTATATTTTTAATTAAAAAAAGATACCACACTTTAAAAGAAATGGATTAGACATTTAGAGATGGCATTAAGTTTATAGAATAAAATGAGAGTTTTTTGCTAGAATAAGACTGGCTGTAAAGTGTTAGCGAAGATGAAATAAGTGATGATAGTAATAGTGATAGCTACAGTGATAGCAGAGAAGCCTTAGATCATGTAGATAAGAATCATGTGTTAACTATATTCAGTCAATTACCCAATACAAACAGTTCTAATTAGCTATAATAAACTGCTGTATTTTATAATCATGAAAAGTAATAGAATTAAGCAAACCAAAACGATTCTAAAATAGTCAGCAATCTCAATTCTGTTAATAACATGTAATTATATTTATTTCTTTTGTTTTATTAAAATTTTAAATTATTTTTTTTCTTCTAGAGATGCTAGTTTAAAGACACATTTAATTGAAGAACCTTCAAGTAATAAAGCATAATAAGTTATTTCTTAAGCAAACAAAGAACGTGATGATTTCAATTTAAGTGAAGCTAACCCTTCACCAATATCTAAGCTCAAAAAGGTTAATTCAGAAATCGATACTGAATTAAGTGTTTGCTAGAAGATTCAGTCAACCTAAAAAATTAAATTAAATCCTCACAATTCAATCTTTTAGCAAGGTAAAATACTTATAAATATTTTTTAATTTTTTCTAAAAGTTTTTTTATTTTCTTTAAATTAATTTTTATCTTTAAGAATTTACAAAAAATAATTTTTTTTGTCTTTAATTAAAATTATTTAAATAAAAATAAAGATAAAAATCTAATTTATTTAAAATTTATTTTAAAAGAGTAAGAATTTAAACACCACTAAAAGGAAGATTAATTATAATTAATTGAAAGGAAAAAAGAGTAAGATATTGCAAATAATTAATTGAAGTTGTGTTAATCTTAGAATTTTATAGATGTATCTCTAGGACCTAATTAAGCCAACAGTTTTAATTTTACTTTCAAGCAGGATTCTGAGAAATTAATAAGAAGGTAGAGTTATTGGAATATGAAAGTTAATATCCCAGCTTCTAATAGAGAAATATAAATTCCTTTAGCCTCTGAATAACAACTTTAAGATAATAAAGATAATTAAAAACCCAGAAAATAATCAAATACTATAAAAGAAAAAATCGGAAGTAGTAATAATCATATTATTAGTGACATTATTTCTAATGAAACAAAATCATTAAATGGTGAAAATTATAGAGGTATTTAGACTTTTAATTAAATTGAAAGTCATTAGCATACGAATGCTTCTTTAGACCTATAATCAAACTTTACAAAGAGCAAAATACTCATGGGAGATATGCTTAATATGAGTGAGAGTGACAAATCTCTTCCACAGATTCAGAAAGATGAAACTAACTAAAATGAAATGAATCTTTTATGTGTATTTGATATCTAAAGATTTGATGATATAGAAGGAATTTATGCTAAAAATCAGTCTCCAAAGTTTGTATCTAATAGCAACAGACGTTCTTAAGCTATGAAATTGGAAGACGACTTTATTCAAAACAATGGTGGAGAAACTGAAAGGGGATTATTAGAAAATACTAGTTTAAATGAAAGCTAAGATATAAAATAAGCTTAATAAAAAGTAAATGGATTAACAATTTAACATAATAAATTATAAAACAAATAATTTGATGAAAAGGCCATTCTTAGATAGAATTTAGTAGAACCTATTAAAGATAATAAGGTAGAAAACAAAAGCAAAATTATTTAAAATTTAGATTAAAACTAAAAATAATTCTCTTAAAATGAACAAGAAAAGAAGATTTTTAATATGAGAATACCAATAGAAAAAATAAATTTGTAAAAAGAGAGTTAATAAACAATCTAAGAAGATTTACCTGATATTGGTAACTATAAAAGACTACCAGTTTAGAGAAAATAAGTAACTCATTAAACTTCTATTGAATTAAATCATGCTAAACCAATTGTGAATCAGCTTATAAATGCTAATTAAAGACAATCTGTTTAACATTTTCAAAGCAACTTTATGGTGAATAGTATTTAAACTTAGAACACTAATTCAAAGCCAAGTTTTACTAACTCAAATATTGCTACAAATTAATAGCTCGGAGACCAGCATCCATTAACTAAGCTAGGAAAATCAAATAGGAATCTTATGATTGGAAGTCTTTACAATAAAGATAAATAATAAATTGGTAATCCTGATTAAATTGATTAAAAAGCTATAAAAAGAGAAAAGTTTTGGAAAAATGTTTAAAAGCATGGATACGATATGGGAGCTACTGATGTAAGCTCTCCACTTATTTTGAAGGCTAAAAAAAAGTTAGTGGAGATTAATAGTGAAGGTGGTTAGATATTTGGCGCAAATAACAAACTAATGAATAAAATAGCTTCGAATGCTAGTTAATTTAGTAATCCAACTCATGTAGAAGATAATCAGAGATTCACTCATAAAGGAATTAAGAGCTTAAAAAAAGATTACTCACCAACTTCTTCAATTATGAGTTAAAAAAAAGTAGGAACTGACAATCACATACAAAGTCATGAAAGTGCATAGATTGAATAGTTAAAGTAAATGATTTCTAATTTACTTATGAAATTTGAAGAAACCAAAGGATAATCTCATAGTTAGATAAATGCAATGAGCAGGAAATCTGTTGTTTTTGACAAACACTCTCCATTGCTTTTAATGCATGACTATATTGAAGAAAATAAGCATAATTAAATTTAAAACTCTCCACTTATTTCAAAATATTAACTGCACAATCCTGCTTCACCTTAAATACCTTAGTAATATCCACTTAATATTAGGAATTCAGATGATTTAATTAATAGCAACAACATGTATAATTAAGAATTAATTCAGGAAATAATTTTCGATACTATGAAAAACTACAGTAAATACTTCCCTGAAAATAATATTTAATTTATTCAAAATGAGCTCAACAAGGTTTCTTAAGAAAAACTAAAATAAATGAAAAAATAAAAAATAAAGAAAGCAAAAGCCAATTATTAACTATTTAATTCTCTAGAGCATTTAAGCAGAGACCAACAATTTAAAAGAAGAATTCTCAATTCTAAATTTGCTAAATAAAGTTTGATGCACAATACAAGATAAGAATAAAGTGAAGAAGAATTAAATTCTGAAAGAAGTCGCTCTAATTCTGGCTCAAATTCTAAGAGAAGATCGTTATTCTTTGGAATAGCTAATGAAAACTTTTCTCATGCAGTAAATTCTTTTAAAAATTAAAAACGCCAATCACTTAGTTAGTAATCGATTTCTACCAATCAAATACCTTAAATAAATCAAGGTTCACATATAATTCCTCCTCCTGCATAAAAATTTTCCTAATTTAAGAACTGAAAAAATAATTGAACATTAAAAAATAATATAAATAATCATTTATAATTTTTGTTAATAAATTCATATAATTAATTCTTCTCTCAATCAAATAAATAAATCATGATTTGTATTAAAATTATTAAAAATATTTAAATTAATTCAAAAAAACAAAATCACACAATTATGTAGAATGTTTTATAAATTAAATTTACAAAGTAATTTATCTAATTTATTTATTAAGTGATTTAATTATATCATTGCTAATTTTAAATTAAATATGCTCATTTTTCTAATTAATTTTGCTTGCTACAAAAAGATAGTTATTTGTTTATTTTTATTATTTTTGAAATATTTTATAAATAAGCTATATGTATGTGAACCCTGATATCATAACCAAATAAAAAAACTTTTTAAAATTAAGAATATTTATAATTATTTTGGATTTAGTAAATAAATAAATTTCACTAGATTTCTTAGATTTCTGAGAATTTATGTTGAGCATTTTTATTGTTTTGAAACACATTTTTTATATTTAGAATACTTTATCAGTTTTATTAGCTATTATTTTTAGGAGAGTTGTTGCTCGAGATAGAGTAAGATTTTTTAAATGATAATTTTTTATTTGAATTTATTTTTTTTATTAGAGGAGCAAATTTTACATTAAAGATTGAGTTTTTGAGAGTATCAGTTTATGATTTTAAACCAATATTTTAAGACAACGTTTGCAGCTATATATCATTTTTATTATAATTATAATCGTCATTATTATTTTATTCATTGAGGTTTTAATAAGAAGTAATCTAGTTATCATTAATCAAATTATTTTTGTTGGAAGTGCATATGGATACTACTTCATTTTAACTATTATTCATTGGAGAAGTCACATTTTGATTATTGTTAATGTTAAACTGAGAATTAAAATTGAGTGGAGAATTAACAATTATTGATTTCTTTTTTGGTGAACCTTGAGTTTGTTAGCTTTCTTAAAATGATTACTTTAAAGCAGTATTTTCAAAAAACTTACTTTATTACACTTGATTTTGGAATTTTGAGATGGTTTTTGTGATACCTAATTAGAGTTTTAACTTTTTCTGAAGTTTACTATTTGAGTTAGGTTGAATAAATGAGGATTCTATTTCTTTACTATTGGTGTTGTTAATATATCTTTGTAAAATTTAAGCTCTTCTCTTTTTTAAGTTAGCTATAATTCTATCATAATTATACTGGGGATAGTAAAACTTAAATTAATGCATCTTTTCAAAGTCGTCAAATATTTTATAATTTTGATAGCCTTGCAAATAAAATAAATGTTGTTAATCGTAGTCATTTTATTAATGCTAAATTTGGGTAGAATCTTATTGTTAGTTTTCCTTTCGTTTAATGCATCGATTGCTACCTTCTTTAATTACAGCTAATTCAATATTTTATTTAGGTTGCAATTGATATTAATCATTTTAGGTACCTAAATCAGACTTTTTACCTTCTGCTTAATTATTTAAAGTTAATTATTGTTCACTATTTTAGTAGGATTTAAATTTAGATCCATCCTATTTTTGCTACATATTATGGATTGATTCAATATGTTTAATTATTAGAGGCATTTACTATTTTTGCTCATTGTTCTAAACAAAGTTAAAGACAAAATTCTTCGCATGAGACTGCTATTGATTAGCTATGTTTTAATCTTTGCTCGTCTAATGATTTTTTATGTTTGGTGTAAAACATAATGCTTAGTTATATTAAATGCTTTTCCTTGGTACAGAAGTATTAAACCCAGTATTTTGATTTAATGTCAATCTTTTCTAAATTTTATTTATTTAAGAAGCTCTTCTCTCTCTTTATTCTTCTTGAATAGTGTTTGTGGTATTTTTTTAAATATGATCTTTTAATTCAATTTCTTATTTGCTTTATCTAGTTATAATATTTGGTGTTAGAGGAGGATCGTTTATCGTTTTCGCCCTCATTCTGCCCGAATTCAAGTTAAGCTAACTGTAACGAATTTTATACTCATTTCTTGGAGATCCTTCATCAATAATGCTGCTAGTTTTTTCAGAATTAAAGGTTTGCTTTGAAATACTTGCTTTTTTGTATGAAAGAGACTCAGGGCTTTTTAAATGAAAAGATTGATCTCTTATTGACATTTTTTTTTTAACAGCGCTATCTATGTAATTATCTTAGTAATTATGTTTTGCTTCATTATTTAAATTTTAGATGTCAATAAGTAAATCTTTTTTAGCGTTTTCAGAATTTTTATTGGCATCTGCTTCAGAAAGCTTAAGACTTTTTTAAAAGCTAACTTCATTTTCATCTTCCTCATCTTAAACTTCATCAGTTTTAAATTTATTTTCTTCACTAGCATCACTTGAGTTGCTTTATTCAATTTCATTTTCATAATCATCTTCTGAGTAATCAGAAAATGAACTAACAAATGAATACTCTTCATAGTTTAATACACTATCGATATAATCTTGATTTTTTTAAATATATTCTAAAGCTGACTCTGAATAATAAACTATATTTGTTAGTGAATTTCTGTGTCTTTTTTTAGGCCATCTTTCTTTTTTTTTGCTACGCTCGATAATATCCGTAGAAACATTAAAGCGCGAAATCAAATTCAGTTTATTTGGGATGTAATGAACGTACTGGCAGTCATTCAGTGAATGGTCAAACTTCTTACAAGATTGACACTTTGTTCCTAAGAGAGTTAGATTGTTGTCGTTTATCAATGAATCGCGTATGAAACAAAATTTTTCATAATCTTCTTAAAGGCTGTGCTGTCTCATTAAGTCAATAAAATCCTACCTATCTATGTAAAGTAACTTACAAAAATCTTTTGATTTTACGACAAATTTATGAGGATTATCAGTAAAAAAGGACTCGAAACCAAAAGATTCTCCAACTCCAATTGTTTTTATTTTCTTGAGTATCATAAAATTTTGCTAATCATATTATTTTAAGTTCTAAGCAAATTGCAATTACTGTGGATTATTCTAATTAGCTTAATTCTGATCTAACATTTGGTTGTTTTCGTTATTGCTATTACCATCTTAATTAATTATGTTAGACATAGGAAAGTGATAAATATCGAATTCGCCTTTTTCGACAAAAAAAACAACTCCTTTTCTACTCTCAGGACCTTGACTACAAACAATCGTTTGATTAGGTGTTGCCTTAAACTCTTTAATGATGTGGATAATTTTTTGAATAAAAAAATCACTAAAATAATGAGTTAATAAGCTTGATTCATGGATAATTGTTTTATTTGCTTGAAAAAGTAATTCTTTTCTAAGATGATCGCTAAGCTGAGATATTATTTACTACTCCTTCTCAATTTGAGTTTCGTTCCATTCCTTCCAGTAATACTCTAAATATTCTCTAACCTCACTTTGTAAGTTACGTTGGATGTTTTTCTCTCTCATATATTGGCTTATTACCAGCATATTTTCTTTTCTTTTAGCGTTCTCTAAATTTAACTCATTCAAAATACTTCCAATACTATTGATTGCATATGCAAAAACACCACAAGTAAGCATCATTCCAATCATGCAAATAATCTCTTCAGTGTCATTTTATGGCACAGTATCACCATAGCCAACAGTAATCATAGTAACGGATGCATAATACTATGATCTAATATATTATGTCGACCATGGCTAATTTTCTAGCTTATATGCTGTAATCCAAGTAACAGAGAGTCCGCTATTCTTGCCAACAAATAACCAAATGCAAGCAAAAATATGAGAAACAATCAAAACAAAAACTAATAGTTTTACAAGCTAAAGTAAATTGAGTTGCTTTCTTGTAACTTAGAATTACTCTTCAAGCTTAGTGAGCAATTTTGTGATTCTCATACCTTTTATGAAGTAGAGTAATAAAACGATAGCTTCAAAAATACAAACAATAACATAAGTTTTATACGAACTTGTATAGGATGAAAACTTTTGGTCTTATCCTATTTTTAAATGCCATCTATGAAGCTCAAAAATCATAGCTTATAAGGTTAATATATCAGTAAATCCATTTTTTACTATGTATTTTTTGATAATGTCTTCTCTTGTTTTTACAAGTCTTCCTCTTTAATAGTATCCAGTGTTTGCACATATAACCATATCTAAAGACTACAAAACAATAAATACAACCATTAATGTGTAGTTATCACCAGCATAAGTAGAAATACTATCATAAATATCTGTAATTCTAACTGAACAAATAAAGCATAGAATGAGTATTTTAACACACATACAGAAATCCCAAAAAAGCTTCCAAATTGAATTAGGATCTATAATTGGAAAATTTCCAATAGTGTATTAAATGGCTCGTTTAATGCAGCTCAAATTAAAGTTTCTCTATATCCCTCTCAAGATATCCAAGGTGTTTATTTATTGTTGCTGCTTATTCATTAATGATTATAACTTCTTTAACTTCCTCATTTAGCTTGCTTAAGCCTCGTGAATAAAAATAGGAATTTCAAAATTAGAATTATTATCTTTGTCTTGAATAGTATTCACAGATTTTTCTGATATGTCTCCTACCAAATTATAATGATACTCATCTAACTTGTGAAACCTCCTAGAAGGTAACTTATCGATTAAATTCCTGATTCTTGTTTTGAGTTTAACATTCTATATTAGAGATTTTATACTAATTCTGTCATTTCTTTCTCGCTCACGCTCTCTCTCGTAAAATGTATACTGTTTCCTAAAAGAAAAATATTTTAAATTTTCCTTATCTTTCTTATCAGAATATTAGCTGTTACTCATAAAAATCATCGACATTTCTTTCTTTATGAGCTTTAATGAAGAAACGATTTATTATCTAGTTATAAAAGTTACTTTAGTATAAATTCTACTTTTATACTAAATTTGCAAGTAATAAAAAAAGGCTTAATTACTTCTTACTTTTAATATATATTTATGCAATTAATACTTTATAAATTCAATGCAGTAATAACTGCAAATTATATTTGTTTAAAAATTTTTCTAAAAATAAGATTGATAATTAAAAAAGTTCATCTATTTTATGATATTTTCATGCAAATTATAAAATAAAAACAAATCAAAATACAATTTTTTTAATGGTTCCAAATTTTTAAAGTGTAGAACAAATAAATAAATATATAACTAAATTTGAACGAGTTATATTTTATTTTAAACATCTTTTGTTAAAAATGTGTAATAGATATTTAAATTTTTATTTAGTTTTATTTCAGTATAAATTTAAAATAATTTAATTATATTTTTACACATACTAAGTAAATTTTCATTAGCAATAAAGCTAAAAAATTGAATTAGTTATCAATTAAATATCATCTATTTATAAACTAAAATTAGATATTTAAAACATTTATTCAGTTTAATTTTGGATATAAAAGTTATACCTTAAGATTATTTAGTTATATTGTGAGCAAATATTTAGTACATTTTAATTGCTAATAAAGGTAAATTTTAAAAAATTTAATTATTTATATAGCATTAAAAACATTCTATTTATAAATGAAAATTAGATATTTAAAACATTTATTCTGTTTTATTTTAGATATAAAAGTTATACCTTAAGATCATTTAGTTATCTTTTGAGCAAAAATTAGTACATTTTAATTGCAAATAAAGGTATACTTGAAAAAGTTGTATATCATTAAAAACATTCTATTTATTAATGAAAATTAGATATTTAAACATTTATTCAGTTTTATTTTTAACAAAAAATTGAAAGTTTACATTTATTTATATTATAAAAACATATTTGGTGCATTTCTATCACAAGAATAGTTAAAATATAAAAAATATAATTTTAATTACATTTATTTCGCATTTATTAATTTAAGTAGGGATAGACTGAATATGAGAATATGAGATTTTTTTAATTTATAAATGCTGAAAGCCGAATATGAAAATAGACATATGGCCGAACATTTGGTCTATAATTACATTAAAGTTAATTTTTAGTTTAGATGTAATTAATTTATTATTTTAAAATATATGATCATAATTAAACTATTTAAAATTTTATAAAATTGTTTCAGTAAATTGTTTTTTAATAAATATTAATCTAAAAACTCAAAATATTTAAATCAAAGCCAAGTTATTGTCAGTATATTTGTAATTAATGAAATTAGTATTGATATTTTTATATTATCATTACTTGTTAAAGTAACCAGGAGGTTTTTAAAAGGAAGAAGAATGATTGAAATTATTGTTCTTTTAGTATGAATTATTAAATAAAATGCTGCTTTGTTTATTTAAACTCTCTTTGCTCATATTAATATTGTTATTATTAATGTTCTAACTATTTTAGCCGCTTAAAAGAATGCTATTTTTCTTATTTAAGCTATTTTATAGAACATAGTCGTTACTATTATTTTTATTTAAAAGTGAATTGTACAACCTATCTGAAGATTTATTTAATGATCCATAATTTTAAGGATTCTTATCTAAATTTAAATTGAATTAAGGCTACGAAATATGTTGTTGCTGATTCCTTAACTAATCTTCTATAATTTATTATTACATTTTTTTTAAAGAGAATTTCTCACTTAGCCCCATTTTTTCAAGCAACTAATTATGAAATCTGTGGTTATACTCATCAATTAATTGTTTATACCTTAAATTAATCATATAAAATTTAGATAAGATTTGATAAAGTAATCAAAATGAATGAATTCTCTTACATTTAAGGATTATACTAGTAGTAATACCACAGTAATTATTGAAAGGCCTGTTAATTTTTTTCAGCCTCTTCTTTTTCAATCATCTATTTTTGAATAAATAAATAAATAAACTTTTAGTGATTGTTAAATAAAATCTTACTGGATCGATATAGTTTATTCCGTATTTTCTGTCCTAGCCTATTTTACGATATAAATCATTTCTAAATTTATCTAAAATGTTGTACATTTCCTGACCGCTGAGCAAAATTGATTAGTTTTTTAGTGTGCTTGGTTGCATATAATCCAACTTATCCAACACAACATTAAATTTATTTATGTCTTCTACGTACTATTTTGCTAGATCCTTTTAAGGGTTGTTTACTTCATATAATACATTTTGTCTAACTTTTTCTAGCAAATTTACAAGGTCATCTCTAGATAGCTAGACAACTTGATTATCTTCTTCTTTAAAATTTTAAGAGGGAGGAATATAGGGAGTAGGATTTTTTTGAATTACTTAAGGGGAAGGTTTTTAATAAGTCTATTAATTAATAAAGAACTGATAAAAATTTCTTTTTTTTATTTTTAACTTACGATGTAATTCAAAGAAGGATTATAATTTTTTTAACTTGGAGTTCTTATGCTTTCTCTTGATTGGACAAAGTTTGAAATGAGTTACTCTTAAGAAGGTTCTTTCTCGATTATTGGTTATAATTTTGGAGTAGGCTATCTTTAAAAGCTTTGTGCCTTTAATGTTTGTTATTGAGAAATAGAGGGAGTCTTTTGGATGCTTGGCTATTTTATTGACGAAGGCTTTTTATGAAATTAAATATTATTTTTTTCAATATATCTTTCAGTGCATTTTAAAAGCAGCCACTTTAAAGTTGATGTTTCTTATTTAAAAGTTTCTATACCTTCTTTATTTAGATCTTTTAAACTAGAGAAGTCTTTTTCTACCAAAAGATTATAGTAGAATAAGTAAATAAGATTTGCACTAAATTACGATTCATTTTAATTTGATATTTCAAATGCTGGAAGAAAATTTATCTCAGGTTGAATGTTTAATATTTTGGAAAACAAAAATTTAGAAATCGCCATAGTTGTATCTAAGTCGTGATAATTTAAAGCTGTGACGGTTTTATCTTTTATCTTATAGATAAGTAAAGTCCAAACTCCTTGATACAAAAAAAAGATAGTGATGTATTCCCATTTTTCTGTATAGTTAGTTCCTAGAGTATTCTCAAACCCTTGGATAAATTGATAGTTACCTGTATTTGCACTATCATCGAAATTCTGCATATTCACACCAATATAAAATATCTTCCACTTATATTTATCCTTCAAATTTACATTCTGCATATAAGCCATAAGAAATCTCATAGAATCAATAGTAACCTCATTTTTAAAAACAATTTAATACAAATCGCGAAAATGTACTTCCATATCTAATGCCTTAAATGCAGTTTCCTTTTAATTAATTTAAAAAATTTTCTTCATTTTATTAAAATAACTTAATTTTTCTATGTTTATAAAAATTTTTTTAAAAGATTGAAATGACTTTTAAAGTTTACTCTTAATATAAATTAAATACAAAATAAAATTTTTAAACTTTAGTATTAACAATAAGATTAAATGCTTTTAATTAAAGTTTTTGAAATATATTTTGTAACATTTTTGTTAATTTTAACTTGAATTAATTGATGGATGGATGGATGATACTAAAAAATAAGTACTTGATAAATTAGTATTCAAATAAACTAAATAAGAGGCTCATACTTAAAATTATGAAAATTAATTTTTAAAATTCTAGAAAAATAGAACAAACTCTTTTTTATTATTGTTATTTCATTAAAAATATTAATCTATTCTTTACTATTTTAATTTGTTTAAAATAAATGGTGCCTTTTTGAAGTTCTCAATATTTAAGTTTCAAAGCAAAATTGTAATGAATTAATTTATTATTAACTAACTTATTTTTATAAAATATTTGATAGAGTTTTATTAAAATGATTTCATTTATCTAAAATCAAAATATTTAAGTATTTCTATTTATAGCTTGAAGGTAAATATTTATTATAGATTTATAAGTTGTAATGAATGTTCAATAAAAAAGTAATTAATGAGCATAATTATTAATTAATTTACAGAAAAATCAGCTGGCCAATCATTTTTGTATTTTTCCATTAGAGAATTTAGGTCTTAATTAGAGTAGTCTTCAATTTTCGGTAATATAGAGTCTTCATTTTCTTCTTCGGGAATATCGACCATGCTTAAATGATTTTTACTTTGATCAAAAACAGGATCCCATTTGCCATTTTTATAAATTGTGATTTTTTTAATGGACTAATTTTTTTGATATGAATCATCAATAATTTTTTATAAATTTGAGTCAAGCTAAAAGGCATTTAAATATATAGGAGCATTACAATACTAACAAGTAAATTTAAAATTTCCATTATATTCTGCGTCAGTTGTAAATTTTTATACTAAGTCCTCTTAAGAATAAATGCATTCAAGTGTTAAACATTTTGGATTTCTATATGGAGTCACTTTAGCATCATTCTTTAATACGTAGCATTAAAAGCTTTGCTAATCTTTTTTCTTTGAGAAAAACTGGTTTTAAATATCCTTCGATGGTTTCAAATATTGTATAAATCCTTTTATTTTATCCTAAGACATTTTAAGAGTGGAATTAGTTTTATAATGTCCTATTTATTCTTTTTTTAGCAAATTCCTACAAGTGTTTGTTACCTTTAGTTTAAAAATTGATAATTATTACTATCAAAAAATTGAAGATATAACTAATTTCCAAATTCTTTTTTCTTTATTTAACACTGATCAAATAAATTATGATGAATATAGTATTCATGCTCTTTTCGTATTAAGCAACTTGTTATAACATGCATAAACTAAAAATTATTTTACTTAAACTTTATGTATATTTATATTATGAATTCATCATTTTTTTAAAAACATAAATTTAAGTTTCAAATTAAACAAATTATTAATGAATTAGCTTGAAAGTTAGTTATCAGTATAATCTATTTTTCAGTAAATTATTTTTAAAATTAATCTTATTCTATTTTTTAATCAAAAATAAAATATTTTTTAACAATTTATTATTTTTTATTCGATTTTTAGGATTAAGAAGCAAAATTCTAATTATTCTAGCAAATTAAATAAATTAAATTTTTTATTTTATTTATTTGGTATTTACTTAATAAGTAAATTATTAAGCAATAAAATTATTTAATTGATGAAACTAATATTTAAGTTTCTTTTATTAAGGATTCTATCAAATTATGTACCGTGGGTACGCATGAATAAGGATTATCAAAAAAAAAATCTTTTTAAAAATTTTATCCTTTTTTATCCTTATTTTAAATTCATCCTTATTCAAAAATTATCCTTATTCATACGTACCCACGGTAGACTTAATCATTTTCTTATGGCAAAAATATATTCTATATTTTCTAAGTCCTTCTATTTGAGCTGCTTAATTTTAATAAAAATAATATTTTGAAAGATCTGATTTAAAAATGATGAAAAATATCTTAAAAATTATTAAACACTATTAAATTAAATAAAATATTTCGATTATTATCTTTTTTATTGTCTTTATTTATAAATTTATATTAGTTAGTGTTGAATTTCGGAAATTATTTTGAAGGAAGACCAATAAAAATCTATATCCTGTATAATATGTTAAGTTAAGGATGATAATAGATAGTTATTTTAAATTATATTTTTTAATATCCTTTTAAACTACAAAAATTTTATATGGAGTATAAAGAGTTTATTTATGCTTTCATAATATGAATGAATTTTTCCTCCATCAAATAATTTAAAGTTTTAAATATTAATTGAGTTTGTCTAAATAACTAAACAGATGGATAGATATCTTGTGAATTTATCTAAAATTAGATATAATTATAACAAGTAATATTTGAAAAGAGAATTACTATCTCTTTATAAGAGTACTTTCTACATGAATTTCGGTTAATTTATTATATTCAATTTTATTATTATTATCAATATATGCTTTAAAGCAATGCTTTAATAATCAAATATGAAATATGGATTAATTTTGCTTCCATGAAAATAATTTATAGTTTAAAATATTAATGAGTTTTTTAAAATGTTTAATTATTTAAAAGCAGATTTATTCTGATATCTATAAATTTAAACAAAATAAAGGAGAATCATACTAAACTCTTTCTTTCAAAATAACATCGATAATTAATTATATTTGATTTAAAAAGGTACTTTTAACCTGAATTTTTAGATTAAATAATTATTTTAATTCTTGACCATTTTAGTGTTAATTGACTTGCAGAAATATATTTTGAAAGTCTTTCACTCCCAATTTTTAGAGATGAAGAAACTTAATATTTTTAATTTTAAACCTGAATTTTTAATTAAATATAATCTTATAATTTTTAGATTTAAAATATAATAGATAAATAAATCATTTATAAAATTTAAAAAAATAAATAATTAATATTGAGAGAAAAGCCTTTCTATTTAAGTTAACTTATTTTGTCAATTAAGAGTACAAAATAAGTTCTTTCTTTTAAGACATTTGAAAATTATGAACTTTTTACATTCAAAAAAATTTTTATGTATAATTTAGCATAAATAATTTTATGAAATGGCTACTTAAGTCATACATTAATTAACATGCTTTATCTAAAAAAGATGTATGTTTATTTACATTAAAGCATAATAATATTTTCTTTTTTGTTTCCTTGTAAATTATATCATTCTATGTTATTTAACATATTTCCTCAACTACATTATTATGATTATTACAAAAATAGAAAGTAAAAATGCAATGATTATATATGCTTCAAAATTTATAATACTTTTATTTTTCTTAAATTAGAATGTGGGTGATATAAATTTTGCTTAAAATTAAACCCTCACAAACTGTTTATACAGTATAATATGTACTAAATGTTTTCGATCTTATTTCTTGGTTTAAAATAAAGTTCTAAAAAGATAGTTAAAATATAAACGCTTGAATCAAATATGAAAAAAATAATTTTTAATATTTCAAGACCAAATTGGCCATTTTATTCATGAATTTTTTCTATTTAAATTATTTCAAACATATATTCAACAATTTAAAAAAATTAATAATTTATTGTATATTTCTCTTTTTTTAAAAATTTTTTTATGCTATTTTTCTTTTCAGGCAAGTTATTTGAAAAAGGATTTTTTAATTTCAAATTTTGATATTTTCTGTTTTTGCTTTTTTACTTTAAGAGTTAGACTTTAAAAGTAAGTATAAATACATAATTTTTATGTAATTATTTTTAAAATAAAAAAAATATATTTTAGTAAAAATGAATAATAAAATTATTACTACCTTATTCATACTTGCTATTTTTTCCAGCTTTGTTTACAGTGATAGCTAATGTTAGAATCACTTAGCTTACTAAAATGTAAAGTTTCTCCTTTAAGAAATTGCTTAGGGTGTTAGCTAAAGTACTCAGGATAAAATCAATAATTTTTTCTCCTAATTCTAGAATTAAGATCCTTAAGTCATCTCTCAAAGTGCTTTAGATGTCTGCGATTAAAATAATAACTATGCAGACCACTATTCTTGTTGTGACAAAGATATTACTTCATTCTTAGAGTTTGCTCCATTTTATGCTTTAGACTTCCTCACAATGTAATAGAATGTTGTATAAAAATTATTAAATAATATTGCAAATTTTATTAATGATTTTTCATGTAACTCTTAAGAATCTAAAACTAAACCTAAATCATTTGATGATTTGGTTTAAAATGAAAATCTTCCTCTTTTGTAAGATCTTGTCAAAAAATCAAGGAGTTGCCAGGCCAGTTATCTCACTCAGATAACAAATCTAATAAGAGGTACACTTTGCACAGTTTGTATTGGAGTTGATTAACTATCTGAATACTTTGACTCTGACTAAAACCTTTATGTCAGTTAAGCAAGTGTGAATGAGTTTTAAGATGCTGTAAATGACTCTATTAGTTGTTTCTCTAATTTGGTTTCCTGGAATAGTAGTGACAGCAGCTAACACAGCTTTAGAGATGTAGTTTATGAAATAGTTAGCTATTACATTGATCCTGAATGCTAAAATAGAATTTTAGGGTACTTTTAAAACTTAATAAATACTAACTTAAGTAACTCGTCAAATTATTGCACCTTAGAACAAATTTTTTCTATTGAAAATGGATGCTTAAATTCTCAAGATCTTATTTTCCAAAATACAGATTCTACAAACAGAATGAGAATATTGTAAAGTTCAAATTAATCAACTGGTTTTTCTGTTTCATAAAAAAATGGCTCAAACGTATTTGTCGAAAGTAAAAAAACAAATATAATTTGTAATAATGGTTGTGTTGTTATCTCCTTTTAAGGAATAACTAAATTTTATTTTGGCTTTTTGTTAACATTACTTTTGATATTTTAATGAGTAAATATGTGTTATCCATGTGATAGTAATTTATTTGAATAAAATTTTAGTTTTTTTATTAATTCAGTTTGATTCTGTGAATGTTTGTTTTTGAGTTTTTAGAATATAATTAAAAGTGAAAGCAGTTTAGTCTAATAAAAATTTACTTTTTTAATTAATTAATCAGAATAGTGATGTCTTATGATTTCTTTGAATATATTTCAATTTAATTAAATTATTAAAAAAATAAATTAATCAAGAAAATAAAAAAGTTAAAGGTAAATAAATGACTATGAATATTGTTTAATTTACTTTATATGTTATAAAAATATATCTTTTTAAAAAAATGGAATAATAAAGAAACAGATTTTTAAAATTTAGAAAGATAATCTAACTATAAAGATATAAAAAATAAAATTTTATTTAAGTTTAAGATTAAATATTTAATGAATTTATTAATATCGAAAAAATATATTTTCCTTGTTCTTATAAAGATTTTGTAAATTTTCTAATAGAACAAAAACAAAAATTTATTCTTACAAATTAAAAATTTTTTTTTTTTGATTTTTTCTTAATAAAAAAATTATTCAGCTAATAAAATTATTTAATTGATGAAACTAATATTTAAAGTTTCTCTTATTAAGTACTTTATCATTTATTTAGGCTTAATCATTTTCTCATGGCAAAAATATTATCACTGAAAATCACTAAATCCTTATATTTGGAGCTGTTTAATTTTAATGCAAATTATATTTTGAAAGAAAAAATTACAAGAAGATTTTAAATATCTTAATAATTACTAAGCACTATTAAATTAAATAAAATATTTTCAATATAATCTTTTTTATTGTCATTATTTATAAATTAAAATTATTTATTGTTGAATTTTGGAAATTATTTTGAATTAAGATAAATCAAAGTCTTTATACTTCCTGTAAAATATATTTTTTAAATCAAGGATGATAATAGTAGTGTAAAATTATATTTTTTAATATCCTGATTAATCAAAAAAAACTTTATATGAAGTATAATAATATGAATATGCTTAAAAGGCATACATGCTTTCATAATATGAATGTATTTTTCTTCCATCAAAATAATTTAGAGTTTTAAAAACTGATTGAGTTTGTCAAAATAATTAAACGGCTAGAGAGGTATCTTGTGGATTTATCTAAAAATAGATATGATTATATCAAGTAATATTTATTTAAACCTTTTCTTACATAAACTTAAAAAGAGAATAAGTATAAGTATTAATTCTTTCTATATTAATTTCGGTTAGTTTATTATTTTAAATCTTTTAATTAAGATTTATTTAAACTTGAAAGCAATGCTTTCATATAGAAATATGAATATATTTTGCTTCTATCAAAATAATTTATAGTTTAAAATACTAATGAGTATTTTAAAATGTATAATTATTTATTGAACAGCAGATATATGCTGATATTTCTAAATTTAAACAAAATATAGGTGAATAATAAATAAAAACTATTTAAACTCTTTCTTTCAAAATAAGATAGATAATTAATTATATTTGATTTAATAAGGAAGGTACTTTTAACCTGAATTTTTAGATTAAATAATTATTTCAAATCCTGACTATTTATTTTTGTGTTAATTGACTTGCAGAAATATAATTTTGAACATCTTCCACTCCCAATTTTAGAGATGAAGATAATTAATAACTTTAATTTTAAGCCTAAATTTTTAATAAAATATAATCTTTTAATTTTATGATTAATAATGTAATAGAAAACAAACAAATCATATTTTAAATTTTTAAAAATGAAGAATTAATTAAGAAAAAAAAAGATTTTCTATTTTAATTTACATATTTTGTTAGTTTATTACAAAGTAAGTTTTTTTAAGTCATTTGAAAATTATGATTGATCTATTGACTGTCAAAAAATTTTTATATATTATGTAGCATCAATAATTTTAAGAAATGCTTAACTTAAATATTTACTTACATATAAAAATAATAATATTTTATTTTTTATTTCCTTGTAAATTATAACATTCTATATTATTTAATGTATTCCCTCAACTACTTTATGACTATTAAAAAAATAGAAAGTAAAAAAATGTAATTATTATGAATGTGGATTTTCTAAATTTATTTTGTTTAAAATTAAACCCTCACAAACTATTTATACAGTATATATATGCAGTAAAAACGTTTTAAATCTTATTTCTTCAAAGAAAATAGTTAAAATTAAAACGCTACAAGAAAAAAATAATTTTTAATATTTCAAATCCAAATTGGTAATCTTATTTATCAATTCTTTCTTTCTATTAAAATAAATTCAAACATACATTAGACAATTTAAAAAAATGAATAAAATTTATTGTATCTTAATAATTCTCTTTTTTTAAAATTTAAATTTTTTATGTTATTTTTATTTATTAGATAAGTTATTTGAGTAGTATTTTTGAATTAAAATTCTGATATTATCTGTCTTGAGTTTTTTACTTTATGAGTTAGGCTTTAAAAATAAGTAAAAATTCAGAATTTTTAAATAATTAATTTTAAAATAAAAAAAAATATATTTTAGTAAAAATGAACAAAAAAATTATTACTACCTTCTTCATACTTGCTGCTTTTTCCAGCTTTGTTTACAGTGATGACCAATGTTAGAATCATATAGCTTACTAAAATGTAAAGGTCCTCCTTTAAGAAATTGCTTAGGGTGTTAGCTAAAGTACTCAGGATGAAATCAATAATTTTTTCTCCTAATTCTAAAATTAAGATCCTTAAGTCATCTCGGAAAGTGATTTAGGTATCTGCGCTTAAAATAATAACTATGCAGGGCACAGTTCTTGTTGTGACAAAGATATTACTTCATTCTTAGAGCTTGCTCCATTTTATGCATTAGGCCTCCCTACGATGTAAAAAAATGTTATTTAAACATTTTTAAATAATATTGTAAATATAATTAATAATTTTCCATGTAACTCTTAAGAATCTAAAAATAAGCCTAAATCATTTGATGATTTGGTTTAAAATGAAAATCTTCCACTTTTGTAAGATCTTGTCAAAAAATCAAAGAGTTGCCAGGCCAGTCATCTCACTCAGATAACAAATCTAATAAGAGGTACACTTTGCTCAGTTTGTATTGGAGTTGATTAACTATCTGAATACTTTGACTCTGACTAAAACCTTTATGTCAGTTAAGCAAGTGTGAATGAGTTTTAAGATGCTGTAAATGAGTCTATAAGTTGTTTCTCTGATTTGGTTTCCTGGAATGGTAGTGACAGCGGCTAGCACAGCTTTAGAGATGTAGTTAATGAAATAATTAGCCATTACATTGATCCTGAATGCTAAAATAGAATGCAAGGTTACTTTTAAAACTTAGTAAATACTAACTTAAGTAACTCATCAAATTATTGCACCTTAGAGCAAATTTTTTCTATTGAAAATGGATGCTTAAATTCTCAAGATCTTATTTTCCAAAATACAGATTCTACAAACAGGATGAGAATATTGTAAAGCTCAAATTAATCAAGCGATTTTTCTGCTTCAGAAAATAATGGCTCAAATGTATTTATCAAAAGTCAGAAAACCAATATAGTTTGTAATGCTGATTGTGATGTTATTGCTTTTTTAGGAATAAATAAATTTTATTTAGGTTTTTTATTAATATTACTATTAATAGTTTGATGAGTAAATTTGTGTAATTCATGTGATAGTTAGTCATTTAATCAAATAAAAATTTACTTTTTAATTAATTAATTTTGATTCATTCTCTGGCTGGTTTTATTTGAAATTTTAGAATATAATTAAATTTAATAATAATTTAGTTGAATAGTAATTTAATTATTTAATGTTATTTTGATTTTTTTGAATGAATATTTTTAAATTTAATTAAATTATTACAAAACAAATTAATTAACAAATAAGAGCACGTAAACAAAGTGAAAGTTTATTTTAATTATGGTAATTAGGAGAATTAGAACGAAGGAAATAAGTAAGGATTAAAAAAATTGTAAAATTAATACTTTTTCAGAAATTAATTTATTAATGTCAAAATAATTTCTTTAAAAAATTTTGAATCTTAAAATTAATGAAATAAGAATAAATATTATAGCATATTAAGTTGTTTTGTATATAGGAGAATATTTTATCATTAGATTAAATGGAAAAATACAATCATTATTGGCTTGCTTCATATATGATAACTTCTCTTTCTTTTATTATGAAAATATATCTTAAAAATTTAAAATTATTAATTTTTTTATTATTTGTAATAATATCTAATATGAAGATATTTTTACTAAAATACTTTTTATATTAATAGAACTTTTATTAAAAAACAAATATAAGTTGAATTAATCAATCAATTCTTTAGAATTTCTATAAATTTAAAGGAGTTTCTTGCTTTAATTAAGATATATTTATTTGAAATCATATGAATGTAACTTTATTTTTAAATTAAAAAATAAAATGAAATATTTGTTAATTTTATTAATTTATTAGATTTTTATTGACTGTAAATAATTTTAGGGAATAAATTTAGTTAGCTAATAATTATTTTAAGCAAATTAAATTTCTTTTTTCTTTCATAGCTTCTTTATAAATGTCAGGAATAATTTATTTGTGGATATTATTTAATTTTGGGATAAACATATAATTAAAGTTTTAAAGGTGGGTTATTTTCGTTTGCATATCTAAATAAATTACTAATACTTGTTCTAATTTAATAATTCACACAAATTATGTAAGGATTTGATCATTTTAAAAATATTGTTTAGCTGCATTTAAATATAATTTTTTTATTAAAAATGAATTTACGAGCAAATTTATTTTGATACTTTTTCCATCTTCTGTTAATTAAGTATTGTGTTGGGTTAATTGTTTTATGTATCAAATACAAAATATACAAACTCATAAAATAATACTTGTAAAATTTGATTAGAATTTTTAATTTGTACCCAAATTATTAATCTAAAGAATTTCAATAATAATATTGTAAAAAAAATTTTAAAATCAAACACTTGAATATATAATACATATTGTTACTCTGATTTTGGGGTTTAGTAAGTAAGAAAGTCACTATTATTGTCTTTGTAATTACTTTAATTTTACAACTATAACAAACTAAATATTAACTAACTATCTTTCTGAATTTAAAATATCACCAAGTAAACTATAAAGTTACAATTTACTTAATATTTTGATTAAAAAATAATCTATTATAGAGGATATTAGATATATTCTATTTTATATTCATTTTATATGCTTTTTAGAGAGAAAAAACAAATTATGAATGAATTTATAAGTTAGTAAGCTCATATTTTTAGAATATGTCGTATTTCGATTTCTACTATAATTAGTATTTTTATAAGATGAAAGAATAGAAGGAAAACAATTAAAAGCAAGTTTATTAAAAAATAATATTTAATCTTGAAAGAATTACGTCTTATTTTATCGATTTTAAACTACAGCAAAATGTGGTAATTTAAAAAAGTGAACATTACACTAATAAATTTTGGTAATTCACGGGAGTTGCGAGTAGTGCGAACATGTTCGCTGTTCGCAATGTTCGCAACTCCCAGGAGAATTCATAAATTTTACATTAAACATGAAATAAGGATCAGATCTTCTTTTATAAATTAATTAATTGATAAAAAATTAAAAAATTAATCAACTCTTAAAACTTAGAATTTATCAGTATTAAATAAATAAACAAAAATAACAATATTTATACCATAGCAACAATATTTTAAATGGGTTAGAAATAGGGAAAATCAAAGTACACGCGTTAAAAAAAGCTAACTATGAATACCTCTTAGCTATTAAAAGATTTTTTTAAGGGAACTTCATATAAGTTTGAAAGATTTATTGAAGAAAATGAGTTTTAGTATATCGTTCAAGCTAAATCAAGCGAGCATCAGTGCCTTGTAGCTGTTAAAATTTTTAAGTATATGAATAATTTACAGTGCTTAGAAGCATATGAATTTGAAAAGAGTACATTGATGAAGACTAAAAATGAAAGATATGCACTATAATTATTGGATTGCTTATAAAACTTAGAGATTAATATGAGTGGAATAGTCATTGAATTTTGCGATTGTAACATATAGTTGATTCTTCTATGATAATAAAATAATTTCAAATATTTAACTTAGGCAGCCTTTCCGCAGTCTCTAGTTTGAATGCATTTAGCTTTTAGCAAGTTTTAGCACTTACATATCAACTAATAAGAGGATTATAAGTACTTTAATAGCATGGAATATTCCTTAAAGATGTAAATTCTGACAATATTTTATATAGCTGGAGAAAAAACAAATTCATAATTGGTAATAATTAATGCCATCTAAATATTATTAAATTGATTTTTAACAATAAATAGCTAACTTTTCTAAACAGCAAATGTAATTAGAAACTTCATTATTGTAGGAAGAAAAGGTAATTTGCTAATTATTAATTGTTTTTATATCTTCTTTGATTAAAAATTGATGTAATAACTTGTTTCTGATTTATAGAAGTTTAGAAAAAAATTAATATTGAAAGTAGATATATCTCACTATTTTGTTTATTTAATTAAAGAATGATGATGTTTTTTCTATTGGTCGAATATTAATCGAAGTATTTCTACAAAGATCTTTATAACCTCTTGAATGCAATAATCTCAAAACTTAATTTATTTTAGAAGCTATTCCTGAACTAGTAAATCATCAACACATAAACTTTGTCAAAGATATTTTAGCTAACATGGTAAATCCTAACTAAAAAGAGATATTTTAACCTGTTTAGCTCCTTCATACATTAAATAACTATCTAGTTGATGAATTATGCTTGTAATCTTTGATATTACCTGCTCTTTCGAGTGAAAATTCTGTATAAACTCTAAAAAAAATTAAAATAGAAAACTTCAATGACTTAAATAAAATAAAGGAATACTAGGATATCTCCATAAACTTACAGTAACTAAAAATTTTAATTACTCTTAATACTTTTCATACTAAGCACAATAAGTTATTCTGAAATTTGTTTTTATAAAATTTTATCTAAATTTGCATTTTTCTTAAATTAAAAAAAATTATTTACTCCGAAAGCAGTAATCAAGTTTGATTTAATTTTTTTTTCAATTTCAACATAAAAACTTTATCTAGAGTTTTTTTAATAGTTCTATTGATTTTTTTCTATTATGCTATTACCATTGTTTAATTTAAATTTTTATAATTTTGTTAAAACACAACAAAAAATTTCAATTAGCATAAATTTATCCTTTTTAATTAGAATATCCTTATTCATTAAAAATTAAAAAAAATTTATTTATTAGGAATTATAATATATTTTCTAAAGAGGCAAAAACGATTGCAGAACATATTGAAAAATGTAGTAGTGTTTCTAAGCTAACTCTTAATTTATTGTAAGTTTTTATGTTATCATATCATCCTTTTAAAAGACCAATTTATAATTATAGAGGTAATTATATTTTTGCAGGAGGAGCTAAAAAGATTGGAAGTAGTTTAGAAAAATGTGAAAACTTAGCATACTTAAATCTAAATCTTTAGTAATTAATTACTTTCAAAGAAAATCAATTATTATTTGTATATATTCTTGAATGAAAAAAAAATTAGAATTACATATTTTAAATCTGTTAGTTTGAAAATTAATTTATTATTTTAAATAAATTTCAAAAGAGGTAATCATATATAACCTGAAGGGGCTAAGAATATAGGAAGTAGTTTAGAAAAATGTCTAAATTTATGTTCATTGAATTTGAATTTGGTGTAAATATATTTTTTTATACTGATTTTGTTTTAATACTTATTAAATAACACAAAAGATTAAACGAACTTGGAGTTGAAGGAGCAAGAAATATAGGACTTTGTTTGGAAAAATGCTAAGGTCTTCATGAATTGCATTTAAATCTTTTGTAAAATAAATTTCTCTTTAAAATTCAAATAGCTGTCATAAAGTTATTAAAATTTATTGTAAAATCATTTTAGGGGAAATTATATTGGATCAGAGGGTGCTAAGTACATCGGAAACAGTCTGGAGAAATGTTAAAATATTACACATTTAGACCTTAATCTATAGTAATGAAATATTATAGAAAAAATTATAATATTTATTTTTTTAATTTTATTTTATTTAGGAGCAATTATTTGTTTGTAGAAGGAACAAAAAGCATTGGTATGAGCTTGCAAAGATGTTAGAATATAACAAATTTAAATCTTAATCTTTAGTAATTAATTATTTAATATTGTCTACTTGAAATTTTAAATTTTGAAAATCTAACAGATTAAATGAGCTTGGAGTGGAAGGAACAAAATACATTGCATAAAGCTTAGAAAAGTGCTAGAATATATAATTTTTGAGTCTTAATTTATGGTAATTTATAAAATTATTTTATTTAAAGAAATTTACTACTTAAATGAAAATTTTTAGTTAAGTAGAATTTAAAATTTATTTTCAAATTTTATTCAAAAAGGAGAAATTACATAAGCTCAGAAGGCATTAAGAGTTTAGGAAAGAGTTTGGAGAAATGCCAAAATATAACTTCACTAAATCTAAATTTGCAGTAAAATCAATTGTTTGTTTTAAAATATTTTGATCATTTAAAATTGACTAAATCAATACCAATTAAAAGTAGAATTTATCACTTTAAACTGAAATTATTTTGGAGTTTTTAGATATGTTTAACATTTGATTTAATGATCAACAATTTTTAATGTTTTTTAGATTATTTTTTAAAGTTTTTTATTCAAATATTTTCTAAAAAATATAAATAGGTTGAACGAAATATGCGATGAAGGGGCAAAAGGGTTTAGAAAAAGCTTATAAAATTGTTAAAATATAACATCTCTTTTTTTGAGTCTTCAGTAATTAAAATTTTAGTGTTATAAATTAAGATATTATATTTAATTAAATATTTGGAAATAAATTTATTAGGAGTAATTAGATAAATCAAGATGGGGTGAAAAATATTAGATACCTTTCAAAAAAGTGTTCAAAATTAGTAGAAGCAGCTTTCTATTTTTGATTAATGCATTTGAGTAATTTTAAAGTAAAAAAAAGAAGCACATATATGCTATAAAAAGTGTATTACAAATCAAACGAGTAATCTCTAGTATATAAATGACGTCTATATAAACTATATTTTATTTATTAATATAATAATTTATTGTTAAAAACTACTTTTATATTATATATATTTTTTAATTTGTGGATAATCATTCATTAAGTCAATTAATTGTTTTCATTCACAAACAAATATCAATGAAAATTTTGTTAGATTTTTAATTTGTTTTTTTTAGATTTTTTTTGTATTAGAGTTCCTTTGTTTGTGAGGTGTGTTCACCCAAGTGATCCTTCGCTTGCTTTTTTAAGATTATAAAAATAACATGATTATTATAATTATTATAATCGGTTGAAGGCGGAGGAGAAGTGGGAAAAAAAATAATAAGTAGGTTGTTTTTTAGTTTGATTGATTGTTTTTTTAAGCGTGAAGAAAGAAAGAAATCAGCGAGGGAAGGAAGGATTGTTTTTGGAAATGAATGCAATTTTGAATGATATATGAATTTTATAAAGTGGGAAAAAGAGATAATTTTGTAAAAATTGATGGTGATTTAAATTTATTGAATAAAAGGGTATTTTAACAGGCGCGAGGACAGAAGTTATTAAGAAAATAATAATATTAATTAATATTAAAGAAATAAATAAGTATAAGAAATGAGAGAAAAGTGGAGAAAGAAGAGAATGAGAAGACTAAAAAGAAAGAGAAGAAGACAAAGAAAGTGAGCAACTTGGTGTCTGATTCTTGATCGATTCAGTCTATTGAAAGAGCACGAAGAATCCATAACCTCTAGAGAAATACATTCTTCTTAAAACTAATACAAACATCATGAAATTAATTATTATTGCTCATAAAATATAAAAAATATTCATACCAACTTTAAACTTGATATGGTATTTTTAAGTATTAATTTGTGTATTATTTATAGGTTTTGTATCACCATTGGCTTATATATTTAATACCTTAAACACACATTCCCTTTTGCATGCAAGCGTACTTGTTTGTTTTGTTTTTACTTCTATTAAAACTTCGTTTTTTTATATTTATAAATCAATCAGTGCTTCCTTCAATTACGCACGCAGTAGAAGAAGAAGGAGAATATCTTTCTCCTTTGCATAAATAAATAAAAAAATAAACAAATAAACAAAAACTAAAACACTCTAATTCTGATTTATTAATTAAGCTTATCTCAACTTTTTACTACTATAAACCCCTTCATTATGGTATTTGCAATAATTTATTCTGTGCATATCTTATTTATCGCACTTGTAAAGGTCTGATTTTTCCTCCTCTTAAACCTACCACCCAATTTATAATCATAGTTATTTTATAATGAAAAGTAAAGAAAAAATTATAAATCTCTTGAGGAAAATTTAATAAGATCTTAACAGGCAAATATTTTCAACTTTATTCCTTTGTAGAAAAACAAAAAAAAACTAGCAAGCAAGCAAGCAAGAAAGTTAGGTATCAATCAAGAAAATTCTTATAAAATGAATAGAAGCAAATGGAATTTAATTTTAGAAAAAAAGAAAACATGCTCCAACAAATAAATTATAAAAATAGAGTTTTTATAAATTAGGAGAATTTGTTTTATTTAGTAATTCTAAATTTTCTAATTATAGTTCTTGTCTATTTTTTAAAATCCAATTTTCTCTTCTTTTTTTTCATCATTTTTTCTTATGCTTAGTGAAACTTAGCACATTTTTCAAACTTAACAGAAAAAATCAAGCGAAATAAATCTAGAATTATTTTAGCCGAGTTTAAGAATTCTCATTCCTAAATATGTTTAAGTAAAGTTTATACCATGATGAGTTTCAAATGTATTTATCGAACTATTTTAGTTCATTTTTTAATTCTATGCTTTATCATAGAAGAAATAAACATTATTAGAAGTTCTTCGTATAAATTAGAAAATTGTATGGTATTTTAAAATTACTTAAGTCAAAAAATATATTAATAGATATATTAGAAATGATATTTAAAAACATTTAACTATTTCATATTTAAATTTAAAATGCTTTCTCAAAAAATTCAAAAGATTTCAATAGACGTGGCTTTATTTAAAATAAAGAAATCAATTATTTTTAGTAAGCTCTTTTGAAATTTATAATATCATAGAATTTTTTTATTATTGGATAATTAATGCATAATATTAGCATCTATCTATCTACTTATTCAGAATGTCTTATTTTTAATAAAAAACTTTATTTATCTTCTAATATAAAAATTTTGTAAACATTAAAACTTAATAAATTTAAATATATCATAGAATAAAAGTTAAAATATTAGAAAGTTTTACTATTTATGTATTTTTAATAACTATAACATAAATCTTCCATACAAATATACTAATCAGTGTACGGTGAATATGGTTTTTAAAGTTTTTTTGATTTTTAACATTCAAATACACTAATATATACGATTCTATGAGAAGTAAATCGAAGAATTGCAGTATTAACTTAATAAAATATTAAATTATTTTTATAGATGTAAAAATTTTTTAATATTAAAGATATTTAAATTTTGGATTGTATTTTTTAGCTTACTATGTTAGAGATTAGGTTTATGAAATATGTTTATTAAAATAGTGTATTTTTTAAATGTAACATATAATTTTAGTTAAAATATTTGAAAGCTTTACAATTTATATATTTTTATTGATTAATTATAAAATTTATTTACTTTTTAAAATAATTAATTATTTTTATGGATGAAAAAATTGTTTAAATTAAAGATATTTTCATTTTAATTTATTCTAATCGTTGACTGATTAACTGTCTGATTATTATTTTAAAAGTTTATGAAGTTTAATTATTAAAATACAGCACTTTTTAATATCATGAGAAATTATCAGTTTCAATAACATGGTTATTTATTCTCCAATAATAGAAAAATTTATTAAATTTTCACAAATTAAATCATTTTAAAGAAAGTTTTTAAATTAAATTTTTTTGAAATAAATAATCAATTTTTTTAATTACTTGCACAATTTTGGTTTTTATCCAGTTTGTTTCATTTATTTTAAGATACAAAAAATTTAATATCTCCTACTTAATTATTAGTTATACCAACTGTTTTAAATACTTCAGGCATCCACAACTTAAATTATTTTATACTATTGTTTGTTATAGAAAGAAAATTGTACTACTATTCAAATATCATGGTAATGTATATGATCATGTAATAGGCAGATAATGCAGGTGAAGAAGTTTAACTGCAGCTTACATTTGTTAAACTCCAATTTAGTATTTAGAAATTTTTCATGCATTTAACAGAATATTCTTTTTCTAGATATTTAAGGATATTTAAAGAAATTGGATTTTTTATTGGGTTTTTATGAATGTTTGAAATATCTGATTGATTATCTGAGTTATTTAAGCTATTTTATTTATCAGCACTCACATAATCTAGGTTAAGGTTTTTTAAAATGGGAAAGTATATTATTTGTCTCACATTTATATCTACAACTACGAGGGTGAAAAGCTACGGTTTAGAAATCTTTATAGGAAATATCAATTTATCAAACTCATCAAAAATTGTATGCTTGTTCATAAAATTTTTCGTGTAATTGCTGACCTCTTAGTAATTCAGTTGATGCTGTTTAACAAGAGGACTATTTTATGTTAGTTCAGAATAAAAATTAACAGGGAATAGCATAATTCTGTTCTCATCTCTTGTCATTATGCTTCTTGAATTTTCTAGATAGTACTTTTCCTCAAGATAGCCTAATAAAAAATTAATAACATTTTCTTCAAGTCTGTCTTAAGTCAAAGCATCTACCAAATTTTTTTTAGTTACAACTGCATTATATCTCTGGGCTATAATATCTGATTATTTATTTTCTTTCTGGTTTTTTTTAAAAAGTGGATCTTCTTGTAAGCTATTTAGATTGATCATGCTATTATTTTTTAATATTTATCCATTTTTAGAACTATTTTAATTGACAATCTTTTAGTTAAATTGAGGTACTACTTGCGAATTTTGTAAAGAACTAGCTTGATTATTACTTAAAATTGAATTTTTCATAGGATCTTTTTATTACTAAAAGAAAGGGTTGTTTGAGAACTTACTAGGCAAGCCTAATCCTGACAATAAATAATTTTATAACTCAAGATGCATAGAGTTTTTCATTTAAGAAATTTCATAATCAGGTGGACCATGGTATGAATTCCTGTATATCGACTATAAGCTCTCGTACTAATTCATGGCATCGTATTTTTGCATGTACTCTTAGAACCTGCTATCTATCTTTTTTATTTCACTCTCGAATCTCATCTCTAAATCTTTTCTTTCTTCTACATCATAGTCTAAAATATCATTGAGTATCTTTTATTTTTCTAGCAGAGCATCTAAATTTCCAGTTGCATTTTCAAGCATTCTTTATTTTAATATTTTTTTAAGATCTTGCACATTTTTTGTCTTTAAACCATTCTATTATGAGTTAGTTTCACTTTAATCATCCTCATCACCATCAGTTTCTTCTTCTTTTTTACTTATATTCTTTGATTTTATTCCCAATTATTGCTTCAATCTCTATAGGGCTTGTCTATTAATTCATAAAAATTATTCTAATTAATTAGTTCTTATGTAATACTTTAAAGATTAATAAAAATGCTTTTTTTTAAAATACAAATTAAATAAAGAAATTTATCATTAAATTTATCTAATGAATAAGTTAATTAAGCATTTTACTAAACAATTGGACTTTCTTGAATATCTTTGTTATCTGGCGAGTCAAGGAAAGTAATTATATCAACAACTTTATCCTAAAAGTTCCTTAATTATGAAGGTTATTCATTCTTTTCTTAGTATAGATGCTTATGCTCTTCAGGTATAAGAACTGGCTAATTATGTCTTTATCTGAGTCCCTTTTTGAATTATTTTTTTAAATTCCAAAGTGAATTAAGCTCTTCTTCTGCTTAATTGTATTTTTTCAATGGCAGATTACTTTTTTAATTTGCTTATTACTGAGGTAAATTCCATATATTTTTTAAGTTTTCATTTACAGATTCTTAGTAAGAAACATCCAATTACTAATACTGTTATTATTTATTTGGTTTTACTTTTAGTTCATTTCTATAATCAAATGATTCTTACAAGTTGCTATATTATATAAAATATTTTAATAAAATTATAAGGCTTTAACGTAAACATTCTATTTTGTTCAAATTTATTTTTGGGGAAAGCTTACTTTTGAAATTCATTCTTTTGATTTACATAAAAATTAAAAAAACTTTTTAGAATTTCAAAGAAACCTATCAATTTATATAAATAAATTGAGCTATTTTATAAGAAAATAGTAAGTTGCTTTTTATTGATAATAAATTATTTACTCTTAGCTTGTATTTAGATTATTTTGGTGCATAGGTATTACTTTAGTTTTCTATCTCCCTTTGTTCATAAAAATTGTAGGTTTTCTTGAATTTATTTTATTATTAGAAGTTATAAGCATTGAATCATTTTAGCTGTCATCCACTCTGTCATCGTATTACATTTTCTTATAACTTGCTTGACTAAGACTTCTATTTTAATTGTTTGATTTTGATTATTTTTCTTAAAGTGTTTTATCAAGTATAATATCTTCTTCCTCATTCATATTATTTTTAAAGCCTTTTTTAGTAACTTACTGGCTTTCTTGCATATCTTTTGTTTTCAATATGAGCCAATCAAGCCTTATTTTAAGTATTTCTTTCTCTTTTGCACTAAAATCTAACCTCTCAAGCGGAACACCTTGAATTAACTTATAAAGTAAATTTACGATAAAATAAGAGCCATCGCAATCTACATTAACATTTTGCTGAAGTACTCTAATATCATAATCTGCTATGTTGAATCTGAACTCTGCTTATATAATTTCATTTAAAACTTCTAACTACTCTTAGCTATCAATTTTATCTGACTTTTTAAAATCAAAGAATTATCCTATTTTTTACTACTTATTTATATAAATACAACACCACCTTCCAAGGTCCATAACCATAAGTATTATCTCATTGAATATTTCATCTATGTAATTTGGTAGGAATAGATATTGCTAAAAAGATTCCATAGTATCGTATTCTAAATTTCCATTTTCATCATAAGATTTAATGTTTATGAAACCCATATAAAGCTTTTTACTCAGCTCTTCTCCTTTGATAAGATTTTCGTTTTGCAAATAGTTCAAAAAGAACACCATCATCCTTCTTGAAATATTATTATTTACAAATAGCTCATCAGTATCTTCATATTAAAGTTAGATGCTCAAAATCTTCATAAATACGTCTTTATTATTGTAAACTGAAGCTAGATATTTCTTCTATAATTTTTCATATTCCGGCCCATCAAACAGAATTAGTTTGGGCATATCCATCCGAATTTTATCACGTATTTCATTATCGTATTCCATTAATTTTTTGATATTAATAAATTTACTGTACTCGAATTTATCAATTATAAATATTAAAAAATAAAAAGCTATTTAATTATTACAAAAAATGCAATTTAAAGTTCCTTATTCAAATCTAATAAGAAAATGTAATATAATATTCAGTTTTTGCAACCTATCATAAGTATCATCTTAATCTAAAATATTACAAAAATTGCTCTTAAAAAAGTAATTATTAAATGAAAGAATTATTTTAATCAAAAAAATATATTCATTTATATTTAAATTAAATTTAGTTCTTTAGATAAACCACCCAATATTTTATTATAAAATACCCAAATCTTCATTTATGAAGACATAAATAAATGCTTGCATAATGAATTTGAAATTAGAAATATATTTCTATATAATATTAAAGTAAGATTCTTTAAATTAATTTATAATGATCTAGAATATTACAAATTAATGAAATAACTAATATTATATTAAATTAACCACAGTTAATTAAATATTTCAAATCAGGTAATTAATCTCCCATTATATTATTGTTTCAATATTCAAATATTCTTGCTTAACTATACACTAACAGAATTCAGTAAAATAAATCAAAAGAGTTTGTTTTTCTTATTTATTCAAGTTTTATTTTCATTCATTTCATAATAGTTTCTTGAAAACCTTAATCTATTGATTCAGTTCTGTCTTCTTTATTCTTTTAATTTGTTTGTATGTATGTCTATTTATTAAATCATTCTATTTAATAGCATTTTAATAATATATATGCCTTAAATCTTCTGATTTGAGAGGCTCAAAAATCAAATATTGTTTTTGAGTTAATAGTTAGGATGACATATTATGGGGATTTACAGTATATTAAAATAAAAACCTTGTATATTCAATTATTAATTTAACTTATAAAAAAGTTAAAAGTATATTTATTAAAAGTTTGTTTTACTTATTTATTCAAGTTTTGTTTTCATTCATTTCAATTGTTTCTTGAAAACCTTAATCTATTGATTCAGTTCTGTTTTCTTTATTTGTATGTCTATTTATTAAATCATTCTATTTTATAACATTTTAATAATAAATGTGTCTTAAATCTTCTGATTTGAGAGGCTCAAAAATCAAATATTGTTTTTGAGTTAATATTAGTTAGGATGACATATTATGGGGATTAATTAACATTATATTAAAATAAAAACATTGTAAACTCAATTATTTAATTTAACTTATAAAAAAGTTAAAAGTATATTTATTAAAAAGTAAATTTTATAATTGATGCTCTTATTGATTATTTACTAATATTATTATGACTACTTTAAAGTTGAATTTATATAGGTCTGAAAGTAAATTTAGATTTTATAATATAGAATTGAATTTTAATTAGCGTTTTGATCTATTTCTAAATTTGATAATGTAATTTTAAAATGAAAAAGATTAAACATGAGTTATTTTACCTAGAAAAATGATAATTTTATATTTTGCTAAATAGCTGGTGATTAAATCTAACAGAGGTATGTTAGTATCATTTAAGAATATAATGATACCGACTATTTGCTATCTCTAAACAAATAAAAAAGAATTAAACAGTAAAGGGATTGGACTTTAATTTAAATTATTAGAAGAAAAACAAGTGTTGCGTAATTAAATTAATTCACATTTTCTTTGAAAAAAGATATTTATTTATTTACAAATTATATTTATTCATTTATAATTAAGCTAAAGCACTAAAATTGATCAAACTAAATGGGAAACTAGGAAATCAAAGGAAGCTTAGGATAAGGCTAGGGTTATAGAGTAATATCAGTTTCAGATGGTTCTCCTTGCCATTAGGCAGGTAGTAGTTTTTATTTGGATTAGGACTTAAAAATAGCATAAATTAATTAATAATTTAACAAATAGGAATTAATTTCTTTACTGATTTTATCGTTGACATTATTCCTGCAGGATAAAATAATGAGGAAAATGCAGATGATAACAATATTTTAGAATTTAATGGAGATGGATAGTATGTGGTTGATGAAAAGAAAGATTTTTTTTAAATTGTTTCTGAACACGAAAATAAGCAGCTTAAAATGGTTATATATGATATTTTGCAAAGAAAGATTAGAATAGTGAAAGTAGTGCCTAATAAAGATTGGTCTAATCAACAAAATTTGCTTGGTGTTATGCTAAGATTAGAAAACTACTTAAATTCCCATGATAACACATTTAAAGTAGTAACCGTAATAATAATAATAATTTGTTTACTTTTTTTGATAAAGAGAAATTACCATATTTTTTTTGTATTTAAAAACGATAATCTAAAACATATTTTAAAAATAAAAATATGAAAAGGTTGATGAAAACAGTCCTGCTAAAATTGCAGGCTTATAAGCAAAATAAGATTACATAATAGGATTAAAGAAGTACAAGTATGAAGGATTGGATGAGTTAATTAATATTATATTTGATAATGAAGGCTAAGAAATAGAGTTAGTAGTTTTCAACATTAGCGATAAATCAGTCAGAAGCGTTATGCTTAAACCCTAAATGAATTGGGGTGGCAGAGGATTGATCGGGTGTGAATTTGGAGGTGGTTATTTAAATTAATTACCTGTTATTTTAGATGAAGCTGCTGAGCTTTAAAGAATGGAAGAAGAATAAAAAAAATTAGACTCGCTTAACAAATTTATTCATAAGAGTGATCCACCAGCTCCCAAATAATAGCTTTCATCTGATCCTCCACCCACTAATATTCAAGTTTAGTAAGAATAGTAACAACCTTCTCAAAGTGGATCCAAAATTGTTGCCCATTAGCTTCACTAAATTAATATACTTAGAGCTAAAAAAAATTCTCACCACGAACATGTGGAAGTAGTTCATAACAAAGATCCATTTGCAGTTTAAAGAAAGTATTCGAATGATATTTAATAGTAAAATGAAGTGAAAAGTGTTGATACATAAAATTAAAATGTAGAATAAAACAACAGAAGAAATTCATCTTCCTAGTTTAATTAAAGCTAATAAAATGGTTAACAGTAGGAAAACAGATAGGTTTCAAAGTCTTTAACTAGCCAAAGCATTCAAAACAATAATATAAATCAAGCTCAAAATCCAGAATAATTTTCATCTAATATATTGGAGAGATAAAATGAAACCAAAGAAAAAAGCAAATCTTAGACATTTTAATAACAATAGTAAGTTGTGTTTTAAAATGATGAACTAATAAATTAATCAAGAAAAGAATCTCTTAGCAATAGGCAATACGAATTTGAGGTTCCAAATATATAGAAAAAATATATAATTATGGAAAAAGATTTATTTAACTTAAAAATCAAATTACAAAATTAGCAATTAGTTATATGAAATTAGAAATATGTCAATATATATTTTATTTATTTATCATCAATATTAAAATAATTTATAATTATTCAATTCAATATTCAACAAAAGTGAATAACATATTTTTTAACTTCTTTTCTGAAGTTTTTTGTGCCTTTTTTAGTGAATCACAAATAAAAAAGTAGTTAAATTATTTATTATGTAAAAAGTAGCTGATATTTAAAGAAAAGATTTTTATTATTATTATTATTATTATTATTTAAAAATAGAACTAAATATTTATCTTTTATAAAAGTAAATAATCAACGAGAAATTATCTGCTAAAAAAAAAATATTTTTTTTCTAAGTACATTTTTTAAAAAAGATGAAAATATTTATCTTGCAAAAAATTATATTCAACCAATAATATATTTTAATAAATTATATTTTTTTATGTTATTAATTTTGTTAGTTAATTGCACTTATTTTATACCGTGGTTTCTCATATATTAAGGACGCCATATATTAAGGACTTTTTTCAATAAATTGTGAATTAAGGACTAAATTTGATCAAAAGTTTTTATTTGAATATGTCCTTAATATATGAGAAACTACGGTAATTTATTTTTTAAAAGGTTTATTACATATTTATAATATAAAAAAAATTTACAAACTATTCAATATAATTTCAACAATCAAAAATAATTCAATTTTTTAATTTTTAAAAATTATTAGATGTAAAAAAAAAATTTATTTTTTATAAAATAATAATTGCATTTTAATTACTGTATTTTTTTAATTATTTAAACGAATTTAAATACGAAATTAATTAAACATTAATTTTTAATTATATTATGAAATCAATCAATCAATTATAAATTTTAGGCAGATATTAAATATTTAGTTTGCTATGTTAATTATATTTTTTAGATTCAACTAATCAATTAATTTTAGATACCTCTTTTAGGATTTATACTGTATCCTATTCCATATGAAACTGAAGTAATACCTTGGGATTGATACAAAATTTAATTTTCTTCATCTTAATTATGTAAATATTTTTAATTGTTACTTGGTAATTATTTGTTCATATTTCTCATAATTTTTTATGATTAGTAATTAGAATTTATTTATTTTATATTTTAAAGTTTGATTATTTGTATTTTTTACAGCTGTTTCTGAATTTAGTTAAAGTTATTATGAGGAAAGAATTTCGTAAAATGGCAAATCTTATCAAACTGCTAGAAAATTAAACTATAATTGTTTATAGAGGTGCTCATCTGATGGTTATCAAGGTAGCTAGAAGTTTCAGAATTATTTTAATTTTAAATAAAAGGTATTGATTAAATTATTTAATTTAACTTCATATCGTAGATTTATTTAAGGCTCAACTGATCTATTTTTTTTAAATTGTTAAAGCTTGCCATATCTTTAATCACCACATTAATACTAGGATCCTTTATTTATTCATAATAGTATTAGAATTTTTTATCTAATTCTTCATTATCATATGATGACGATAACTAGCTCCAGATTTTATCTAATCCATTCAGACTTATACTTGGGATAAATGGTGAGGGTATATTGCTATCATTACTCAAAGATTTATAAATATCTTTTACTGAAGATAGTAAAGACTATTTTTAACTTACTCTATCCAAGCTTTCATTCTTACTTTTTCTCTTTAACTAATCTTCTTCAAATGTTATTCTAGTAAAATCAGAATTAATTCTTGGTAATTAATTAGCCTAATGAACCTATTCCTTTATTCTATTAATTTAAATATATTTTAAAATACTCACTATTAACATAGTTGCATGAATAAAATGACAATTAAAAGATCCAATAAAAATTAGATGAAAATTTTTTATTATTAATTTAAATTAAAATATAAAAAATTATAGAAATTATTGAAATTACAAATCACTCTGTTTTAAAAATAAATAAAATGCAAAAAAAAAACTAAAATTGTTTCAATTTCATAAAATTTTGTTTGAAAAAATTCTGTAAATATTTTTTTAATTTACTTTTTTAAACAAAAATTATTAAAATATTTTTATTTTTTAAAAAAGTGATTTATGTTTTTATAATTTACATTTCCGATTAAGTATCTTAGTTGTTTGCAATGAAGTTAGGAGATTGCAGGATACTGTGAATAGAGATATTACTTTAATCCTATTCTTTCAAGTAGACTTATTGAAGCTAATAATCTTTATCTGTATGATTTATATCATGTTTCTTGCTACTGACTGATTTTATGCTTCTAGTTTTCTACAATTTTGGAGAAATTTCTTCAGCGCACAAGATATTTTCATTGATTATGCTGTTATTATAATTATTATTTTAATTTTCATTTTTTTTTTTCTATAAAATTTGAGTAAATTAATCATCATCTTCGTATTCATCTTCTTCTGGTTCTGTAGAATATAAACTCTATGGAATATTTAAATCTATCAATAACTTCTTTAAGATTTCTCTGTTTGCTTTTATGTTCAATCTATTATGAAAAGTTAAATATTTATGCTTATAAAATAATATAATTTTCTTTTATTTTACAAACAGTTAACTCTTGAGTTTTTGTTGGTCTTTCTAAAAAAGAGTTTTCTTTAATTTATATGCTCAAATCTTTATCTTAAAAAAATAAACTGCTTATCAAATTGAGGCTTCAGAATTGAGCACTTATCTACAGTATGTCCTATTTGCTAGCATCCAAAGCACTTAACTTTAATGCATTTCAAGTCATTCTAAAATAAGATTAGCTCTTAAATCAGCTTTTATCTTTCATGGTCTTTTTGTTTTGACTAAATTACTTCAAGGAAATCTTACCTTGTAATTTTATATGCTGTAGAGAAATTTACACTTCTAGCGGATGCAGAGCGAGTCTTTCCTGAGAAAAAAGAAATCTCACCAAAGCATGAATTTTTCTATAAGCTAGCTACTACTCGTTCAGTATTATGAAAAGCTTGAAAAATTTCAACTATTCCATCAGTTATTAAGTAAACCGATTAGTCATCAAGCTTTCCTTCTTCAAAGATAGTCTCATTTGGATTGAATATAACTTTTTTCATTTTATTAATTAGCTCGTTGTTTGTCGATTAAGAAAATATATGAGTATAAAAGCTCATCTTTTAAAATACTTTAGAGTTTATTCCTTATATTATTTCATCTTACAATTTTTTTGGTAAGTTTTTTATTGCTTGTTATTCTTATTGTAGATCTTCATTCCTCTATTTTTATTTTACACTTAACATGTAATGCTTAACTCTTTATTATAATTGCCCATCAATATTGTTTTTGTACAAAAGTCTATTCGAAAATAATTTAATTAAAAAAGTAAAAATTTAGTTTTGAAAAAATAAATAAAAGCTGAAGAAGAAAATTTTACTTTAATTAATTACAATAAAAAATAAAAAAAACAAGTTTTTTTGATGAATTAATTTTATTTAAAGCAACTCATTTTTAATTGATTTTTGGTTCAATTAATAAAATTTAATATAATCATTGATTTTAATGTAAAAAAATTTACCTAGTAAGTACCCTAACACTTTTTTTATATTTGTCTTAATCTTTCTTACTATCAAATATACATAGAAATACTGTAAAAATTGAAAAGAATAATACAGAACCAAGGATAATTGTTAAAGCACTTCCATATACTAATTCAATTTTCGTTTAAGGTTTAAATAAATCGCTTCCAGCTAATTAATATTAATTAAAAATTTCATATTATTTAATAAAACTCTTGTGACAAACTAAATTACAATGCATGAATTACGTGATTGACCAATAATATGTAATCAAATATTAATCAATGTGGTCTTTGTTAGAAAAATTCAAATTTGATAGCCAAGTAGTATTATATCCCATTTTAGTTTCTATGTTACTCAAATATATCAACGAAACAGTAACTTATTTAGATTAAATATAATATTTTTAAATATATTATAAAAATTAAATAATTACCTAAATGCGCTACTATGAGATCGTAGATTAAAATTTTAGAAATGTGGAAAAATTGTTGCTGCCATTCTGATAAATTTAAATAATCAACAAGTCTTGAAATTTTGCAAAATTTGAGAATATATAAAAAAATAATGATGAAATCAAGAATAATCTGTAAATAACACAGATTTTGAACCTAGTAATTGTAATTTAAGAGCAGTAATTAAATTGATAAAGAAGTAATACAAGCTAAATCAAAAATAAGACTTTCCTTGATATATTAATCTTAGATGATTTCTTTTTCAGCAATAATTTAATCATGAGTATATATTTCTGTGTTTAGATTAATTAAACTATCACCAAACAAAAAGCAGAAGCACAATAAAAAAATCAAATTTCTTTAATTGTTGTCAAAAATAGCAAAACTAAAAGCTGAATCGATAGAATATAAGAATATAAAGGCAGTAGAAAACAACAAATACAAAGAGTTCCACACAAGAAAAACTTTTTCTGTCCTTTAAATCAATCTTTAAAACGTGAAGAAACTTTTGATAAACATTTTCAAAATTTTAAAAAGTTTCCCATAAAGTGTTTCGCTTAGTTCTTTTTTTTAAGCATCCTCGCAAAATATCGATGCATCGTTGATATAATTTTAGCATCCAAGCAAGAAATATTTAGAATGCATTTAAAATGAGGGTATTCTCAGTAAATAAGAAAACTTTTTAACTAAATTCATAATATCTGATTAAACAGTTTGTTGTTAATTTGCATTTTTACATTTTAAATTTTATGATTTATTCTCTCTTATTATCTTGTTATTCGGAGTACATGTTGAATGTAAATTGTTTTATTCCTCAGACAAAGAGGATAGTTTGGATAATTCAGATTTTTATTATTTGCTAAAAGTGATAGAGTCTTGTTGCTTTTTCTAATAGAAATTGTTGTCGATATTTAATTTAGTAGAATTAATTTTTTATTAAAGATTATCAATCTTCTATATTTTTTATGTATTATTGCTCTCTGGATAAAGATCAAACTCCTGCTAATTAGGGTTTTGGATACAATTTTAAGTTCCCGCTTAATTATCAGAGATAACATTTGCAGACAAGTTGTTGCCTTGTTTTTCATTTTAGCTATTTTTATTTGCTTTTATTATTAAATCTAAGGGCAACTATCCTTAGTTTAGTTTAATAGGAGTATTACAATTTTTAGTGAAAACATCTGACTATGTATAGTTAGAAATGCAATTCTTAAAAATAATATCATGGGTGAATTCAGGCAACATTTTTTTATTTTAAGGATACAAATCATAAAATCGTGTATCTCCTACGCTAAATACATCATCTTCAGTGTATTTTTAACATTAATTTGTGTCATTCAATACCATCTCAGATAAATAAATTTATTTATCTTTAAGCTAGCTACTATCAGGTTCTTGGATCTTATCTTCGTCACCTTTATGTCCTCCCTACTAAATAAAGCTGTTATTATCTAGAAACAAAAGCCCTTAATATGGTTTACAATTGAATCCAGACACTTCTTAAACTTTCATGTTAAAAAATTTCTATTTTTGATAATCCATTTCGATTATGTAAATTTATATTCTTAGATAAGTGAAATTATCTATTTTTTGATTTAATCAAAATTCTTGTCTTGATATTATTTCTTTTTATCATATGAGTTAGCTTCAATTTTTAAATCAAAAATATAAGAAGTAAAAATGCTTCTAACAACACTAAAATTTTGTCTTTAATTACTATATTAAGCAATAAAATAGATTGATACTTTAAACCTTTTACTTTAAAAGCTATTGACTAAAAATCAATTTTTTAATTACCTTGTTATATTCATATTTTATCGAGTTTAATAATTATTAAAAAATTTAATTTTTCTCTAATTTTTAGCTTATCATAGTTAAGATTGCCTGATTTTAAAATGATTAAATATTGAGACATTTTAAATCCAAAGTTTGCGCTTTTTATGTTTAAGCATTATAAAAATGGTATGCCAAATTATAAACAAATATTGTCTATTACATTCTTTAACTAGTTTTTCCACACGAAGTTATTTATAAGAAATATAACGATAATAGATCATTAATATTTATAGTAGACGTAATTCTATTAAAGCATAGTAAAGACATTATCTGTATTTCAGAATGATCTGTGATAATAGGTAAATGGGTAAATTATTTATAAATATTATGCATTTATTTCTTTTACTTATATTATAGAAACATCAAAAATTATAAGATTCATATTATTAGGAGGATTAATGAGGTTAAATTTTATATTTATTGTTTATTGAAAGAAAAACAATAAACTAGAAAAACTTTCTGATAAATTATTTTCCAAAAAAGATTTTATAAAATTAAAAGTTGGTTATTATTTATGAAAATAAAAATATATGAAAATGTTCTAAGAAGTATTATAAAGATCCTCTTTTGATTATAAATACTAAATTTAAATTGGTAGAAATAAGAATACATTTTTACTTCTTTAAATTCAATATTTTGAACTGGAAAATACAAAATCTTTTAAATGTTTACTTTCTATTTTTTAATATTTGTGAGATTTATCATTTTTAATTTATAGAATTTGTATTTTTAAAATATTTACTAAATCAAGAAAATTTTAAACTAATAATAATTATATTTCATCCTAAATTAAATAATCTTTTATAGTTTTTATGAAAGGCTGAAATAGCATAATCTCAAATAATTTTTCAATTTGAGAAGCATCAACCTATTATAGTCAATGTAAGATAAAGTTTTATCTTACTAATCTAATATTAGTAATTTAAATTTAACCTATTTATAGTTGTTAAATAATTTATTTATTTAAGGTGATAAAATGACCCAATGAATATATATATAAATAAAAATAAATAAATTATAAAAATTTGGGTTATAATGGAAAAAAAATTATAAAAAATTGACTTGAAAAATTCTGTCTATCCACACTTTTCATATTATATAATCTTGAATTAAATTATATAATCAATCAATTATAAATTAATATTTAAGCAGATTTATTAAATTTTTAATTTTCTATTTTATTTATATTTTATTAGATTCAACTGATAATCATATCTATATGCCTCTTTTGGGAAATATGTTTTTTATACGGTATCCAATTCCATATGAAATTGAAGTAATCCCTTGAGATTGATATAAAATTTAGTTTTATTCATTTAAATTATGTAAATTTTTTTAATTGCTACTTGATAATGATCTGTTTAAATTTGTCATCAATTTTGATGATTAGTAATTAGAATTTATGTATTTTATATTTTAAAGTTTGATTATTTATATTTTTTACTGCTGCTTCTGAATTTAGTTAAAGTTATTATGAGGAAAGAACTTCGTAAAATGGCAAATCTTGTCAAACTTTTAGAAAATTAAATTATAATTTTTTATAGAAGTGCTCATTTGATGGTTATCTAGGTAACTAGACATGTCAGAATTACTTTAATTTTAAATAAAAGGTACTGGTTAAATTATTTAATTTAATTTAATATCCTAAATTTATTTGAGGCTCAACTAATCTATTCTTTTTATATTGTTAAAGCTTGTAATATCTTTAATAATCACATTAATACTAGGTTCATTTATTTATTCATAATAATATTAGAATTTTCTATCAAATTCTTCATTATTATATGATGACGATAGCTGGCTACAGGCTTTATCTAATATATCCAGACTTATACTTGGCATAATTGGTAAAGGTATATTGTTTTCGATACTCAGAGATTTATGAATATCTTTAAATGAAGGTAGTAAAGACTATTTGTAACTTACTCTGTCTGAACTTTCATTTCTATTTTTTTTCTTTAACTAATCTTCTTCAACTGTTATTCTAGTAAAGTCTGAATTAATTCTTGGTAATTAATTTGCTTAATGAGCCTATCCCTTTATTCTATTAATTAAATATATGTTTAAATACTCACTATTAACATAGTTGCACGTATAAATACTTTTAAAAGACTATTAAAAGATATAATAAAAATAAGATTATAATTATTTATTGATTATTTAAATTATTAAAAATTTTTGAAACTATGAATCATTCTTTTTATAAAATAAAATGCAAAAAATAAAATAAAATTGTTTCATTTTCTTTGAAAAAAATCTTCATTCATCAAAATTTTATAATATTTAATTTTATAACAAAAATTATTTAAAATAAATGCTATTTTATTTTTAAAAAAGGGATTTTTGTTTTTATAATTTACATTTCCGATTAAGTATCTTAGTAATTTGCGATGAGTTTAGGAGAAGACAGAATACTTTGAATAGAGATATTACTTTGATCCTATTCTTTTTAGTAGAATTATTGAAGCTTACAATCCTTATCTGAAATATTTATTTCATGTTTTTTGCTACTGATAGATTTTACACTTCGATTTTTCTACAAATATGGAGAAAACTCTTCTGCGCACTAAGTATTTTCAATACTCCTGCTGTTATTATTATTATTGCTTTGGTTTTCATATTTTTTTTTCTATAAAATCAATGAAAATGAATCACAATCATCATATTCTTCTTCTTCTAGTTCTAGTTCTGTGGAATATAAGCTCTATGGAATATTTAAATCTATCAATAATTTCTTTATGGCTTATCTGTTTACTTTAATGTTCAATCTATTATGAAAAATTAAATATTTATTTATAATAATAAATAATATTATTTTATTTTACATGCAATTAACTCTTGAGTTTTTGTTGGTTTTTCTAAAAAACTGTTTTCTTTAATTTATATGCTCAAATCTTTATCTTAAAATAATAAACTATTTATTAAATTGAGGCTTCAGAATAGAGCACTTATCTACAGTATGTCCTATTTACTAGCATCCAAAGCACTTAACATTAATATAATTCAAGTTATTCTAAAACAAAACTAGCTCTTCAATTAGCTTTTATCTTTCGTGATCTTTTTACTCTGATTAAATTACTTCAAGGAATTCTTACCTTGTAATTTTATATGCTGTTGAGAAATTTACACTTCTAGCGGATGCAGAGCGAGTCTTTCCTGAGAAAAAAGAAATCTCACCAAAATATGAATTTTTCTATAAGCTAGCTACTACTCGTTCTGTATTATGAAAAGCTTGAAAAATTTCGACTATTCCATCAGTTATTAAGTAAACTGATTAGTCATCAAGTTTTCCTTCTTCAAAGATAGTCTCATTAGGATTGAATACAATTTTTTTCATTTTATTAATTAGCTTGTTGTTTGTTTATTAAGAAAATATCTGAGTAAAAAAGTTCATCTTTTTAAATTCTTTAGAGTTTATTCCTTTTATTATTTCGTCTTGTAATTGTTTTGGTAAGTTTTTTATTGCTTGTGATTCTTATTGTAGATCTTCGTTCCTCTATTATTATCCTATACTATACATGTAATGCTTAACTCTTTATTATAAATGTCCATCAATTTTGTTTCTGTTTAAAAATCTATTCGAAAATAATTTAATTAAAAAATATAAATTTAGTTTGGAAAAAACTAATAAAATATGATAGAGAAAATTTTATTTTAATTATATTCTATAAAAAAAAAAATTTTTAAATATCAATTTATATAAAGCGATGCATTTTTATTTAATTGGATTTTGCTGCATTTAAAAAAAATTAAAATAATTTAGATTTATTTATAAAAATAGTTTACCTAGAGAGTATTCTAATACTTTTATTATATCCTTCTTAATCTTTCTTCATATCATAGAAACAAAGGAATGCATTAAAAATTGAATAGAATAAAGTAAAACCAAGGACAATCGTAATAGCACTTCCATATACTAATTCAATTTTCGTTTAAGGATTAAATAAATCACTTCCTGCTAATTAAAATTAATAAAAAATTTCATATTATTTAATAAAACTTTTGTTACAAACAAAATTACAATGCATGAATGATGTGATTGACCAATAATATGTAATTAAATATTAATCAATGTGGTTTTTGTTAGTATAATTCAAATTTGATAACCAAGTAGTATTATATCCCATTTTAGTTTCAAAGTTACTCAAATATATCAATGAAACAGTAACTTATTTAGATTTATAAAATATTTTAAAAAATATACTAAAAATTAAATAATTACCTAAATGCGCTACTAAGAGATCGTAGATTAAAATTCTAGAAATTTGGAATAATTATTGCTGCCAATCTGATAAATTTAAATAATCAACAAATTTTGAGATTTTCCAAAATTTGAGAATATAAAAAAAAATGATAATGAAATCAAGAATAAGATGTAAATTTTGAACCTAGTAATCGAAATTTAAGAGCAATAATTATATTGATAAAGAAGTGAAACAAGCTAAATCAAAAATAAGATTTTTTTTTGCATATTAATCTTATATGAACTTTTTTTCAGCAATAATTTAATCATGAACATATGTTTCAGTGTTTAGATTAATTAAATTATCCCCAAACAAAAAGCAGAAGCACAATATAAAAAACAAATTTCTATAACTGTTGTCTAAAATAGCATAATTAAAAGCTGAATCAATAGAATATAAGAATATAAGGGCAGTAGAGAATAATAAATACAAAGAGTTCCATACAAGAAAAACTTTTTCTGTCCTTTAAATCAATCTTTAAAATATGAAGAAACTTTTAATAAATATTTTAAAAATTTTTTAAAGTTTTCCATAAAGTGTTTGGTTTAATTCTTTGACTTTTGCATCCTCGCAAAATATAGATGCATCATTGATATAATTTTAGCATCCAAGCTAGAAATATTTAGAATGCATTTAAAATGAGGGTATTTTTAGTAAATAAGAAAACTTTTTAACTAAATTCATAATATCCGATTAAATAGCTTACTAATTTGTATTTTAACATTTTAAATTTTATGATTTAGGCTTACTTATTATGTTGTTATTAGGAATAGAGGTTGAATATAAATTGTTTTATTCCTAAGACAAAGAGGATATTTTGGATAATTCAGATTTTTATTATTTGCAAAAACTTATAGAATCTTGTTGCTTTTTCTAATAGAAATTGCTGTCAATATTTAATTTAGTCGAATTAATTTTTTATTAAGGATTATCAATCTTCTATATTTTTTATGTATTATTGCTCTCTGGATAAAGATCAAGCTCTTGTTAAACAATGTTTTCGATACAATTTTAAACTTCTGCTTAATTATCAGAGATACCATTTGCAGACAAGTTGCTACCTTATTTTTCATTTTAGCTACTTTTATTTGGTTTTATAATTATATCTATGGACTACTATCCTTAGTTTGGCTTATTAGGAGTATTAAAATTTTTAGTTTAAACATCTTATTATGTGACATTAGAAATACAATTCTTAAAAATGATATCATGGGTTAGATCAGAAAATAATTTTTTATTTTATGGCCACAAGTCATAAAATCGTGGATCTCCTGAGCTAAATACATCTTCTTCAGTGAATTTTTAGCATTGATTTGTGTCATTCAATACTATCTCAGATAAAAAAATTTATTTATCTTTAAGATAGTTACTATAAGATTCTTGGATCTTATCTTCATCACCTTTATGTCCTCCCTACTAAATAAAGCTGTTATTATCTAGAAACAAAAGCCCCTAATCTGGTTTGCAGCTGAATTCAGACACTTCTTATTCTTTTATGTCAAACAATTTCTATTTTTGTTAATCCATTTCGATTATGTAAATTTATATTCTAAGAATAATTAAATTATCAATTATTTGGTTTAATTAAAATTCTTAACTCGATATTATTTCTTTTTACCAAATGCATTACCTGCATTTTCAAATCAAAAATATAAGAAGAAAAACTTTTACAAGAACACTAAAATTTTGTTTTTAATTATTGATATTTTAAATCTTTTACTTTAAAAGTTATTGACAAAAAGCAATATTTTAATCGACTTTTTAAATTCATATTTTATTGAGATCATTAATTGTTAAAAAATCAAATTGTTTTATAGTTTTTTTAGCTTATCATAAGTAAAGATTGCTTGCTTTCTTTCTCTTTATATAGTAAAAATATAATATGAAATGGTTAAATCTTTTATTAAAAATAACTCAAAAATAAAAAAATATTGTTTATGATTAATTTTGCAACTATTTCTCTTAAAGCTGAATTGATTTGATATAAAACAAATAAAATCATTAAATTTTGTAACTTAAATCCAAAATTTACTCTTTTATACGTTTAAGCATTAAAAAAACAGTAAACCAAAATATAAACAAGTATTGTTTATTACATTCTATAATTAATTTTTTTCTATACAAAGTTAGTTCTGAGTATAATAATGAACAGCGATCATCAATATTTATAGCAGACATAATTCTTTTAAAGCTTACTAAACTTATTAATATATTTTAGAAACTATCTGTAATGGTAGATAAAAAGGTAAATTATTTCTAAATATTACATATTTATTTCTTTTACTTATATTATAGAAACTTCATCAATTACAAGTTTTATATTATAAAAAGGTTTAATGAAGATTTAAATTTTATTTTTTGTTTATTGAAAGAAAAAAATTAGACAGGAAAAACTTTCTTATAGATTATTTATTATAAAATTAAAAGCTGCTATCAATTTATCAAAATAAAATATAAAAAAATATCAGAATATGTTTTAATAAATATATTAACTATCATCTTAAATAATTAATGCTAAATTTAATTGTAAAATCTTATTAAATATAATAATAGCCTGTAAATGACCTTTATTTTTAAACATTAATTAAAAAAGCATTAAAATCTTTAAATATTTTTAAATACCAACCTAAGACCTATTTAAAATATTAAAATTTTCTTAGTAATTTAAAGAAATTCATAATTCTTTTAGAAAATTTATCTTCTATCAAATAAATGGAAATGGAAATAATTAATTTTGATTTAAAATAGACGACTTTAATATTAATTTTTAGATGTTAAGAAATCTATTTATTTTTTTAATTATTGAAATTCGTCTTAAAAACTAAATTATTTTAAAATTATTTGAAAAAATGATTTTAATTCATATTGGACAAAATTTAAATGGGTAATGATTTATATATATTATAAATTACATTCAAAATAATTTAATTTAGAGTAATAAATAATTATTTATTATTATGATTGATTTTAATTGTTGTTGCATTTTTTAGTTTCAGTAAATTAATTATTAATTAATATTTTAATTATTAGAAAGAGAATTTAATTAGTTTCATCAATAATGCGCTCCATCAGCATAAAATGTTTCTTCTTCCTGCTGAGGGGTATCTGTTATTATTTACAGGAATATTTACACTTCCTCTCTCTCTATCGTTTCTTAATGGTATTCCTTCTTCGATGGAATTTCTGGGCTTAACCATTTCAATTCCATTACGTTATAAGGCAGATATTTTTTTGCTACCTAAAATTTCAGGACTTTTTGGTAAAGGGCAATTATTAATTCCGTTTGGTACGTTATTATTATTGGATTTTAGTTAATTTTAAACTGAGGAATTTGAGTCTTAACGGCATAGTATTGCGTTATGAGCAGATTGTATTCTTTGTCTACTGCTCAAAATTTATTAATTAGAATGAGAAGGAGGAGACTATGCATGTCTTTAAATATTTGAGCTAGGCTATTGATTTTATTACTTTCCTTGTTGAGGCTCAAGTGAATGTCTTTAGTTAATGTTGTTTTTAAAATCGTTATTGTTTACAGCTGAGATTGGTCTATTTCCAGATGACTTCTTTGCTAAAGACTACTCTTCCATAAAGGAATCTATTGAATCTTCAAATTAAGCTTTAGGCAAAATGTTTTTTAAAGCATTTAGATTTCCATAAGGCATTTTCATTGTCTATAGAAGATTCAAAGAGTTATTTTTCTAAATATTGGGTTGCTTATTTTCTTTATCTTCTTCATTCTCCAATATATTTTAAACGTAAGGCAATAGGCCCTAAAACTCTAGTAGAGAATTCACAGAAGGACGTTATTTAGGGTTTTTTCTCAAGCAAAGATTAATAAAGTCATTCATTTCTTGGCTATATTACTTGGGAAGCTTTTAATAGGTGCCTTTACATACTTTCTTATAGAGTTCCTCCATGGATTTAGCTTCGAATGGAGGATGATGAGCCATCAATTCATATAGAACACATCCCATGCTCCAAACATCACACTTTGAATCATATGGTTGATTTTACCAAACTTCAGGGGATGTGTAATAAGGTGTTCCAGTTTGAGTGTAAGCTAGGTCTCTCTTCATAATTTTAGAGACATTTAAATCCCCTAACTTTACTTTATTATTAGCACCCAAGAAAATATTTGCACACTTTAAGTCACGATGAAGAATTTTCAGATCATGCAATGATTTTAAACCCAGTAAAATCTATGCTGCATATTTCCAAATTTTTGCCTCGTCCATAAACATGTTTCTTTTTTTATAATCTTGCAATTTAGCCATTAAATCGCCGTTCTCTGCATATTCCATCACAATGCAAAGACATCCGCTTGCATTATCATAAAATGCATCTTTGTATCTGATAATGTGAGGAGAGTTTATTGAAGCTAAAATTCTGATTTCGTTTAAAGCATTTTCTTTCTCTTTGTAAGAGAGTTCCCTCAATTTAACCTTTTTAAGAGCGTAAACTTAGCCATCTTGTTTGCGCTATACTTTATATACCCATGAAAATGCTCCATTTCCTAAAGTTTTTTAAACGTTGAAATCGCTCAATGAAACTGAACTCATTTGTATATTTATTTGTTCTATAAATAATTTATATTTTTTGATGTTTTACTTATGTTTGTTTGATATATATAAAATTAATCTGTTAAATTGTATAATTTAAAAATAGAGACTGCTTTATAACAAACAAACAAACAAACAAACAAACAAATCTAACATATTTGAATGGAATTCAAATCAAATCAAAGTAATTATTAATTATTTGTTTCTAAATATTTTCTTACTTTTTTCATAATTTCTCAGTAATAGATTCAGCTATATTATCAACGGTGATTTAAATAGATTAAAAGATCTCCCATGATCAAATCTTCTATTTCGATGTTGCAATTTAAAAATTGCTTGCTGCTTAAATTCAATGTTTCTATTCTTGTAGCTGCTTAATATATTATTACAATAACTCTTACTTTATAAAATATAGCGAAAAAAATTCTATTTTTAATTTTTTTTGATTTCATTCTAACCAATTTGAAAAACAAATAAATAAATAGATAATTATTATAAAAAATTAATTTTTTATTTAAAAAATAAATAAATTTAAATCCTATCAATTTTATAATAATAATATTTTTATTAAGTATAAACAATACTTTTTATTATATATTTAATTAAATATATAATATTACTAATTTAAATTATGCTTAAAACATAATCCTTAAATATTTTTTATCGGAATTTAAATTAATTCTAATAAAATATAATTTATTTATCAGTAATTGGTATATTGCTATTCACAGATAATTATTTCTTGAGTTAGAAATATACATTTAGTAAAATAATAAATATTATTTAATAAAATAAAAATAAAATTAACAAAAAAGGTTTTGAGGCAGGTTTCGAACCTGATAGAAGAAAAAAATTAAAATGTTTTAATCAAAGATTTAAAAAGAGTAAAATTAGCTTTAAATCATAAAAATTAAATAAAATATCACCATCTATCTGTATCAACACGGTTGGTGATATTTTAATTTCAGGATTAGTAATATATAATACTCATAATTAATTTTTTTAGATGCCTCATTTTTGATTGAAGTACTTGTATTTACCATCAGCACATGTATCGCATTTTTTAGGTGGATCTTTACATGTTTTACAAACAGGATCACATTTTTTACATGTATCTCTATCTATAAAATATCCATTTGAAGTATCGCATGTATTACAAATCGAAGTACCTTCAATGAAATAATTTCCTTTAGAACATATTGTACAATTATTTGAAGCTTTTACACAAGCCTAACAAGTTGAATCACATGGTTTACATGTATCACCATCAATAAATTTTGATTGAGATGTTTCGCAATCACCACATATTTAAGACTGAAAATCTTTAAACTTGCCATCAGCACATATGTCACATTTTTTAGATGAATCCTTACAGCTTTTGCAAACAGGATCACATTTTTTGCATTTATCTTTATCTATGTAATATCCATTTGAAGTATCGCATTAATTACAAATTGAAGTATCTTCAACAAAATAATTTCCAGGAGAACATGTTGTACATTTATTTGAAGCATTTACACAAGTCAAACAAGTTGAATCACATTGTTTACATGTATCACCATCAATAAATTTTGATAAAGATATTTCGCAATCACCACATATTTAAGACTGAAAATCTTTAAACTTGCCATCAGCACATATGTCACATTTTTTAGATGAATCCTTACAGCTTTTGCAAACAGGATCACATTTTATGCATTTATCTTTATATATTTAATATCCATTTGAAGTATCGCATTAATTACAAATTGAAGTATCTTCAACAAAATAATTTCCTTTAGAACATATTATACAATTATTTGAAGCTTTTACACAAGCCTAACAAGTTGAATCACATGGTTTACATGTATCACCATCAATAAATTTTGATTGAGATGTTTCACAATCACCACATATTTAAGACTGAAAATCTTTAAACTTGCCATCAGCACATATGTCACATTTTTTAGATGAATCCTTACAGCTTTTGCAAACAGGATCACATTTTTTGCATTTATCTTTATATATGTAATATCCATTTGAAGTATCGCATTAATTACAAATTGAAGTATCTTCAACAAAATAATTTCCAGGAGAACATGTTGTACATTTATTTGAAGCATTTACACAAGTCTAACAAGTTGGATCACATGGTTTACATGTATCACCATCAATAAATTTTGATAGAGATGTTTCGCAATCACCACATATTTAAGACTGAAAGTCTTTATATTTGCCATCAGCACATATATCACACTTTTTTGAAGAATCCATACACGTTTTGCAAACAGGATCACATTTTAGACAATTTTTATATGAATCAGTGTAATAACCTTTCAAAGTATTACACTCTCCGCAAGTTTTATCTTCAAGTAAATATTATCCACTTACACACTTTTTACATTTATTAATAGAGTCACATTCTTAGCAATCTTATAGATTCTACATATATTACCATCATTTATATATTCATCGCTACACTTTGATACGCATTTTCCATCTTAAATAACTTAATTATCGCATGTGAGTTTTTTAATATCTCCTGTTATTGGATCATAAATAATTTCTATTAAATATTGAAATTGTTAGAAATATATTAAAATTAAATTTAGATCTACCTTCAATTTAAACACCTTGCAATAATTTGTAGCAAATCCCATACTTAATTATTCCTGTACAAGAAGATGAAGAAATACATTAATTAAGTTCGTTATCATACACTTGTCCTTAATCACAATCTGCACATTAATTTTTATTACGCCTTGATTTTTCAGTACAATTTTTTTTGCAAGTTTTTGGGCAACATTTTTTGACTCCATCAGTGAAGTCAAACATTTAATAATTATATCCACAAGTAAAATATTTATTAGTATTAGTTAATCTTTCAGTAATTTTACATCTACTGCATGCACTTTTAGTATTAGGAGGGTCTAAACAATTTACTCTTTTTTTGAAAAAAAAATATTATATCTAATTAGTTGAATTTATGATACTCAGTTTCTGCTTGGAGATTTCTAAATATTATTTTATCAGAAGATATCTACTCAAAATGATGCTCTTAAAAATAATTTTAACATTTTAGTAGCTTTAGTTCTTAAAAGAAAATAGTTGAAATATAATTATTAGTAATTTCTATAACTTACTAAAGAATATTTGTATCAAGAAATAAATTGCAAAGAATTATGATTTCATTAATTTATTATTTGCTTTATTTTACAAATTATTTAAAGTTATTGTGAAATTTCAATTATAACTTTTTAATTTAATCATTACATGAAGATAACCAAAAAAATTGGTTTGTAAAAAAAAAGACAATAAAATTAATTTATTCAAAATAACAAATAAAGTAAATATGAATAATCTTTGTAATTATGAATTCAAAATCAGCACTTATTTATAAAAATAATTAAATAATTTGCCTCAATTTATTTTTTCTACAATATTATTAAAATTTCAAACTTAATTTTCAATACTCATTTATAAAAATATGCTTTCTAATATTATTTTGGGAAATTTTTTCTTAATATTCTTTACCTTTTATATCAAAATATAAAATTTTAGCTTTTAGCATCAAGAACCTAATTTTCCTGTAATTATTTTAAATTACTTAGGCAAAAGAAAAATAGAAAAATTTAATTTAAAAACAACTTACAAAAGCTGTTTTGCAGAAGGTAGAAATAATCGATAAAAAGTCACTATTTAATAAAAAGTAAATTAAAATAAGAAAATTAATTATATCCTAATAATCGCAAAAATCTATGAAAGTTAAGCAGATGAATAGTAAATATACTCAAAGTTAAACTACTTCCTAACGCTATTTAAATCGTAAACGCCTAAAAATACTAGTTATCTAATAAAATATCACAAATATACATAAAATCGTTAAAGGAAAATAATTAATTTTTAGTAAACTATTTTAAGGTACTTAAAGTATAAGCATATTAAATAAAAAAGTTAATATATTAATTATATGACCATCTTTTTTTATGCAATCTTTAATATAAATAAATATTAAGTAAAATCATTGAGCCTAATTATAATTGTAAATGTTTATATGTTCATTCATTAATGAAGGTCAGTTAAATATAAGTAGCACACTTTTTTTCTAAATAACTTTATAATTCAAAATTTGATTCTCTACTTTTTTACAAAATGTATTTGTAGAATAATTTTAAATTTTCTAGTTTTAGAATAAGAAATTATTTATTTTTTTACTATTAATTTGTTTTATATTGCCTTATCTTATGAATTATTACATAATAAAGATAAAAACAAATTCTAATTTAGATATATTTACCATTAAGCTTTGGTACCAAAAGTCTTTCGAGTTTAGTTTTTGATGATAAACTAAATTAATTTTATCTTAATCAAAGCTATTTCATTTAAAGAAATTTTTTTGCTTAAAAATGTATATTCATAATTGATTTTTAAATTTTAGATTATCAAATAAAATATTTTAAATTAAAAAATTTTAGATGTATTTTATTAAAATTAATATTGAATAATTTTTAATTTGATTATAAAAACAAATATTAAATTTAAAATAACAATCTACTATAGTTAATTATTTTTCAGATAATAAAAAAATGAGATTTTGTTTGGTAATCACTCACTTCAAAAATACCTAAAGAATTTATTTTATTAAATAAAAATAATCCTAAAATTAAAAAAATACAATGATTTTTTTTTAAAACCATTAAATAAAAAAAATGTAAATATTAAAATAGCTTAATGTTTTTTAATTTAAAATTATACTTTTAATAGAATTAATTTACATTTTAAATTGAAAATGTTAATTAAATTTATCAATATTTTAGAAATGACTTTTAATTTAATTACAATTTACTTCATAATTAATTAATAAATGATTATTAATCTTTGGTATTTAGAGGTGATTGGGAAAAATTTATTATATCTAGATTATAAAATTAAAGAATACCATCAATTTATTAATATATAAACTTAATTAATTGTGGAGAAGGTTTTAACAGATTCCTTTATTTTAAAAGATATATATATTATTTAGAGAGATAACTTATAATTAGCAAAAAAGATCAGGTCATATTCATTTTTATAAATGAACAACAATCTGAATAATTATACTTAGAGCTCTTCTGAGGAAACGTAGAGCATATAAAATTAGACAAGTTTATAAACTAAAGATATTTCTTTTGCTTCGTTTAATATTTAGTCAGATTATAGATATCATAATGACGTAGCTAAGCTAATATCAGAGGAAAGTAGCATTTTAGATGAAGAAGAAGATGAAAATATAAAGTAGCGAAGGATTTTTGAAATGAATTTAAATAAAAAAAGAAATCAGATACGCAAAGAATTTCATAAATAAGAAGACTTTAGGTAGTCTCATGAAAAAACTAGTTAATTGACTTCGAATGAGAATAAAGTAAATCCATTTTTTAATTTTTTAATTTGAATATAAAATCTTTTTTTGTGATCAATAGTTTAAGGAAGTTCTAAATGAGTGGATTAAAAAGAATTAGGAAAAGTAAAAGGATTTAGATAGAGATAATGAGCTATTAAATAAAATAAAGCAAAAAGATTCAACATTAAATTCTACTTAAAGCAACTTTAAATTTAAGAAGTTACATAGTGTGAATTAATCATAAAAACAAAAAAATGAATTTAGCTCAGTTTTCCCTATTGCAAGTAATATGTCATAAGGACAAGAATATTTTCCTCTCAAAAATGAAAAAAATCCTGAAGAATTAAACAGCAGGATATAAGCTTTGAAAGAAGAAAATATTTAATCTGAGCATGCATAAGATGCTGAAATTTAAAGACAGAAATCTTTGAAATAAAACTATAATAATTTAGTTAAACACTTAGTAAAATTATAATTTCCTAAATAATCAATCAATTTATGAATTTCATTGAAATCAATATGTAGGATTAAAGAAAGAAAGAAATTAGAGAAGAAGAAGATATTATTGAAGAAATGACTAAAAAGCAAAATTCTTTTCAGCAAAATTAGCTAGAAATTTTAAAAAATCTGTTTGCAACAAAGAAGAATGTATAATAACTGAAAGAAGTTGTTGAAAATATCGAAGAAAAGCAGAATAATGTTCTATCACAGAAAATTACTACTTAAAATTAAGAACATAAGGAGATTAAATAAGAGGAGAACAAATTGTCCACCATTTTGTTAAAAATAGATGTAAATTTAAAATTATAATTGAAGAACAATCAGCATTTATGATTGACTATGATTGAAAATGAAATAGAAATAAATAACATATTTTGAAAATAATAAATATATTTTAATTCAAATATATCTAATTTCAACTTAAATTTGAATAGTAAGCAGAGCAATTGCATAGGTAGACTATTTAAGAGTTGATTGAGGTGTAGAAAGAAGAAGAGTTTAGAAAGAATAAGAAAAATGAATCATATAAGTTGATATTTTCTTTAAAAGACATGAAATATTTAGATGATTTATGCTTAAAAAATAAAATTGATGAATATATTGACAATTCTATGCTTGAGTCTTATACTACAAAAAACAGATAAGCAATTAATTTTGATGTATTTGAACTAGAATATCCTTTGATTAATTTTAGGAGAAGTCATCCGAGTATTGAAAAGAGTAAGTTATAAGATGTGATTGATGATTTCTATAGAGAATATCCTTCTGGTCCTTATAAGCTTTCAGAGTCTCTTATTGAGAAATACAAAAGCTACATTCAAAAATTTGAAAGTTTAAAGAGGTATTTAAAATTTAATTGAAAAAAGTAATTGAATAATTTTATGATGAAATTAGATATTACCAGGACATGTGTCTTTAAGTTTAGCAAAAGAGTGGAGAATTAGCTCTTTTGACAACAGAAGTGAATGATTATCTAGATGCTGAAAAAAACTCAAAGCCTTTTGAAGTAAAAGACAAAAATGTTATTTAGCTCTTAGAAAATTTCGAAGATTTGAAGCCTTCAATAGAGATTTTTAAAGAAAATAAAAAAATATCACGCGAATATAAGAAATAAATATGCTTTTCTTTGGCTATTTTTATGAAAATTTTGGATAATACGCTCAGATTAACAAATATAATTACTCTATTAAGTACGAATCTTTATTTAGAAGTTCCATTAGGGTTAACATAAAAGAGTGATGAAGTTCAAACAATAGTCAACGAATAGTTTAGTAAGAAGAATATAAAGATTTTAAGAAAACAAAGAACTAAATATCCAACAAAAATTGAAAGTTTAGATATTAATAACGCTCGATTATCAAGACTGAGCATTATTTCACCTATGAAGAATTAAAATCAATAATAGTAATAGCAATAATAGTAGTTGCAGTAATAAAATTTGAGCAGGTCTAATAGCCAAGCCAGAATTAAAACACATGGTAAATTTATTTGAATTTGTTTTTGAGAAATTTAAATGATAATTTCTTTAAATTTAAGAATAAAATTATGACAAGAGCTATGAATTTAAATCATATTACACTGATGATAATTAAATGAAGATTGTTCCTAACGATTATGATAGTTTATTTGTTGAGCTCATTACAAGCAACCTTATCCCTACAGAGCTGAAAGAAAAGTGGGGAAAATAAATTGTTAACGATCCACTTATTTATGGATTTTGTAGTTATAAAGACATACAAGATCAAATATAAATGATAGCAAATTAATAAGAAAATAAAGATGATAAAAAAAATAATTTAGACATCTATGATATTTTACTTCAAACAATGACAAATGAATTGAGAAAATTGTCTATGGAATAGTTGAGATCGATTCTATAATAAATACTAAATCTTAAAGGCCAAATAATTAGTGATTTGATACTCTCGTATAATCAATGTAGTTTATTTCTTAATTTTTATTAGAATTTAAATCAATCAAAAATACATTTTTTCATTTATCAAGGATTACAAAATATTTTTAAATAAACCCTATAAATTTATTCATAATAAAAGATAAACAAAGTTAAAACTATTTTAGACAGTCGTTTATTTAAAATATTAAATTTAAAAATTTAAAAATTTAAAATTTTAAAGTTTTTAAAGCATTTATTGAAAACAAGGAAATAAAATTACTTATTAACAAAATTTTATTATTATAAAGTGGCTGATCAAATAAAATAGCATTTACCTGAATGGGATATGAAAAAATTTAAGCAAAAGAAGATTTCATAAGTAAATTAAAATAAAATGATAAAGGAAATTTAGATAAAAGTAAGCACAAAAATAGATTAGACTTTAGTTAATCCAGTAGATAGTCCTTAGGCTAAAATAAGAATAGAAGATGAGAATCAGTAAATAATTTATTCATAAAATTAAAAATTAAATATTTTAACAAAACTTAGAGGTGGCAATAAGAAAAAAAATAACTAATTCAAAGTAGAAGATTTTATAGAATTCTTGAAAAAAGATAAAAATTAAAGCAAAAAATAACTGCATGAAGTCGATGAGAAATTCAAAAATGAAGAACTTATTAAAAGAAGAAAAAGCTCAGCCCTTTTTAAATAAAACTATGAAAAATATTACTTAAAAAAAGAATCTGATCATTACGACTAAGTTACACACAGCATTAAAAAAAAGTATGAAGATATAGAGGAAAAATAGGAAGAAGAAAAGTATAGAGAAGAAATGAAATTCTTTTTAATCGAAAAAGAAAAAAAAGATCTTGCTAGATAAAAAATCATCAATCACTATCAAGAGTCAAATAAGTCAGGAAGATATGGTGCATAAATCAAAGACCTCTTAGAAAATTCGCATGCTATGGCATTCATAACAAGATGTAAATTTAATTTTCTTGGATAAATTATTTTAAATTTTTTCAAAAATTTGATTAAATTTTGAAATTAATTAATTATTTATTTATTTATTTTTAAAATAAAAAATTTTTTAATAATATTTTTAATTTTTTTGAATAGAGGAGTTATCAAGAAAGAAGCAAGATTTAAGTAGGACTTAGATTAGTCTAAAGAAATAAGACTTTTTATTAGATAGATAATATGAAGATAATATAAACTCTAAGATTAGATTAAACACATATTAGATAGAAAAGTCAGAAAACAAGCAAGGTAGTAAAGACGAACAACTTTCGAGAAATAAGCATTCCAAATCTTTTAGCTAAGATATAAGATAGCCGACCATAAAATCATAAAGAAATGGTAGAGTTGAAGAGAGCCATTTGAATGAAAAATACTAAGCTTCTTCTACTCAGTTGCCTCGTTTACCTAATTCATCACACTAAGGAAATTCAAATTAGAATGAAAACAATCAAGCAGAAATAGAAAGACAAAAAAAGATTTTAAAAATTGAGAATGCTTACAAAAGAGTTTAAAGAGCTAAAAGCACTAATTAACTTCCTTCTAATCAAAATTGTTAAACTGAAAGAAACCAAAATTAAGAAATGAATCAATCAAAATTACCCCCTAAGAAAGCAGATAATAAGTAAGTTGATTAACCAGAGGCAGACTAGCAAACTATAAAAATAAATAAGTTGACTTAAAGCTATGCAAATATAAGAACAAGCAAACTAAATATTCCAGCTTTAAAAGTCATGGAATTAATAAAAGAAAAATAAGGTCAAAATAATTAGCCTTAAAAATAAGAAACAAAACCTGATAAATAAAAAGAAGAGAACTCTGATAATCATCAGAACACAGTGATTAAAAACAAAACTAGCAACGAGCCTTTTTACAAACATCTATCTGAAATAAAAGAAGATAATTCAAATTATAGTAAGTTGGTTGATCGTCCTGAAAACTAATAAGATTAAAATTAAAAACCAGAAAAATTAAACATTAATAAAAAATTTGCTGATATTTACAAATAAAAAATTATAGTAAAAGCTCCAATAACATAAGGAAAACAAATTAGATCTATATCTAATACAACTTAATGATTTAATAATAAAATTGCAATTTTTAAATAATAAAAACTATATATAAATATGATAAGATACCAGAAATAATAATAGATACTTATTAAAAAATATTCAACAAAATTAAAGTTGTGTTTTTATTTAAAGAAAAATGATATTGTGAGTTTAAAAAAAATCAAGTAAATGATTTGATAATTAAAATAAAAAGTTATTCTGGAATGATAAGAACTGTTAATTTAACACTATAAAAATATAAACTATTAATTATTAAACTAAATTATTGGGTAAAAATTAATAATAATTATATTGTACATAAAAAATTACTAAAATTATTTTATATAATTTCTTAAACTTAACTTATAAAAAATAAATTTAGAGCTTTTTTGTTTATTAAGATCACTCTTTTGAGAAAAATAGCAAAAATTTTTAATTTATTTCTTTATAATTTCTATTTAATAAATTTATATTTTTAGTTTAATTTTTTCTTTATTAATTAATACAAAATATATTTTTTACTTTTCTTAATATTTCTTTTTATACCACAACTCATTTTTTAGTGTGCAGTATTGGATTGGATATGCATGGAGTATTTAAATTTTTAATTATATAAAATGATAGTAAAATGTTAATTTATAAAATCAGTATTTTACAATTCCTTTTTAGAATTGTTTAAAGTTTTTTAGAAAATCGAGATATTGTTTATTGACTATTTTTCTCTAAAACGAATTAAGCTTTTAAAATTATTGGCTGTTTTCAATAACTATGTTTTGTTCAAGTGTTTAAATTTTTTAATCTTAGATTACATTTTTCATAATTTCTTTCTTAAGCAAATCGAATTATTTTTAATCATTTTAAGATGTTGCATCTGTTTCGTTTTCTTTATTTTGACATGTGTTCAAATCTGCCATGGAGCCATACTTTTTTAGCTTTAAATTTGATAAATTGGGATTTTATGATGATTTTTATTGATCAAGTGTTCTTTGTTTGATATAATTTTTGCTATCAGCTTTGCTAATTTCAAGATTAGTTGAAGATTAACTGCTTTTAAGATGGATTTTGCTGAATTTTTCAGTTGAGAGAGATTATTTTTATTATAAGGATACTTCTTCTGAAATTCTATTGAGTTTATAATGTTTGTTTTTATTTAATAAATGCTAATTTTCAATGCTATTATCTCTGCTATGATTATTAGCAATTTCTTCTTTTTATTCTAAACTTATTTTGCTATAAGAGTTATTTCTAATGATTGTTGAGGCATCTTCTAGAGTTAATTTCCTATTAGATTATGAAACTTACTAAGCAGGGTTTTAGCTTAGGACTATACTTTAATTATCATTTTTTATTGTTTCTAAAAGATTTTCAGGTTAGAATTATCTTATGCTGAGTTTTCTTTGTTTCTAAATAGGAGAAAATTCTCTATATTATTCATGCATTTTTCCTATATTCATATTATTTTCGTTGCTCAAATTATCATTATTTATAAAGTTTTTCTCAAACATGCTATTTAAATCCGAGGAAATTAACTATGATGTTACTTTTTTAGGGGAAGAAGACTTTTATTATTTATTTTAAATAAGTGACTATTGTCTTTTAAATAAAAGATTTTGATTGCTATTGTATAAAGGAGAACTGTTTATAATTTAACTGATATTTGAGTTGGTATTTGCAACTTATGAGTTGTGAAATGAATGTTTTTGTGATATTAAATTACTCTACACAGCAGTAGAAAAGAAAGTTAAATTCTCAGCTGATGAGTGAATACTTTGGTTTCTTTCATTTATCAGATTATCACAATTATCTTTCTTGATTTCTATACTTTATGTGGATTTAATTTTAATTAACTAGTCTTTATCTTATTTATCTTATTGTACCTTAGAAACTATTTTTTCATCTTGCACTTTAGAGCCTATTTTTTAGATCAACTTTTGAAGAAATTTCATGTTGCCTTATTTGGGTTGGATAATTTTTTCGGGTTTAATTACATTTTACGTTTTTTCTTTTTATTAAATTTGAACTGTATCTTCTTCTGTTTCTTTTACACTGTGGATATCCAAAAGTTTTTTTTTAAATGTTTAGTTTTAGAAATTTTATAATAAATTTTAATCATTTTATGTTGTCTGGTTTAAATTTTAGCTCTTGTAAAATAAAAATTTGTGCGATTAAGTTGTATTCAATTTGTTCACCAGGCTGTTTTATTAATTTTAAGGTGTTGAATAACCAATCTGAGATGTTTTCATATTGTTAGGGGAACTATCTTTTAATTTTATCTGGAGCATTAGTTTATCTTCTTAGGATTTAAGTTATAGTTAATCAGATTGCTATGTTAAAGAAATAGATTAATTTAAAGTAGAATATTATGAAATCTTTGCATTCTTACAGCTGCTTGGCCTAATTACAAGCTTTTAAAATGAATTTTTTCTTGATTAAGGTGTTTCCCCGTTATTTACTGAAGTCAAAGATTCTTAGTTAATGTTTAACTGATTATTTGGACTCTATATCTTTAAATTTAATATGAAAGAATTTTCATTTTTAAAACTTGTGTTGTTTTGACTTATTGAATTATTATTTATAACCATCCGAGACATAGGACTAATCGCACTGTTCCTTTTAATCGTGTTATTTATATTAATAGCAGAAACGGGTCGCGATATTATTTTTTAAGAGTTAATTTTTGTAAAATTGTTACTATTATCTTAGGCTTATTCAACTACAGTTATATTGTTGTTATTTGTCTGCCTTGAAAGCTTTTTGGAGACTAAGCCTCTTAGTATTGAGCCAAATTTTTAAATTTTTTACTATTTGAGCTTCTATACATGAATGTTAATTGTACTTTTATCTTCTTAGTTTGTTTGCTTTTCAATAGAGAGCTATTTATTTTAGATCTTAGAACTAATATTTATTATGTCTTTATTTTTAGATTCTTAGTTTTCATGATTACTTTTGTTTGTTATTTATCTTTACAACGAGTTTTATTGTTGAGCTTAATTTTGAGTGGGCTTCTAAAAAACTTATGAAAGCTGTGGCTCATCTATATGGTTCAGAGATACAATACTTGTACATCTTTGCAAGTTAGCTTAGGAAAAATTTCTTTTTTAATTGCAATAATTTTATATAAGAGGATGACTTGCTAATTCTTTCATATTTTTAAATTCTTGGCTTCTATTAATCCTTTTAGGAGTGGGACTCTTGTTAATTAGCATTTATTATTTGACCCATATCTTTGTTTGTTCAAAGTTCAAAGAATCGCCATCTAAATAATTCTGTATTTGCAATTAATTTTGCTGAATCATATTGCATTACAGCCCTTCTATATTTTAATTAATTAAAAATCTAATTTTTTAACTTAAAATTAACAAAGTAATTGCAATCTATTTGAATGTAATTTATGTGTAGATTTTGATTACTTGCTTGATATTATGCGTGTTTTTTCTATCTTATCTGTTATTTTGTTTAATTGAATTGCGGTGCATTCCAAATACTGATACAAAGATATATCTATATTTTTATAAAATTTATTTTTAGGTTCAATGCTGGCCACTATTTTTTCTATTTATTTTTAGATAAAAGCAATTAAATATACAAATTAGATAGCAAAATTATTTTCAATTTTTCGTATTAAGTAACAAGTAATAATTAATCTAATTAAAATAGAGACAATTTTTATTTAGAGAGAAATAAAGTTTATGGACTGAATTAGCTTTATAATTCAGGAGACATACAAATTAAGTGGATCATATTGTTTGTAGAATTATTTTTTTAAACTTTAAATAAGAATTTGCATCAAAAAGTTTCATTTAAAATAAAAAAATATTTATTTATTTATTAATAAATAATTTTATTTTGTACATTTTTATATAGAATAAATAAATGTAATTTTATTAGTTTTACAGTTTTCAATTCCATTTTTTAAGAATTTATTGCAATTTAATATCGTCATTTGAAGTGCTATCATCTGTAATCTTATATGTTTTATCTTTTTTTTAATTTTTTTATCCATAATTTGGCTCAGATGATTTAAAAAACTCTTATTTTAAGTTATTAGCGATTTAGAGTATGTCATCATCATTATCTTCTTCTTCCTCCTCCTCTTCCATTTAATTTAAAATATTTAGTTATTAATTTAAATTAAAAGTGTTATTTGTCTTTTTAACATCTTCGTTAGGATTGCTTTTAGGAATATTTTACAATATTTATTGAACAAAAAGATCATCTTCTTATTCATCCTCATCATCTTCGTCATCACTGTCAGGAATATCAGGAATCACAATTTTTTTATTTTAATTTTCAAATTTATTTTGATTATTAAAGCTTATGTTCGAAAAGGAATTACTATTATTATTGTTGTTAGTATTTGATTTTTGCAAAGAAAAAGATTAAATAGTCTATTTTACATTATTAAAGCTGTTAGCTTAATTAATTTGATTCCCCTTTTTAAATGAAAAATCTTAAATATTGTTGAAATTAGCTTATTGCTAATTTGTCGTTTGAATACCTTCAGAGTTTTCATTCTTGAATAAAAATGAATTACTGTTACTATTTTAATTTTCTTTTTGTTAATATTTCCCTTTTTGTTATTTCATTTAATTGTTGTTATTATTATTTTAGTAATTATTGTTATTATTATTTTAGCTTTTATTGTTGTTATTATTTTGGTAACTTTTATTATTATTTTAATAGTTGTTGTTATTGTTATTGCTGTTTTTATTTTAATAAGTTTTTTTGTCATTTTATTCTTGCTAATTATTTCCATAGCTTGGCTTGTTTTAAACATTTAAATCTTTTTGCTTTTAAGTAGCTTATTTATTTTGAATATCAACTAGTTTCTTTAAAAATGTTTTGTATTCTTCGCTCTGAATTTCATAAATAGTCTAGTAAGAAGCCAAATTTTTTACAGCCACAGAAGAATTTCCCCATGGCTTAATTACAGCTTGTTGCTGCTTTTGATTCATTTGAACAGATTTTCTAAAAATAAAATCTAGTATTAAAATAAAAAATATTGTTTTTATTATTAATTTGAAGAATTAATTATCTTTCTTGCTAAGTTAATTGTTAATTATTATTTTAATTTCAAACTAACCCGTATTTCCCGCAAATTTAATCAAAATTTATCAATAATAATTCTAATTAGTTTTTCTTTCGCAAAAGTAATTTAGATAGTTCTCAAATCAAATCAAAGTAGCTGACTACGCTAAAAAATAAATGTATTTCTATTCAAATTTGTATTTAAAATATTTATACATTCCTTTATTGATTTGCTTCATATTTAATTTTATTTATTTATTAATTTATTTTATTTATTTATTGATTATTTTTTTAATTTTGAGTTAAAAATATTTTTTTTACTTTTAATTAGTATATAGTTTGTGACTTTATTTTCCAAAAAAAAATATTTATTAATCAAAACTTCGGATTATTGTTAAATTTTGAAAATTACTTCCTAATAAATTATAAAGAAAATATTTATTTATTTGATTAGAGTATTTACTTAATAAAGATACATATTATTTTGTTTTTTAGATTTACTGCTAAACATAAATTATTAATTAATTATTTGATAATTCATCTATTTATTATTAAGCCAATTATTATTAAACAAGCAAACTATCAATAAGATGAAAAAAAATAACTTTGTTTTAACTTAGGTCGAAAAGAAAAATGTCTTTAAAGATTAGGAAAATACTTTTAAGATATTAGTTGCCACTGATAACCATGTAGGATATAAAGAAAACGACCCTATTAGAGGGAACGACTCTTTTGAAGCTTTTGAAGAAGTATTAAAAATAGCAAAAAGCGAAAAAGTAGACTTTTTACTTTTAGGAGGAGATCTTTTTCATGAGACCAATCCTTCTTAGCAGTGTTTATATAAAATGCTAAATTTATTGGGTAATTATGTTTTAGGTGATGGCGAAATTTTGTATGGGATATCGAATTATAATGATGTAAATTTTCAAGATTGCAATTTGAATATAGAATTGCCAATCTTTGTCATCCATGGTAATCATGACTACCCTTCAGATGAGTATGGAAATTTAAGCGTAATAGACCTTCTTCACGCAACAAAATACCTCAATCACTTTGGAAAATTCTCCAACATTGAATAAATAAAGGTATAAAATATTTTAATGATTTAATCAATATAAAATAAATTTATTTAATAAGAGATAAAGCTATTTATTGCCAATTAAAGTTAATCATTGTGAGAAATTAAGAAGAAAAAAAATATTCTTAAAATATTTTATTAAAACTAATTTAAAGATAATAAAATAAATAAATTTTAGAAAATTAACACAAATTTAATTTATTTTATTCAAATTAATTTACCTCAAAATAGTTACTTTATAAAATATTAAGAAGAGTTTTATATAAAATTAACAAATACTTACCAATCAGCTTAGTTCCAAATTAATTATTTTATTTAAATTAATTATTTTTCAATTAAAATATTGAAATTTTAATTATTTAATAATGATGTCCTGAAGATTGAATCATATAATATACAGAACTTATATAATAAAAAGAAGAAAAACTAATATTAATTAGAAGGTCTCTATCTAAATATTTACTTTTGAAATAAAAAATAGGTTACTCCTATAATCTTCCAGAAAGGCAATACAACAGTAGCTTTGTATGGAATTGGATACTTAAAAGATAAATACTTTCATAAAATGCTTGAGGAGGGTAAAATAGAGTTTGTTAAACCTGAATAAATGGGGTATAAGGACACAGTGAATATTTTAGTCATTCATTAAAATAGATACAAAGGAATCAGATAAGGACAATCTTACAGAAATTGTGTGCATCCTGAATAATTTCCAGAGTGGATTGACTTTATAATTAGAGGTCACGAGGTAACATATTAATTAAAAATAATCGTAATCCATATAATTTTTTTTAACTGAAAGCATGAATAAAAAGATGATATAGATATTATGAAAGAATGTCCTATTGCTACTATTTAACCTGGCTCTACTATATTAACAGCAATAGAAGATGTTTAGGCAACACCAAGAAGAGCTATATTATTTGAAATAAAAGGCCTTGAAGCTAACTTTTAAGATATTACTCTAATTTAATCATATAGGCCAGTTTTATATGAGCATGTTGAATTAACTAGTGTAGTAAAAAAAGCAGGATTCGATTTAGATAATGAAGTACCTGCAGATTAGGCTGTAGAAGAAGTTCTATGGCAATTTATTTAACAGTCTATCAACAATTTTAAAATAGTCTTGAAAGAAAATTTTCCAAACAGTCCTCATTTATTTGCTAAAAAACCTATTTTAAGATTTAAAATTGAGCAAAGCAATTTTGATGTTTTTAACTTTCAAAGGTAAATAAATGCTTAAAAAATTATTTCTTAAAAGCTTGTTTGAATATTTTTATTATCAAAAATCATTTATTATTTTCATGATTTATGATTTTTGTTACAATCCAATCAAAGATTAATTTAATTTTAATTAAATTTTCAATTTATTCATTCATATATAAACTTTTTATTTAAAAATTTTCTTTAAATTGTACAAATGCTTTTTTGTTTTAATAATGCTTATTAAATTAAATTAAAAGAATAGAATCTAAACTGTCAGACTTGGTTGCAAATCCAGGTGAAGTGCTTAAATTTTGGAAAAGAATAATAATTAATCCTAAAACTATTAAAAATCCAAAATTAGAAGAAGATTTTATCAAAACTTTAAAAGGAAAATCAGATTTTGATACAATAGGTAATGAAACTGTCAAGGATATTAAAGAATTATATGAAGATAGGATTAAAAAAAATAAATCTATTTCATGCCTGCCGAGCAGTCTTATAATGGATACCCTTGAAAAAGTTAATTTGAGGAATAGAAACTCTTCTATAGAAGACATAATCAAGAATTTACAAAATAAATTACAGGAAAATGTAGCTGTTTAGGAGGAGAAAGAAATAAGGAAGGTTAATGAACAATATCGTTAATAAATGAACAGCGTTTTATAAAAAATATCTACTAATATTGATGAGAGATAAAAAGATAAAATAGATCTTGACTTAAAAAACAGTGATAAAATTATATACAAAACTTTGATGAACAATTAATTTGATGATCTGAAACAAAGTTTAAATGAGAAAATAAGGACAAAAGTGGCTGAGCTATTCATTCAAGACTTTTAATAGGATGGAGATAATGATATTGATATAGAAAATAATAGTGATGGCTAATATAAGGAAAGTAGTACAAATAAAAAAAGTTTGAATTCTGATTAAATGGATAGTGAAGAAGAAGATAATAAAACTAGTAAAGTTAAAGGACGAGGAAGAAAAAGAACTGAAAATAAATCTATCACAACGAAAAAGTAAGTCAAGGACTTTGAATTAGAAGATAATGATTATGAAAATGAAAATATACATGATGAGGAAGATGAAAATTAAATTTCATAATAGAAAGGATTTAAAGGCAAATTTAAGAATAGCAAATTAGCCAAAGAAAAGGCAAACTAAAACTTGAAAAATAGATAAGAAATAAAAGTTGAAGATTCAAGTGATCAAGATGAAGAAAAAATTGAAAAAGTAAATAGAAGAATAAAAAAAAGTGATAATAAAAGAGATTTCAATGCTGAAAATGAAAAACCTAATATGAAAAGTGGGTTTAAATAAAAAATGACATACGCTCAGTTATTCAAGAAATAAAATAGAATGGATTAAGAAGAAGAAGAAGACTATGAAGAAAATTAATAAAGTGATGAAGATGCTTCACAGCAATCAGATTGTGAATTTGGGTTAAATGGAGAGAAATAAAAAATTAGTTATAATATTGCTCATATTTCTGAAATACAAAAAAAGAACTAAAGCAATAAGTCTCTTCCATTATTGCAAGTTCAATAAAAGAAAGAATAAAGTAGTGCTATTAAGATAGAGAATTCTAGCAATACTAGGCAGAGTATTTTAAGCAAAAAAAAGCCCCAAGCACCACAAGATGAGCCAAGAAGAGAGTAAAAAGAGCTGGATATAAGAGAATTGATGATGAAAAGAATGAATTAAGCAAATGTTAAAAATTGAATTATTTTTTAGCAGCTTTCATTGATTGATTAAGAGTTAAATTATTTTAATAATATTTAAAATAAAAACATTATTAGGTAATTACATTCAAATTATACATTTAAAATAAATGAAAATAAATTGCTTTATACTAAATTAATTTAATTACTTATTGTCTAAGCTTATTAATTAATAAAAATTAATATTCTTGTTGTGTTTGTAAACTTATCAGTTAAATTCATATACCTAAATAAATAAATACCATATTTAATATAGTTTGTTGATGTAAACAAATTTTTGAACTGTTATATCTAAGTGGGGAGCTCAGTAGCAGCTTTTGCATATGTTGGTTAGGTTATTTCATTCAGATATTTATTGAATAGAATTTTTTAGTGTAAATTAATAAAATTTACATTTGTTTTGTAAATACATACTTATTAAATGCGTTATTTTATTTACTATTTTTGTTTATGAATTATTAAATTAACAAATGACATAAGTAATAGAATTAAAATTAGACTGAATGCATAATTTAAAGTTAGTAGAGGTTATTAAATTATTTAGTAAGATATAAATAAAATATGATTAGAAAGGAACAAGATAGCAGCAGAAAATCATTAGGAGAAAAGTAGAATTTGAATGAACTTTAAAGATGGCTGAAAAAAGTGTAAAGGCTATCTCAGCATTAAAGTCGGTTAAGTATATAAACTTCTCATTCGCCTAAGAAGAACCAAATTAGAGCTTTAGAATTAAAATCTAAACTTCTCTTTTCTATTAATAATGAAGTCGAGCCTCCTCAGTAAAGTCAACTTGCTATTAGTCCTCACAAAAATGAAAATGAAAAAAATAGTTTGTTTCCACCTATATATAACCCTAATTTTACCCATTTAGAAGATGATAAGACGGATGAAAGAAGTGAATAAGATTTGAAAATAGTAGATAAACTCAATTTTTTTACACCTATTCAAAGATCTTAAAACAAATTCAGTCAAAGATTAATACAAATGAAATAAGTTTAAAACAACTAAGATAGTATCCAAGCTCAAAAATCTGGAGTTAATATTATAAGCTTTACACAGGCAAGATGTTTGATATAGCCCAAATTCATGGAAGACAAAGGAAGTATGTGTATTACTGAATTGTAAATTATTGATTTGTGGAAATTTATTTCTAATTAATTTAAAAAGTTAAGTAAATATATATTTGCTTTATTTATATTATTTTTATTTAAAAAGATGGCCTGAATAAATGAAGTAGGAGCTTATTTAAGTCAACACAAAATTAGAGGTATTAATTATTTAATTAATATTATTTATCAAGCAAGAACTTTAAAAAAGAGAATAAATAAATAAATATTTTATTTGTAAAACAATGAAATGATATTGATAAAATATATTTTTTATGTGATGTAATTAATTAGGAAGGATAAGATACTATAAAATCAAGAAATTTAAGAATGAGAGAAGAAGATAAAGAATACACTTAAAGATATAAACCTAAAAAAATGAAGCAGAATGTAGAAATATTTTTGAAAGTTAGAGATGATAGATAAAATATGCAGCTTTCTGAAATAAGTCCAGAAAATGTCATTGACAGCTATGGGTTAAGAAACTAAACAAAGAATTATAAAATATCTATTTAAAAGAAATTATATTAATAACACTCATCAAAGAGCTAAGATATAAAATACAACGCAGCCCAAAAACAGTTAAATGAGTAATATCTGAATTTATCTAATACTACAGATACCAAAAGATCTAGAAAATCTACATCTTTAAGCAGAAACAATGTAAATTAATACAATTTGTTTATTGTTTCATTATGAAAATAAAATATAACCAATATTTAATCATTTAAATTATTTAAATAGGGGAGTTTTTATAAAGATAGAATGTCTGATGAAATCGAAGTAGAGAATAATAAAATCCAAAATTTATCGACAAATGAATCTAAATAAAATATTCAAGATATCTAAAACGATTCCTTTTGTTAATATTATAATAAGAGCTTTGTCAATCAAAGCTATTAAAGCGCATAATAAAAAAATAAATTTATTTTAAAATTTTCACAATCTGGAAAGAATAATACAGATATTAATGAGCAATATCTTTTAAGGTAGGCCATACTCGATAAACATTTAGATTAAAAGAAAAGCTCTTATTGGAAAAACTATGAAGATGTTTCTTAAAAAATGCAACAAATAATATAAATTAAAGATGAATGTGAATCTTTGTTAGAAAATACTCTAGGATTAGATTCTTACTTAAATAGAGTTGATTAGGACTTTAATAAAAAAATAGATAGATTAGGCAAAAAAATTGAAAAGTACAAATGAAATAATTTTCAAACAATTTTATTTATTTATTTATTCATTTATTTATTGATTGATTGTATATATTGAATTAAATTGTTTATTTAACTTTAAGCTTAGTATAATAATTGTGAGTTTATTTTAGTCAAAATTATAAATGCATGATTAACACTTATTTTTTTAAAAGCTCAAAATTTTCAGAATACTTTTCTATTTTAGGTATAAATTTATATTAAAGTAATAATTTTACAAGGATTTAAACTATTTTATAATAGATTTATAAAAACGAAGTACTCTTCTATAAGAAAAAAAGTTTTTTTTATAAATTCTTCATGATTATTAAAAAATAATCCAAATTATTTTTATAGTGGTTAGCCTAATTGCATAAATAGCTTTGATATAATCAATAATAATTAATTTTATTTGAAAAGCTTGAATTGTAAAAAAATTTTTTTTATCTAATTAATTAATGTATGACAGTTTTTGCAATAAGGAAGTACTTGTATTTCAAAAAATTAATTAATTTAAAGGTATAAGAACAAAAAACTTTTACAAAAGGTAAATTTGTACTCAATTAATTCAAATTGCTATTATTTTGTTATCTAATCAAATGATAATTAATAGAAATGCTTTAGTGAAAGAAGGATTTATAACAAAGGAAGCCTTGAAAGATTATAAAATATTGAAATGATAATATATTTGAATTAGTTTTTAGATTTATTTTTAATATATCAAATTACTAAACAAATTTTATTTATGTTTAAAGTACTATTTGTATTGCTTTTAAATGCTAGATCATAATTAAAAATATTAGATATTAAATTCTAATTTTAGCATAAATAGTCATATTTTATAAATTTTAATAGAAAATAAGAGGAAATTAATGAGTTGAGATAGTTTAGTTACTTACTTACTTATTTATTTTCTTTTGCTTGTTAAATGAGTGAATCAACTGTTTAAATGCAATTAATTTTATGCTTAGTTTAGTTTATAATATTTACTTGAGTATTTTAAATATGATATGTAAATTGAGGGTATTGAACAATAATCAATCGTATTTCAAAAGTTTTATTTAAGTTAGAAGTGGTACTAAGTATCTATCTTCTAAAAAATCATTAATTGGTATATAATTACTCAATAGGTAAATAAGTACTTTTTAATTAATTTCAATTATAACAATATTTGTAGTAACAGTAAAAAAGATAAGGTATTTGGAAGATTTGTTTTAAAATTTACACAATAACAAACGACTTGATCTTATTTACTGAGAGGATAGTACATACTGCATGTCTGATAAAACTTATAAGCCTTCATCTGAAGAATTTTTCAGAAAAAATTCCTTTTTAAATTTAGAAAATTTAAAAAATTTCAACTCTTATGATCATTTATTGACATTGATTAGTAGTGGAACATAAAAAAGCATACCTGAAGACTTAGAATAGAAAGCGATTAGACTTCTAAAGTCCATTAAATGCAATTAAGAGAATTTAACAAATTTCACTGCTGAACAAGTGGAAGAATATTATTTTTAGTTAGTAAAAAACTTCTAGTTAGTAGAGTATAAAGGTCCAACAATAATTGATCCTCAGCAAACAAAAAATTTATATTTAGTGTTTTTTGGAGAAGTGACTTTATACACATAAAAGCATAATGAAGGAATGCAAGATTATTCTCCTGAGCGATACAAATAGCTAGATTAATAGACTATTAAAAGCTTTCTAAATCTAAGTAATTTTGTTTTATTATTTATTCAGTGAATTCGAGACTACTTAATATAATTTCCACTAGAATTAAGAGAAATTCATTTGAAATTACAAGTTTTAGTAGTAGTAATCTATATTAATAATACATTCTCCATATAAACTAAATTCATGCTTAAATATTAATAAATAATAATATAAAAGACTTATAAGAAGAAGGAGAAATTATCAAAAATATTGCACCTAGTAAAGACTATTCCTAAGTTGCAACTACAAGCTAAGAAGAGTTTCTTTTTAAAAACTTTGAAGTATTCAAAAAGCTTCTTCCAGGGAGTATTAATTAATTACTTAATTAAATTATATTTTTAGTTAAATATTTGGACTCTTATTGCTAAGTTTCCCAATTATAGAATTTTGTTTATACGGATTGAGGATTAAGCGAAATTTCACATAATTTTTTAGTGAAAAGACAAATTATTCTATAACTAAAAAACTAGAACGATATTTGCTTTCCACATAAAGATTTTTTAGGAATTTCAAAATTAATTTATAAATAAACAGATTTATTCGGAGAGGTTAAATAGATACCAGAATTACCTAAAAAATATCTAGCATTTATCAGCGAAAATGCAATTTTGGCTCAAATTGAAAAGAAGGATTTAGATAACATATAGAAAATATATATGAAAGAATTATATTTTAAGGTAAATCAGCTTAAAAAGCTTTTGCCTAATGTAAATAACAAATCAATTATCTAATTAAGTAAAGACTTAGTATCTAGAAATTATGTAAAAGACTAAGTAATTTATAGTGAAGGAAGTGAATCTGATTGTATTTATATTATAAAAGAAGGATAAGTTACTTTTGTAAAAAATTATAATGAAATCGTTAAACCAACGACAGATTAAATGAATCAAGAGGGAGAAGAAGATGAAAATTCCCATTAAATTTTGATGAAGCACAAAGTATTGAAAAACTAGATTGAACTCAGTAAAATGAGTGGAGGTTCAATTTTTGGAGAAGATGAAATATTTTTGGGAACTCTAAGGAACAATACAGCTAAAGTTTCTTCAATAAATTTGGATGTGTATGTTCTAAAAAAGGAGTAGCTTTTTTAGGTAATCTCTTAAGCTAACTCTAATTCAAATTAAAACTGCTAAAATTATTTAGAAAATATGAGGAGACATTCCCTAAAAAAGTAGGATTTCTATGAAAAAAGAATATTAATTAACAAGAAAAAAATCTAAAATATTGTAGAAAACCAAAGAAAAGCTAATTCTCCTCATCTTTAAAGAGGTTTATCTGGAATTATAAATGAAGGGCTCGAGTAAAAATCTCCTAAAGAAGCTTACAGCTTTTTTAAAACTACTTCGAAAGTTGCTACAACAGATAATCACTAAATAAAATAGTACAGTCAACTTTCTTAAAATAACAGAAACTTATCTTATGAAAATCAAGTAAAAAATAACCAAGCAGATTTAAGTTAAAATTAAAAAGAATAATAGAATTCATAAACAGGTAATCATCAATCAATAATTCATTCATTATTTTAATTAATTTGGCTAAATATTTACTTTCATTACATCCTAAAAATAGTTTCTTCTACAAATTTTATGGATTAAACTAAAAATTTTAAAGATTTCCCAGTTTATTTAATCAAGCTTTTGTTGATAAAGTTAGAATTATAAACCATAAGAAAGAAAGTGATTTTATTTTTTATTAATTCTTTAACAATAAATAAAAGATCAAATATTAACAAATTGAAGGAACTAATTTTTAATGAAGTTAAAAATTTAATCAATTTATTACTAAATAATAAATAAAAATACTTTTTATAAAATATTCTAATGGCAAATTCTCATAAAAAAATTATAAATTATTTTTGTTAATTTTAAAACAATGAATAAATGATTAAAAATTTATTAATAAAACTGATAAATATTTTATGGTATAAAGAACTGCCCTAAATTTATTTCCAATGTAATGATTTATAGCAATTTTTATCAAATATTTTCATATATTCAAACTATATCAAATGGTTATTTGCTCATAAATTAAATAAATTATAAATTATTTTTATTAAAATAATCAATACAAACTCAAAAATTTATAAATACATGGGGAAAAATATTTTATGGCAAAAAATATTATCAGAAATTTATGACTAAATAATAATTTTTTGCAATTTTTATCAAATATTTAATACATTCAAATCACAACTTATTCATAATGTTAACTTTATAAATTAGATGTTTTAAATTAGTTTGAAGGAATTACTTTGAATAAATAAAGTGTAAGTAAAAAACAGCAGAATAATATTTAAAATTAAATGTAGAGAACATAAAAAATAAATAATCAAGCTAATTAGAAATAGGTTTCTGCTACAGATGAAATTTAGTAGCTTGTTTAAACAAACTAGCAATTCATGAAAAAAACAGGCTAAAATGTTAAAAAATTTGGATTTGATAATCCTCTTTTTGATGAAATCGCTAAGAATTAAATTCAAAGAATTCGTTAAATTAACGAAGATTACCTTAAAATGAAAGATCCTAAGAAGTACAGAGAGAAGCCAATGCATTAAAAAAACTAAATTATTTAAAAAAGAATGAGTAAAATTTTAGATTTGACTATTAGGAAATAACAAAATAATCAGAATCATCAGTAAGATAGCAAAGACGGAAATCAAGATGATGCTGGCTATAAATTGAAAGAAGTTTCTAGTAATATTGCTTCTCCTAGAATACAAGATGTATAAAAAATAGCAAGCTTAAACAACTTCATTAGTAGCCCAACTTAAAGTATTAGTAATATAAATAACAGTTAAACAAATACTTGTAGTAATCTCAATAAAAAGAGTGTTAACTCTTAAAACGGATTGCTATCTAGCAGTTAGCAAATACCTGTCCAGTTAAAATTTAGTCTGAAGAGCAAGTTTTTATAACACAGTGATTCTCCTACTACTAGATAAATAGACTAAAGTGATAGTCCTATTTAAGTAAATAGTTTAATCTCAAGTTATAGAGATAGTCCTATGAATAGAAATTAATCAGATAAAAAAGTTGGCTTGACTTTTAATAACTTCTAATAGAGTCTCTAAAGAAGCGAATAATAGCAAGTATAAAATAATTTAGCTCCTCCACAAAGTAAATTTAGTTAGGAAGCAAAATTACAGAATGAAGTAGAATCAAGTCTTTTGAAAGCAGAATAAAATTTAAGAAAATTAGAAGATTTTAAAATGAATTCTAATACAATTTAAAACCAAAATGAGGTTTAAAAAGGTTTAAGCAAAGACTAAAGGACTCCTGAAAAGAGGCAATACGAGGAATACTAAACTTAGCCTTTCCTAAGAAAAGTTAGTACTAAAAATATTTCTGAAGAAAAGCAGTAGCAAAACTATATTTTAAGTTAAAAATAAAAGTAAAATCTTCAAATAAAGATACCAAAAAATGATTACTGTGATGTCTTGTAAGAGGATCTAACTACTGTAAAATCAAATCAGACTGTTTATTATTTAAATCATTGCAGCAAAAATAGACATTTAGTTAGAAATTCTTCATAGTAATTTTAGTCTCAAGACTTTTAAAGTAATAAACATCCATTTACAACTGTTAGCACTCCTTCAAATCAGCTAAACTAAAAATTGAGCTATAATCAATTTTAAGATACAAGTTTAAGCTATAACAATACTCCTTTTCATATTCCAAAAAGCTAGTCGTTTGGGAAAAAAAATTTATAACTTGATACCTAAGAAGAGTCAAAGAATTATTTTGAAAAAAGATATTAAGATGATACTTTTTCATAGGTATTTTAAATTTCTCAAACTTAATTTAACTAAAATAGTAAGGTATCGTTAGCTGACAACAATTCTATAGATTAATTAAATATTTCTAACAACAATTAATAGAATTTAAAACAACCATATATAAATAATTCAAAATCTATGAACTAAATTTTTAAGTAAAAAAATCAACAGTTAAAAAACAACTATTTTTAAAAACAAAATAATATGTTTTTGCTGAACTCACCATAAAATCACCTGATTTTTTATAAAAACAATTAAAATGTATAATCTTAATCTTAAATATTCCAAAACCAGTAAAGATTCCTTTTTAAAAACGGAGGACATTTCTCTCACCGTGTCGATTCGAGTTTAGTAAATATATTTTTTTTTACAAGAGCTTTTTTATATTTTTAAAAATTTATTTATTTTATCATTTATTTTAAGTTTCTATTTATGATTAAAATTTATTAAATTTTTAACAATTTAAAATATTTTTATCACTATTTCAGCAAAAAAACTAAAAACATTGCAATATGTTAATTTATATTATCATTCCAGTCATTACTTAATTTTAAACCTTTAAAGAAGTTATTTAATTCTAAAAACCATTCATTACTATATTTAAAAATTAAGGTTTAGCAGATTTAAAATAAATTTTTTAATCAATTAAAATTTATTAAATAAAAAAATAGTTTAAAATAATTTATTTTTATCAAATTTTTCAATATCAAGTCTAAAAATATTTCAATATTTAATATAAATTAATTATTATTATTTTCATTCTATAAATTTAATATTTTAAAAATGTAATTTAATTGATGAAGCTATTAATAATTATTTTTTATTAAAATATAAAGGTTTAGCAGATTTAATCTCCTAAAGGGAAATAATAAATTTAAAATGAAATAGTAAATTTTCATACTTTAAATAAAAAGAATTAAAATAAAATTCCTTTTTAGAACCAATTTTCATAGTTATAAAATCAAAAAAATTCTCTTGTTAATTAAAATACATTTTAAATCCAACCTCCAAATTCTCCTTTATCAAATGAAAAACAAGCTCTTTACAAAATTGTAAATAACCTAAACTGATATTAAATAAAAATGATTTTATATTTAAATTAAAAATTTTGATTTTATCTTATGTTATATAAATTTATAATAAAAAAAATGTTAGTTTGTAAAAAGTGTTATTAAAAATTTACATTATTTAATAATTTATTACAATTTTCCACATATCATTTTTTAAATAGTTAAATAAATAAGAATTTTCTTTTGGAATAGTTAATTTAGATCTATTAGAAATAATGAAGCTCTTTAAGCATAGAAATTTTAGCTTGTTGCGAACTTAAAAGCAATTTTTTAGTAACAGTATGAGTGGCAAAATGCCTAACGGGCAAACAGTTCCTTATGCAAATAGGATGGATTTAGCTGGTATGAATTTTTAGCAATTGCTTTAAAATTTTATCCTTTATTTTACTTATTTATTTACGCTAAAGATTGATTGATATTTTTTTAATGCCAAAAAGATATTTAAGGAAGGGAGCTTCCTCTTGTTAATAAAATAAAAGACATAATTTTAGTAAGAATGCAATTAGCTTAGTGCTTTAAAAAACTTAAACTTGTTATAAAAAATAAACAAAGGAAAAAGGACCAATTAGTATGAACGAATATTGGAATATTTCTCTATTAGATGAAAAACATGGTAGAAAAGTATTTTGATAGCTCAAAAAAATAGAAATTTAACATGAAAAAATATATGAAAAACAGGATATTATATGAAGAATGATGTGATTACTGCTAAAGGAGATTTTATAACTTCAGTAGAAATATCGTAAATGTTTGGTGAAGTAATTAATTGTTTTATTAAATTATTTATTAATTTAATTTTTAGTTTAATCTCTTCATATCTATTTTATTTATCAAAATGATATCAGAAACGCAAGAAACAAATCTTAAATAATTATTAAAATTTATAACAAAATATGATTTTAAATAAATTGCACATAAAAAATAATTTTGTTTTTGTAAAATATGACATTCAAAAATCTATTAAATATTGTAGATATTAGGTATATGGGCTATAAATTTCCTGTAATAGATAAAAGCAATTGACTTACAAAGTTAAAAGAGAGACAGAAGTAAAAAGAGGTTTTCTTTGTTGGAATTTGGACCAGGAAGAGGTACTCTTATGAGTGATATTATCAGAGTACTAGCTTAATTTGATTTGTTGGATGGTATTGAAATAAATTTCGTAGAATTCTCTCCATTCATGAGAAAGCTTCAATAAGAAAAAGTAGTTAAGGAACTTCAAAACAGGGGAATATACATGACTTACAATGTGGACAAGGCAAAGAGGAGTCAAGTGGAGGAATTTAGATGCGAAGACCATGATAGGTTCGTGTGTCTGAGGTGGTTTAAAATGTATGAAAATATGCTTTTTGAGGATTTTGGTGACTACGCTCTTTAGCAGCTAGACAAAGAACATGCAAAAACACTTAGTAATAGATAAAAAATATAATTATTTCTCAAAATAATAAATAAATAGTGGTGGATTTAGCATTTAATCACAAATCACTATTTATTTCAATTTTCTTAAACCAAAAAGGTAAATGTAATCAAATGCAATTTTAATTATTATAAAAAAAGCTCCTATTGTTGTTTTCGCTCACGAATTCTTTGATGCCCTACCAGCAAATGTTTTTGTTTATCAAAATAATTACGGATGGTGTGAGAAATTAGTAAATATCTGCCATGATCCATCTAAAATGTAATTGTGTGTCAATATAGACATAAAATTTAATTTTTATGAAGCATTTACAAAATCAACGGATTTTATTATAAAATAAAATAAAATAAAAAGGCGTAATTTTGAATACATTACTACAGACGGACCTAATGAAAACGTAAAAAAAATTTTGAGACCAAATGTTTCTTTTACAGAAGAACAGAAAAAAAACATTAAGCATGGAGATCAAATAGAAGTCCAACCAAAGTCACTTGTTATCACAAATTCTCTAGCTGAATTAATTTCAAAAAGAAACGGAGCTATGCTAGCTATTGACTATGGTGAGAACCAAGCCTTCTCAGACAGTATTAGAGGTATTAGAAGACACAAATTTATTAAGAATGAGGACATTTTAGAATATCCTGGAGAAATCGATCTTTCTGCCTACGTCAATTTTGCTCATTTGTCTTAAGCTGCCAAAAAGGTTCCTGGAATTAGCACACCTAATCCTATACCACAAGGCTTATTTTTAGAATCTATGGGTCTAAACACTAGATTGGAAGTAATCAATCTTATTAAATTAAAGAAAAATACACAAATATTTTTTCTATTAAGAATTTTTTTAAATGAATTTCGATAATTTGAGTGGGAAATGTCCCAAAGAAGATTTCCAGTTTTTTAAAACTTAAAAATTTGTATTCCAACAAATCCTTATAAAATATCTAATATTAAAATAAAATGTAAAATTTTATAGATGCTCTGTAGACAAGTCAACCAAATAAAGCAGAAACAATTCGAGTAAGAGTATTTTAGGTTAGTTGCTCCTGAAGAAATGGGTGGAACCTACAAAGCCTTTTATATGGGACTAGAAAAAAATGGAGAAATTTTTCCATTCATTGAAGAACACTAGCAAGTCTATTATTGATTATTTGTATACTCAAAATAACTTTATGTACTTTTTTCTTTTACAATAAATAAAAAACACACATCTTATTTCTTTCTAAAGACTTAAAAATATCTATCTATCTATCTTAACGTATTTTAAAAAGTATATCTTTAAATTTATAAATATGTAAACGTATTTTTATAAAATAATACATGCTAAAAAGTACTTTGTTCAAAGTTAATTACCTTAAAATTATTTAAGTAATTTAAGTTCATTAATGTTATCAGCCATTAAATAGTTAATTTTTTTGATCAGTACTTCTCATTTAAGTCAAAAAATATATATTAAAATTTTACAAAAGTAACGAAAAAAGTAAAATTAGAATATTATCTTTATTCCTTCCAATTGATATTTATCATTTTAATCTATTTATTTTTTGGCAGGTCACTAAGACTGAAATGTTATTTGTAATAATTTTTAAATAAATCTATTAATCTCAAAAATCTATGAAATTTAATTTAGTGAGTGATATTTGAAATATGGGAAATACTAAATTTAGATATAAAATGAATTAATGATGATAGATTGATTTTTTTGTAATTTAAGTATACTTTTTATTAAGGAAAGCTATTTAAATCCAATAAATATATAAGTGTAAATTTGGATGATTAAGATTAATTAAATTGATTAGTTGTTAATTACTATAAGCAATAGATAGATGACTACAAACGGATGCATATAAAATTAGATTAATAATAAAATATAGCTTACATTAAATAAATATTATGTGTCTGAAGAAAGAAAAAGATAAGAAATAGAAAGATAAATAGATAGATTAATAGCTAGATTATTTAGAAATATTTAATTGAGTTAGTAGAAATTGATAAGAAGTTTAATTTGTTTATTTTGTCACTTTGATTTAATAAAGGTAGAGAGAGAGAGATAGATTGATGCATATGGGTTCTCATTCAATAAATTATAAGTTAAGTCAATAAATTGTATTTATTAACGCCACTTATTAATAATGAATATGAGAAATTCATATGCTTTATTACAATTATTATTTTTTATGGTAAGGTCTTTTGTTGTTATTTGTGTTTATGGTTATCATTGATAATTAGAAATTTATTATTCATGAAATTTGATAAATATTTTTGTTTATTTTATAATTTGATTGCGTACTTTATTGATTTTTATTTTAATTAAGCATTTTTAAAACTTTTTTAAGAAGAAGGATGGAAATACTAGAAATTAATTCACTGACTAGAAAAGTAAGATTAGTAAATTTATCTTTATTTAGCCTATTATATGAGAAGCTCACTCAAAATTTTAATCAGCTTCACATTCGAGCAAAGGAGTCCCAGTTAATTACTGGTAATTAACAATTATTAATTAATGGCCTTAAAAATATTTAATAATGTAAGAAAGATAGCTAAGCAAATTAGTAGCACCAAATAAAATAAATATTAAGCATCTTTCAAATTTAAGAAGATTTAAAGAATTTTTCTCTTTTTTTTTTTATGTTTCTCCAAAATTAATTATTTTATCATTTGAGGTGAGTGAAGGAAGAACAGACAAATTTAAAAGATCTTAGAAAAGGTGTTTTTAATTTATCAAATGAAAGGTTCAAATCTGATTATTATTATTTTTGTATGTTTGCTTGTTTGTTTTTTTGTTTAATTTTTTTATTTTTTGCTTGTTTTTGTTTATTCTGTGTGATTGATAAAGTTTATTTAGTTACAGTTAGTAGAAAAATTATTTGCAAGTAAAAATACTTAATAAATAAGGGTTAGAGTCAGCCAGCTTGTTTGTCATGAATTCATTAATTCATGATTCTGAGAGCTTTGAAAATAATCCTCTTAATTCGGGATCGATGGAATAGCTGAGGTCAGTTTTGGATAAGTTAACGTAAGGTTCCAAAAGCTACCTGAACTCTTGGATGCAGGTAACATTTTTTAACTTAGATGCACTCCATATGATATTGCATATGTAGCTTTTGACTTAGTCAGTAACATTCTTGTTCAAAAGATTGTGGGTTTCTTCCTCTATTCCGCTACAGCACTCAAGCAGCATTTCATATATCTTAATTTGGTTCATCGAATTAATCAATTTGAGTGAAGAACCTTGCATTTTGGTGCTATCGGAAGATTGACCTTTTTCAATAATGTCATTGATAGTTTTTTTATTTGTTTCAAAGACTTTTTATAATGTTTCAATTTCAGCCTTTAATTAGTGCTCAAATTCCATACAGGCGATTTCCAATCTCATCAAGCCTGGAACATTGTCCAGGGAAGAAGAAGTCCTCTTTGAGGAAATAGAATATTTTTTTTGGATAGATTTTGCAGAAGCGCAGCCTCCCATTTAGTTTGGTGATTTAGTAAGGTTATGAGAGATAATTTGAATTTAAAGTAAGTGGTATTTGATAATTTAATAATTTATTTGTTTTATTTATAAATTAATTATTAATTTATTGAAGCAATTAAATGTGATGTATAAAGCAGAGTAATTTACTATTTATTGATTTTTTTTATTTAACTTTATTGTTGATTAAATATTTTTTTTGTAAAGATTATAACTAATTTTCTTATCAAAAAAAGATTTTTATATAGATTTAATTGACTTTAATTAGATTTAAAAAATTCGTCTAGATAATTCAATTTATTACTTTTAGTCAAACACTAGGGACCTACCTCCCTCCCTACCTACCTACCTGTCTTTCTAACTATCTATTAATAAATCAATCAATAGGTCTTTAATATTTAATTAATTAATTTATTTGTTCAAAAGAATTTACAAGTGATAATTAATTATAAGGGGTTGTATTTTGTCAGGTTGAGATCGATAATAATATTACTTGCAAAAGTAAATATTGATTATTTAAGTATATACAAAATATTACCAATTTAGTAACTTAAGGAAATTATTAATTATTTTGAGACTTGAAATGCTTAATTTATTTCTGCATTCACTATCACCAATTTCTGCTTTTCAAGAGTTATTTTTCTATATCAAATTTTTATATTTTTCATTAGTTAAATTATTGAGTTGTTGTACCGCCCTACATCAAACTATTTAAGAGTTCTTTTAAAGAGGTGCTAGTAAATTGAATATTAGTTTTACCATGTAAAATTAAAAAGAGCTGTATCAAAGCGAAAAAATAAAGTAAAGCAGAGTCAAGCTTGCCTCTAGTTGCATTATATTAACATCATCAATTAATAAAATAAAATAAAATATACAAACAATAATCGCCCCCACACATTTTACACCTTTATTAGGCCTTTATCTTTTTTAATCATCCAAAGTAAAATCTGACAATCTTCGTTAGTACTTACAAATTCTTTTCTTGTTAAAATAAATATTCTGAGCTTTTCTTAATTTTTTATTTTAGGGTGAGTGGGTAATTTAATCATTCCTCAATATTTATCTTTTATTATTATTTTAATTGAATTGAAAGGTCTTGCTACTTTTTTTTGTTTTGTTAATATGACGCTACTACTTATTAGTGATTACATTTAATACTCTACCACTTTCTAATTTCGGTTTAACTTATTTTTCGTTGTACAATATTTTGTGAATTTATTTTCTCCGCTCTCCTTTCTCTGTGAATGTTCTTTAATCAAATTTTTCTTCACTAATATAACATTTTTTAATTTTGACTATCTATCCACTCCTTTTCTTCCTGATTAATAAAATACTAATCAGAAAAATCTTTCTTTTGTGTTTTTTATCTAGATTCCATTTTCACTTTACTCTAAAAGACCTTCCTAAAATATCAGACAACCAAAAAAGTAAAGACACTAGTTCAAACCTCAAGCAGCGTTTATTCTAAAGAAAGCAAGCCTTTTTTATCAATATTTGTTTTTTGAAGTAAGTTTTAAGTGATTTTTAAAAAAGTGATATTAATTGATCTATTCTAAGAAATTACAATGGCTTTACATTTAATTTATTTTTTGCATATTATAACTATTTTTTAATTTTCAGGTATAAATTAAGCAATAAAAAGTAGAAGTGCGCATTATTGAGACAGATTTTGCTTGCAATTGATAATTTAGACTTCATTTTTTTTGAATTATTGCTGTAAAGAAAATCAGAAAAGCATTTAAAATAGGACAAATTTAAATAGTTCCAACACATTTGAAAGCTAAATCTTGATCGATTAATAAATAAAAAGGTTTATTTCCAATTATTTTTGACTTTATTGATAAGCTATAATTCAAGATTCAAGAAAGTAATCATCTTTTTCACATAGACCACTACTAATAACTCTATTAATCAAAGCTATAGAATAATTCATTATCATCCACTCACTAATATTGTTTTTATTTGAATTAGAGAAAATTTGCAGCCTAAGAATCTAATCCAAAAACTTTTCGCCTGATTTTTCAACAAGGATAAAAGTTCTCATTTTTTTTCTTATTACTCTCCCCATTAGATAAAAATTTAGTTAAAAAATAGCAAGTTGATAAAAATTTAGAGAGTGCTTAATTATAGAAAATAGATTAATATAGAGAAAAAAATTTTTTGAATTGTAAAAAAAAAAAAAAATGAAAAAGTAAATAAATTTATGAGAAATTAAACAGTAAATTCCATGATACTCTTCTTGATTTTGATGAAGTTAATTTATAAAATTTTCACTTGAAGAGTAATCTTGTGTATTAATAATTTGAATGAAAAAAGTAAAGAAAAAGAAAAGAAAAAGAAACAAATAAATTAAAGATATTTACTGGAATAATATTTGTTACAGAAAATTTTATTTAATTTCTAATTTTACTTAAGTAACATGTATTTAAAATACGAAATTAATTCAACTTGCATATGATATTTAAGATATCACTTATAATTATAATTCAATCAAAAATCTTTTACTATTTTATTCTCATAAAGCTATTATTAAATTTATCTCATTTTTAACATCTTTGCTTGAAATTAAAACTTGTTACACTTTCATTAATTAGATCCAATAAGCCATTTAAAATATAAATAAATAAATCTATAGCAATTTATTGATATTCTAAAATATTTAAATAATAAAAAAGAATATAAAAAAATGATATCCTTAATTTTATCAAATTTTAGCGATTTAATTTTTTATCAAATCAGTGTATTTATTTACAGGGGCTATAAAATTTAACAGATTTGAGTCATATTACATCAATATTTAAATTAATGCATTATTTTATTTTAAAATGTAATTAAATTAATCTATAAAAGGTTTATATTATGTGCTTGCATTTGCTAATTTTAATTAAATTAGCCGCAAAAAGAGCTAAACTTAATTATAAAAAGCTAATATAGGATTAAGATAATTATTATTTAGTGTAGGTCTCACTGTCTCATTTAGATAAAATATATCTAAGAATAAATTTATTACTAATTGTGCTATGTAAATAAATATTTTATATGATAATTTGCACGCATGAATAGAAAAAAATACTTAATCATAAAAAACTAATATAGAATTAAAATAATTATTATTTAATGTAGATCTAGTTGTTCTGTTTAGATAATATACATCTAAGAATAAATTTATTACTAATTATGCTATGTAAATAAATAAATACTTTATTAATTTGCACACATGAATGACATGCATGAATGTTAGTGAGAAAAATCAATAAATTCTTTTAAATATTTTATTTATTTAAAAAATATCCATTTCTTTAACAAGACACCATTTTTATAACTTAATCACTCTTTTTTTTCAACTTTTAGCATTATCTGCTTAAGTTTGCAATCTGAGTCAAATATAGAGTCACTATCATGTTTTACTCCATTTTTAGTTTACATAAATTCGGATTCTTGGTCTATTTATATTTGTTAATTTTTACGTTCTTAAATAAAAAAATGTAATTTAAATGCTGAAATTATTTAGGATTTTGTTAAATTTACTATGAATAATTATAAAAATAATCATACATATTTATTTTTAGATTGACTTGTTTACAAATTTACTAAAAAAATTTGATTACTTTCATCTCAAAGTATTTTTTATCAAAAAAAATTTAGTTGAATAAATATTTTGAATAGTGTTTTAATTGTAATCTAATTTATAAAATTAGCTTCAAAATTTAAGTAAATAACATCAGGTGTTCGTACCAACTCAGATAAACTTTACAAAAAATTGGTTTACAATTATTCAAATAATTTATAGGAAATTTTTAAGATTTGTCATATAATTATTAGTAACCTGATATACTAAATATCTATCTAACTAGAAGTTCTCAAATGAAAGTATTCCAAAAAATTTTATACGAGTAGGGGGATAGGTGGGGAGAGATTATAAATTATAAAAGCAATAACATTTTTGAATATTTTAAAATTAGACTTTCTTATTTTTGTACATATATAATTTAATTTAATTTACCTGTTGAGAGACCCATATTCTTTGTCGACTTATTCCAATTATCACTGCTAGTTTCTCTTAGAGAAATAATATTTTCTTTAGGATCAAATAAGACCGGCTCATATTTCAAGCTATAACTTTCTGAATCAGAATGCTATTTTATTTTCATCATCACCATCGAAACTTACCCAGAAACGATAAGTTTCTTCACTAAACTCCAATGCATAGACACCTTTATTGTATTCACTCTTTTTTTTAATATAAACGTAAATCTTGGGAATGTCCTTCTTAAAGAGTCTTCGATTTTTCTTACATATCTATGATGCTCTATCAGAGCATATATAGAAAGATAAATGTACTTAAATACAAAGTAAAAATTTATTATCTGTATGAGAAAAATTATGAATCCCATCAAATAACTGGGTTATTGCCAAAAATAAGTTTATAGGTTGACATCATTTTGCCTTTAGGCTAGATTATCATAAATCAATGAGAGAAAAATAGTAAACATAGCAATAAAAATACTTTCTGACTCTAAGTAATTAATTTAGTTGGACAAAAAAGGTTAAAATTTTATCAATATTGTTTCATAGCTGATCAGTACAAATAAGCAGGTTAATCCACTTATGCTTTTTTCTTCATAAAATTCAGTCGATAGAAAGGCAATTAAAATGCGAACGACTAATCTAATGAACTCCCAATAAAAAAAATTTTCTTTGTATTCAGTATATAAAAAGCGAAATTTAAATTGCATTTTTATTTTTACAAAAAGTTGTGATTTTCTTTTCCATAAAAATGTCACAAGCCCAACTGGTATGACTAAAATCCATAAAACAAGAAGAGGATACATGAGGAAGTACCTATATGCTACTAATGTCTAATTATCACAACTCATTGATAAATCCAAATAAGCAAATGAGTTAGAGCCTATCTGTCTACAAGCTTGGGCTTCAAGCAAAAACAACACAATGTTGAACTGAAGCAAACTGATAAGTGCATAAAATATTGTTGTAAACAAAGAATAGCGTCTCTATAGCGATGATATCTTTCCAAATATAAATAAAATGCCAAAGACGACTGCTATAATAAGGATAAAACAGAATGGCAAAAGTGCAACAATTAAAAGCTTAATTAATATAAATAGTTTAAATTATTTTTTAGAGAGAAAATTTTACCTTCTAAAAAAGAATATTTGATTGAGATGTTTAATTTAGAAAGCAGTCAAAAGATATCAAAGACTCATTCACTGGCTAACTCATGGTATCCATGACAATACTAAAAAATCCGTATGGTCTCACTTAAAATAATGCAATCACCTAAGAAATCTATAAGAAACTCAAAAACAGCTTAGCATAAATTCCAAATAAATTTTGTTTGATGATTGAATTCCCAAAAATACCTAATCCTATTTTTCTCATATAATTACCTAGAATCGTATTAAGAGTATTTTTATAAGCACTTCTACAAACAATAGCTGAAAAGATCATTATAGCTAAAAAGGTTAGCACTAATTTAACAGTGTTATATGAAATATCTGAGCATAAAGAACATTAATAGTTATGGTTTTCAGTATATGACTAATTCCAATATTACCCTAAATATATTTAAATAAAATTGTAAAAATTAATAAATATAATTAATTAATTACCAGCCAAATCGCATTGCTCACACAAAGGACCAATGTGTCCTTTTTAACAAATCTAATTACCATAAAACTGACCTCCTAAGCAAGACATTTTAGAGTTAGAGCACTCTAAAATATCTGAAGAAGTTTCAGATTCTCTCCAAAATCCTTATTCCAAAATGAGCACATTTCTATAAGATTCATTAACACCTTTGAATAAAAAGTTAAAGAAAATGATTATAAATTATACGAAATTAAAATATGCTATTCAGAAATAAATTTCATTAAGTATTTTATCAAATTAAATAATTGTATTTAGATGCTTTAAATAAAGAATTAATAAAATTATACTTAATTTTTAAATATTATAAAAAAATTTGATAAAATTAGAATAAACTATCCAGAAATTAATATCTATAAATATTTTGTGAAGTTAAATAATTTTAAATTGTAGATTGATGCTTTAACAATAAATTAATAAAATTATATTTATTTACTTAAATTTTTTTGTTTGAAATCATAATCTAAATTTTTTATTTGAAGTTTTTTATTTCATAAAATTAAACAATTTCAATTGTTGGTAAAATTTTAAAGTTTAAGTATTTAATAAATAAAGAATTAATATTATAATTTATATTATAATGTTTAAATTTTATAGATTTAAATCATCAATTTTAAAAATTTATTTTATTTATAGTTTTAAAAAATTATATTTCTATTCAAAAATGAGATAATTTTAATTTCATTTACCTTTTGTTGGAATAGGTAGACAAGACTTAACACTATAAGGATTTTGAAAGCTGAATGTGTGGTTTGGACAAGAAAAACACAAAGGAAGACCTCCTTGTGAAATATAGACTTCTCCTACAACACACTCCCTAAATTCCCATATAATTTAAATATTTTTAACGGAAGCTATTTATGGAAAAATTTGTAGAGTTGTATTTAGTGTAATGTTAGGCCTAAAGTTAATTTAGTATATCAGCTCGAAAGAACCATCTGGAGTTTATTCCAAAGAAGTAATTTGATTGGTTACATCTTCTATTTTTTCTGATGGAAGAATATTTGTTTGGTTGTTTATTTATAATTATGCAAAATAGCTTTATGAATATTGTGTGCTTTGAATTTCAGTAAGATTCGGATAAATTTGAATATTTTTTGGTTAATAAATCATCTAATTTTTATTATCATCAGATAGTATTAAATTTAATTTAACAAAAGAATTTGATTTAACATTTTTAACTTTGTAAGTTTTAAAAATATTTTCTTAATATATTTACAGTTCTTCTATTTATAAAATTTATGAGTTATTATTTTAAAACTCTTGATCAATTTCAGTAGCACTCACCAATTTTATATCTTAAATATCTTAAAAAATTGTATTTCCAGATTGGCTAGCTTCGTTACCTGTAATAATTTAATCGATGTTCTATAATTTTTTATCATCTATTGATAAATTCATAATCATTTAACAAAAAAATGCTCCTCCAAAAGCAGCAGAATTTTAAGTAATTTAGGTGACTGGATCTGATTAAATTATTCCTTAAATAACTAATTATATTTTTTAAAATTTAATTTAATTTATTTGGTTTTGCCTTTTAATAAATTATAAAAATGGGTCAAGGCTATTTATAAAGGATAAATTGAACTTTTGAAGTTATTCGGGTAAAAAGTTTTCAAAGATAAATTAATATGTAATTTGGTTGACAAATTAAATAATGTAAGCTGTTGAATCGAATTGATTTAAATTAAAATATTAAGTAAAAATAAAAATGGTATAATAAATTTTAATTAAATATTCAAAAATAAATGTATAATTGATTACTTTGAAAACAATAAGTTAAACTTAAAAAAATATTTTTTTAAAAGATTGTTTTCGAAAATAAAATTTATGTTTTAATTATGGTAAAAAAAATATTTTTAATTAAATTTACTAACGTCGTAAGCAATGTTAAATCCAAAAACACCTCCTACTTTAGCATAATTCTAAACAAATTATGAGCCATTTATGTTTATTTCTTCTATTTATTATTAAGTATAAATCACACCACCTGTAGAGAAAACAGCAGAATTCTACTTAAATTTAGATAAGTAGAAGTTCAGCTATTACAAAATTTTTAGAGAAGCAAGTATTCCTCCACTTTATAAGGCCATATTTTCATTAAACTCACTCATCATAAAACTTAAAATCTAAATTTGATCTATACTGAAAATACCTCCATTTTAAAGTACTTTATTCATAAACATTGTGCTTTGAATTACAACTAATTAGTCAGAAATAACTTTTCCAGAAAAAACACCACCTGATTAAAGAGCTTAATTAGAGATAAAATTACTGCTATCAATAAATATGTACTATATTTCCTAAAAGAATACTACTCCTCCATTTATTGAAGCTGTATTATTAAAAAAGTTTGATTACTAAATTTTAAGACTCGTTAAGTAATCCATATTAATAGCCCCTCCATTCCCTTAGGCTACACATATTCCTTAGTTATATGTAAAGTTAGATTTTATTATTACAAAAGTGGACTCTCTTGTATTAGTCCTAGCAGTTATTGCAGCCCCATAATATGCTATATTCTAACTAAAAGTAGATTCTTCTGCCCTAAATGAATTGATATTCATAACTTCTAAAGCTCCTCCAATATTGTCTTTTATAATTCAAAAAATTCTCATTAAAACTAAAAAATTTCTCAATTTTCAAAGATATTTAAAAATCAGTGAACAAACTTAAAATAAAATAAAATAAATTTACTCTCAAAAATATAATTTTTTATAAAAAAATAATAAAATTGATGTAAAAAAGCATTACTTATAAATTTAGAACTTAATATTATCACAGAAGGAAAATCTAACTGAATAGCTTTGTAAGAACTGATTCTTTTAGGGTTAATTTTTAGTATATTTTAATTATCAGATGAACCACTTTCAATTAGAGTGATATTATTAAAAAGAGCTTAAGCCCTGAAATCTTTTGAAGAGGCCTTGAATATTCCTCCTCTATATTAATCACTAAAAATATTCTGTCTAATATAAAAACTAGTCAAAATTATTTATTAGCTCTAAGTAGATTAGAATAAAACGTATCCCTACTGGGCATAGTTAAGTTAAGCATTTACAGAAGATATTTGCAAATTATCCACAACATCGATATTAAAAAGAGAACATTTTAGTTTAGATATGCAATAAACTATGTTTTGGAGGATAGTTAAGTCATACATATTGAGACTTTTAGGATTTTAGATATTAAATAGAGATGTCTTATATAAGCTATTATCAATAATTCGGAAATTGTTTAGGTTAACACTATTAGAATAGTATATAGAAATAAATGGATAGTCTCCTAAGATATCTAAATCTTGTATTTCGAATTAGCTTATCTAAATATTATTAGCAGCTAAACAACTAAGAAACACTTAAGAGTAATATAAGACTTCAACATTTTGAATGGAGAGTATATCACCTTATTAGAAATTAAATAAATTCATCTAAGGCACTATATTGCCGCTAGATAAAACATTAATTTTAATATCTTATATTTTTATTTATTTGTAATTGCTCACTTTTATCCAAAAAGAGCCAAGGTAACATTCATTTATACATGGAAGGTAGATTGATCCTCCTTGAGCTTAGATAGTTATGTTTTATATTAGAACTGATTCCACAGTTTATATAGTAATAGGGTTAAGTATTATAGTGTCATATATAAATAAGTCTTTGATTATTATTTGATTTACTGTTTCAACTTAAAATGTATTATTAAAGAAGGTAAGTTTAGAATTTGGGTCATCTTTTATACTTTCTTACAGTTAATTGGCGATATTATTTTTTATTTCCTCAGTCAGTTCTTGGTTAATTTCAACTAAACATTGAATATCTTATTTGTTTTCATTTTATTTTTACACAATTTTATTTTCTAATCTCAATTTATTTTTTTCAATAGAACCAAAATTATTTTATGAATAATATTGTTATTATGTTGGTATATTATTTTATTTTTCTTATTCTACTGTTTCTCCTAAAGAACTTAAATTTAAATAAAGTAGAACAATTAATAACTTAAAAAATTTAAGCTTCATTTTATTTTAACTTACTAATCTAAAAAAGGAAATTTGCCTAAAGTTAATTTCAAGAAACAAAGAAAAGGTTAAGATTTCTTTTATAAATAATCAAATCAATATTAATAGCAAAATGAAAGCTAAACCTTCATACAACATAAATAAAAAGAATTAAATATAAAATCAATCTTATGATAAAAAGTATTTGATAAACAAAATGCAGTTAAAGAAAGCAAAATTATATTATAAAAAAATAGAAAAATGGTGTTTTTTATCAAAAATAAAATAAATAAATAAATGATTGAATGAAAGAAAGTTCAATAAATAATGATTCGTTTACAAAGCTATCTAATTAATTAAAAAAATATTCAAGAAGTGTGAAGAATTTTTGAAATTAGCTTATAAATCTGTAAAATAAGTAAATTTGGAAAATTTGGGTGAATTAATAATAAGTAGAATATAATATCTGTTTAGAATACTTAAATTCAAGAGAAAGTTTTTTCACTGTAATATAAATTATATTTAAATAATTAAAGATGGTAACTTTGAAATATAAGCATAACCTAATATGTGATGCATTAATTAGTATGACTTATATGTAGATTGTGTGGCTTTTAAGATTGTAAAGCAAAAATATTAATTAAATACGCTTAACATTTTGAAATTATATCATTTATTTGGTATCATTCATTCTGATAAAATATAATTAATTGTGTAGATTTATTGGCTGCATTTGCTAAATAAGATTAATTAATTTTATCCATCTAGATATAATCAAAACATAGTTCTAAAAAGAATAGTAATAGAGTTGATAGTAAGAGTAAGAAGTAAAATAATAAAATAAATATGAATTTATAGATATATACAGTTTCTAAGTTTTTAAATTATAATTTTTAATTTATTGTATACATTTTATTAAATTATATCATTTTTAATTATGAGTTGGATGATTATTTGGTTATTAAATTAGTTTTTTTTGTTTGTTAGTTATTAAGTGAATGATTTGTTTAATATTTTTTCTTTTGACAATTAATAAATCCGATTTTCAAAAGAAAATAACTTGGAGTATATTTTTAATTCTTCAAAAGATTTAAAAGTGTTTTTATTTTTGTGTAATCAACAGATTTTTCTTTTTCTAATTATAATTTAGTCAATTAATTTCCTTACTTTATCTAGATTGAGAAATCCAAAACAAAACTCTTTTTTACATCATCAAATAGAAAGCTAAATTGAATTATGAAACGACTTTAGTGGGTTTCTTTATAGAATAGAAAAAGAATTCTTATTAAAATTATAATTGCACTTTACAGGAGGCTTTAATAATTCAATTTAAGTTTGAAATGAGCTTTTTTAAATGAACATTAACCTTTTTGAGGTTAAGCTCTTCAGCTTGAAATAAAGGCTCTACTTTATTTAGAAAACCTTCTGTATATTTAAATCTAAATTTTTTACAAGCCCAAATCAAGCTTATTAAATATTCTTCTACTTTAGGTTCATCCTTTAACTCTTTATCGAAGAGTTAGTATGACCTCTCTTGTATTTCATCAGCAAGATTTATCAAAAGTTTCAATATTTCTACTTTATCTTCTAATTTTGAATTTGCTTTGATATCTGGTTCTTATGATTTTATTTGGTTCATTATTTAATTGCATTCATTCTAAAGGAATATCTTCATTCCTACACAAGATTATTCTAAAATTGAAATACGATTCACTGAAATGTCTTCATGATCGCATTCGTCTACAGTGGATTAACTTCTACTCTAGGGTGAACTCTTTGGTTTTTCTTCATTTGAAGTATTAATTTCTTTTCTATTTTTAAGTTGCAATTGTTAAGGTTTACCACTTGCGCAGCCCATTTTTTTTATAGATAATTTTAATTTGTTTATTTTTTTTAATTATTATTTGTTTATTAAAATATTGAAGGTTTTCAAATGTAAGTAAGCTCCTATTTAAAAAATTTCGTGTTCTAATTGAAAAAAAGAAAGGATATAAGAATATTGTTCATATATGAAAATAAATCTCAAGATAAAAACATAATAATTATTAGAAAAGTAAACACTTATCAGATTAAAATAAGATTTTTTGATTTGAGATCCTATAACTAGTAAGCATATTTTTTAATAAAACTATACTAATTGTATCTTTTGATTGGCTTACTTTTACAAGTATTTTGTTTTACACATCTAATTTTAGCTTTTTTATTTCAAAGTAAAATACTTAATTAGCAACTTAAATAAAAGGTCTTTATTATTAGAATTCATATCAAAAAATAATCAAATTTAATGAATGTACACCAACTAATGTTGTAAAATTGGATGGAAACAGAATTGATTCATACAATATCAAAGTAGTATTTTTAAGTCTTCAATTGATTTAAAAAATACATATGAAAAATAAATATAAAAAGATAGAAGATGCAATTTTTAATTCAAACCAACTATTATTATTTTTTGTTAGTGAAAAATTTAAACCAGCTTAACTATACGGAATTTAGAGCAAAGTAACTGTAACAATTAACATTTTCTTCATTCACCTTAAATTTATATTTTACGTTTCTCCAACATGAAAACTAAATTTCTTCTATCTTTTTTTATTACAAATTTAAATGGTTTAAACAAACAAAAATTTTGAAATAATAATGAAAAAGTCAGTTCAAATTTTAAAAAATTCATTTTTACAATTTTAAAAAAGTTAAAAAAATAGAAATTATTTCTAAAAATAAAAGATACAGAGCTGGGATACAATTCAAAATAAAAAAAAAAACATAAATAAATTATTATAAAAGAATAAGTTAAACTAAAAATTTTGAAATAAAAAGTTACTAGCAAGTATTTTCATAAATTCAAAATAACATCTATGATTTTTTTATTTTATCTTCCTCGTAGTATTTTTTTAAGATCAAATATAATTTTGGAAGAATTATTTTGATAAAGTAAATACAAAAAATCTCTACAATTTATATAAATGAGGACAATTTCATTCAATATAAACGCTCAATGAATTAATTTAATATTACCATTAAAAATAGAAAATAGATAATGCTAACATTTTAACAGAAATTAATTTTTCAATTTTTATAAATTTGCCATATATTTTCTATTGGAAATAGATTAATTTAATATGTAGATATTTTTTAAATAATTTGAAAGAAAGTATTTTAGAAATAGTCAAAAATACTATTCGTTCTATCAAATGTAAATTGCTATTGATTAAATTAAAAATAGCGCATAGCGCTTCTTACCTATATAAAAATGTAATAAAAGGAGATAATATATATGAAAATTACTATTACCATTAATTTATAGTTTTATATTAAAAAATAAATTGATTAATATTGCTAAATTCAATTATTTACTTAAGGTTAGAAGTATTTACTATTCTAAAACATATTGATTACTAAATTTGATTTATATGTTAAAAAAACATCTGCCTTATTTATGAAAAATGTAAAACCAATAGAACAATTATTTAACTCAAATATTAAATTTGTAAAAAACATACGAGAACCATTCAAATACTTTTAATTTATCACTTAATTAAAATAAATAGACCATAAATACACCAACAATAAATATAAATATTTAAATGAAAAAAGTTAAATAGAAGTTCTCTATAATTTACTTGTTTATATTCTTTTTACTGAAAGAAAAAATTAGATTTTTTATCTTTCTAAAAAAATCTTGAAAATTAATTCAGTAATAAATTTAGAGTTTTTTGTAATCGCATATTCAATTTCCATAATCAACTATAATCAATGATAGTTCAGTAAAGTGTCCGATATCAATTAGGCGTTTTCCTTCTTAATTTTATTAAAAATTTTCTAATTAACCGATTTAGAATTATTAACTATCCTGATTCAATTTTCTATTACTTTTTTCATTCAAGCTTTTCATAAAAGCTTATTCATCAATCATTACTACGCTATTAATTTGTATAAAATTTATATTTTTAATTTGCCAAAAATTGATAAAAAAGTTAGCAATTTATAAATACCTTTCGTTATTTTAGCTTGCGCTACTACTCTTTTCTTAATCCGTTATATTAATTACTTCCTTTTCTAAAATCCATTTTTCAAACAAACTCGCTTTTTGCTCTTTAGATTAAGCGTATTAGCCGTTTGTGATTATTTGCAGCTCAAAAGAATTAGCTTCATAGTTTTGCTAAAATTTAAAATTATTTTGTAATTTTTAACTCATTTTATACAGCATACTCTTAAATATTTAATCTCTTTCAAATTAGCTAGGTAAGGAATCTATTTTCTCTAAAATTTTAGACTTATCAATTACTAAATCAACATATTCTTTGATACTATCACTTTATATTAAATTAAGTCTAATTATAGAAATCGAATTTAGTAGCTACTTAGTATCTTCCACAAGTTAGTGTATATAGTCATATAATATGCCTTCCTTTACTACCTTAATTTAAAGACCAAACACAGTTCTCACTTGAAAAAATGTTTCAGGATACACATTTTTTAGATAAAGTGCATAATGAACGAATGATTCTATAAAATTAACAAAATCCTCTAAAAATTGGCCTTACCTGTTAAAAACCATTTTTAATTGTCAAAATAAGAAATTTTTAGAATTTTGAAAGAATGTTTCTAAAATTATTTATTATGAATTAATTTCACACTGTATAAAAACTTTTTTAGTTTATTAATTAAAAAAATCATATAGACTCAATTTTGATTTATCATTAAAAACGCGCAATATTTTTTAAAAATTCAAAACAAAACAAAAAATCAAATTAAAATATTTTTTTAACTTTTTTATTTTTTTGCAATTTAAATAATAAAGTTAAATTCTATTTAATAATTAAAGGCTTTTTTTAAATTAAAATTTTTCATACTATCAGTTTGTCAGTTGGTCAATATTAACATATTATTTATCAAATGACATAAAAAAAACATATTTATCATTTAAGATAGAATTTATCATTAATTTGATTTTTTTAAAATAATTTTTTCCTCAAAGATCCTTCTTTTCGTTAGAGAAGTACTTGATCTTTTAATCTTAATCAGGAATGATGGTTTTTTGACCAGGTTACCAGTTAGCAGGGCAAACTTCACCATGAGTATCAGTGTGTTAGAAGGCCTTGATTAATCTCAAAGTTTCTTCAACGCTTCTACCAACTAAAATAATTTTTTTAATTAAAAATATGTGTTATTAAATTAACTTCTATTTAACAAATCTATAAATAAATATTGAATCGATTTGATTTTTATTTCTTAAATGCTAATTGCTATCCATTTATTGATATTGGAAACTAAAAATCTATTTATATATATCTTTATATTATCAATTATTTACCGGGAGCATCGTTAATTTAAACAGTTCTGATGGTTCCCTTTCCATCAATAATGAAAAGACCTCTTAAAGCAGCACCATATAATTCGTCAAGTTCATCTTCAACGAGGACTCCATAAGCCTTTGAGATTTTCTTTGAAATATCTGCAAGGAGGGGAATCTTCAAGTTTCCAACACCACCTTCGGTTCTAGGAGTCTTAATCCAGGCCAAGTGAGTGAAGTGAGAGTCAGTGGAGATAGCAATAACATCGGCGTTAATTGCTTTGAATTAATCAATAGCATCAGAGAAAGCAACCAATTCAGTGGGGCAAACATAGGTGAAATCGAAAGGATAGAAAACAATAACTAAGTATTTTCCAGCATATTGATTCAATGATACAGTTTCGAACTTGCCATTAGGTTGAACAGCAATTGCAGAGAAGAAAGGAGCCTTTTGACGGGGTTGAGTAACCTTAGGAATGAATTAATACTTAGCAAGAGACTCTTCGCACAAAGCAACTGCTAAAATGACTGCTAAAACCAAAATAACCTTTTTATTCATTTTATATATTTCAAATGATCTTCTTATATTATTAAATTATTTATTTAATTTGAAATTATATCTTATTTCCATCAAAAAAAGATCTTTATGAAGTATGCAAATCAATCTTCCTAATCTATTTTGAATTGATGAATAGATTTATAACTATATTATAATGAATAATCTTTCTTTAACATATTTACATGCAAACAATCAAAAAAAAAAACAACTAATATTTCTGTTATCAGATACAAATATCTTTTCATTCATTCATTTTAATAAAATAATGGAAAATATTAGAAACATTAGATTTATTATTATTGTTATTATATTATAAAGAATTATATTTATCACACCTTTTTCTTTAAAAATCAACTTTTCTTATTGCAATACGTGCAAAGATTTTATTCGAAATCAACATTATTTAAAAGCTAATAAAGTTTATATGCTTGTTTATTCATATGCTAAATCCAATATTTACTTTTTTAAATTTCTAATTAGTTAATTTTCCTATTACATGTTGAGTTTCATCACTTTAAACATCAAAATTATGTGAAAAATTATGTGGATTAAATTTTTTAATATTTAAAGTGAATGAAGAATGAATCAATGGTATAATTTTTGCATGAAATTATTTAGACTTTTGAAAAATATTTTATCTCAAAAAGCAAAGAGAGAAAATTTCTCATTTTTATTAGTAAAAATATTGAATTCTTGATTTAAATATATAAAAATAACTATATAGGTAGGATTAAATAAAATTGTAATTTTTTATTTAAAAACAAACAATTAAACAATTAAAACATTTTTAGATTTACTGAATAATTTTTTACAAACAATTCTATAAAAAAACATTAAAGTAAGATATATAATAGCAAATATATTGCATAATTATCATGGGGTTTCAAGCTCTGTGATATCAGATGAATTCAAATAACCTCCTTTAGTTAAGCAATAGATTTAATATTTTTTGAATTTTTTGAAAGGCCCAAATTTTTCTTTAACTACTAAAAGCTTTTCTTTGAGTTAATCAACTTATTTAGAAATCAAATACCATAAATACCACTACCTATCTTGTTTATATTAGGACATTTGTTCTAATTATATCTTGAAATCATTAATATTGTCATTTTCAGCTAATTAATCCATTTAATCTTATAATTTTTTAGATATATCTGGGCAAGTAAAATAAAATTAACCTTTAATGTTTAATTTATGTTTAGATTTCGATGCCATTTCTTCTACATATGAAACTTTATTTACTTATTCTTGCTTTTAAATTTCCTTTATTGCGTCTAAAACATTGTATTCTTATGAGTATGGATCAAAATATTTTTTCAAGCCAATACTTGATCTTCTTACTTTATCTTATCCTTAAATAGTATTCTGAGCAAATAGGGCCTTCACTTAGTCTATATTATCAGCCATAACTAAAGTTATCATGTCTATCTTAGATTAAGTTATATTAATGGATTTATTTATGCTGTCTTATTCATTAAAACCTTCAAATAGGAATCTATAAATAAATATAAAATATTTAATTTAATACAATTTATAAAATAATTGTTCAAAAATTAAAAAGCAAATGAGAAAAAAAATCATTTTTTTATAGTTTAAAATTGTCTATTAAATTTTCAATGAATCTTACCTGTAATAGTGAACGATTGAGAGGGTTGAGCTAAGGTTATTCAAGAATTCGTTGTTCATATTTGTAAATACAACATTATTTCCATCAAATAGCTAAATTAAACTTAATATTGGGAATTTCAAATAATATTCTGACATGTTTCTTCTTAATTATTCTTCAATTACATATCTAAAGAATGTTTTTATATCATCCTTTTTTATTTAGATCCAATCAAGAGTTTTTGCAATGTAGAGCTTGGCTAAGAAAATTTCTATGTTCGTTATTTTTTCTCCCAGTCTTTGAGAAGCATCTTGCATAAATCCTTCATATTGCTTAATTATTTCTTCTCTTATTTTCAAAGCCTAGGAATTTTCAATCTATAATTGAACACTATCCTGCTCTTCTTCTTTGATAATTTGTGAGCAAGTTTAGAATATTAGGTCTATTTACTTAAGTCCGTACTTGGTAATACCATATTCAATAAGTTATCTGATGGTATGATTAAGTAGCATAAATGGAATTGTTCTCTTTTAAGCATGGTGATATCCTAAAGGATCCAAAGTAACCACCCAACCTATTAAACAAAAATATTAAATATAAAAGACTATTTATAGTACTATATTTATTTCAAATAATTTTGATACTATTATTAATTTAAATGACATACCTAGAATGGGTTCAAGCCATAACTTAGCCATATTCCAGTGTTCCTTATGAATGTATAAAGGCATTGCTGCATTGATAACTTCTCTCATCATACCTTGCACTATGTTTCCTTACTGTTTATTGAATGAACCACTATTTTCGAGTGAGATATCTAGACTGTATTTAATGCAATCTATAAAACTTTTTGCACTTATTATACTTGGTTAGACTGCCTAATTAATAGAATTATTTTTAGAAACTATTGTATTGAATTTAAAATACTTTGATTTTGAGAGATTCTGGTCTGACTATTGCAAGCTCAGAACGAGTTACAGAGAATGTAACACATAGGCAGTCCTTGTTGAGGATAGACTCTGTTATATCTTAGCAGGATAAGAAACAAACACCTATTTCTTAACTTAACTATGAGAGATCTTTAGATAATTACTATTCTTTAGATTAAAACTCTTGAAGGTATTTTTCTTTTAGTATCTCATAATCATTAAACTATTAAATACTAGCACCTTTTCTTTTTTCTAATCTCTTGGCAAAAAGTCTATTAGTTATAGTTGGATATGCTAATTAATTTAATAAAGCTATTTCGATAGTGCTAATTGTACTAGTTGAGAGCTTGGAAACAATATCTACTGCTTCTTTAATTCTAGTAGATAAAGTAGGGTTATTTTCATTAATTTTTTATCTTTGTAGACTGCTTAACTTAAATAGCTTGCTTATTGAACTTGAGTAAGCTGAGTTGATTTAATTTATTTGATTTGAAAATTTCACAATTTATTCTTTTTCTATAGAAGTTCTTTTTTGATTTACATATTCTTTTAATTCCTAAATGATTAATTTGAGTTTCGTTTCCAAGTAGTTGTACATTTAATTTATTTATTCAAATAATTATTTAGAATCTCCTTCACTCATCTTAGAAATTCTTTTATCCTTTATATGGTGTGGAATCTCAATATTTGTAGTGTGGTTTAGATTAATAATTAATTAAAAATTGCTTTCTAATTCTTACACCAAATCTTTTGTTTTTGAATTATAGAATATTTTTTCTTTCAAATCATTATCAATTAAAACACAATTTTTCTATTTTTGTGATACATCGATTGCACTCTTAAGCAAAGGTATTCTGCAAAGTTATCCATCTTTACGTTGCAAATATGCTTCAATAAAATTTTGTCCTATAATATCAACAATATTTTTGAAAGCACCCTCTATTTCGCTACTTTCCTTTATTATTTTTAAATAAAATAAATAAATATTATTATTTTTATGGTTACAAATTAACAATAAGTTCTATAAGTCAATATCATATAAATATTTTAAAAGTTTAAGTTGAGAATTATTCGACATCTTACTTTAATAAATTAGTAGGTGCTCTGAGTTGTCTAAAGTGAAATAATTTTATCTAAAATGACTGGATCATGTGAAGTTCCCATGCCTAAAGCATGAACCTCTACATTATTCACAAATTTTTTTAAAACCTATTACAAGAATATAAAGGAGTCTTTTAAGTTTGTAGAGTCTTATCCGCTTTAAACTTATCCATCAGTCAAATAAACGATAACAAGTTCTTCATTTTGATTAGTAAATTTTTAACATATATCTCTGAGCTTATCAAAAGTAATGTGAAAAATAGTTCCACCATTTGCATTTATGTTTGAAATAAATTATTCTACCTACTTGAGGCTTTTCAAATGCAGATTTTCTACATGATCTATTGATGTATTGAAGGTCATTAGGGAAATTTTAGAATGAGGTTATGTTTTTATCACAAATTAAACTAACTCGTTGCATAGCTGTTTTGTTAATTGGATGTTAGTACCATCCATTGAGCCACTATTGTCAATCACAATTTAATAGTTTTTTTAACGTGAGTTATTCTAAACTAGGGCAGTCTCATCCAATTTTAATTTTAAAGTAAAATCTATGAATTCATTTCCTTCAAATGATTCTACTTTAAATTAAGCTTTTGCTTATACACTTTATTAAGTTTCCATTTTATATGTAAAGATAGATATTTGTTATTTTAAGATACTATTTTGGTTTAATTATTTACAAATACAATAAAAAGGAAAGAATATGAATAATAACAAAATTTAAAGCCTCTATTAATAAAAAATATGGCATTAATAGTGTCTTTTTTTCGATCAAAAAATATCAGAAACGAAATATATTTATTCTTCTATCCAATTTATTAAAGTTATAAATTAAATATATGAATATCTTTATTATAATAAAATAATCCTATTTATTAAACCTATTTACCTATATTTTTTTACATCAAAATAATATAAACGAAATTGGCAAATATAAAAAATATTTCCAAATAGTATGGCTCAATAAACCTATTTAAAGTTATTGTGAAGCAGTTTTATTAAAATAATAATTTTTTTAATCATTAAATTAATTTAAAATTGTAATAAAAATCATTCTATTAAAAAATGTCTTTTGTATCTATTTTTTAATTCTATGCTATTTAACAAATTAATTTACATATTAGTTTATACAGTTAAACCTATTAAATTGACCATGAGAAATATTGGCCACCTCATCTTATATTTGTCATATTTTTTGTCAACAGAGATAATAAAAATGAATGGGATCCCTAAAATCTTCTCCTTTTATAAATTGGTTTTATAAGATTTGAGCAAATAATTAGCCAAAAGATAAAATTCAATTTTCCATCTACATTTTATTTCAGAGTAACTATAATTAACAATAGCATAAGTATATATGTACATTTCATAATGTAAACTTTTGTAAAATATATTATTTAGAATTAAAAAATAATTTAATAATATTTTCTCTAATTTTAGTAAAAATTCGAAAGATTTCTAATAAATTATAATTTAAATGATAAGTTAGTTATTTTTAAAAATATTGAGGGTTTTAGATAGGTTACTGTAATTAAAATATTTAAAATTCATTACTTTTGTGGCAATATATTCAAATTAATTTAAAGATATTTTTTACTTTAAATTATAATTCACTATTGAAAACTAAATTATATTTAGATTGAGTTGGAGGGCTATGCTTAAAAATATTTTTTAAATGTGTGAAATATTTTAAATATTGCTAGCTCCAACAAAATATAATAAATTTTAAAGCAAACATATTTAATTAATTCATGTAAATATGAAAGTTATAAAAGATTAAGTTTTTTTTTTTAATGCTTATATAAAAATCATACTAATCTTTATATTGATTGATTTATAAATATCTTTTGGATGGATTTCTTAATTATGGTTATATTAATATCTTTTATATTTTTTAGGCTTAGAGAAAAAAGAATGTAAGCTAAATTTTAAAGCTTTATGGTTTAGCTTAAATTTCTGGTAATTTGCCACTTATATGGGAAAAAATAAGATTATCGTGTTAAGCATTTACTGGCAAATCAGTCTTCAAAAAACCAAAGGTAAAAATGAATAGATTTTTCTTTTAGCTTGAAAAAAACTTAATTACATTTAAAGAAAAAAAATAAATTAATATCAAATAGCCTAAAAAAAATTATTGCAAGTTGAAAAGAAAAAAATCTTTATAAAGCATTAAGATTATTAAATTAGCTAATTGAGAGAAATTAAAATTGAAATGTAATTTAGGCTAAATCCTTTGTATTATTTGAGTTTATATTTATGGTGTGTTTTACACATATCGAAGGCTTCTATTTTAGATGACTGCTTAATTTAAGGAAAGTATTTTAATTCGTACACTCAAAGTTGTGAAAATTGCTCATAATAATGCATTTCTTGCTATGATGGTTCAAATTGCACAAGCTGTACCTAATCATATTTTTTAGTAACTCTAAATTATATTTATTAACGCATAATATTTATTTTATTTCCATAAATAGGATTATAAAAATTAAGTATGCAATTCAACTTGCTAACAAGGGTACTACAAGAGTAATTATTTTGCTTAATGTAAAAAATGTAAAGTGGAAAATTGCGCAATTTGCAATCAAGCTGATACATGTTTGTAATGTAATTAAGGTTGGGATCTAAGTAGCGATTAAACTATCTGTCTCTATAGTCTATGCTCTACGAAAGGGATGTATTATGATTCAAAAGAAAATACATGTAAATATTACTGCAGCGAAGGTTACAATTAATAAACCGCCACATGCTCGTAGATTTAGAAGGTATAAAACTTAAAAACAGACATAATTTAGATAAACAACAACTAAGATAAAGATATTTAGTAGATTCTATTAGTTGAAATATAAGGAAATCCTACTGTAAAATTTTAATATTTATAACTTTGGCTAATAAAAATTAATAAAATAGATAATTGCTATTGACAGCACTATGGTAGTATACTATTTATACCCAGAACTCAAGCCATACTATAGTATCTCCTTAAATGCCACTTCTTAATTGACTTATTCTACTTAGAATTATATTAATATTCTATTGAATGATTATTTGACAATAGTCAGAATTAACATACTATCAAATAGCGTTGAATCATATTAACTTCCTATTTAATTCGATGCTGTTTTTTAATAAGGATCTTATCTTTTCAATTTAAATTAAAATAACAACTTATTTTCATTTTCTATGTTTAACTTAGATACTGCATTCAATCTTACATCATTTTAAATACAGTTACAATAGCAAAGAATACTCTAAAAAAGCAATAATTTAGACGCAGTAGATAATGATTAAACTTCAGAGGATTATGTTTTTGAATTAAATAATCATTTCAAAACTCCAGAAAAAAAATTTTAAATGAGAAACTTGTAAAAAAATTAGTTATTATATGTGGATAGTAAAGGTTGCAACGTTTATGCCCCATCAAATTTAAACACAACATCATAGCTGATTACAAATCCACTAATAGATGTGAATTTACCTCTAGTATAGAATAACATTTATGCCTCGTTAAGTACTTCAATTTAATCAAATAATAAAATGAAAATCTAAAAAAATAATATGATATTTTTTATTGAAGAAATGAATACAATACTTTTTTACAACATAGAGTAATAATCTTTATATTATGTAAACGCCTCAAACACAACCCAAATAAGTATGCTAGGAACATTCAGTTAAGGCTAATTGTTGTGTACTAAATATGTTAATAAAACAATTAATTTGCTATTTTTGAATACTAGTTCTCTTTCCTCTGGTTTTGTTTTGCCTTTAACTTAAAATTCTACCAACTAAATTTTAAACTACGACTAAGTAATATTTTAATCTTAAATTATTGAAATATTTTTTTTAAATAACAATTAATTAATTTATTTATTTCAAAATAAAATAATACTTTAATTTTAATTATATTTAATTTTTTTATCAAATTTGTATTTAAAAAACAATCAATCTTGATTTTTATTTATAATGAAACAATGAAATTTTAATGCAGAGCTTAAATATTGAAATTTTAGTTTTATCATTTTTTTTCTTTTAAAATAAGAATGCAGTGTTTTAAATTTATGGAATTGGAGCGCTAGTAGGATGTTAGTCTTTAGATTAATAAGATTTTATCTTGTTTTAAGGATAATTAGGTAATTTTTTATTTTTCAAATTTTTATTTAAAAAATGTTTATTTAATTAGGGTTTTAAGCAGTTAGTTTAGGTAAAATAATAAGAAATGAAACTTTAAACACTTAAGAGAATAATTATAATTTTAATGCCCTCTAAAATTAAAACTATGAAAGCCTATTCAAAATAGACAATACATTTTTTTATACATTTTCTTAAATTGGAAACTAGTACACAATAAAATTGCTAAAATAAATTAATCAAGAAATAAAACAAATCTATTCATTCAATTTTACTAATGAATATTACTTCTTTAGCTAAGCACCTACTTATTAAACAGTGATTTTCGATAACACCAAGGGAAAATTAATAATTGCTAATAGAAATGAATTAGAAATAGTTTCTATTTAATAAACAAACAGTTATTAATCTAGAAACTACAGTACTTATGGTGGAGGAAAAATATGGTAAATGTATGGAGATATTATTGGAGTTTATAACTTTACAAGTTACAACGCTATATGCTTTGTTTATTAATTTGGCTTTAATTTTATATTTTTCTAGTAGCACTAATAAAATTTTTAGAATTTCGTAGATTTCTAAATTGATAAAGTCATAAATATTGACCAATACTTAATCCTATATAATGATTTAGTTTAGAGAAATTTAATATTTGATTTGACCTAACAAAGATTTTTCTAATTAAATATACCTAGCAATTCTTAAAATTAAACTTTTATCATTAATAGTTACTAATACTTACTTGCTCTTGTTTAATTAAACGATTCTTCTATCAAGCTTTATGTGATTAATGGTAAATAAGGTGTTGTTGGGTTTGATTTAAATTTTTACCTTGCAGATTAGGAAATAAGCAGCTTGTTTACATCTTTTTAAGATAAAATATACATTCCTTCAAATACCAGTACTGCAGTTGTATTTTAATACAATAATGGAGCCCTAACTTTTTCTAATAGTTTCTTCTACAATACTGATTATTTTATTTATAACTACACACATTTGTTCCTACTCTCTACCTGCAAATATTTTTAATCGCCAGTAGTAACTCTATTTAATACATAAAAATAAATAAATACTTAAATTCTGTTTTAGTATTTAAACTCATTTTTATTTTAAAATTAATTTATTGTATTTTACCAATCATTACCTATTGTCCTATATAATACAGATGTTATAGGAGCAATATCAACTAAAATATATAATGTAACATCAAATTTAACACTAAGCTATTAAATTCAAACTCCTATGACAAACTTCTAAATAGTAAGAACCTATGTTATATATACTAGTTAATCAATAAGTTATAGCTACAACGTGGCTACAAATACCTCAAATAGCCTTCCTCAATATCCATTCTCTACTCAAGCCTAAATAAAATCTGCTTTTATTTATGGGAGTGTATCGCTTTTGCCTGTCAATTTTCCTACTTATGTAATATAATTAATTTATTTAATTAAAATTTTTTTAGAGTAACTAATTAATTAATAATATAGATTTTTATTTTAAATTTAATTAATTTTTTAATTATAAATTCTATTAAAAAATAGAATTTCATTGGTATTTATAGCTTAAATAAATAATCTTATGTGTAGAAAGTGGTATAATAAGGCAGCTAAATTCCGAAATTTTAACCTTCATTTTAAAATGAGCTAATTACTTATGATACTTTATATTCGTAATCTGTATTCTTAATAGACGCATTGAGTATGGTTTAGATTCCAAAATGGTATACTATAGATTAGACCATTTATTACTAACAAAAAATTTTTTTCACAATCTAACAAACTCAAATAGGCTATATTGATGTAAAAAATAAAACAGCATAACTCTTAATCAAAAGCGGTAAAAAATTAAATTTTTTATTTCAATATTTAATTTAATGTTTTATTAAAAGATAATATATAAATTCTTTATGGCTACACTGTATTTTAAAACTAGGTTTATTATGCTGCTAATTTAAATAATAATATTTATTTATTTAACTCTACTTCTCCTCAGCCTATGTTTTAAATTCCTGTAAAAATTGCTATTTATTTTGAACAAATAGTAAATATGATGATCGTATTTTAATAAAACTAGTAAGTGATGCAAGTTTATTTATTTTAAACTTAACAAAATTTATATATTTAAATATCGAATTAGAATTTAATTAAATATAAAGTTAATTATTACTACTTTAATTCTCTCAATCTTGTACTAATAACTGTTGATAACTAGATTGGTTATTTTATTAATTATGAAAACGCTTCATATTTTTAACTAAAGCTTGGCTAATATCAAATATAATTCCAAGATGGATTATTTAGTAAAGATAATTAAATTGTTACCTTTTAATATACTAATATCTTCCTATTTAATATATCTGTAAATGGATTATAATAAGTAAAATAATATCAACCAAATTAAAATTTTTAAAACATTTACAACTAAAATAAAAACTCATAACCAAAATATATAATAGATTTAGATATAAATCAATTAATAATCATAAACTTGCTATAATAAGCAATCTCTTTTGACTTAGATTCATTTTAACAAATTTGTTCTGTATAATTCAAGTAAATTTACTAATTTGTCTATTTGCCTAACTCAAAGGTAATTTAATTAATTTTAAATTAATATTTTTTTAAAATGGATTAAAATGATTTATTCAAATTAACTACTTTAACTCATTTATTTAAACTCATCTAAATTAAAAAAATTATTAAATTTAAGCTAGAATTTACTAAAAAATTTTTCAGCTTTATTACTTTTTGTTACTTAAATATATTATTTTAATCTAAAAAAAAAATATTAGCTTTTTATTGCAGTGGCAAGCTCATAAGTGATTTTAATTAATTTCAGTAATTGTAATACTATAGTGTAAAATACAATTGGAATTTCATTTTAATCCTTTAACTATGGTGTGCAAGGATAGTATATTTTTACTCAAGAATAAATGGATTTATTAACTCTGGTATCATAGAAATCTTTTGAAATTTATTAACTCTCAACATTAACTTATTTAAGAACCACATTAGTGAGTGGATTATAATTAAATCCTTATTTAGCAGTAACATACTCAAATGAAATTATAATACCTAGTGGAAATTGGTTTTATGTTATAGATACATCAAGCTAAATATTCAAAAAATAAGTTAACCTCAATAAATCTACAAAAATAAATTTTATTGTGTTTGAAGATTTAAATTAAGTTGCATAATTAAATTAAAACTCAGGAATAATAGATGTCAAAAATATTTCAGATTTTTCATTATCTTAACAAATCAAATTAAAAACTCCTTTCACAAAATCTAAATACAACTTTTTTTCATTTAAAATTTCCTCTGCTGAAATATTAGTCTTTCCTTCTAAGTCATAATATCATGTCATTAATATTTAAACAAATAGCTACTAGATATACAACATATCTTATTCTTGTCTTTAAATAAAGTATTATAATTAAACAATCTATTGTTTAGGTAATGACACTTCAATTTATATGTTTAATAGCAAAAGTTACTAATTCACTAAAATATATAAAACATAATAATAATTATCAGGAATAATAGTTTAAACAGATTAGTATATTTCTTTATTTTACACCAACAGCAGCTTTAGTGTTTTGGACACTAATTTATAAAAAGAATCTTCGATTATTGGAGTTGCTCAATATCCTTACTAAGTAAATACTTTTTCACATCAATTTGATCTTTAATATGTTAATAAATTTAAACATATTTTTAAGGTTTTTAACATATTTATGGAATTATTATTAAAATAATATAAAAATAGTTGGAGATAAATAAAAATTTGATAGTGTTTTAATTATAATCTAATATAACTGTGTTTTAGATTTCTTATGATAGCTCTTAAAATATCATTTTTAAGCAGATTTATTAATACGTTTTTTCGAATTAAACCATGCAAACATTCTTCATCAACTTTGATAATAATTTGCAATATTTGCTCTACTCTAGTAATTTTTATACAAGTGTAATTGACTTATCAAATAATTAGCAAATAGCTCAAATTTAAAATGCTGCTTAATACAATTAAAAAATTATAGCTGATAGCAATTATTTCTATTTAATAGGAATATCAAATTTTATTTTATATGATAAAAAAACATTATCAATCATAAATTCATATATAGTTAATTAGTTTATCTACTCTAATATTTTTAGAGTTTAATATGTAGAGAATGAGTACTTCTTGGTATTTTTGCAATACGGACTCCACCTTATCAAGATGAACTATTTCAAAACTTCTTTAATTTAGGCATTTAATAATCTTGAAAAATCTTAGATAATTAATTTGAAAAAATTTTATAATTCTCAAAATGCTCTTTAAACTGTATAAATTGTAGGATTTTGTGATCATACACTATTTAATGTAGAAATCAATAATTTAGATTTAAATATGAACACAACTTAAGCTACTGTTGAAATAATTAATCAGCCCACATAGTTATAGACGAATTAACAAGTAAGTATTTATTATTAAGATTGAGCTTTGAACCAATTTAATAACTCATCTTAAACAATTATCAATAATCCAAAAATTTTTTAAATTCTAAATTATCATTCTAAAATTCTTTTAGGATAAAAATGAATGAAATAAATAAATTATAAATTTCTACTTTTTAATGTTCTTTTTAATAAAATAGCACTATGCGGCTTAATACTAAGTTTAATAACAAAACAAGATGATTGGATTGTACAAAATAAACTTTGAGTAGGTAAGCTAAAATATGTCAAATATTATAGTGTACTTCCCTAACATATTTAATGGATCTACTGCAATTTAAATTTCTTCTTCAGATGATAATATGAATATAAATAATTTGATACTAACTGATAGTAGTTATTTGAACCCGATTTTCAGTAATTTAATCTTTTTAAATATATAGCTTTCAATATAAGTATAATAATAATAAGCATAATAATTACTGAATCCATTTTTTAATTTAAATAAAATTATTTTTGATAAAGTATATTTATAATTATTTAATGACACTGCAACTTTCTATGTGAATGATTGCCTTGTAGTTATAATTGAAGAATTAATAATATAAAACTAGAATTTAGAGAGAAATTAAGTTGCAATACAATTTTAGAATGTAAATTAATTAATTATCAATAAGCTAAACATTCAAAATCTAAACACTACATCAATATCATCAATAATTTCATTTAATAACATAAACACAATAAATGTTAATTTAATTTAGATTTAAAATTCTAGAATTTAATTTAATGTTATGAACTTCTTTAACTGTAGTGCAATAAATATTTCTCAGATAACCATTCAGAATATATAATTTACTCATGATAGCATTATTAAATTCATCAGAATTACTTAATTAAATATATAAAGTTTTATAGTTAGTTAAGTTCATAATTTAGTTACTACAAGATTACTCAATAGTATATAAGATTTAGAAGGTGGATTCAATTAAAACAGCTTAGGCAACTACTTAATAGAAATTCAAGGATGCCAAATAAGTAGTTTCTTAAACTTTTAAGTCATATAAATTTAAAATGTTGGTATTTTGAAATCAACTAATTATATATAAAGTATTAATAATTAATATTCTAATTAATTAATAAACTTTAATGGTATTAATATTCTGGAATGTTAAAACAACTTAGCCTTTGAGATATTCTATTTAATTGGGTAAAGCATAACAATCACTAAATTATTTATGTAAAATGTTTAATTAAAATTCTAAGCTATCTATTTAGAAACTGAAAACCAAGGGTCTATTGGGTAATCTTTATTTGACAATATTAACTTAGTTGATTATTCTGTAATTTACTTAACTGGAGGTCAAATAAATATATCAGCTTCTAATTTTACAAATATTTTTTCATAAAATTCAGCAGCAATCATATGTGAGTAATCTTAAATACTTTAAATAGATTAATCTTATTTCTAGAATGTACACTGCATAAATTAAACAAGTGAAAAAATATGCTAAGGCGGTGCTGTTAAATTATAATAAATAAACAGGATTAATCTTCTTTCAAATAATTATAATTATACTACTTCAAGTTATTAAGGAGGAGCTTTGGCAATAATTAACCAAAATAATTATCAAATAGTTATAGATTCATCTATTTTTACTAGTTGTGCTGCATCATACTCATCAGGAGGAGCAATTTATTTTGAATATTCCTAGAATATAACAATAAACAACTCTACATTCATAAACAATACTGCTTAGCTTGAAAGAGGAGGAGCTATTGCTTTACAAGATTCTGATTTGCTTAACATTACTAACTCAAGCTTTTATCAAAATGAGGCTTAAATTGGAGGAGCGATCTGGTATGGACCAGGAGATTAAACTTTTAAAAAGTACTAGAAAAACTTTCTATCTAACAAATTTATATCAAATATTGGTAAATAAATAACTTTCCATTTTTTTGTTTTTTTTAACTAAATTAAAATAAATATTTAAAGGACTATTTTATGGATAGAACATAGGATCTTGCCCAACACAAATCTAAAAAGTAACTTCATAGGGGTAAGTTATATTTTCAAATTAGATAGTTGGTTTATCAAGTGGTAGCACTCTAACTGAGAAGGTTTATTTTAATTTCTTTGACGAAGAAAATAGAGTCTTAAATTTCACAAACTCTGAATTATATCCTCAATCGTTAAAAATCTAAAATGAAAGAATGGGATATTTTATGAAAGTAATAAACGATCAAAATCCCAATTTATAAATTTTGTAAGGTATATCACTAGAAAGAGTAAAAGATACAGGGTCATTTTAACTTTTATTGTCATCTACCTACAAAAATAGTTAGTAATAAAGTGTCAGCATATAATCAAATCCCCTTGTAAATTCACAGTAGCTAAACTACAATTTAACTTTGATATTTAGACAATGTTTGAGAGGTGAACTTTAAATTGCTAAAAATAATTTCATTGAGTAACAAATTTAATATTTTTAAATTAATTTTCATTATCTTTCTTAAATTGATGAAAGATTTTTATTTAAATCCAAAAATTTTCAAATTACCATAATTCCTCAAATATTAAGGCCATTCCCCATAAGAAACCAATTATATCTTGACCTTATTACCTCTACTTTTTCCTGATTTATTAAGGTTTGTGTATACTTTTAATAAAATCTACCTTATTCAAGCTAGAAAAAAAAAAAAAATAATTTACCTTAATATAAACTGCTAAATAAATTAATAACAATTAATTCTAAAAAAAGATTCATTAATATCATAAATATTTTTATAAGTTTAATTTAATATTTAGAGGCTATGAGCTAAAATTTAAAAATTAATTTAATTATACTTGCTAAAATAATTTTAAACAATAATTTTTTATTATAGGTGCTAAGAGTGTGGATAAGGAAAATATTCTTTAGATTTACCAACAACTTAAAATTAAAATAATTTAATTTGTAAATCATGCCCTGACCAGGCAACTAGCTGCTAAAAAGATCAAATTATTTTAAAAGATGGGTTTTGGAGAGATTCTGTTCTTTCTGATGTAATATATGCTTGCGTATCTGATGGATGCTCAGAAATGTATGAAGGATAAATAAAAAGATGTAAACCTGGATATATTGGAACTCTTTGTGATTCTTGTGATGGAAATTCTAGTATATGGGGTTCTTAGTATGGAAAAAAGGGGAACTACTGTGAAAAGTGCAAAAATCTAACAAAACAATATGTTTATTTTGCTTTAATCATTATTGGATATACTTTTTATGCTCTTATCTATGTCTTTAATATGATAGATAAAAAAATTTTAGTTATGAAATTGATTATTTTTAGAAAGATGGAGTTGCTGATGACAAGTAAGTCAATTTACTAAGGAGAATCCTTTAATTTATGGATTAAGATACTAGTTCATTATCTTTAAATTCTGTCTCTTATGTCTGGGTTAAGTATCTAATATCCTAGTTTCTTAGAAATTTCAGTTGGAATATTTGGAAATCCTTCTAGTTTGACACTTCTAAGCTTAGATTGTTTAATCAAGACAACAAGTTACTATCCTATTTGGTACCACAGAATAATAACTCAAATACTAAGCATGGTTGCTCAATACATTCTAGTAAATGTAATTTTTTTGTTTATAGTATTAAAAAAAAAGCATAAACATTTGAAAAAATTGATATCAAAGATTTATCTTAAATCAACTTTCATATTTATGTACATCTTCTATCAGCCTTCAATATCAAAGGTAATATTTTCTGGATACTTTTGCACTAAGATAGGAAATACTTACTATTTGATTTCTGATTTAAACCAGGAATGTTATGATTAACCTCATATCATTTTACTTTGCTCCACAATAATACCTCTCACAATAATTTGGTGTGTTGTTATCCCTTTGATATTTATTAGAAAGCTGCATAAAATTAAATAAATAAAAGATACCAGTCTTCCAACTCTTGTTGATATAATTTACGGAATACTTTATAAGGGCTATAAAAATAAATTTTTCTACTGGGAAATCATAAAAATTTATGAAAAACTATTGCTAATGATTATAATTAATTCAAGCTTAGACGATATTATTAAATTAGTATTAATAAAAGTTATTTTGTTATCATACTATGCTTATTTGATTGCTAAAAAACCTCACATAAGTGTTAACAATATGAAGTGCGAAAAACAGCTCATGCTTATGCTTAATTTTATTTTCTTATTCCTCTTTTTTATCATTTAAGAAAGTAGACCATCTCAAAAGTTGATTCTAATAGGCTATTTGCTAATAATATTCTGTAATCTAATAGCACTATATTCAGTAATTTCTAATTCTGGAACAATCCTTATCTTGTTAAATTAGAAAGACACTTTTATGGACAAAATAAAGCAAAAATTAAGAAAAAGTATTTCTAAATTTTAATACAGCTCAAAATTAATAAAATTTAGAAACACTAATCTATATAGAACTAATAAGCTATGGAAAAAACTCTTATAAAGTATAAGAGAAAAAAAAATCTTTAGCGGCGTATCCTCGACAAATTTCTTAACTAATAATATTTTTAATATTAAATCTCCTAACACATTTACAAATAAATAGAAGAGTACTGAAAGATAATATTTTTTAGCCAGTAGTAGTACTCCTTATGATTAACAATTAGATGAATTTGATGATAATTATTTTTTATCATTAGATGTTTTACAATAGAAGGTAAATTAAATTATATATTTTTAAGTAAAATTTATTTGAAAACTTTTTAAATAGGAAAATTAAGTAATCTAAATACAAGATACATACAGAGAAAGTTATTCCTCCTAAAATCAATTAAAATTAAACACAATATTTAATAATTTATGATTAAATAAATATATTAAATTTAAATAAATAATATTTAAAATAAAAATATATTATTTATATTTTTGTTATTTTATAAAAATTAAACAAATAATTTAAATACTATTTTTTTTTATTTTTGATTTTTCATTTAATATATCAAAATATATCAGAAAATAAATTTTTTTTAATATTGTAAAATGCTATAAATAAAATTTTTTACCACAATGTTATTTAATTTTAACTGATAAATGTAATAATTGTATTTTATTTTCTGAATTATTAAATTTAATTAAAATAAAAGCTAAACAAAAACTCTAAGTATAATACATAATATAAATGTATAAAATCAAAGCTAGCTAGTATATTATAATATTTTATCAGAAAATTAAAGCAAAAATAGATAAAATAGTTAAAGAAAGTGCTAAGATAGAGCTATTGAGACAAGCGGCTGCATTCTTAATATAGGCTAAAACAGTTGCATCAGAAAGGTTTTATCCACAAGTGGTTATACAGCTTGCAAGAGTTGATGTAGAACCATTAGAGTCACATGAATTTTTAATACACAAAGTATACTTTTATGTATCAAGTGAACATGTTGTGGTATTTGGAGCATTTACACAATCAGGAAATTATCCAACTTTAGTAGTGCAATTTGCTACAGTGTCAGCATTAACAAAGCTTATAGCAATTAAAGAGATGATAGCTAAAGTTAAGTATTTCATATTTTATTTTTTTTATTTTTTTTTATTTTATTTAGAATGTTTTAATTTATTTATTATTTTTTAATTTTGTGTAATATGTTTTTTAAAGAATTCTGTATAAAAATTATACTTTTGATTTGCTCGAATTTGAGTTTCACGATATGGTTAGTTTCTAATTAGAAAGTAATTATTAATTAATAACCAAAAATTCTTAAGAAAATGATATATGAATAATCAATATAACAAGAATTTGATTTTTTTAAAAGAAATAAACTCTTTTTTATAAGTAATAATTCAAAATAGGTCATAAGATTATTTTAAAGATAATAAATTTTTGTATATTTTTGTGATTTTATCTACTATTTGTTTTAAATAAATCAAAGCAAAAAACAATAAATGATTTTATAAACTAGTAGAATTATATGTAACAATTTTTATGTTCTACTAAAAAAACAAAATAAAATAATTTTTATCCTTTATTTTTACCAGTAAATTAAGAAATAAATTTATTGTATTTTTAATCAAATCCAAATTAATGTAACCAAGGTCAGGCAATTATCAAAAAAGATAAATTAAAAATAAACACTAATAATACACAAAATATGAAAACAAAAAATAATGAATTTATAAATTTACATATGTTTTTTATGAAAAAATTAAGGTTAAAATAATATTTAGAATATATTTTGATTAAAAAAATTTTATTAGTTCGATTAGTTTAGAAAATAGCAAGTTTTTTGTACTTTTAATAAAATCCTTTTTTAATGTAACTCAGATCAGGCGAGTACTTAAAAAATACATTTAAAATAATGGTCAATAAAAGCATAACAAAATATTAAAAAAAATAGTAAATCTATTAATTTTTAAATATGGCAAATAAACTGAGATTAAATGAGGATTTGGTGATAAAATCTATGTTTATTTAATATATAATTAGAAATGTAATAATTTTATTATGTGGGTTTTTAATGATTTAAGACTAAGTAATCAACTAAAATTTGATATTTACAAAGTAAGCTAAATTCATCAAGAGCGTAGATAAAATTTGATCAATAATTTATTGATTTAAAAAAAAAATTTAATAGAACTAACATTTCAAAAATAAATAGTACTCTAGATTTTCAAGCAGTTAAAGCATCTAAATTATTAAAAAGGTTCTATTTAATTTTTGGATTGAAAATAACATTTAGGATTACTAAATTTTACATCAAATTTTTACAAATGAAGAAGATTTTATTCAAAATTTAACATAGATTTGTAAAAGTAAATAATTGGAGAAACATTTTTATTTTTAATATTCTTTTAGTAATATATTATTTTATAAGCTAAGTAAAATGTTGATATAATTTATTATACAAATAATATGGATACTACAACTTTTCTCTTTTTATAAGCAAATAAATATTTTTAGATTCAAGTATAAGTAAATTATGTGAAAAAACATTTTTTTGGCTTACTTAGTAATAAGAATGCAAAGCTTATGAAGAGAGTACGGTATGTGGGCTTTTAATTTTATTATTTGACTCTTCTTTAAAACTAATGGATCAATATATTTGCTATGATTTCTTATTTTAAAATTCAATTAATTTTCATGTCAGAAAATTGTAATGTAATCTTAAATTTGAGAAAACTATGAAAAAGACTAATTTTAAAGAAATGACAAATCTCCTCAAGTAGGATATTAAGGAAATAAATAATATATTGTAATATAAATAAAGATATATCAAATAAAAAGTATAATATAGAAAAATAGTTTTATTTTATAAAAGACTAGAAACTTATACATGTATTATTATTTGGCTAAAATTATATAACAATAATTTTAAATGTTTGTTTGAGATTATCCTAAATTAAATTATATTAGTTAATCAAATTCGAGGAAAACTTATTGTAAAATTAAAATTTTGATTTTAGTTTCAATCAAATAATCTATAAACTAAGTGAAAAAGTAATATATATATATCCACTATCACTTTAAAATTTAGAATCCATTCTCTCACTTTATGAAATTTAATAGTAAAATTTATCCAAATTTAAAAGTATTTTTTAAATTAATAAAAAATAGTGAAATATAAAGTTTTTCAAATTTATTTTATAAAAATAAAACTAAATTATTGTAATTATTATTATTTATTTTAGAAAAGTATTTTTATAAAAAGAGGAATAATAATTATTTTCTCAAAAATATACAATTAAAAAAATTATTAATTTATTGTATTTAATATCAATAAGATTTAAAACTAAATGATAAAAATATAATATGTAATATTTATTTTAAATTTATTCTAAATTTATATATTTTAGATTTCATGTATTATTATATTTATATTTATGATTTTTTAAGAAATATTTTAGTCATGAAAAAATGATAAATTCTTTTTTTTATTTTAATTAAAAAATCATTACATTTTTATGTTTTAAAAAACAAATATGTAATTCTTTCTTAATGAAGTATATTATTAGTATTTCTTTTTAATTTGTATTTTTATCTTAAAAAATAATGTTTTTATTTCATGCCAATTGCAAAATATTATACTTGATATAGGCCTAAAATCGAAATTTGTGTTCTCAAAATATTCCTTTTTTGAGTAAAATAAGTATTCACTACTTATTATTAGAGTAATTTTTGAAATAATTAGTATATTGATAAATAAAATGTATAAAATAATAATTTAAAATTGATTATCTATTTAATAAAATCATAACTTACATCATTGTAAAATAGACTTTTATACTTAAATTTTTGAATATGTAAATAATAACAATATATTTTAAGTTTTTTCAGAAAATATTGCAGAGAGCGATGTTTTAATCCTAAATAGATTTTGTTTCTACTCTATTTTAGGATTCTAGTCTTGGATTAATAGAGCTTCTACTTTGCATTGCTAAATCGGGATTTTCAAGGATAATTATTTAAGAATTAGATTAAGGCCCTTAATTAAATTATGAAAGACTTGATTTCTCATATCCAATAAACACTGGTTGATAGTCTGGAATTCCTATACCATTATTATCATAAGTTGTAGTTGTTTTGGTTATTGTTACATCTTAGGTCTTTTTAGATCTTTTAACTCTATCATTTTCTTCTTAAAAGTCATATTAAGTGTATAAATTTTTATCAGGGCTTTAGACGTCTTTTATTTGGACATTTTTGATTTCGCTGAATCTGTCTTGATACAATCCTGGTTATGTTTAATTAAAATTACCAGTGTACTACACAGTTTAATAACCATATGAATCACCATAGTTTCCAGTATTATTAGTTTATTAATATGATACAGACTTTGAAAAATTTGTTTGATTTATCCCTTAATTGATTGCCAAAGTAGTTCTTTGCTGGCTGGGATCAAAATTCATATACTTCTTTACAACTTCATCATATTAGGGAGTGGTGTATGTGCCTTTTAGATTGTTAAAATAAATAATAATTTTTATTTCATCTATAATTTTTTTATTTTAAATGATAGATAGATTATTATTTTAATAAATATGGATAAGGAAAACAATAAATTTAGATTTACTTCTTTATCCATCATAATTTTCAGTTCTATACTAATAACTGTAGCTATTATTCATGCTCATTTACTCTAAATCAATTAACTAATCTTTCCTTTTCTTAAAAAATATATTGTGATGCTTATTTTATTGAAATAAACCTTACCTATAAACTACTAACTAATATTCACTTTTATTATTTGTTTAGTTTTTAATCAATAAGAGAATCGTTTTTAGCTTTATTTCGGTAACAAGAAACGAATAGTGAAGGCAATTGCAAATCAATATCGAAGAATATTAATTGATAAATATATTGTTTATTCTTCAAATATTAATAAATCAACAAGTATTCAGTTTATATAAACATATAAATCAATCGCTTTTACTAACATTTGTAAGGGCTTTAAAATAAAAAAAATGATTAAATAAATTATTATAGATTATAAAATTGTATTATTTTTATTCTATTATTAATTATTAAATATAAAAAACTTTTAAAAATATTTAACTTTTTTATTATCGATAAAAATTATGATAATAAAATTATTTCTAAAATTAAGCATATGAATAATTTTATATAAACAGGTATAAAAATTGATAAATTTATTATCATTTAATTATATCAATGTAATTACAGTAAAGTATATTATGAGACAGATTTATTTTTTTTCTCTTCAAAGATAATAATTTAAGACAAAAAGCATAAAAAATTAAATATCAAACACTCTCATTATTTAAAAAATGAAGATATAATTTATGGTTTTTTTAAATGAAATACACTCATAAATTTAGCATATGGCTTGAAAATCAAAACATAAAAAAGATTATTTATCTATAAATTTACCTTTATTTGTAATTAAAAAATATATAAGAAAAGTATAATAAATTAACAAAATAAATATCAACCTAAATTTTCTAATGTATTAAACAAGATTTATTTTCTTTATACATTTTTACTTAAATTCCTTCATATATTATCAGTTTTGCAAATTAGTGTTTGTAAATAATAAGGTAAGTATTATAATTCTTAGTCAGCATAATGTGGTTTGTGTTCTGAAAACTGCCAAAGCTGTTTTGATGATAAAAATTGTCTTATTTGTTAACCAAAAGAGTATTTAGTAAGCATTTTAAATTTTTAATCATATTTACATGATTTGACATGCTATAAACCTGTAAACAACCTAAATACAGTTTTAAGATTAAGCATCTAAACAAATGTTATTGAGTCTTGACAGCTAGGGGTATGCATAGTAGATTTAACAAGCTCTTAATTTGTAATAACTAAATTTTAACCGTCAAAAAGAATTTTAATGAATTAGAATTCATCAAATTAAAAAGAAAATTAAAATTAATTTTCTAAAAAATATGATAAATGCAATAATCATAATTTAAAAAATATAAATAATTCAGATTGTAAGAAATAAAAGAAATTTACATAGTTAGCCATCTAAAACTGATAGTATAGGGTGTATTGTCTAATTACCACCTTAATTTGATATGTAACCCTATTAGATCAATAATATTTTAAAAAATAGTACTATTGCTATTGTTTAAGAGTACACATAGGGTGTAAATTAGTATAATGCTTTTAATTTTAACTCAGTTAATTAATTATTAATATTTGATTAATCTACTTCTTATCTATATAAAATAAACACTCTAAATATGATAAACTAATAAAAACTAACTCAATTAGTTGGTATTAGCTAAATTATTTGTGCTTAATTGATTAATAATATTTTATATCTAGTTCTTCTTGATAATAATCCAATAGGATATTTTTTGACTTCAAATTTAATATTTGGATAATTCTAATTTGATTAATCTGAAGTAATTTTATTTTCTTAAACTTTAATTATTGATATTTAATTTAAAAAATAGGCAATTAAATTCTAGTATCAATAAAAAGGATCAGTTTAAAAATGTATTTTAATTTAATAATCTTAGGTCTTACTAATTTAAGTCTAAAACGGTAAATTAATTGTTTTGAAGTAATAAACATTAAAAGTTATATTCTTAAAAAGGCATCAAATCAGTTAAAACTAATTAACTATCTCAATCTGGATAAAATGGAATTTACTTTGAAAACGAGTAGATAATTTACTAGGACGATGAATCTATTTTTACTTTGATTACATAAAAGTTTTAATATTCTATAAATATTACAAATAAAACTTAACCTAAGAATAATTGGTTAATTAGTATATTTTTAGTAGCTAAAGTTATTATTTCTCTAATAATCCTATTAAATTTTTTTTCAAATATGATGAAATTTAAAAAAATATCTTAATAGCTAACATAAATGAAATGTAGCTTATACGTTTATTTTCAAGCCAGAGCTAGTAGCAAATAATATTCAGCAAATATCCAAGTGTTAGAATAAAATAAAGATTTGGTGACATAGTTTCTATTTTTTACTTAAAGTAAACTGACTAGATCTCTATTGTTTGGCTTTAATATTATTGATTTCCAAAAAAATGAGTAGAGTATTACTCGTTATTTAGATTTTTAGGTTGAATTAACTTTATTAGTCTAAAATTATTTAGTATTAGCGAGTAACAAACAGTTTGTAAAAATGTATAATTTTTGATATTAAGTTGTAAAGATTTCAAGAGTTTAATAATACAAACAATTATATTTAGATTTTTATTGTAAATACCTAATAAAATATAATATTATAACACTTTTAATTTATACCTTTTAAATGTATTGGAAGGAATAAATGGGTATCACTTTAACAATAATTTATTTTCACCTAAGAATTCATAAATTTAGACAGTATAGATATTTAGTAATAAAATTTTTAAAACATCAGATCAGAACACTGTAGTTATATATACAATTTAAAATAATATGATCAAATTTTAGAGTTCCTTTTATTATATAACTTATTATTAAAGGAAACACCAACTACTATTTAACAGTTTTTGATTTTATTAAATCAGAAAATATTAATATTTATTTCTCTTAAAGTGGAGATATAGATGGATTTACTAGAATATATTACTATGATAGCTTATAAAAAATTGTTTATTATCCATTTATATCAATTCATTTTAGATATTTGACATTCAATAAAATAGTTTCTTAAATGTTTTAATAAATACAAACCCTATATTTTCATTTTCAATAAAAAATTATATTATTTTTTACCCCCAAAATTCTCCACACACTTGCTTTGTAATTAACTTAGAGACATTAACTCAAACTTAGATTTAATAATTTTTGTTTCCTACTCAAGCATTTATTTATAACTACTTCATGTTTTTTTCGATTAAATTAAACGAAGTTAAAATGGGTGCAAATTACCAAAAATGGCATTAAATCATTAAAATTTTCTGATTGGGATGGTCATTTAGGCGAGCCATCAAAAAGTCTAAATGGCGCCAAACACGTCACAAATAAACTAGTCTTGAAAAAAACAAGATGTATTCAAATTATTCTTTTTATTAAAAATATTTAAAACAATGTTAAAAGATATTAATTTAAATTGTTGAATAAAATTTATTTGTTGTGTGGTAATTAATTCAGTTGTGTATTAAAATATTAAAATAAAGAATAGAACTTCATTCTATTAAAATCTAACTCCTAATTTATTAAATGCAATTATAATCAAAACAAATTTATGGAAAATATTGATAAGCTTAAAGAATCAAAAATACAATATAAGTCAGTCATAAAATAGCATATTAAAGTATTTAAAAATGTATAGTATCAAAGATTTTTAATAAATATTTAATTTATTATTAAAAATCATTAATAATTAAATTTTATATATACTTTTACAAGTAATTTTATTTTTTAATATAAAATCAATACATTTTATGGTTACAAAGATAAAAGACTTATTGCTAACTTAATAGTTAATAAATAATTAGATGTTGTTTGATTTTGTTAATTTAGAAGATTGATATTTAGAAATAAATTAAATTATTTAAAAGGTTGATTGTTAACTTAATTTTCAGCAATCAAAATTAATTACAAAGACATTCATTTCGATAGTTATAAAAATAATAGGAAAATAGAATTATATTTTGAAAAGTTAGGAAATTTCAAATTTACTTCCCTATTTTAAAGGAGGGTTTAAATATGAATGAAAGTGCATCTAAATTTGTTTAGTAGAGTTAGTTTTAATTGAGAAATGGAAAAAATTCTAAATTCACGCAATTAAAGATATGTAATACTTTACTAATAATTACTTTGTGTTTTAGTCCAACTAAATGCCTAATAAAAATAGATTTTTTAAATAAATAGCAAATGGTAAAGGGTAAAGAAAATCAAATACTCTTAGTAAAAATAATTTTAGTTTTTAAACAAATGGATTGCTGTTGGGCAATACAGAATATTAAGAAACAAGTTCTCCATCAGAAATAGATTCACCTTCATCAGTAAAAAGAAAAAGGGAAAATAAAGGTAAAAAAAAGACCTTCTTAATAAAATCAGATGATAACTAGCCTGTAATTTGCTAAATAGCTTAATTTTTAGATTATTAATTAATGAACTCTATTATAAATATAGCAATTATAAAAAAAGATATCTAAAAAAGGATATCCTGTTGAGTTTGTAGAGATTGATTAATCAGGTATACTAAAACTAGGAGAGTTAGTAGAATAAGTATTATTACAAATAATAAATATAAGCTTATACCTTAAATAATTTTATAATATAGTTATTTATAAAATATGAGGGATACATTCATTTGACTGTAATAGCAGGGAAGGAAGGAAGTGGTAAATCTTAACTGCTAAATAAGCTCCTGGATATATCAGGAAAACAATCAGTATATTCTTGTTTTAAAACATAAAAATTAAAGAATTAACAAAATTTTGTTAATATCTTAACAGCAATATTTATCTTAATGAAAAGTTAATTAAAAAATATTTAAAACTTAATAGTTCTAAACAAGGAAGGAAAAAGAGCATTTTTAATTTGGTACTGTGGACCTATAAATATTTTCAGAGCCTATAATAATCAAAGAGTTAAATATACATTGCTTTTATTTAGATTTGTAAGGTATAGATGAAACGAATATTTCTCATCTTAAGCTTTTACTATTTGCTTTTTTAATTTCTGACTCTTTTATATGGCACACAGATGAATAAATATAATACAGTATTCATGAGCTTAGTGTTTTTTAATAGATATAAGAAAAACTATAATTTAAATTTAATTCTACATCTGAAGAATTTAAAATATATCCACATTTTTACTATTTGATTAAGGGTAGAACACCTCACAGTATAAGAATTAATGCTATGTCTCCAAGAGTATATTAAAATAAAATTGATTTTAAAACAAATTTTTAAGCAAATATTTTTTATTTGTAGGGATATTTTAAAAGCTTTATTAAAGAAGAACTAGATGACTATTTGTTAAAGTATAATTTTACTGACATAAGCAACAATAGCTCAAATTATTATAACAATCCGCTTTATAGTGACTTTAAATAGTAATATGTGCAGCAAGCAACGACTAGAGATTTTATCATCAAAGATATGAAAACACAAGAAGAAAATAATAAATAATAAAACAATAATATTTTAAGTTTTGACAATGAAAATGATTCAAATAATTAAAAATAAAACCAACAAAATGAAATGAATACTTTTACTGAAGCTTTAGATAATTCAAAGCTAAGTTTTTAGCAAGATTCTTAGCTGGTTAAATCGTTTAAAAATCTTTCTAGCACATAAAAATAGAACATAAAGCAAATTTTTAATAATTTTTACATTGATAAACTAAAGTTAGTTTTTTATAAAGATTCTAAACCATAGATTTAAAGAAGTGAAAATAAAGATAGATAGAGGAATATATCTATATCAAATAATTCAGCTAATAGTTTATCATTTTAAAACTAAAATATTTATGGGTCATCTACTTCTTCGACTTTTACTCCATTTAGCTCATCGAATAGAGGTTATAAGAAACCTATTATGAGTCCATCTCTTTATTTAAAGTAGAATATCTATGGACCTTTATCGAGTGATATACAACTTTAGAATATTGAAAAAGAAAGTGAACTTTAGCAAGAAACAATCGAGGATGTTTTATCTTGGGAATAATATTAAATATAAAACTGTAAAAAGATATATGGAATAAACTATAATAGCCGAATGTTTCTTACATTTATTCAAAATCTTTTGGATTAAATAAATCTTGGAAAAAAAATTTCAATTTAACAAATTCATTTTGAAGCTCTCTTAAAAGAATGTGAGCAAGTATCTAATTGGTGCTATGAATAATTTGTTGAGGAAATGCTAGCAGCATTAGGAGATTAGATGAAACCTTTAGACTAGCTTCTTTTCATCAGTTTAGTAAATCAATAAATTATCAATTTTCTTATTTTATAATTTTAAATTTTCAGCTTCAGTAATTTTATAAATTTAAATATGAAATTCATTACAATTACTAAAAAAATATTTACCTTTCAAGAATAATTAAATCTTAAAACAATATTCTCAACAATCATATCTCAACTTATAAAAATTTTATAGCTCCTTACAATTTATAGCATCTTACAATAAATAAATTTTATTTTTATATATTTAAAATACTTTTATTAATATAGTAAATAAGAGAGAATACAATCAATAAATACAGTATATATTTTAAATAATTGGATTTTAGAGAATGCAGTCCATTTATATAATAGAGAAAAAAACTAAAAAAGCACATAGATAGCTATACAAAGCGAATGTTTAATTTATATTTTACCACAATGGCAGGTATATCTGAGATATAAAGAAAATAGCTTTCTCGAAATCTATTTAGCTAGATATATGAAAGTAATTAAACTAGAAAAGAAATAAATTAATAAAGCAATGATCTTTCAATCAATAATAAAATTACTAAGAGTCCAAATTTATCAATTGAGTAGGTTGAAAATGAAAATAATGATTTTAATACTTCTTTAACTTAATAAAGTTTTTCTGAATAAGATTATACTATTAATGAAATTGAAAATGAAGAAGATTTTGAAAGTGTTGATGGAAAGATAAAAGAAGTGCATAATTCTAGAATATTTTTAAAAAATAACTTTTCAACAGAATAATAAGAAAGCAAAGTTAAATAATTAAAAACTTAAAGGAATATTTACAGGTCTTCAATAGAAAATTAAATCGGTTTTACTAGATATTCTAGTCTTCATCAAAATTTGAAAAAGGCTTCAGGATATAGCCAATTATAGCAAAAAAGATCATCAAATCCTAAAGTCTCCACTCCCTCAAAAATATTAATTTCTAACTAGGAAATTTAGCTTTAAACACCTCTATAGACTAGAGATACTAGGCCTTCGTATGATGGTTCCAATTAAATTAAAGAAGAAGAATAGTAATTAAGTGAAGAAGCTTGCAAATAAAATAAAGAAAAACTTTCTCGAATATTTAATGAAGCTATTACATCTATGAGATAATTTACAGAAAAATACTTTTTACAATAAGACGAATGTGTGTAGTATCCTTCTATATCCCAATATTAAAATTTTATTAGACATACTTACAAAAAGTATGTAGAAAAATTTACATAGTAGTATATTGAACTTTATCAAAAAATAATTTAATAAGAAGAATTCCTGAGATTTAAAGATTTAAAATAAATGAGAGATATACTTTATAATAGAAGAGAAATCCTCTCAAAACAAGTAAAATAAATAATTTGATTTCTTAAAATTTATTATAAAAATTAAATATAATAGGATACAGCCATTACTCATTATATAGAAAGTCTAAAAACAGAATCTTAAAATACTCAAAAATTAATAGAATAAACTCATATATTTTACCTTAAAAGCAAGTAAGTATATTTAAATAATTTAAATGCAAATTATTTAATTTTTTTATAAAATTAAAATAAAAAAGAGATAAATATAAGCTAAGCCTTATTTTACAATAAAAAGAAGAAGAATGCAGAAAACTAGAGGAAGAGTTGCAAGTAATTTATTTTTTAAATAACTTAAAAATAATACTTTTCTTTATTTATTTATTTATATTAGAGACTTAAGGGTAAAAACAAAAGCTCATAAAAATGAACTAATTTCAAATTTCAATTAAAATATATTATTTATATAATAAATTTAAATTTTGATGAAGGATATCAAAAGCTATGCAAAAATTAAACTTAAAAAGAGTAATACTATTTCAATCACTTAACAACAAAACAAATAATAAATAAAAAAATAATCACAGCTTCACTATAACTATAAAAAATTAATTGAATAAAATTTAGGTTTTAAACTCTCATTTAATTTAACAAAATTTTTCCATTTTCAATATTATAATCAATACTTAACAATTAATTATTAAAATAATTAAATCCATAAGAATATTTAAATTAATATAATTATATTTATGCTACTTTATTTGTATATATACTCTAAATAGTTTTATAGTATAACATTTCAGACTTATATAATTACCTTTAAATCTCTTTAATGTAAAATTAAAATTTAAAATAAAAAAATTAAATTCTATTTTTAATTTAACATAAAAATAGATAAAATAAAAATTTTATTTTAGATTAAAAAAACAAACAAACAATTAATTTAAAAATAAATTATTAAAATAATATAGATTTCACAATTTATTTATATAAAAATTAATTAATATTTAATTAAATAAAATAAGAAAATGAAAAACAAGATAAAATTAATTATCAATAAATTTAAAAATTATTTTTTTATTTATATAAAATAAAATTAAAATTAAAATTATTTCTGTTAAATTAAAAAGTAAACAAATGAATATATAAAAAAAATAACATAAAATTAAAAAATTAATTAATTAATTAATTTATTTTTTAATAAATTTTTACATGTAGCTTCTCAGCTACAGAAAAAATTTGCTGCAAATAGCAATAATATTATTCAAAGATTTTATATTTATTCATCCTTTCATCAGTTTTTTATCATTAGAAATTTAAGACAACTAATCTTTTTGATTTAAGACACCTGCTTAATAATTGGAATCTTTATGATTCATTAATAGAAGAGCTAAAATTTTTATAATAAATTTGTTTAAATTATCAAAACAGAATAAACTTTTTAAATTAAAAATTATTCTTTAAATTAATAAATAAAATAATATTAGTGGAATAAAAAAGATAAAAAAATAAATCAAATAAAAGCTATTAAATAAATTCATGGAGCTTTTTTGTTTAATATTCATTTTTATAGTTTAAAATATCACAATCCAAAACAAATAAACTGTTTTTACTTAATGTAAAGTTTCAAATTTGAGAGATTATTGCAATTTGCTAAAGCAGAACTTAAGCCTAATGCACCTATTGCACCAATTTGATTTCCACTTTTTAAATATTGAAGAAAAAATATATCATTAAATATTTAATTAGAAGGAAAAAATGTAGAAATAATATGAAATAATAAGATTAATTAATTAATAATAAAAGAAAAAGTTGAAATATAATGAGCTAAATTAAAAAAGAAAGAACAAAAAAAAGCAAGCACAAAAAAAAAAAAAGAAAAAAGAATTTTATTGTTTTTAATTAGTTTTTATAATTTAAAATATCTTAATCCAAAACAAATAAACTGTTTTTACTAAAGTTCAAGTATCAAATTTTAGAGATTAATGCAATTTGTTAAAGCAGGACCTAAGCCTGATGCACCTTCATCACCAATTTAATTGTTACTTTTTTAAATATTGAAGAAAAAATATATCATTCATTAAATAGTTAATTAGAAGGAAAAAATGAAGAAAAAATATGTTGTGTTTATAATTAGTTTTTATAATTTAAAATATCACAATCCAAAAAAAATAAACTGTTTTTACCCAAGGTGAATTGCCAAATTTGAGAGATTAATGCAATTTGATAAAGCAGAACCTAAGCCGCATGCACCGTTTGCACCAATTTCATTTCCACTTTTTAAATATTTAAATAAATAGTTAATTAGAAGGTAAAAATGAAGATAAAATATGAAATAGTAAGAATAATTAGTTAATAATAAAAGAGAAAATTGAAATTTAAAAAATAAGCTAAATTAACAAAGAAAAAACAAAAAAAAGCAAACACAATAAAAAGAAAAAGAAAAAAGAGCTTTTTTGTTTTAAATTAGTTTTTATAATTTAAAATATCACAATCCAAAACAAATAAACTGTTTTTACTAAAGGTCAAGTGTCAAATTTGATAGATTAATGCATTTTCCTAAGCCAGAGCATAAGCCTGATGCACCTGCATCACCAATTTAATTGGAACTTTTTAAATATTGAATAAAAAATATATCATAAAATAGTTAATTAGAAGGAAAAAATGAAGAAAAAATATGAAATAATAAGATTAATTAATAAATAATGAAAATAAAATAATGAGCTAAACTAACAAAGAAAGAATAAAAAAAAGTAAACATAATAAAAAAAAAGAAAAAAGAGCTTTTTTGTAATTAGTTTTTATAATTTAAAAAATAACAATCCAAAAAAAATAAACTGTTTTTACTAAAGGTCAAGTTTCAAATTTGAGAGATTAACACAATTTGCTAAAGCAGAACCTAAGGCTGATGCACCCATTGCTCCAATTTAATTGTTACTTTTTAAATATTGAAGAAAATATATATCATTAAAGAGTTAATTAGAACTAAAAAATGAAGAAAAAATATGAAATAATAAGATTAATTAATTAATAATAAAAGAGAAAGTTGAAAATTAAATAATAAGCTAAATTAACAAAGAAAAAACATACACAATAAAAAGATAAAGAAAAATTAGCTTTTTTGTTTTTAATTAGTTTTTATAATTTAAAATATCACAATCCAAAACTAATAAACTGTTTTTACTAAAGTTCAAGTGTCAAATTTGAGAGATTAATGCAATTAGCTAAAGCAGGACCTAAGCCTGATACACCTTCATCACCAATTTAATTGCTACTTTTTTAAATATTGAAGTAAATATATATCATTAAAAGTTAATTAGAAGGAAAAAATGAAGAAAAAATATGAAATAATAAGATTAATTAATTAATTGAAAAATGATGAGCTAAATTAACAAAGAAAGAACAAAAAAAAAGCAAGCACAACAAAAGAAAAAGAAAAAAGAGTTTTTTGTTTTTAATTAGTTTTATTATTTTAAATATCACAATCCAAAACAAAGAAACTGTTTTTACTGAAAGTTAAGTGTCAAATTTGAGAGATTAATGCAATTTGCTAAAGCAGAGCCTAAGCTTGATGCACCCATAGCACCAATTTCATTTCCACTTTTTAAATATTGAAGAAAAAATATATCAATAAATAGTTAAATAGAAGGAAAAAATGAAGAAAAAATATGTAATAATAAGATTAATTTATTAATAATAAAAGAGAAAGTTGGAAATTAAAAAAAAGCTAAATTAACTAAGAAAAAACAAAATAAAAGCAAACACAATAAAAAGATAAAGAAAAATGAGCTTTTTTGTTTTAAATTAGTTTTTATAATTTAAAATATCACAATCCAAAACAAATAAACTGTTTTTACTCAAGTACAAGTGTCAAATTTGAGAGATTAATGCAATTTGCTAAACCAGAACCTAATCCTGATGCACCTTCATCGTTAATTTTATTCCAGCTTTTTAAATATTGAATAAAAATATATCAATAAATAGTTAATTAGAAGGAAAAAATAATGTAATAAGATTAATTAATTAATAATAAAAGAAAAAGTTTAAAATATAATGAAGAGCTAAATTAATTAACAAAGAAAGATCAAAAAAAAAGCAAAGACAATAAAAAGAAAAAGAAAAAAGAGCTTTATTGTTTTTAATTAGTTTTTGTAATTTAAAATATCACAATCCAAAACAAATAAACTGTTTTTACTTAAGGTAAAGTTTCAAATTTGAGAGATTAATGCAATTTGCTAAAGCAGAACCTAAGGCAGATACACCCTTTGCACCAATTTCATTTCCACTTTTTAAATATTGAAGAAAATAAATATCATTAAAAGTTAATTAGAAGGAAAAAATGAAGAAAAAATATGAAATAATAAGATTAATTAATTAATAATAAAAGAAAAAATTGAAAAATGATGAGCTAAATTAACAAAGAAAGAACAAAAAAAGCAAAAACAATTAAAAGAAAATGAAAAAAGAATTTTATTGTTTTTAATTAGTTTTTATAATTTAAAATATCACAATCCAAAATAAATAAACTGTTTTTACCCAATTTCAAGTGTCAAATTTGATAGATTAATGCAATTAGCTAAAGCAGGACCTAAGCCTGATACACCTTCATCACCAATTTAATTGTTACTTTTTTAAATATTGAAGAAAATATATATCATTAAAAGTTAATTATAAGGAAAAAATGAAGAAAAAATATGAAATAATAAGATTAATTAATTAATAATAAAAGAAAAAGTGGAAAAATGATGAGCTAAATTAACAAAAAAAGAACAAAAAAAAAGCAAGCACAACAAAAGAAAAAAAGAAAAAAGAGCTTTTATGTTTATAATTAGTTTTTATAATTTAAAATATCACAATTCAAAAAAAATAAACTGTTTTTACATAAGGTTAAGTGCCAAATTGGAGAGATTAATGCAATTTGCTAAAGCAGAGCCTAAGCTTGATGCACCTATTGCACTAATTTCATTTCCACTTATTAATTATTGAAGAAAAAATAAATTATAAATAGTTAATTAAAGGAATAAATGAAGAAAAAATATGAAATAATAAGATTTATTAATTAATAATAAAAGAAAAAGTTGAAATTTAAAAAATAAGCTAAATTAACAAAGAAAAAACAAAAAAAAGCAAACACAATAAAAAGAAAAAGAAAAATGAGCTTTTTTGTTTTAAATTAGTTTTTATAATTTAAAATATCACAATCCAAAACAAATAAACTGTTTTTACTTAAGGTCAAGTGTCAAATTTGATAGATTAATGCAATTAGTTAAAGTAGAACATAAGCCTGATGCACCTTTATCACCAATTGAATTGTTACTTTTTAAATATTGAAGAAAAAAATATATCAATAAATAGTTAAAAAAAGAAGGAATAAATGAAGAAAAAATATGAAATAATAAGATTAATTAATTAATAATAAAAGAAAAAGTTGAAAAATGATTAGCTAAATTAACAAAGAAAGAACAAAAAAAAAGCAAACACAATAAAAAGAAAAAGAAAAAAGAAATTTATTGTTTTTAGTTAGTTTTTATAATTAAAAATATCACAATCCAAAAAAATAAACTGTTTTTACAAAAGGTCAAGTGTCAAATTTGAGAGATTAACACAATTTGCTAAAGCAGAACCTAAGGCAGATGCACCCATTGCTCCAATTTAATTGTTACTTTTTAAATATTGAAGAAAAAATAACTTTATTGTTTTAATTATTTTTTTTAATTTAAAATATCGCAATCCAAAACAAATAAACTGTTTTTACCGAAGGTTAAGTGTCAAATTTGAGAGATTAATGCAATTTGCTAAAGCAGAACCTAAGTCTAATGCATTGATTGCACCAATTTTATTATTACTTTTTTAATATTGAAGAAAAAATATCAAATAATAAATAATTAATAATAAAAATGAAAATTTTGTTAAAATAGCTATAAAAATTTTGTTTTTGTAAAAATAAATAAATAATGATGATAATTTCTTTTATAAAAATTATTTATTTAAATAAATTAAAATTAAATGTACAAAAATATTAATAATAATAAAAGTAATTTTTTTAATTAATTATACAGATCAATATAGAGGACCTAATGAGATAAAAGTGAAGAGCTTAAAAACTTTTTTTATTAAATAAAATAAATTTAAAGGATATTAATAAAAAAATTAATAATTACTTCTCCTAATTAGTTATATTTTTTAATCTATTATATCATTTATTTTTTTTTTCAAAAATATTGAATAGAAGTTTATGAAATTTAATTAATTAATTATCAATGGATTAAAACAACAAATAAATATAATAATTAATTAATTATCAAATATTAATTTATATATTTGGTTTTATGAAAAGATATCACAAAAAAATTAATTTAACATTCACTATTTAAATTTGATATTTGTATTTAAAACTGACAAATAAAAATATATATAGTAGGAATTAGAGATGGACAGTTATTTATTTAGTCATATTTGAAAAAAATCTAGTAGTTAATGTTCTTAAATATTATAAGAATAATGTTTATCAGTAGATTTTTCTGTTTTAGCTCTGTAATTTTAGGAATATTTATAATATCTCTAATTATAGCAAGATACCATACAAAAATTTCATGGTTAACATGCTACTTATTATGAAATATATTTTTTATTTGTTTATTAAAAATTCTGAATTTTATTTATATTATATAATAGAATTATATTAATGAACAATTTAATTTATTATAATTTAAAAATAAATAATTTTTTTTACATAAAATGGTTTTTTTTTTAGAAGTGCTAATATATTTAAGCTTAAAAATTGAGGAACTAAAGTATAAATTCAAATATTTATTTAAGATAAGTAAAGATATAGAAATTTATATTCATAAGTATTACTTTTTATAATGTTTTTAATTTTAAGTTTTTATATTTATATAAGTAAAACAAAAACTTGTTTTATTTTTTTTTTATTATCTGCCACTTAGAAAAATAATTACTATCGAAACATAATATATATTCGTAGTAAGTGAAGAGTGGTTAATTGTTAAGGTAGTAATTCTGTAGTAAAAATAATTAAAAAATGAGCAGAATGATTTATTTTTAATTAATATTTTTTTGTTTTTTGTAATTTCAATTTGATTTGCTTTCATTAAGTAATTGATTCATTCATTAGTGTTACTATTATTAGGTTAAAGAAAGTGAGAAATTGGCATTGTTAGTAAAATCAGCAGTTTTAAGTTTTTTTCTGAAATTTACTATTTTCAATTACTTTTAGTCGTCTGTTGTTTCTAAATCACATTAATACTTGTTAATAGGAGGAGATGAAACGGCTTGTTCATTTGATATCATATTAGTATTAAAGTCAGTATTTGTGTATAAAGACAATAAACCTTTATTTTAGTTGGAGTAAGCAGAAAAAGAACTTTGTTTTTTCCTGAGAATGGGCATTTCTGAAGAACCATAGTCTTCTTCTAAATCCATAAAATTTTGAGCTCTTTCAGTTGCTTAGCGTCTTTTTATAATAGGACTACTGGTTACAGATGATTGTGAAATTGATTTTGAAGATTCTCTTTCTACACTTTAGTCTTCTATGATACAGTCTTGCTCATATTATTAAGTGTTCATATTTACTAGATCAGATAATTTTGGAGATTATTGTTAAGAATCTAAAAAGTATTTTCCATATTTTTTCCTATTTTATATTAAGAAAGATTAATACTAGTTATAAAAATGTATAAATAATTTTTTATTACATGAAGAATATGAAAAACGAAGGCTCAAGTTTAAATGAAGAGTGAGAGCTATTAGATAATGAGTCAGAGTCATTATCATTTAATCCTTTTATAGGAGTGCACTGAGCTGAAAAGAAAGGAGTCTTTTTGCTTTCTAAGGATGGAGAAGCTATTGGTACAACAATATTATGCCTTTCAGAGTTCTTTTTTATCAATTTTGGGGATAATTATTTTTTTTAGTTTTGATTTTCTCCTTGTTGTTAATTTGATAGATTTTTTATTTTAGAAAAGTCTGACTCTATATCAATATTTTCTCCAACAAACTAAAAATTATTAAAATAATTATTTTATGAATTATTTGAGTTGTTTTGGTTTCCATTTCCTTAATTTGCAAGCTTTTAATTTTCAGGTGTAGAAAAGGTGGAATTTTGATCATTATTGCTACTTATTGCGGAATTTGATAAATTATTTGGCCTGTTTGTTGCTTATTCTGAAATTTCTTCTTCATCTTCACCGTCTTATAAATTGCTTTCTTCAACACTATTAGATGATATCTTTGATACTCTACTATTAGTCTGAATATCAGTGGATTTTGATAATTATCGATTGCTTATCTAAGTTTCACTTTCTCTTTGAGTTTTTGTTTGATTATCAATTTTTAGCTTAGATTAAATAATTCCACAAGGATTATTGGAAAAGCTTTCATTTTTTCCCTCAATTTTACTCTCTACTGAATTCTAGCTTGTATTACTTTGCTAGTCATTAAAATCAGAATTAGCTTCATGGTACTTCTTAAACAAAGAACCGAAATGCATTTGCTTTGAATTTAGGCCAAAATTGCTTTATTTTGATAGATTCTAACCAAATTTTGTATGGTCTCCTTAGTTTGAATCAAGAGAAAAGCTATTAATATCTGCTATTTGATGAGGATCTTAAGGCTTTAAATTTTATTATTAGCCAGGAGAAGCATTCATAAGAGGGCTATTTATGTTGAGATTATCAAAAGAGAAAGGTAAGAGTGAAGCCATTGGAGATCCCTATGACATTGGACTAGCGCAATCGATATGTTAGTTGATGTTATCGCAAGCAGATAGAAGTTAGATAAATATTTATATTTTTTTAAGTTGTTCTTCCTATTGCTGTATTTGCTCCTCTGATAGGTTTTTATTTTGCTCTTTTAATAAAAAAATATTTAAGTAAAACAATATTTTTAATTAAAATAATTCATTATTTACTTTAGGCTTCTAAGTTTTACTGACAAGTCTGTTATAATAGTTTATAGTAATGGAGCCACTCTTTTGCATCTATTTTTTAAATGAGAAATTCAATACCCAAAATGATAAACAAAAAAATATTTTACCTTTTTATTTACTTTATTGAGGGACAATTTCTTCCAATTAATTTTAATTTTGTAAATCATTTTCACCTTCTCCGTCATCTGAGGCAAAATCTTATATAAAATTGATAAATTAATAATCTTTAAAATTTATTATTTTATATGCTAAATAAATTGTGTTTATGATAGATAATTAATATGTTATTTATCTAAAGAAAATCTAGCTTTTGGGTGATTTATAATTTTAATTCAAGGATTATACTAGCTGCGTTAAGAGTTAAATTTTTTATTAATTAAAAATTCTATTTAATAAATCCACAATTCTAATCAATTAAATTAAGCTGAAAGGGAGAGAGTAAAAAAAAGAGGAAAAAAAAACAAAAAATTTGCTTTCATTCATGCTAATTTGTTTTTTTTTAAATTTTTGTATTTTTTTTATCAATTTAAAATGAAAATTTATTTTTTACCACAGCTATAGTTGCTTTGCGTGCTTTGTTGTCTCTTTCTCATTTATGGGAAGGAATCCTCTGATTGTAGATTTCCATTTTTGCCATTATTTCCAGATTTTGAGTTACTTTTTGCATTTTCTCTTTAGATTTTGTTGAAGAACTTTTAAGCATGAGAACGAATTTAAGCTCCTGAACGTGTTCCTACATATTCTTCAACCTTTTTCCAATTTTTTCCATACATTCCCAAACCCTTTACAAAGCGTAGGTGCTCTTCTCTAGTCCAACGCCCTGTGTTAGATCCATTAGGATTTTAGATTGTATTGTTGTAATTGATTGATTTTACTGGTTAATTGACTGAGTTTTAAGTGGCTGAAGGACTTTTATTAATAGTGCTATTTGCTGCATTATCGCTATTATTTGCACTAACATTGCTATTAGGGTTTTAAGAAAAATTAGATTTTTAAATAGAGATATTAGATTAAGAATTCTGCTCAGAGAAAGACTCGATGATACTTCTACTGCTTGGTGTGGTTAATTGATTTTATAAATTTTAAAAGATCATATTTTGAGCAGAAGAAGAGTAATTAAAGGATGGTTGGGCTGTTTTGCTCATTGTGTTTGCTTGTGCAGTATTATTGAAGGCATTTGATATAGGATTAGATTCAGTAAGTAAGTTTATTTACTTATTTAAATGATTGATGCCTTAAGGCTATTAAGTGATTTCAATATTCATTTAATTAGGAGTACTCTATTAAGTTAAGGCATTGTTAAATAGAGCAGGGTTACCAGCTGATAATTGAGCACTGAGAGCTACTAAATCAGAAAGTTAGATTTATTATTGTTAGATTTGCAATTATTACTAATGAAGGTAGAGATTAAGTCTTTCTTGTAGCTCTTAAGATTAAGGACTCTATAACTACTATGATTACTGCTAGCAGTTAAGCAATGATATAATTTACTGCTATTACTGAGTCAATCCAGTTTGAAATAGATTGTTTGTGTGTATCCGATTAGTAGCGAGAGAGTTTTCAGGAATATAAAAATCTTTTAATATCTAAGCGATATCAATTTGGTTATTTTAGGGGAGCATCAATAGCGTTTAGAGTAATGAGAGTGAAGAAATGTTAAATTTAAGAGATTATATGTATCAGAAGATTTATATCAGGAAATAGAATCAATCAACGGGAACTTAGTTCTGTGTTTTATTGTGTTTTAAGTAGTTTGGCTTTGTTTAATGACTAGATTATGCAAATGGAGGAAAAAGAAAGTGATGATGTTTGTAATTTATTGTTATAGATTTATGAGTAATATTATAGTTTTAGTAAGGAAACGATATGGATCTATCGACGTATCCCTCTTTTTATGTATCTGTTTTCTAATTTCTTAGTTTTTATCTTTTTTTTGTTTTATTATTTTTTATTATTTTTGTTTGCTTTTATTGATTATTAATCATTGATAGATTATTCTTCCTTCTACTTTTTAATTACTTCTAGTATTAGAATTATAATTTCCTATCTTCTACATAGAAGAAAATTTTAATAAATTTTATAGTAGGAGTAGTAAAAAAGAAAGAATCTATCTATCTTTGCCTAATTTACTTGTGAACCAACCTTTCCTCGTGAATCCTCCTTCTATTTTAACAATATCAAAATTGTTTATACATTAGTGAGTGAATGAATGAATTATTAATTTCCATTTATCCTCACATAAAAAATATAATTTATTTTTACATTAGTCATCTATACTTAACTTCTTTCTTCTTGTATCTCCAAAAACTAATAGTTTTGATTTTATATCAGATAAATTTTTATTTTAATATAGGTAATCTAATAATAATCTGAGGTTATAAAAGGGGAAGCTAAGCTGGAAGGAAGTTCAATCCAACTGAAAGACTCAAAAATTTAATTTTACTAAGATAATTATTATATGCTTATTTTTTTTGTTTAAATAAAAAAAGAATCATAAAATATGAATATTACTAATTTTTTTTTGAATTTATAAATGAGGTACACCATCAATATTCTTATTATATCATTAGCAATATAATCCTTTATAATTTTATCGAAAGATTTAACTTTTAAGCAATAAATTGTTTTTAAATTTAATTTATATATCATTATTTTTGGTATAATTATATATTTCAGATTTAAAAATTTTTGAAGGGAATCTCTTCAAAAAGTCATTAATAATTAATTAGTAGAAGTTTTACGAATTTATAAAATAAAATTGATAGAGTTTTAGACCAGTTAATTCATGGTTTTTATTTTGGAATTATTCCTTTCCTGTTGTTTAATAAATTATTAAGATTCTCAGCAAATCAATCAATCAATCAAATCGCTCTCAAAAATTAATCTTTTGTAATAAGATAATGTTATTTAATTAATTAATCTCATATCTAAGATTGTTTATTCACTCTTTGATGAAATAAATTTTCATTTGATATCCTTGATTGGATTTCTTTCAATATCTAAAAAATTTGCTCTATCTAAACAAAATTAAAAAATTGTATTCGTCGTCTCAATAAAAAAGGCTATCTTCAAGAAATAAATTTGATATATAAATTCTCAACCAATAATCAACTATTGCCAAAATAATTAAATTATCCTATAATGAATCTAGCTATTATATCTAATGTTCATTTTTTTAAAACTAAACTCTCATTAAATTTCTCATAAATACAATACTTATTTTTGAGTTTCAGATAGTTCTCTTATAATAATATAAATTCCAATTATTTTTTGTGAAACTAAATACCTAGAACGATTTCTGACAAATATTTTTTATGAAAACAGAAGTCTAAAGATTAACTAAAAATATTCAGCCCCTTCTATTAATTTAAAAATATAATAATTCTAATCAATAACTAGCAAAAAATATGAACTGTTTTGCTAAATATTAAAATTCTATAAAATTACTTACTATGATTTTTAATGAGTATACGCTTATATAATCAGAGATGTTAATATATTTGATTTGCGAGTTTTTCAACAATAATTTGATCAATAAAAAATATATCATATAGAGAAAATTTATTAGTACTCTTATCTTATTATATAGAAACTTTTACATCGAAGGGGAAAAAAACGACAATATAAATGTAATAGATTTTAAAATTTATTTTCCTTGAATTATTATTTTAATATTATATATCTCAATATAGACTAAGATATTGAATAATATTTAAGACAAATTTTATTTATTTAAATTTTTTATAAATTATAAATCTAAGAAAAAGATAAATTTTATCATCATAGATTTTTCATACTTTATTTAATTTATTATTGTTAAAGAATAGAGAGATGTATGTATCTAATGTATTTAAAAATCATCTCTTTTAAAAATACTAAATGATGTTGCTTTAAAAACGCAAGATATAAACATAGTAAAAATATAATAAAGAGAAGCTTAACTTTAACTCATAACTTTTTAAAAAAATTTTAAGTTGATAACTATTATATACTTTTAAAAAAATAAATTAAGAAACAAAAAGTAGTTTTGAAAAATTTATAATATTTAATTAAGAAAAGGCATTCAGTAAGGTGGCTATGAGGCTGAATTCAATTTTATTTAAAAAAAAATGTAATTAAAAGTTAATTATCTATTTTTCAATTTAGATTAAAACATTTGTTTTTTTAAAAAAAAAAATTTCTTATGTCTGAGTTTGCTTAAATTGTGTTAAAAAAATTGAATTTTTCAAAATATTTATCTTCATTATAATATGTATTTATCTTTTTATTTAAAAAATATTATTTATTTTAATTAAAATCTTAGACTTTAAAAAATTTAATGTTTTTTGAATTATTTTAGCAAGTTTTCTAAAAATATTTGGATTTTAAAGTAACAGTTAGTAAGATTTATAACAAGGAGTAAAACAAAGCTTTTGAATATTTTTAATTAATTTATTTAAAATATTTTTTTTGCTAAATTTAAAATATTTTGAAATAAATAAAGAAAAGAATACTTAGAATTTAAATAATTTAATATTTATTAAACTAAAATACAAATTTCCTCAGAATATTTTGAGATTTAATAATAATTAATAAGATTGATTAGAATTAATTGAAGAAAGATATTGGAACACTTTGTTTTAATTGATTTAATTAGTTAAAATTTGTTGCAAAATATAAAATATTTTGAATTAAATAAGTGATCAGAAAACTTAGAATTTAAATAATCTTATGTTTATTAAACTATAATATAAGTTTTCTCAAAATATTTTAAAATATTTTGAGTCTAAATAATAATTAACAAGATTGATTACAATTAATTGAAGACAGATATTGGAAGAGTTTATTATAATTGATTTAATTAGTAGAAATTTGTTGCAAAATATAAAATATTTTGAAATAAATATAAGTGAATAGAAAACTATTTTATATTATAAATAAGTAGGTTTTTATTATAATTTTAAATATATTTATTTATTTATTTACTTTCTGTTTTAATATAATTAATTAATTTCTTCATTCATTTATTCGTTAATAATATTATTATTATTATTCATATAAACTTTGTTATTTAATATTATAATTCAGTTAAAATATTACTCTCAGAAGTAATGCTCAAGAACTCTTATGTTTTATATATTATTAATCTAGTTAATTTTTAATTCTTTTAATTGATTAAATAATTAATTGTTTTAGTTGACATCATTGTTTTAAACTTATTGAAGATTGTTCAGATTTTATTAAAGATTTGAATTTTTAAGTAATTATTATGAAGTTTAAATTAAAGTATTAAAATTTATTTAATTTTCACATGAAATTGATTTCTTTATATTTTTAGAGTCCATATCGTTTTATTTATTGTCTGATCCCTATAAGGAATTGTTCTCATATGTCAGTTTTCTTATTTTTTTAAATGAAGAAGAAGATACTTGTTATTATTGTTGTTATTATTATTATTGAAATCCGAGTAAATTATTGAAAATTTATTGTTTGTTGTTATTCAAATTAGTTCTATCGCTGAATGGATTAGGATAGACTTGGTTTTAATTTTATTAAATTAAATTTTAAAATAAGGTTTAAGTATTATTGTTAATATTATTGTTATTTGAAGAAGATAAGCAAGCAGAAAAACTTCTTTTGCAAGTGGGTGGAGTTGGTGTAATGTCATCACACTCATCTAGCTTAGGTTAGATTATTGTCAATGTGCGTTTTAATATAGGTGTCTTTAAGCTACTAGTGTTCTATGAGCTAAAGCCTTAATGTAAGCCTTTTTCGCCAGAAAGAGGGATGTTTTCATCATTAATTATTTGCTTCTATTTTTTAGCTGTAGTAAAGTCACCTAAATTGCTTGTACTTTTTTAAGAAGATTAGAGACATTTATAATTACTATTGTTGTTCATTTTTGTGTTAGATGACATTTAACTCAAAGAGTTATTTTAATTAATTTAATTATTTATTTTTAGAACCTTTTCTGGTGATTCTAATAAAGTTTATTATAAGTTAGTCTAATTTTCTTCTTGCTATTTATTTTATGTGTTATTTGTATTCTTACTAACAAAATTAGTAATAACATTTTATAGGCATTTTAACATAAGATTTCCAATTAAATTATTATTGCTACTTTACTATTATTCTTCTTGTTAAATTAAATTATTTTAATTGTTATTATTATTGATGTTATTAATCAAGCTGCTGAGATTACTAACTAAATTCTACTAGATTGGGCGTGATAAAATTTATAATTAAGATAACAATGATAAAGGAGTGTTGGAAGAGTTATTATTTTACTAAGGAGCTTCCTAGTTTTGGCTTTTCATATTTTTTTGAATTGTTTGCAATAATTAACTCAAGTTTTATGTAATATTTGAATTATTTATATTATTATTTAAGCTACTTTATTATATTTGTTACTATTTTTAGTTTTATTCAAGTAGCAATCTTTCTTTTTCTCTTTATTCTTTGAGTTGTTGTTAAATAATAAAAGATTTTTTAAGTTACTACTTTTACTAGCCTGTTGATGAATCAATCTTGCTGCTATTTTTATCATTTGAGAATCTCTTTTTGCTTAACTTAGGCTCTGTAAAGCTATTTTATTAGCTCATTTATTGAGATTGATTTAAGCTATCTTCTTCACAGTTTTATTCTTCATCACCACTTTTCTTTTCTCTCATAATTTTGTAGGCAAAGGAATCGAGACCTACAATTCCTATCCATTCAAATGCAGGTTTCTTTGTTTCTATAAGGGAAGTCTTTTTGATTAACCCTAAGCTCTTAAATACGTTGGCAATATCATAGAGTCTTCTAATCTATTTTAAATATAATTTTATTTAATTAATATAATTTAAAGAAAATAAATCAAAAGGCAACATATTTAAAAATAAAAAATAAAGTTCTACTTTTGTTTTAATTTTATGATCGTCTATTTGCTTAGATGAAAGCTTTCTTGCTGCTTCTTCTAGAGTCATGGTGCTCTTCCAGTGGAGGAAGAGTTTAAGAAAGCCAATAGAAAGCATTTCAAGAGACTTCTCTCTTTTCTATGGTTCTTGAGTTAGTTCTTGCTCTTCTTTCTTTGTTAAGGATTTTTGGTCGAACTATTTGAAATTTAAATAGATAATTTTAATTTCGAATTTATCTATTAAATTCTGAAATGAAAAAATAAACACCAAATTAATTGAATAAAAAGATAGTTAATAAGTTCGTTTCAAATTTGGAAAAATTGCGCAATTATTTGAAAATTTTATAAAAATTAATTTTTAATTCTTCTATCTATCTATCAAACAAGATACTTTATTTATTTTAAAGAGAAAAACAAAATTCTAAAATAAATTCTAAGCAATTTTAAAAGTAAACAAAATAAAGTTAATTCTTACTTGAGTTATAGTTTCATAAATTTTTTGGAAGCCATTCCATTTATAGTTGTTCTTTCCTTTGCGGGAGACTAGCTTTAAGCTTTCAAGAATGTTGATAATGTCATAAATTCTTCTTCTTTCAACTCCTGAATATGTTTAGAAATGATATTAAGCAAAAAATATATTTATAATCAAATGTTTAATAAATACCTAATTAGTTAGTAATTTTATCCAAGCTCAACATAGATTCTTCCTTGTCTAAGAAGAGAGATAAGAATTTCTTTGATAATTCTTCTAAGCTCTTTTCTCTGCGACTGTAATTCAATATTTCTCTCTTTAATATTTGAGTACCCTATCCTTACTATCCATTTTGAGCTAATTTATTAGAACCTATCTAGTTTTTCTTTTTGGACATGTAGCCATTTTATTTATCTTAGATCATGCTATTATTTTAAAATTGTATTGGTTAGGATATTTTGTAAAGAAAAATATCTTATTTATTATCCACTGAAAATAAATTCCCGGATTTTCTTAATTTCAAAAAAAAAAAAAAAAAAGAAATGCTTAGGGATTGATAATTAATTAAATGATTTGAGTCTTAGTGATCTTTTATTATCTATCTAATTAAAAATCAAATAACCCTAATGCATATGCAAGTTTATAGGATTTACCTGACTTAATTTCTGTGCACAAATTAGAAAATGTTTCTTTTCTTTAAGTTAATTTTATTCAAGATTATCTAATCAGTTCTTTTAAGCATTTCTTATGTTTATTGTTGCTCTTCTTCCGAATTAGTCTCATCATCAACCATAGAATCTTTATCTTGAATGTGTTAGTTAGACTCTGGGTAATTTTCGTTTTCTTCTTCTTCTCCTTCTTAGACTTAGGCTTCTTCATCACCTTGTTCTTCTGATTCTACGTCAAAACTTGAGAAACTTTTGAAAGAATCAATATCGTCTTGCTAATTGTAGTCATCTTCAACTACTATATTGTCGAGAGAATCTTTTTAGAATAACGCGCCAATAACAATATTGTTAGGAAATGCACATTTTTTGATTAAAAATGTTACCTTGTTCAGAGGAAACAGCGAAGGAATCAGAATTTTTTTGATATAAGGACATTTTTAATGTGGTTTAAAGATGTTTGTAGAAACTTAAAAAATAATATGTATCGTTAAAGCTATGGCTTTGTTTGCAGTTTGACTGTAAGAAGCTTTTACCTACTTGATTGCTTTTGTATTTTGTATCAAAAACAAATGAAAAAACAATTAAAGAGTTGTTTGTTGCTTTTTTGTTTTTTATTTATTTTATTTTGCGCTTTTTAGTGATAATAAAAAAATAATAAAAATGCAGAGTTTGATTTGCAATGTTATTAATCAATCTTGTCAAAGATTCTCATAACTATTAATTAATTTCTTTTGAGATTGAAAGTATTTCACAAATTATCAATCAAAATCCTAATATTTTAAATTTCAAATTTTCAAATATATGCGAAAAACTAAAAATCAAAATATTCATTCATTCATTCATTCATTTATTCTATTTATAATATATTCAAAATTATTTTGCCAATCAACTATTTATTTATTTTTGCGAACTAAAGAATTCAATTTTATTTGTTTTTTTAGATTTTTGCCAAATCATATAAATTTGAAACAGCATTTTAACGGAAAATTAGTTAGTATTCTACTAAAAATAAGTATTCTAAACATAGCTTTTTTATCTTTAAAAATGTAAACTATTTCTAACTCAATAAATACTAAAATTAAAATTCGTTAAATTTTAGTTATTCATTTAAAATTTTATTTTAACAATCTAATTGATATCTCCAAAAACATTTTCAAAAAAATAGGAGTGCTAATTTACATTTTTAAATTTGAATTTCAAACAGTGTATTTTTTATTAAACAATCAGTATATTAAAACACCCAAAGTAAATTGTGGTAAATTATTTACTTTATAACTTAAATTTTAAAACAAGTATTTATAACATTTCACATCAAATTGTTCATTTTATTTTTTTTTAATAAATTAAATTTGAATTTTTTTCCTTTCCATCCACTTATTTGAAAAACTAAAAATCTTATTTTTTAATCTTGAAAGCAAAATAATTTCATTAAGGATAACAAATTAAAATGCGGCAAATAAAAAATTATTTTTATTGATACATAAAAATATTAAATTAATGCTAAATAGTATTCTCTAGCTAACATTTTTTATTTAAGCAACCTAAGCTGACTTAGCAGATAAACTATTTATTTATCTACTCATTCAATAAGTAATTAGTTATAGTCAACTTAAAATTGTATTTTATCATTAAATCACTTTCTTTTTTTTGAATAAAATCAGATTAATTATTTTTGAATAATAAATTATCTAACTTTAACTTTTAAATTACAAAAGAATATTTTATAAATATTTTGAAAAACCCAACAGCAAAAAAATCTTAATTGAATTTTTTTGCAAAATTTTAAGATGTTCTTAAAATTTGATAGCTTATATAATATAATAAAAGAAGAAGAATTAATTATTTTATTCTCATTTAAAAATAATTGTTTCATTAATTGAAAAATAAAAATTTACAATCAAATTAATTCAAAAGTATTTAAAATATTATTTTTAAAAACATATAAAAATATATTGATAATTTAACAACTTAATTAATAATAATAATAATTATTTTTGTATTATTTTTATAATTTCATTTAAATTTAATGAAAAAATGATTATTTGATTAAAGTAAATGATAATTTTTTTGTCTTAAATATTTAATTTATCAAACATTTAGATGAAAAGCTAATGCCAAAAACTAAAAGAATTCTTGAATATTATTAGGTTTATAATAAAATCTATTAAATATATCTATCTTTGATAATTCATATTATGAACATAATTTTTTGAGATAAAAATAGTACCCAAACTTAAAATTAACAAGGAATTAATAATATTGAAAAATTAATTTTAAAAGCTTAAAAATTATTATTTTATTATATATTTTATTTATAATTAGTTATTTTTTATAAACTTCAGTTGAATATAAAATTTAAATTGCATTATTAAATTAAATAATCAAATAAATCTATTTTAATTTGCAAATAATTAATTAGCCATTTAAATTAGTATTTTTATTTGATATTTAGTAAAAAATTTAAAAAAATTAAATTATTTAAATTTAAAATTAATTTTATGAAATATTTTTTGTTATGTTTAAAAAAATAAATAAAACATTTTCAAATATCAATAATTATGTCAACTTCTTAATATCTTGATCCAAATGTCTCTTTGTTAATTTAAAGGATGACAAATTCTATTAAATAAATTAATATTTTTTTATTTAGAATTTAAAAGCTTTATTTTTAAAATTTCATGATTCACTCTTAAAAAATAGAAAAATGGAATAAAATAATAAGGTATTTTATTAAATAAAATTGGTTTTTATTTTTTATTAAAAATTTATAGCCCAAAATATATTTTTTCATATTAAAAAAAAACTAAATTTAATTAAAGTTTTAATAAACATTTATTTAGCTATCTTAAAGGGTCTTATAATAAAAAATCATTTTAAAAGATAAAAAGAAAGAGAGATTCATTTTGATTATATATATTTGTTTATTTGTTAATATTTTTGACAGTCATTATATTGATTTAGTAATTATAATGATTTAGCTATGAAAGATATAGTTTCTTATAGATATATTTGAAGAGAACTATTGCTAGTTTGTTATTTTGATTAAGGTAGAAAGATAATTACAAAATTAAGTAAAATCAAAGATATTAATTAGTATAATTAAAGGAATGATTAGATCTCTAGTTTAAATAGCCAAGAAATCAGATACTTAGTCACTTGTTTTTACACAAGTTTACTTCAAAACTCAATATATCAGATAGCCCAAATTAAAATTTAGAACTTGCGTTCCCATATATCCACCTCCTGGTTTAAATTTAGAAATTCCAGGTAATTTTGATATCATTTTTATGCATAATAGATTTCTAGAAAGTTTAAATTTAGGAGTTCAATTTAGAATTGCGGATAAATGATTTAACTTTTATAAATATTAAAATGATTTTTTAAAATCTTAAATTTAATATTGATTAAAATAGAAATTAATTGATTATTTTAAATCTTTCATATTTTAGCTTTAGTTTTTTTTATTTGCGATTTACATTTATTTGGATTTATTAATAGATTGGGATAAAGAACTTTTCTTAAAGAGAATTGGAGGTGGTACTTCTGAATATGCTGATAAATTTGATAATTTATAAGAAATCTTTACTTCCACATCAGTAATAAATAAATTATAAAATTTAAATTTAAAGAAATGCATAATAAAAGTGAAATTGTTTAGTAAGCTGAAGTGAAATTGAATTAAAAACCTATACATAAATAATATCCAATTTTGCTAGGAAATCTTCAATATAATAATTTTTAGTTAAAGTGCGAAAGAATGAATGAATATTCTATGAGAACTAATTTTGTATGCAAAACTTAATATTTTTTTTTTAAATTAAAAGAAATAAATGGCTGATAAAGGAGTTCCCCCTAAAGCTAGAAAATATATCTTAAGTATGAAGGAATAACTTAGAAGAGGTGTTGTTACATTTGAGTATTTGAGTAGAAGAACTTGCCTTGAATAATTAAAAGATTGAATAACTAGGATGATTTATAAATTTATTTAAAACCCACAATTATAGTTAGCTCTTCTTCTTTTTATCTATCTATCTATCTGTCTGTCTGTATGTCTCTCTGTTTTTAGTAGAATTTAAAGATATTATTTACATAATATTTTCTATATTTTATCTTTATAATCCATAAAAATAGTTTTCAAAAAAAATACTCTACCTTTAATTTAAATAACCTAAATTAATTATTTCATATTATTTACTGAATGATAAAAAATCCATCTTATTAAGATTATTCCTTTTAATAATTTTATTAAAATTGTAATTATTACAATTTATTACTAATTTTTTATGAAATATTTTTTGATTATTAAAAAGCAGAACTATCATTTTTGAAAAGAAATAAATAATTAAAGGAATAATTAGTTTTTTTATGGGGGATTTTTATGCTTTTCAAAGGTATAAAAAACTGTTTATTAAGCATCTTATTGCAAAATCTTGTAGATTGTGCTTTTAACCTTGCTGGAATTGTTGTATAATCATTAAATAAAATCAGGATAATAAAATATTGGCTAATTTAACAGGTATTTATTTTAATTTAAACTATAAAGTAATTTTATAAAAATATGAGGGTAGTCATACCAATCATTTAAGGTATAAATTAATGCATTCAAAGTAAATATAATTTTAGTACATTGATTCCTTCTTATAAAGATGGTAAAGCATATAAAATTTAGATTAAGCACAGATTTCATAGCTTATGAGATATTTAATATAGTTACTTTATTAAAAATGAATAAAATTAATTATAAATTCTATGAATTTATTAGATTTATTTTGTAAATTTTCTGAAAGAAAATTTTATGTAAATCTATTTTTACTTTTAAAATTAAAGTTAAGGATAAATACCTATTTTATTAGAGTTAGAAACTTATTTTTAAATCTTTATTTAAATAATATTATAACGATTTTAATATTTTTTAAACTATTAGTTAAATACATACAAAACTAGTTTACTTATAATGAAGTAATTAAAATAATTAAATAAACCCAAAATAGTATCATTTATTAAATTAATATCATACTTACTATTTATTTTACTTCAGAGCTTTACACAAATTTATTTGAAGACTTTTTATTTATATTATTAAATACATTCTGAATTAACAATTTTACTCATCATATCTAATTTCATTTTTACATAGTTGTATTTTTAGTCTTTTGGCAGATTATTATTGCTACATGCGTGTGTCTTCTGTAATTTGATAAACGATATTTGCAAAAAATTCATTAATTTTAAAAATGAAGACTTGATAGGATGGATTTATTTCTTTTATTTTTAATTTCCTTTAAGTATTTAGAAATCAGATTTTCTTTCAAGTGTTATTATTATTTTTAATTGGCTTTTATTAAAACTAAGTATTTAGACAACATTTAATTACTAAATTTAATTTGTGAGATATAAACTATAACTTTCAGTAAATTACACACATTAATGTAATCAATTATATTTATTTAGAAATGAAAAAGAAAAATACATTTCTTTGGGTTTTTGATAAACTTAATTAAATATTTATTGTTCGAAGATTTAAAACCCCAATTTCAACAATTTAAATCATCCGATAATTATTTTTTATAAATAAAGCTAAAAAAATCTTTTGAAATTCTAAAATAACAAATAAAAACGCATAAAAAGTATGTCCAATCCTTAAAAGTAAAAACCAGGAATTTTATCCACACTCTAGCCATTCTTAATTGGAGGAGTTTCTGGTATGTTTGCTACTCTTTGCATACAGCCTATAGACACAGTTAAAGTCAGAATATAAATTCTATCTGAAGATGCAGGCAGAACAGGTTAAAAAGTTTCTGTAAATCCTATTACTGTGGCAAAATAAACAATAGCAAGTGATGGAGTAGCAGGTTTATATAGAGGGTAAAAAATTTGTTAAACTCGATAATTAATATTTTTCATTTGAAGTATGCGATTTGTTTATTAACCTTTCATTCCTTTAATCAGGAGCTTTTACTGTAAAGGAGTTAAGAAAAACTCAATTAAATAATGCATATTTATAAATTATTTTAAAATTTTAACAAATAAAAGATTAGACTCAGCAATTATGAGACAAGCTCTTTATGCTACAGTAAGACTTGGTTTATTCAGAACCATCTCTGATAAAATCAAAGAAGCAAAAAAAAGTAGAATTAATAATTTGGATTTTTAGAGATTTTAAGTATGAATAATAAAAATCATAGTAATTGTTTTTGATTTTTTATTATTTAAAAGGAAACTTAACTATTTTGGAGAAGGCAGGAGCTTCTTTAACAGCAGGATTTTTCGGGTCAATAATAGGTAATCCAGCTGATTTGGCATTAGTTAGATTCTAAGCAGATACACTCCTTCCTTAGGATTAAAGAAGAAATTACAAGCACGTTTTTGATGCTTTATTTAGGATTGTTAAAGAAGAAGGTTTTTTCGCCTTATGGAAGGGCTGCACACCAACTGTTTATAGAGCACTCGTTATTAATCTTGGTATGCTTTCAACATTCGATGAAGTGAAGGAGAGATTAAACGCATATACAAATACTGTTGATACTCTTCAAACACGTGTTATGTAGAATAAAATATTAAACATTTATTTTTAATTTAAAAAAATGTCTTTCTTGTCTTCATTTTAAATCATTATTTTTTTAAACAAAATAGTGCTTCTGGGTGTTCGGGTATTATTGCTTCTTTGATGTCACTTCCTGTAGATAATGCAAAGACTAAAATATAAAGAATGAGGCCAGATGAAAATGGAAAATTGCCATATTCCGGATTTGTTGATTGTATGAAAAAGGTAAATATTTTTTTTAAATTAAAAAAATTATTAATAAAATTCTAAACATAGAGTGCTTAAAGAGAAGGTATTTTAGGACTATGGGTAGGCTTACCAACATTTATAACAAGAGTTGCTCCTCACATTATTTTAGTAGAATTATTTCATTTAATAAATTTATTTTAAATTAGCTAATCAAAATATAATATAGACACTCCTCGCTTAAGATGCTATTACAATCTATGTAAACGCTAGAAAGTAGCATTGAATAATTTTTTACCATATGTATAAATTTAATATATATTTTAAGTAAATGCAATACTTTTTCAGTGTAAATTATAAACATAAATCATTTATTTTTTTACAATTTATTAAACTAAAAAAAATTAGGTTTAAATTAAAAAATAATTTTATTGATTTTTGTTTGATTTCGAATAAATAATTATTTATTTTTAATATTTTTCGAATAAATTCAATAAGTAAATTAATCAGGGCAAGTTTATATTTATTTAGTAGGAGTTGATGAACAATTATTTTAGTTTGATTTTTTATAACTGCTTCTAATTAACTAAGACCTTAATGTTGAACTTCGAGGATTTTAAACATTTAAGTTATTTTAAGATTATTAAATTAACTTTTTTAGTGAATCAATTGATTACTGCACACACTTTCTCACTAATGGAACTCCGAAAGGAAAGTCAAGATTGAGATATCCATGCTTTAGCCTAGGATACACTGTCATTGTTGAAATATGAGATTGATTCTAAAGAATATCATTTTAACATTCAGTGAAATGTTCTTCGCCAAATGAGCCTTAATTTAATTGCTTACTATTTTTGCTGTTAGATCCGTTTTATTACTTTTATTCTTCATATTACTCTATCATTTATATATACATTGGGTCTTTTAAGATTCTTGTTCTATGAAAAAGCCTAAGTGAGTCATCGTAAAGAGGATCCTCTTCACCACAAAAGATATTAATTGGAGGAAATTACTGTAATATACTGTCTTGAATGAGAATTGGGCTTAAAAGAGAGTCATATTTTACAAATGTTTCTGTAAGATATTCAGGAGTGTTAGGTAAATAGCTTTCAAGACAGATTTTTAAGAACGAAGATGGAAGAACTACATCGAGCATAGAATGTAGGCTGCTAGGAGTGTACAAATTTCCATTTAAATTCAAAGCTGGATAAGAGAGCAAAATACCAGTAGGCTTTCTAAATAGTTCCTCTTAAATAATTAAATTCATTAAACTCATGCAGAGATTGCCACCTGCACTATCTCCCGCGAGAGTGATAGTATGAATTTAAATATTTGTGAAAATTTCTTCGAAGTAATTTATAATGAAGTTGTAGACTTGCCATACATCATCAATAGCTGCAGGATAACGATGTTCAGGAGCTTTACGATAGTCTATACTAATAACAACACTATCGTCTACTTAATTAGCCCATTTTCTTGTATATATTTAATGAGAAAATGTATTCATAGCTACGAATCCACCTCCATGAATGTGCAAAATTATATTTATTTTCTTTTTAGGTTCAATATTACCCTCGTCGTTTTAATTCCCATTAGCTCCTCCATTTAAATTTTAAGATGAATTTGCTGGAATTTTATCTCTACTGATACACATTATGTTAGATAATTTATTGAAGAATGTATCCTCATTGTCTTATCTCATATCGAATGAGTTTTCTAATTTTATTGAAGACATAATTCTCACTTTTACTTTGTTGATAAGATCTTTTTCATTAATGTTAAAAAGCTCCTAGCTGGGATTCCTTTATTGACTAAATAAAAATGAGTTATTTTGAGTATTATACGAAGCTCTGCCCTAATTATAATTAGGTTGATATGGCAAAGATGGCCTGCTATATAGAACAGAAGCAATAAAATCGGCTGTAGATAGCTGTTATTGGTATTGTTGCTGCTTTTAATGTAAAAAATGGTGAAACTGTGGAATATATTTCGTTTAGTTCAAACAATGCTGTATTTTTTCTTGAATATCTGATTTTTCTTTTTCAGGCAGATTTGAAGGAAATACAAAATATTTTGAAGTATTTTAAAGGAGATATCTTAAATCAATCCTCTTTGCTAAGCGAGGAAAGTAGAATTTATTGCAGTAATTTATTCTTTCAAGCTGCAAAGAAAACATTGTTTTGACTTCAGGGACTATTTCATACATCCTCCATGCTAAAATAATTTACTCTGGAGTAGGACTGATTTAAAGTTTTTCAGTCATAATTTTTGCTTGTTCTTTCTAAATTAAAAATTTCATACTCTTAAACATTAATTCAAAGCTTCCTAACTAAATTTTTTAATCGGCTCTATCTTATTCTACTGGAGTTGAGTTCGCTTATCTGTTTTCATTATTTGCTTCGTTATCCTAGTCTATTTCTTGTTTTTTCTGTAAAAATAAATGATCATTTTTACTTTATGATAACTCTAATTTTTATTGCTACTGTATTTATCCTTCTCTCATATCTTGCTAATTTTCCTAATTAGGCTCATTTATTTAATCTAATTGTTTTTCTATGTTACCGTTTGTTTTGTTTATTTTAGATTACTCATTCTTATTACTTTTATTTTACCTTAATCCTCTTTCGTAAATAAGGGCATAAATAGAATAGATCAAATTCAGAAATTGAGAATACTACTCTTGAATATCACTACCTGAATTTACAGATATATCTTCTGTCTTCACAGCTCTCATCATGTGCTTATTTAGATTAGGATTAGCTATACAATCCTTATCTGCATCTATTTGGATCCATTTATCAAGATATTCTGTCAAAATCATAAGTCTAGAGCACTAAACCTCTACATTAATAACTTCATTATTTAATTTATCTTTAAAATCTTTTTATGCTTTATTCTTCTCTATAGCAACTAAGCTAGCGAGTATTTATGTTAAAATATTTTTGTGAATAAAACTTAATAAATCTACGCACAGCTTCATTTAGTAATCTGATTTTGTTTTTAAGATAATCGATTGTGAATCTTAAAGATGATGCTGATTATTATGACGACTATCTTTAAGATGAATTTGTTTTTTAGGAGAATTAATAATCTAAGATTTCTCTCCTTTATCCTTTATCTTTATATTATCATAATCTTTAGTGTCATTAAGCTTCTCTTCAAATTCTATTCTAGCCAAATTTTTCATATCTTGGAATTTCTGAGTATAAATTTGGATTTGCTCAAGGCAGTCATTTAAATCTTCATGACAGCTAACTAAATCTGTAATCTAAGAGAGGATAACAGTCAAAACAGATGAATGTATTTGCTATTCTTTTTAAAACTAAATCATAAATAATTCTTTCATATCAACACTATTTACTACAAAATATTATTATTGATTAAGTTTTTCTATAGTTTAGTTTATTATTATAATTATTATAATAATTATCTCTTTTCTTTCTTTTTTTTCGCAATAATTTATTAAAATTATTGAAAAATAACCATCCTATTTATTTTGCATACCAAAACTGCAAACACACATAATTGATTACACATTTAATAAAGTTAAATTTCAAAATTAATTATATAATTTTGTAAACATATCATAAAATTTAGCATAAAACAAACTCTTTAATTCATTTTAAAGCACTATCTCCTTATAAATTAAGATATGTACTACTTATCACTGATATCATTGGTAGATTAAATAAATTAATATTTTTCATCAAAATTCAATTCATTCAAAATTCTTTTTGAGAAATTTTACAAAACTAAAAAAAGTAAAAAAAATATTGAAACTTTTGTAATATCTTTCAAGTTAATAAATTATAAAAACGCACAGAGAAATTAATCGTAAAGTTAAATTAATTTATAATGATATAATATATGAATGGATTAAAAATAGAAATTCAGTGTCTCTTATTATTAAAGGTATTTTGGTTAGTTTATAAGCGAGTTTAGCTTTATTTCATTTACTATTTTGTATTTTAATTTTAATTATTAGCTGCTTGCTTGTTATTAACTCCTTTTACTTAGTTTTCTTTTGCCTTTTTTTCGCAAAATGGGATATGTCTTTCAGCTGCTACTTTGTTGAACTTCCTTCCACAGAAATTACATCCAACATATCCAAGGGCTTCTTGCATCATGGCACTGCTTTGAGGATCAGCTGCCTCACCTGTTCTTTATTATTATAATTACATTCTAAAAGCTTCAGATTGCTTTTTCCAAGAAGGTTTGTTACTATTGCTGTTTTTATCATTTTTTTCTTTCTTATTTTAATTCTAGTTTGCATTCTTCTTTTATTATTTGCTACTAATTTATGGAGGTTAGTCTAACTCCTGCATTCCTGAGATATTCAATCTGGCTGCTTATGAATCAAATTATTTTCTTTTTTGTTAAAATACCTTTTTACATATTTTTTCATGTTTAGGGAGAGATTCTTAGTTGAATTTTCTTCCACAACCTTAACTGCACTCAAATAATTAATCCTATTATGGTTATTAGGTCATCATTTATTGTTGTTTTAAGTTCTATTAGTTGTTTTTTCTTTAATTTAAATTACCGCCTTATTTATTCTAAGATGCAGATTAACCATACATCATGCTTTGTGGAATATTTTTAAGATCATAAGCTCCGTTAGAACTTGATTATATAGGTCTATCGTCATTAGACTCATAGTTGCTTTGAAGAGTCTTTACATCCTTAGACTGCAACTATTTACTATTTAAATAAGTAGGTCCTTCATCTACATTTGACTCATTCCCATCATCTTCATAGCTATTAAATCTTTAATTATTTTATATTCTTTTGTTGTTATATTATTATTGTCCATTTTGCTATTATTTTGTGATATTTTGCATATTATTCCCATTTTCATTTTAGTTATTATTTCCTTATCTTTTTATATCTCTGCTTGGCTATTCGCTGTTAATATTGCTTACTTTTTTATTTCCTACTGGAAATTCATCAAAATTATTTTGATGATTTTTAGAACCAACTGGTGTTTCGTCAAAATTATTCTTATTATTTTTGGGACCTACAGGTATTTCATCGAAGTTATTTTTACTGCTTTTAGGGCCAACTGGCATATCATCATAATTATATTTGTTATTTTTAGAGCCTACTGGGATATCATCATAATTATTTTTATTGTTTCTATTTCCCACTTGCATTTCATTATTGTTATTTTTGTTTGAGCCAACTGGCATCTCTTCATATTTATTTTTGTTATACTTTGAGCTTGGAGGCATTTCATTGATGTTATTTTTTTTAGCACCAACAGGAATGTCATCATAATTATTTTTATTCTATTTTACAGGCTATTCTTCAAAATAATTTTTGTTTGCTTTTCCTCCAAATCCATCAAATTCATTTTAAGGATTTTTACTACCTACTGGTATGTCATCAAAATTTCTATTAATATTCTTATTGTTTTTAGTGCCTACTGGAGTATCATCAAAGTTAATCTAACTCTTACTATTCTTTACTCCAATAGGATTATCATTAAAATTTTTAACATGCTCCTTTTATTACTACATTTATTTAGGTTTTTCATCAAAATCTAAATTTCTATTAACATTGGAGCTTTTTTAAATATTATAGTTTTAATTATGTTGACTAGGAGTAATTTGTCCTTTCTGTTCATCAAAAGCTCTAATATTAGCTTGTTGCTGCTTTTATTGATCATCAGGAGTTTGAATTTTCTATTTATTTATTGGAGACTTTAAGGTTTCATTATTTTTATATTCCTTTTCAGACATTAAATTGTTAGGTTTTTGTCTATTTTCTTGTTTTTAATTTTCTTATAAATTTAAGTGTGATTTTTTTGAATATGGGTCATCGTATTTTTACTCAGCTTTAATGTTATATTAATCATCTAAATTTCTTTGGTTTCTTTCGTCTTGCATAACTGTTTTAAAGTAATCTGGTTAATCGCTATACCTCTTATTATTATTTTAAGGTTATTCAGGTCTTACATAATTGTTAACTAACTAATTCTTTTATCTTTCTTAGTCTACACTTTTTTTATTATTATTAAATATTTCTTATTCTTCTTGCTAAGGTCCTTGGAAATTTTTATTAGGAGGATATTTCGTGTCGATATGTCTGTTAAAGGGAGATTAGTCTTATTATCTTGTATTCTTCATCTAATTTTAATATCTTTGATTATCTGATTAATGGGTATTGTGATTAATTGGAGACCTACTTCTTTATCCTCTTAGATAATTGTCAGAGAGATAGTTTTAATCTTATCTGGCTTCTCTGTGAATTTGTCTAGGGTTTGAAGTATCTCTCTTAGTACTTTACTCATAAATAACTTAGCTCTTTTAAATGCCATCTTGTACCTGATAACGAGAAGGATCATACTACATTTCTCCTCTATATCCTTCTAATTCAGTTTATCTTCTATAATGGCTGTAGTTATGATTATCTGCATAGTCCTAATTAAATTCGCTAACTCTCCTTTATTTTTAGTAATCCCTCTCATAACTGTTATTACCGTAGTACTAGTGAGGTGGAGGAGGGTAATGAGGGCCATTATAATATCTATTTTAAGGAGGATAAAAGGTTTAACTCCTCTCCATATTTTAATCATAATTATAATAATCTCTTTCATTATGATAATTATAATGCTGTCCTCTATATTTATTATAATTATCATCATAATCATACATTCTCTAAGGAGGAGGGTAGTTATCATATTATTCGTATCTGCCTGTGTAGTTTCTATTTCTGTCATCATTGTAATCATTCATGCGGTAATTTTTTTCATAGAATTCTTTATTATTTTACATATTACCATAATAATTAGCTTTATCATCATAACCTATGTAAGGTTATTACTATCTGTAGTTTTCTCTATATGGATTATTATCTGTGTAGTTTTGTTATTGTTTATAGTAAAATTAATTTTCGTTATTATGTGGATTCATATTTTGTTACCTAAATTAGTCGTAAGATATAATATTTCCCATTTCTCTTCCTTTCCATTATTAATCCCTTCCTACATTATTTATACCACTTTTCTGCAAGTCTCTGTCCTCCTCATAATAATTTTTATTTCTAGGGTTTTTTTCTTAATTGTAAAAAGTTTTTGAAGGCATTTATTAGTCATTTTATTATCTAAAATCGTTATGATGTTAGCCTTCATAGCAATAATTCTGGCTTGAAGGATTTTCCATTACAGTTTTAGGACGGTTAAAATAATTTCTATTCTCTTCATCACCTAAACTTTATCTTCCTTTATTACCTTTATAGTTCTAATCATAGTGATAATTTTCATCTTGATAGGAGTTGATGTTAGAGTTCTACCTTCTGTTATTACTATAATCTTATCTTTTGCGATTATTTTCATTATGATCATATAAATTATTATTGCTGCCTCTCCTTTCATATTGCTCATAGTTCTTATTGTCTTATAGAGGGACTCTGCTTTAGTGTAAAGGCTTTTCATCAAACTAATCGTTTTCAGCCTAAAACCACTTTGATTCGCAGATAAGCTCTGAACCTCTTTGTGTTTGTTAATGCACATTTTTATCATATATTTCGCTTTTATCCTACACTTATTGCTTGTGAATTTATTAACTTTCATAATCTCCATTTTAAGACTCGCCTCGTTTCATTTTTGATTTTAGTATTTAAAGCGCTGAAGATGCTTTCTCATATTCTTTTTCAGAAACATCTTTTTTCTATTGCTATTATTTTGAAAATGCTTGCTCATCTTAAGTCTCTTCTTAATGATTATTATTTTCTAAAAAAAATAATTTTTATATCAAGTAAATGTTAAATACTATTTACATTATGATTGATGATTTTCCTCTTTTGAAATATCAAATAAATCTAATTTAGCATGTCTAGTCTGAACATTTTTGGAGTTTTACTGATTTTATAAAATTTGCTAAGGTTAATTTTATGATTGCTAAGAAGTGTTAGTATTATTTGAGCTGTTTTATTGCTTGGTAGTCTCTTATTTGGGAATGCTACCTTACTAACTGCCTTAACTTGGCTACTTAAAAAATCCATTTTGAGAAACTTTTAATTAAGATGTAGAGCTAAATTGCTAAGAATAACTTTATTATTAGCCTAGCGAAATGTTTTTGACTTTACTGAGGTAATTTTAGGAATACTTATTAAATGGAGTTATAGTAGTTGTACTTTAAGAATTTTAATTTTAATTAGCTAATTTGCTATTGCTTGATCCATTTTATAATATACTTGTTGGAGAATTAGTTTGACCTAGTTTTGAGTTGTTATTTGATGTTTTTTAATTATTAGATTTAGATGGGTTATTTTCAGACTATTTTTTAAATAAATTGACAGTTTCTGCATGACTAAGTTATCTTGAGTTAGAAGTGACTTAAGTTTCAAATGGAGGAATTATAGACGAAGTAGATTAATCATTAGTTTTTAACAATCCGATTGAGTTGTTGGAATATTATTAACTTGTAATCTTAATGTTAGTCTATGACTAAGATCCCTTTTGTAAATTACCTTAAGGCAATCCCGAACTAACTAAATTGCTACCTTTAGAAGTAACTATACTTTTATACTATGGCTTATACATATCTTTAAATAAAAGCTAATTAGAGACTAATATTTAAGCTTTTGCGATATTGCTTGAAATTTGAAATTCCAAAAATATTTAACTATAATAATGATGAAAATTAATTGTTTATGATAACTACTAACAATACCTATTCTTCTAATAATTTAAATAAAAACTATTTCTATCTTTAATTATTTAATAATTAAAAAATTTTTAATTATTGAATTAATTTAAATTTACTAAATATATTTTCTTAATTTTTTGATTTTCAAATTTTTAATGTGTTTACAGAATGATATTTACAAGCAAAAAAGTCAATAACATTAATTTAAATTTATAAACAAACATTCATTTAAGAAATTTCAGTTTGCATTATTTATTTAAATCTATTTATTTATTTAGGTTCCTTGAAAATGTTTACTTTTAGATTGATTCTCTAATTTCTATTCCAATTTATTTGGTAAAATAATTTATTTAAAACCAAATTTTTAATTATTGTTTTGTTAATAGAAATTAAATTTTTTAAAAATTATCAAATTAGTTCAAGTTTTGTGACTTCAATTTCAAAAAATTTTTGTATATTTCATAAGAAATTAACATGTCATTAGATTTATCAAAAAGAATATGATTTTTTCATATAAGTTTAATAAATATGAATAAGGATAAATAATTTTATTTTAACTTATTTCAATTGAACATCAATTTTGATCTCTTAAAATAATCTCTAAAATGCAATTATAAGAAGAGTTGCAATCAAAAAATTGTTAAGTTAATTTAATAAGACATAAGATATACCCAGTTATATTAGATATTTTTGATGAATTAAAGCATTTTTGTTATTTGAAGTAAAAAACTTAATAAAGCTTGTAGATATTGATGAAAATAGTATTTAGAAAATATTAATTAATTTGAATAGAATTTAAATATTTTACTATCCCAAAATATTATTTATAGTAAATAAATAGATGGATAAATAAATAGATAAATAGATGATTTTTTTGTAGATATAATGTGAGAATAATTCAGTTTTTGGAAATGTATGCTGTTAATAATAAAAAATTGTCATAATGCTTGATATAAATAAGTATTATAAAATTAAAATAATAAAATTATTTAATAAATATTTTTTAATATTATCTATTTTTTATCTAAAACTAAAATTATTCAATTTATTTTGGTTTTTATAAGAATAAAAATGATCAGAAAATTTTTTATTATAGAATCAAAATTAATTTTATAAAAGAAATTAATTCAGTTCGATTTTAAAATAATTAGTGATGCTATAAACACAAACAAAGCAATTTAGAATTTCTTTAAAGCCAAAAATAAATTTATTACTAAAAATTGTTTATATGTTAAAAAGATATATTGAATATAAATTATACTTACTTTCTATGAATATTAATTATTGTTTATTGATATTTTAAAAATCATTTTTATTTATTTTCAGTTTTAAATTTAATAAGTAGTGTATGGAGGATAAGCATATATGTCAAAGCCACCACAAAGAAGATATTAAGGAGCATAAACTTATTTGAAAAAGCACTCATTTCTATTGGCAATAGCTCTTACTTTTTCATTGATGAAGCAATCTTCAAAGTATTAATTTTTGTTGACTTCTTGATCAGTAAGAGTAAACATTGATTTATAAACTATGAATTAGGAACAACTCTCAGGGGCTTAATCAGAATAAATTTGTTCCTTAAAAAGTTTTTAGATCTCAATGTACTCTTTGCTCTAATGACAGGTGTAGTCAGTGGAAATATTTTCTATGCACTTTTGATATTAATTAAAAGTAACAGGAACTATATTTTAGAGCTCAATTGTTTATCTTTGTAATAAGAAAACTGTAGAGCTGATTAAAGCCAAAATAGGTATTACGAAAAATAATTTATTCATGATTTTTATTTATTATTTCTTTTTAGATTTTATTTTTAGAAAATTAATTATATTATATGTTCATCAAACATCTCTCAAATTTATTTATGATGTGCTATTAATTCACATTATAGCTAATTAAAATAAAATTATAGGTCTAATTTATAAAATCTGATTTCATCTACCTCATTTTCTTAATTGAAGAGTACGATCAGAATTTTTTTTTATTTAATAAAGTAAGATTTTATTGGTAATTTTTTTAATATTATTATTTTTTAAAAATAATTCCAATTAAAAAGGATTTATGGTGAAAAAAATTTAAAAAATAAATCTATTTTTATTGTACCTTATATTGAATAGTTTATTAGTCCAAAATATTTTGTAAATTTTTAATTTAATTTAAATAAATAAGAAAAAAATTAATCAAATAGTCAGAATATAAATAATATTTGAATTAGGTTTTAAAAATAAATTTTAAAAAACATTTTATTTTTTTAAATTAATTTTGATAGTAAGTTAATCTATAGATTTAAGCAATAAATTATTTTGATACAAAGATTTTAAATCTTTAAGTTAATAATTTTTATTTGGTAAGCAAATTAATCAATTAGATTTTTTAAATTATTTGAGAAGTGTAAAATTTCAAATTTATTTGGTTGCTTGTTTTTTATTAATTAATTAATAAATAAATAAATACATTAGTTCACAACTACCAACCTTTTAAGATCGTTGAATTAATTGTTAGTAAATAAATAAATAAATATTCTTATTACTGAAACAAAAGAAGATCTTTTTCAAATTTAGTTTTATTGAAACAAATCTCTTTTTAGTAGATTATAATTAGTATGTTATTAAAAGAAACAGAAGAGCTTTTTAGCAAGCTCTTATTGAGCATAGCAGACGAAGAAAAAAATATGGAGGTTGCCAGACAAATTTTATGTGAACAAATTGAATTCGAACCCTAAACAGCTTTTAAGCGTTTGGATAGAAGAAAAAATGGAACAATTAATGCAGCTAATATTTAAGAGTTTTTGACAAATAATGGTTTATTTTATTCAGAAGAGCAATGTCATGGACTTGTCAGGCGTTATGATTAAAATAATGATGACAGACTTTGTTTGGAAGATTTTAAACGATGTGTCCTTCCATAAGAGAACTTTGCATTAAAAGCATTAGTCTGCCAAAGAAAATAATATGAAGTTTAACAAATAGAAGTGTTAACTTATGACGTTGAATTTGCTTTAGCAAGAGTTTTTGAGAGAGAAATTATTGCATACAAATAATTCGAGGAGTTTAAGAAGTTAATCTACTAGAGAGTGGATTTTAATCATTTCAATAGTTTATTTTATTTAGTTGATATGTACAATTGTGGTTGCATTAACATTGAAAATTTGATTGAATTTTTCAAGAAAAGAGGTAATTAATTGATTATTTTTGAAATTTAAAATTATGGAAAGAGAAATTTCTTAATTGAGGCATTCATATTTGTAATGAAGAAAACCCATTTTAAATGTTTTGGTAAATTAATATTTATTTTTATTTAAACATATGATTAGGTTATCAAATGCCTGAAAGAGATATTGTAGCTATTTTAAGATATTTAGATAAGAATGATGATGGAGTAGTTGATTACAAGGAATTTGAATTTTTTATGGAGCAAACATTAAACAATCGAGTAAGAAAGAATAAATATGGAAACAATTTTGAGGGAGAAGGAGAAAAGCTGGAGGAATATAGAAATAAAAAAGCAACTCCTTAGTTATATTATGTATTGAATAGTAATGGATAAGTCAAGGATAAAAAATCAGATAATATTCACTTTAATTTTATTGCAGCCTCATAAAGAACCAACCAATCTATCAATAAGCATATTGTCAATACCTAAAAAATTGCTAAGTTTAAAGAAGATAAGGAAATGTAAATTTACAACAAGAAATCTCCTTTTTAGCAAAATCTCCATGGATAAAGATTACCTCTAAATCCTAATAGCAGATCCAGTAAATCTTTAAAGCTACTAGAGGAATAAGGTGAACTTGCTAGAACACTTAAGCAAATCATAAATTTAGAAAAGGAAGTTGAATAGGCCAAAGAATCTTTAGTTTCTAGGAACGATTTTAATCTCTTAGATGCTTTCAGATTGTTTGATGTTGATGGAAAAGGTCGCATTTAATGCAATGAGTTTATGACTGTATTTGAAAGTTTAGATTTATATCCTGGAAGACATGAATTGTATTTAGTGATTCGTAGATATGATAGTGATGGAGATGGTCACATTCGTTTTGCAGATTTTGCAGATATGATGACACCTATCCGCTAAGAATACTCTGCATTAGGAAAGTTAAATGCTCATAGCAGAGTTTAGAATAATATACAAGTCATGCAAGATTACATGAGAGACTAATCTCTCAAAGAAGCAGCTATTCAAAAACCTCCTTTGTATTAATAAACAAGGAGTGCTTAAACACATTAAAACGACATATTTTATCAAGAATCATCCCTTTTTTCTCGTGAAACACGAGTTGCTTTGATAAAATTGCTATCTTTAATGTTAGAAAATGAAGCTGCTTGCGAATGTTTAAGACAAAGACTTCACTTAAGAAAAAGTTTTGACTTAAAACATATTTTCCACTCTCTTCAATAAGATTAGATATAAAATTAGGTGTAAAACAATAAATTAGGATTATTAGGTCCTTAAGACTTCAAAAATCTATTAGAAAATCATGGAATAATTATAGAGTACTCTGATTTAATATATCTGTTTTCTCGTTTTGATAAAAACAAAGATTAATTTGTATCCTTAGCAGAATTTATATAAGAATTATCACCAAAATCACCCTAACAATATTACTGACTGACTGAAAGCACAAATTTTGATATTATCATTCATAATTAAAAAAATCATACGTTTATTCAATTACATTAATTAAGAGAATTCAACTAACTTCACTTCTCAAAATTATTCATTTATTAATTTTTGGTTATTTATACAAAAATAATGTTTTGTTTCTGTATAAGAATTCTTCAAAAAGAAGTTTAGAAAGAATATATGCCTGCCTACACATTATATATTGAAAAAAATATGATTTTAAGAAATTAATCTAGCTGTTAAGCTAGGTTAAAAATATTTTTATTTTATAAGTTGAGCATTTAATCTATTAAATAATTATTTTAATTATCTTAATGTTTTATTTTAGAAATTTAATTTACCAAAAGATTAAAGATATTTAAAAAATAAATAGTTTATTTTATTAGTTAGATATATAGTTTTAAGAAATTAATCTTGCTGTTAAGCTATGTAAAAATATTTTTATCTTATAAGTTGAGCATTTAATCTATTAAATAATTATTTTAATTATCTCAATGTTTTTTTGTAGAAATTTTATTAGCCATAAGATTAAAGATATTTAAAAGATAGTTAATTTTATTAGTTAGATATATAGTTTTAAGAAATTAATCTATCTGGTTAGCTATGTTAAAAATATTTTTATTTTATAAGTTGAACATTTAATCTGTTAAATAATTATTTTAATTATCTAAATGTTTTATTGTAGAAATTTTATTAAAGATATTTGTTAATTTGAATATTAAGATATATATTGATTGACCAAACTATTTAAGGAATGAAAACGGTATAAGAAATATATCAGTTTTTTAATTATTGATAAATTAATTAATATTAATTAAGTCAGCTTTTGAACAGTGAATAAATTTGATTCTATTTAATTAAATAAATACTTACAAAAATAATAAAAAATAGATTATTTTCTATTATCTACAACCAAAATATTAGTATAAATTCAAATTTAACACTCCGATTAGAACAAAAATGGTAGATGTGTTTTATGAAAAGTATAATTTCTTGAGAGTAGATCCAGATTTAGCTCAATAAGTTGAGCATGAAGGTAACATTTTTTTTTTTGAGTTAAGTTAACTCACTTTCACCATAAAAAAATAAAAGAGTCATACATAAAATTAAATAATGGTGGCAAGAAAGAAAGAAATATTTTTTTTAATGTGTCTTATGATGACGAGGAGAGGAATAAGATTAAAGAGATAGAAAATATGGCTTAACAATATTAAATAAATCATAGATTGTAAATACTTCATAGATTTATTAAAAATCGCTAAATTCTTTATTAAATTACAATTAAGATTTAGCTCTACAGGGCAAATACTGAAATACATTTACGCTAATTAGATGGACCCTAAGTAAGCATTCGAGAATATAAAGTAGCACATCGAATGGGTAGAAAACCCTTAAACATTTAGTGAGAATCCTTTAACTATGAAGCATTTAGTAAGTGCTCATTTATATAAATAAAATACTCTTTTTGATGAAAATATAAACGTTTTTAACACTTTAATTTTAATTTTTTAAATATAAATAATTAACTTGATTATAGAAAAAAATAAATTTCTAAAATAATTTAGAGGGATGGATATATTTATATTGGAGGTACTGATAAAAAAATGAGACCTACTATTATATTTAATGTAGATAAAATAGATTTAGATAACACTACTGAGGAATCTATCCTCCCTGCTTATAATAGGATTTTTAAAATAGTTGAAGAATACTAATTTTACAAATCTAAAATAGAAACTTGGAATGTTATCATTGAAACAAATGAAATTAGTGCAATAAGTTTACCCATTAAAGTAACTTCAATAAAATACTTTAACTCAAATTAACTATCTATATTCACAACCTATTTTATCTAAATAAGATTTTATCGAAAATTATTTCTACTATGTAAACCAATTTTCCATCAAACTTAAATAGGATTTTCATTTTAAATCCTTCTACAAGCTTGAACTTCACTTGGAATGTAATTGCTGGTATCAATTAATTATTAATTTATATGTTTGATATAACATTATTTATTAAATAATATTAGCATTTATTAATGAGAGATCTCTCAAAAAGATTTCATTTCTCAAAAAAAAAGAGATGAGCACTCTACTTTAATACTATGACGCTGATTAACTAGAACAAAGATTCGGAGGAACTGCTCCTAATGTTACTTAATATTATCCACCATAGAAGTTTTAACCAAGCTAGTAGTACTAACAGAAAAAAATGTAAAGAAAGTAAAGCATGAGAGGAGGATCTAGAATAGAAATAAATGGAGGAAGTGGCGAATATCAATACAGATCAACACCATAAGAAAGCTTGTACTAAAGCGTTCCAAATTAATAAGCTTTCAACTATTAGTTAACACTAAATAGTAATTAAAGCTAACAAAATCAATAATAAGATCAGCTTGTTCTAAACCAATAGAACTCTAATTAAACTAACTATAGTTCTATACAAACTTATCAGCATAGATAATCTAAATCAATTTTTGCTGCATAAGATTAAAGGTTTTCTCAATAAGGTACTTTGCCACCCCTTTATTAATCTTAGCCTAGAGCTTCATAATAAGTTTAAAATACTGCTTAACCTTAAATTTAATATAGATAATCGTAATATGCATCATAAGTTGTTACTCCATATTAAGAGAATATGATTTAATCTCGTTAAGTTGATATTATTCAGGATTAGTAAAGATAATCAAGATCACTTACTAAATCAGATGCAATTTAATCTTAAATGAGATTCACTAAGCAAAAACCAGACAATGTTAATGTTATATAAGTCTAGCCACCAGGTTTTAGAGATGAAATTGCCAGTTCTACAACTCCTTAATAGCAACCATAATCATAAGCAATTTCTAAATATAGCTTCATAAACAGCATTGTCTAAAGTAAAATTAATATTTTGAAAGTAAATTAATTAATCATTTAATAAAAAAAGATGAGAGAATCACTGAAATAAATAGAAATTTCTTAGACAACATGGAGTAAGAAGAAGAATAAGATGTTGTCAAAAGAAGTAAAAAAAAATAAGTTGTTTAAGATGTCCAAGACCCTAAAATACCAGATTACATGGATCATTTAAGAGAACAAAATTATTAAGCTTGCTCTATATTCTGAAAAATAATTTATTTTTGAAAATTAAATGTTGAATCTATGTTTAAAAAACTTTAAATTAAGACTTTCTCATAAATATTACTCTTGATCTTTATTTATTTATTTATTAAAAATTTTGATAAGATTATTTAATATTTTTTAATCTGTAATTTATCATATTTTAAACAAATACTTTTTTAAATTATTCACTTGAATTTTAATCTTTATATCTCAACAACATAAAAAGTTAATTAATTATTTTTTTATTACATAAATTATGAGGTATAGCAAGATGCCATTCAAAAATTCAGTCGTTTGGAATTCACTTATTATGAAATAGATTTTTTAATTATTTATTAAAAAATCTGATTTTTATATTTTTATATAGAAATATAATTAATAATTTAATTTATTTTAATTTCATAAATAAATAAATAATTTTTATATATCGAAATTTTTAAATTTAGCTAAATTTTCTGAAGTGGGGTGAACAAAATACAGGATTTTAAAGTTTTTCTGAATAACTAATTACAAATAATTATTTTATTTTTAATTATAAAAAATATAGAGTATGCTTAATTATTTTCTTTGGGTAAATATTTAAGTTAATTTATAAAATTTTTTATAAAATACATATTTTAATAGTTAATTATTAATTCAATTTTATAGAATTATCAATCATTTTAATATAAATCATTCATTATTGTTTGGAAATAAATCTTAAGCAAGTCTAGTCTTAAAAGGGAGAGTCTCGTAGTCAGTAACTTATCCTGTAAGATGATCAAATGCTAAAACAGAATTATTTTCTAAATACTCATAATATTCTAAGTCATCTTTAGTTATACTTTCTTTATTAATATTAGGAAGAGCTACCTTTTAGTACCTTTAAGAGAAGTGAGTTAAAACTAGTCTCCATGCATTTGCTTAAATAGCTGAGATAGTTGCTTCTCTAACTGTACAATGCATATTTTTTTCTGCATTATCCTAAAGATCATCATTAAAAGTTGCTTCATGAATAAATAAAGTAGCATTCTTTGAAGCATTAATAAATTTATCCGAAGGACGTAAATCTCCTGAATAGCATATTTTTACATTATTTGCATGCTAAATTACAACAGCATATGATTGAGGACAATGGTCAACTGGGATTGCTGAAAATTCTACAATATTTTGAGATTCTAAGTAACTTTTAAATGCTTGCAAATATTAGTCTCTTTAATTAAAGAATTAAATAATGATATCATTTTATTTAGGGTGTTCATAATATTCCTAGCTTTCTTTACTCATTGACCCAAAGATAGATGTGTTAAGAAGGTTGTTGAAGTTTTCAAATTTACTGATTTATTAGTTAAAAACTATTTTGCAGTTTAATTCTTCTATCATTTCAGAATAAGCTTGCAACCAAGGAGCCATGTTAAAAGGAACAACTAAAAATAGCTAGTTTTCATCATCATTTTATGAAATATTATTTTGTAGTTTTTATTTTTAAATAGCTAAATGACGCTAGCGAATCATATTTAGAGTTCCTAAATGATGATCTGAATGAATGTGAGTGATAAATATAATTTTAAGATTAGGTAATATTTCATTCTAAACTCTATCTTCACCATACTGATTTATTAACTAATAATACGAACCTTCTCCACAATCAAGAATTATCCCATGATTATTGTTGTTATTTCTGATATAAATTGCACTAACATTTCTATATTAAGCTGGTTTCATAGAACCAGTTCCTAAAAATACTACTTCTGGATTGTATTTAGAAAAATCGCAATTATTGAACTACTCAATATTTATTTAACTCTTTTTATAACTTTCTAAATACTCTTTCAGCTTTTTGTCTACTTCTTCATTTGTAAAAAATTCCTTCTAGCTTCCTCCTTAAAAAGGAAAGTAGCCTTAGTTTTTTAAGGGCAATAAATGATATTCAAAATATCTTTTAGCAACTGTGCATTTCTTGAAAAGAGGAAAAGCAGACTTTACATCAACAAGTCCCTATTAAGTATTAATTTATCATTAAATAAAAATTAAAAAGTAATTGCAAAGCTTTTTCAAATTATTTTCAAATTTCTTTTTGTAAATTTTCCAAAAATTGTATGAAACAAATAAACAACATAACTTATTTAAAAAGTTTTTTCATTTAATTTGGATAAATAAGAACTAATCTAAATAAATAAAAATAAAAATATCTATTACGTCTTTAAAATAGTTTATCTGTTTTTGCATGAAACTAGAGAAATTGTTATTGAAGGTAGAGTTTAAGGTTTCTACAAATGCAAATTAACTAAAATTTGTATTCACTAAATCTTGGTCTTATTCAGGTAAACCTTATTCAGAGAGCTCTTTACAAGTAAAAATATGTTAGCAATCTGAACCAAATTTACTGAAAAAGTTTTGATATTCTTCTTTCATAATTAGATCAAATTTAGCTAAATGAACTATACAAGTCATACAATGACTTTCTTTGTCTATGTTTGATTCAAGTAGACTCTATATTAAAGTATTATTTTTCAAGTCTTGTAAGTGATTTTCATCATCACAATCTATAATCATAAAAATAGTAGAAGGGAGAGCTTTTTCTTGGACTTAATTAGAGTAAATTGTTTGACCATTTGGGAGTGTAATCTATCCATTATTAATTAATTCAGTAATTTATTTTCCCTTAATACCATATTAGTTTAACTTATCTTTCAAGACTTTTCCTTAAATTTTGTTAGGGATTATAACATAGCTTATAACATTGCCTATATATATATATTTAAGGAAGATAATTTATTTATTCTACTTCAATAAGATTTTATTTAATTAATTAAATTACCTTTTTAAAAAATTGGATGTACTTCACAAATTTCATCTTTGAAAATATTTTTATCTGTTATAAATTAGTTGGGATTGTTTATTTCTTCTTCGAAAAGTGTTTTATCTCCCTTGAAATTTTTTTCTATATAATTATTCATCTCGTAAAAGAATTTAGGGTAGTTAGGTTGCTCGATAAGTTTCATTATAGTTTCATATTTTCTGTATCCATACAAAAATGATTTTTCTTGTTAAAAATCATAAAAGCCAAATGGCAGTATTTTATATCCCATTTTAAATCTTATCTTATCAAAAAATTAAGATATTCCTTATGGACCTAATATAATAGTGTCAATAGCAGCTTTTGACTCAAACATAGTCAACATTTGGCCAAATAAACCGCATACATGAGATGTTTTTAATCTAGTTAAGAAAATTGCATTTGATGGATTCAATTTAATCTTGTTATTTTTCATAAATCTTTAAAAAGTTTCTGGTAGATTAAAATAATATTTCTTGTTAGGAGTAGTTACAACAACAGCAGCAACCTCCTAGCTTTGATAATTCTTAATGACCTAAAATAATATTTTCATTTTTTTATAATTCCTAATTTTACTATATCAACTCTTTGCTAAATTAATTTATTAAATTTGTAATAATAAATAAATATTGCAATAACTACTTATTAATCTTAATATAAATCGATTGAATTTACTTCTATTTTCTTGTGAATTTCCAAAACCTTCTATTAAAATCCTAGCCAAATTAAAAGTTTAGATTATTCACTTAGAAAAATAAATTAAATTTGTTAAATAATTAATAATTTAGATACAAAGTTTATTTATTTTTCAAGAATTTACTTTTTATTACAAATCCTACTATGTTTGGTCAAATTAATTTTCATAATTTGATCTATTTTCAAATTAAATTAATTAATATTTTATTTTTTTCTAAGTTTATTTTTGAAAATTTTATTCAAATTTTTATTGGTTTCAATCATATTTTAAAAGTAAGAAATAAAATGTTTAATTTTTAAAAATAATTTGATAGTTTTACTATGACATTATTTGACTAAGAATTTTAGATTAAATCATTCTTGCTTAGTTGTTGATTAAAATAATTAATTATTGCTTGAGTGCGTTAAAATTTATAAAAAAATAAATTTTTGAAAAAAATTTGCTTTTTAAAACAATCTTTTAAATTTTTGCGAATTTGATACTTTGATCAGTATTACAAGTATAAAAGCTTCTTACATAAAAATAATAAGATAATAGCTAATTAATTAAATAGTAGTAGTATTAGTTAAATGAAGAACAATAATAGATCTAAATCTCCTATTAATGGAGGAGGAAGTACTTATTCGTAAGGAAGTGTACATAAAAAATCATAGCAATAACAATCATCTGTATAATAGTAATAGGACTCATCTTATTCAATATAAATTTCTGTGCGTATGAGACCTCTGCTTTAGGATTTTGAAGATGAAGTCTCTTGGATAGTTGATAAATAAAATAAAAGTATACAAAGCCAAACCCAAAAGAACTTAGCTTAGTCGATGAATGGAAATTCTAATTTATTAGCAGAATCTACTTCACTAACTCCAACAAATGGTTAGTAGGGAAAAGGAAAATTAATGACAATGTCAACAATGAGCTAAGATTAACTTGCCATAATGAGGAGGAGATATGCAGATGCGTATTACAATTACTCTTTTAACTTTGGTAATACTTATTGAATTAGATGAATAAAAAGCATATTTAAATTGTATTTTAAATAACTTTCAATAAAGATCAAGTATTTAGTCCTTAAGAAAGCACAGAATCTATATACAATTCAAGCTGCAAAAATATTGTTTACAGTGTTTTAGATGGATACAACAGTACAATCTTTATGTATGGCTAGACAACATCAGGTAAAACTTTTACGATGCTAGGAGATATGGACAATCCAGGTGTGCTTCCTTACTCTCTTCATGATATTTTTGATGAAATAGAAAAGGTTTAGACTATTTTTTGTTTGTTTTGATCTAAGTTAATCAATTTTATTATTATTTTAAAGAGAAAAAAGGAGCAGGAGGTTGAATATCAAGTGCTAGTTAGCTATATAGAAATTTACAATGAGTAGGTAAAGTTAAATTGATATGAATGTATAAATAAATCACAACTTATTTTTATGCTAAATAATATTTTAGATTAACGATCTTATAAATCCTGGAATGACCAACTTAAGAATTCATGATGACCCAAAAGTAATAAAAATAGTTGATTGCAAAGAGAATTATTTCAACGATTAATTATCTTTTCAAATTTGAATATATCCTTCCTTTTATTTAAAATAAACAGATTGGACCTATTGTTTAAGGAATGAAGCAATGTGAAGTTACTAATTTTAATGAAGCTATTATTTTAATGAGGTTTGGAGAAGAGCATCGTTGTTACAAGGAAAAGAATATACATGAACACTCTTCCAGATCCCACACAATATTTTAGTTAAAAGTCCTTTCTAAGAGTAAAAAAGAAAATAACTAATATTCCACCAAAGCAGCTGTTTTAGTAAATTAATTTGATTAAAATCTCAAAATCAAAATATATTTTTTAATAGAATCTAGTGGATCTTGCTGGTTCAGAAAGGCTTCATGAAGAAGACTCTAAAAGTGGTAACAATGAAGAAACAGGTTTCATAAATAAAAGTCTATTTGTGCTTTCTAATGTCATAAACAAGCTTGCTGAAGGAAAATCAAAGTAAAAACTCATTGAATATTTCTCTTAATGCTTAACTTTTTATCATTTGAATTATACAAAATTATTTTTAAAATTAAATTTTTATGCTATGTAATAAAAAAATTAATAAGCTTCGTTTATAAAATAACTTTTATAAATTAAGATAATTATTCTTAAATTTAATGAGATAATTATTCATAAATTTAACGAGCTTTAATTTAAGTTAATTGATAAAAATGTTAAAAATATAATTAAGAATATTTGTTTTATAAACGTAAATAGTAAATACATTCCTTTTAGAGATTCGAAACTAACTAGATTCCTTTCAAATGCGCTTGGTGGCAATTCTATGACAGCTATTATTTGCACTATTTCTCCAGCTGCTATGAATTTCTATCAAACACTAAGTACCTTGAGATTTGCTACGAGGGCAAAAAAGGTTTACACTACTCCTGTTGTTAATGAAATTAAACATCCAAGAGATATTGGTGAGATTAATAAAGAGATTGATGAACTTAATTAACGTCTTATAGCTAAGAATACTGAAATAGAAATGATGTAGAAAGATAAGATTTTCTTAGAAAACACTTTAGTGGAGTCAACAAAATAAATTAATTTACTAAATAAGGAAATTAAAAAAATAAAATCTAAATAAAATTTGGAAGATGATTATTCGCTGCAATACTAGCAGCTATTAAATGATAATAATTTTATTGATATTTTAGCATAAAGAGTGGAATTATTTTTGTGGGATGATTACAATTTAAGCACTAATAATTCGAGAGATGAAGACTATTCAGACTTAGAAGATGAGAAAATGAAGAAAAAAAACAAATAAATAGATGAAGACGACAGAAATATCGGTTCTAAATTGAAGGACAATATTAAAGAGAATTTCGAGTAATGTCATGCTGAGTGGAGCAAAATGCAATAAAAACTTGTAAATCGTTATAAATAAGATGTTTAAAATTTATAGATGAAGTACAAAGACGAAATAAAAAATATGAGCAGATTTTACATGAAAGAAACAAAGTAAAACGAAAAAGAACTCGAGGATATTATTTAAAACAGAGACGAACTTAAAATGATAAAAACTTTAGAAAAGCAGATTGAAAAAAAAATAGATAACAATACTATTTTCAATGGAATAGCTGTTAATATAATTTTAGATCCTCAACTGCCTATTGAGTTAGATACAGCTGAGGAAATAGAGTAATATGCAGTCAATGTAAAAGCTGCCTATTAAGAAGCTTCTTAATCATTGGAATAAAAGTTTAAAGACTATAAATCTCTCCTTTCTAACATTTGCAAGACACAGATAAAATACTTCGCTTAATCAAGTAGCAATCATAATCATTTAAATAATAAAAATTATGTAAATGATAATAATAAGCTATCGTCAAGTATATAAAAGTTAACTTCTAGACATTCTGAAATGCTTCAAAAATTGACAGTTCTTTTTTCAAATAAATCATCCATACTCGAATCTGTTTATATTCAGGTTTGTTAAAATTTAGATATTAATCCAGGATAGATTTTCTTACCAACAACGAGATCAGCTACAAGCACATCATAGTAATTTATAAATATTATTTACAATTATAATTAAGCATTTAAATTAATAGGTTTTCTAATATTACTGATAATAGGGTTCCATTTGCAGACTAAAGTTCAGTAGCAAATATCTTAAAATAAAATTACTCAAAGTACCCTCCATCCTACGCAGTCAATAGCATTTAAGGAGATAAGTAAATAATAAATAACACTCCAAAATTTGAAGAATTTCTTTCCAACAAAAGACAAATCACAAATAAACAAATCACAGGTATTAATTAATTGTTTAAATTAAACAATTTTTAAAAGCTAAATTAATTAGCCTATTTAATTACAAAAATAATTTTCAAAAACTCTCTCAAAAAATAATCTTTAAATTATGTAAAAAGTGGAGGCATAAAATTTGACTATTTATTGAATTGTTTCTAAAATAAATATCTAAAAAAAATAAATAATATTTTAAAATAAAATTAGATTTTCTTGATTTAGAGGAGTTCTCTTCAATTTCTGAGAGAGAAAATCATTAGGTTCATTAAAAGAATGGTTCAATGGAATATAACAGATCATATTAACATTAAAATTAATCTTCTATCCTCTAAAAAAAATAATAGAGTACTTTCGATTAGCTAAAATCAAAACCTGATGGTTCTATTATTACTTTTGCATGGGGTTCTGGCAAGGATGGAAGATTGGGATTAGGTACTGATAGAGGAGAAAGCAATCCAACGATGCTAAATAGCCAATAATTCATATATTTATCTTGTGGTTATTATCACACTGCAGGAATAACTGAAAAAGGTATTTATAATTAATACTATTTACAAACTGATAAAGTTAAAAATATTTTATATTTCATTTAAACAGGAGAATTATATCTTTGGGGAAAAGGTAATAGTGGTTAACTAGGTAATTCTAGTTTTAATAGCTCAAAAGTTCCTATCTTAGCGAACATCCCACAAACTATACCCATAGTATAGGTAGTATGTGGATGGTAGCATAGCATGGCTTTATCTTCAAGTGGATAAGTTTATTCTTGGGTAAGATAGTTTATGTGTATGTATTAAGTTATTTAATTGTATTTTATTATTTTAAATAGGGATTAGGAGAAGAAGGATAATTAGGGCATAATGACATGGAAACCCTTAATACTCCTAAAATGATAGAATATTTTTCTTAATAGGCCAAACAAATTAAATATATTTCCTGTGGGCATTCTCATTCTGCCGCCATTTCAGGTTAAATATTGAATTTAAAAAAAGTTATTTACAATTTAACTTATCAAAAATAGAAGAAGGAGATTTATACACTTGGGGTTGCAACTATGACTATAGACTAATGATAAATGAAAATAAAAATTAATATAAGTAATATATTTTTTAATATATTTTAGATTACATAAATGTATATTAATTAATAGGCCTGTTCTCACATAGTTACATTATCTCAAGGAGATTTACTAAAAAAGTGGATAAGATATTTCTTAAAAGTTTAATGTTTAATTAGTTTCATTAGGAGTTAACCACACAGCTGTTATAACAGGTAGCAAAAAATAAATAATATATGATATTAAATATTATAATTATTTTATATATACAGTTGATGGTAGTGTCTATACTGCTGGTTTAGGTAATCATGGAGAACTTGGAATCATTTTGAATGAATCAGTTCCTAACACAGATATAATAAGAGATATAGTATGTTAACAAAATAGTAATAATGTAGAAGAGCGATGCTGTTATTTACATAAAGTTTAAACTTTTGGCGAGGAAAATAAAGCAATAGATATCGCATGTGGCTATGAATTCACTATTGTATTAAATGCAGAAGGGACAGTTTACTAATTTGGTAAAAAAATTTCTCAAGGACCTGATTTTATAGGAACTAAGCAGGAAATTCAAGATTATGTAACAAAAGATTCATAAAATGTCACTCCTTAAGTATTTCTTTTAATTGATTAAGTTATTAATATAAACTAAAACATTTTTTTTGTTAGATTATGTATGAGTTTGGAAATATCCGAGTACAACAAATTGCTGCTGGAAAAAACCACATTGCAATAATAACTGGTATTTTTTTATAATTTAAATAATTTTTTATTGTTATATTTAAAGATTTTTTATTACAATTTATTAATTCAAATTACAATAAAAGAGAATTGATTAAATTTTATTAATTATAGAAAATGGAGAATTGTATACTTGGGGGAAAAATTTCTATGATAAACTAGATATGGGGGACGATAAACATGAAAGCAAGTAACTAATTTTTAATTATTATCAAATATTTTCATCAACTATTTGTCTTACATATATAATAGCAAACCTGTTAAATTATTTGAAGGAATTAATAACTTGCAATGTATTTAAGTATCTTGTGGTGAATTTCATTCTGTTTGCTTAAATAAGTGTTAAAAAAAGTGAATTTGGAAAGAAAAAAAAAGTGAAGGTGTTTGTTTTTAAAAATTTATAAATTAATAATTAAATTAAAAATCTAAAAAAAAATTGTAAATATTTATATTAAATTTAGTATTTATTATATATATGTCTTTTATCTTATAATTAATGATAAAATTAAAAATTTTAATAGATTTCATTTAGAATTAACTCTTAATTTAATTACATAATAAATAATTATGCTTTTTCTTAGTTTGTTTTTAGCTTTTAAAAATATTAAAAAACTTAAAAGTGTTTTACTTGAGTTTATTTATAAACATTTATATTAAATACAAGCAGTTTTGATTTGAAATATTTTGTTTGTTTTATGACAAAATTTTTTTTTTTTTGCAATTTAAAAAATTATTTTATAAAAGAAAGTTAAATTTAATAGATAAATACAAATAATCAAAATTGAGCACGTCTCAGCTTGTTTCAGCTTGTAAAAACATTAAAATAGTTTATAAAAAAATTATAATCATAATTTGTAAAAAAATAAAAAACATAATTTGTAGATATTTAGATTAAATGTAAGGAGTATCAAGTATATTTATTTATCATACAATTTATAAAATAATTTTAAATTTATATAAATTCAGTTCATGAAGCTTTAATTATAATTTGTGAAAGTTTTTTAAGTATTTTTAGTTTCAATTTTTTATAGCTACTAATTGGTTTTTTATGTTATTTTTGTTTCGCTTTTCTTAATAGATTTATTTAAATCTTTTTTAGACTTTTAAGTTGTTTTTTATGAGTGTTTTGTTTTAGCCCTCTTTTTTGAGAATTTTTCCAACCAAATCTTTCTAATCTGACGTAGAACTTAACTTATATTGTTTTATGGGTAATAAACAGTATATTCTTTCATAAAATCAAAATCATTCTCTATTGTTTCGATGAAAAAATCTTCAAATTATTGGTTTTATTAAATTTGTTTTTACTAATCAGCATTTTCAGCATTTAAAGATGATAGTTTTTAATCTTATTTATTATCTTATGGCTTAGGATTAAATGCTGATAAATTAGAACGATTTCTAGGTGATTCAATTTTAGTATCACTATATTATTTAGCTGCCATCATATTAGAAGCTATTTATAAGTTTATGTATTGTGCTGTTTGAGCTTAAGTTCCAAAGTGGCTTAAATTTCTACTTGCATTTCTTTTAAATGTATCTTAGTAGCTGTTAATACTAGATGAGCTATCATGTCTTTGCATAGTCCTAGCTGTTTTTTAAGAATTTTATCTTTGCAAACTGACATTATTTTCTTATTAATTTGAAGGAAAGAATAAGCCTTACTAAGAGGATGACAAATTAAGACTTTTGATATAAAAATTTAATAAAATCTGTATTTAAAATAACATTTTTAAAAAATTAATTATTAAAATTCTTATTTTAAATTTATTTATTTTTCCTTTAAAACTTTATTATTTTTGTTATACTAAATATGGGTTTAAATATTTCTAGGTTAATCGTGCATACATACATTCATTTATTCATCATAATAAATGAGAAATGATAGTAGTTATAATTTTGAATAAGTTAATAATTATTTAATTAAATCTTAATTTACTCTAATTGCTAGAATCTTTTATTGACTTGGGTAGGCGAACTGTATGCGTATGTCTCTTTTTTAGTTTTTGAGCGCGAAATAGATTGCTTGTCTATAGAAAATTCTTCATTTTTAATACTCAATTTATGAGTTTAGTGACGTAAATTTACCCTGTTTTAGTTTTTGTTGTTAGTTATGTTTATGTTGGAGGTTGGGTTCATTTCACTAAGCCCTTAAACTAAATCTTATGATCCTTTATAATCTTCTTTTGAAAAAAATTATATGTCTTCTTCATCTCCGCTATACAGAGAGTCTCCTGTTTCTTGCATGCATTAGTTAGCTTCACTGTAACTTACTTTAGGCATTCTCATGAAAAATTCTTTGTCTGTAATTTTATTATCTTGGAGTATTGCTAAATCATCCCATTATTCTACAGCTTCTAAAACACAGGTTACTCTCAACTATTTAAGCAATTTTTTAGTAACTATATATTTTTTAATAGCATTATATTTTTTTTTAATTTGTCTTTCTGCTGTGCATCTATGCTAATCAAGAGAAAAATTGTTTTTTACGATTAGTAAAGGTTTGTTTATTTTAATATTTATGTAATTGCATTTTTCCTCTATGTGACCAGGCTTTAAGCAAGAGAGGCACTTATGTCCACATATGTTTTATTTAAACAAAATTTCATCTTTGCACATAGCAAATTATTCCTAATTTAATATAATTTTCAAATCTATTTAGGATTGATGTTATAAATAGCAATCTTACTTTGTCTGATGGATTTTCTTGTATCAGTTTGAGCATATCTTCTCTTTTACAATAAACAATATGAGTGGTTCCTTTGCTTTTAGCAGTAAAATATCTAGGTATATCAGCAAAAAATCCGGATTAGCCAAAAAATTCACCTTGCTATGTTTAATAAAATTGCTAAAATATATAAAAAAAGATATGATTTTTACCATATATTGTCCAAATTTGATAATTTAATTATTAATTTCAAGGGTATTCTCAACTGCTCCTTTAAATACATAGTAAAGTCTGTTATCTGTATCTCCTTTATTAAATATAATATCACCAGGACCTAAAGTTATTTCTTTCATGACAAGAGATAATTGCTAAATTAGTTTATTGCTAAAATTGTTCTTAAAGATATTTGAGTTGAATAAAATCTTTCCAAAAAAATCTTGATATATTTCCTCACGTAAATTTTTTGATATTCCACTTAAGATAAGCTCACCTTTGCAAAGATAGTTTCTTTCTTCCTCTTAGCTATTCATATATTCAAGATACTTCAATACTTTTATTTAGGATGCTCTTTAAATTTATCTGCCTTCCATGTATTAAGTTATTTCAAACTTTTTTAACCTCGAAATATAAAATTATGAATAAAAAGATAAAATTTTCAATTTTTAAAGTTTATAAAGATGGAAAGTAAGTTGGATTAAGTTTATTAATCGAATGAAAAATGTATAAAAATCAGATAATTCACAAGAATCTATGAAAAAAAAATCTTAATATAATATGGATAAACTTTTGGCTTCATTACTATAAAAATTTAATTTAATGATTTGAGTATTTTATTCATCACATTGAAGATTATTTATTTATTTAAGTTAATTGAATAAATAAAAAAGGAATTAATTGCATTTAATTAAAAATTTTATATAATCAAAAACATTAAAATTTAATTTATTTTTTTAAATTATATAATTCTTAGTTTTAAATTATGTTGTTTTAATTGATTAAATAATTCAAATATTTTTGCAATAAATTAATTAAATAGCAATAGGAAAAAATTTTTGATGTATTTATTTCTTTTTTATATTTGATTGTGAAAAAACTTTGCTTTAAAATAGATTTTTAATGAAAAATGCTTTTTGATTTACTTATAGTTTGCTTGTTTTTATGAGAGTTCATGGAAAATAGAACCAATTGTGTTAACTGCATAACCAAAGATACCGCAAGACACAACTGAAAAAAATGTCACATAGATTTTTTCGTGACTAGATTTCGGGACAATATCACCAAAGCCTACTGTCACCATTGTAACAAAAGAAAAATAAATTGAATCAAGATAAATAACAGTCCAATATTCATTAGTAACTCCGATATTTTTAATCCAGGTAGAAATATCTGGGTTATTTTAGTAATCTAATTTGCTAATCAAGTAAAAAATGCAAGAGCTATAATGAGCTACGAAATAAATTAGAGTATACAACTTCGTTAGTTCATAAATAGTGTAGTATTTTTATTATAATTAAAAATGCTCTTCTATCGTATTCAGCAATTATAATACTTAAATTATTCTTAAGAGGTAGATAAGTTTTATAAATTAAATGTCTTAATTTTACATACAAGCAATAATTGTAAATATTGTTATTAAATCAATCCATAAATAAAATCTTAAATATTTCTTAAAGATCTGTAATCGAGATTTCACTATTTCACCCTCATTATAAAAACCAGTATTCATATTTAATAGCATTTATATAATGAATACTGTTACGGCCAGTGGTTCTGTAATAAACATAAAGGGTTAAGTATCTTTTGCCTAATCATAAACACACAATAAAGGAATTATAACTAACTAAATAAGTAAAAAGAATAGGAAAAATATATTCCAAAAGACTAAAAAAATTCCATTTGGTTAAATTATTGGAAATTATTCAGTAAAGCTATATTAATTTCTATTGCTGATTGCTCTTTCTATGTTTGATCCCACAGTGCTTAATTTGTGTTAAGTTTTGCTTTTTTAAAGCTATTTTTTAAATATTATTTCATCATCTGAAACCATATTATTGAATTAAAAGACTGCATCTCCAATGATGTTAAAATGCCTGTACTCAAGCTTTTGGAATACTTTAGAAGGTAGTTGAGAAACCATTGTTTATATAAATTTTTTAATCATATTTGCTTTTTTAAAGAATTTGAAAGAGAATTTGTTAACAGTAGATTGTTGAACTACTGACATTCGAGATCTCTTCTTCTTTTAAAGTTCTTCAAAAGCTTAATCGTTTGTATCATTTGCTTCTTTGTCATTTAACAAAGGTTAATTTATTACTTTTTAATTATTATTTAAATTATTAGCAACTGAAGAAGGAATATCCTAAGCAATTAAATTATTCGTCAAAGAATCATTTTTACTTGCAGTTAAGAGGTTTCTTCCTTTATCTGTTTAAATATTTATAGTATTTAATTCCAATTTTTATGAATAGTTAATATTCTAGCCATTATTGCTTCCTTAACTAGATTCGTTCATTCTATTGGTAATAACTTAGCTTTCGTTTTAGTTAGAAGAGTAAGAAATTGCATAGCTACTGTGTTTCTAACTCATTTTGGAAACAAGTTAACTCATCAAATTACCACCATAACCTGAACTATTATTATCAGGTTATTAATTCTATATCTATAAGTTAATTTCTTTTTAGCTAAAATTTGTTGGTACTTATGTTGCATGTTTTTTTGTTTTATGTATCTTCAACATAGGTGAAATATTTTCATTTTAATAATCTAAAAGCTAATTGCTACCATTATTTTTAGAATTATAACTGTTATTTATTTCGTTAGAAGATTTAGCATCAATAGTTAATTTATTTTAGCTTCGTCTATTTAGTAAATCACTATCATCTACTAAATACATTTTTAAAATCTTAAATAAATATTAAAAGAATACATAGAAATATAAATTTGTGGAATAGAAATGTTATAATATTTATGTTATTTTACTATTATTTTTTTGGTTGCCCTGTTTAGAATCAAAAATTCTATGTAAGCCTTGCTCAAATTAATCTTTATTTAGATTATTTCCCTCAATATCAGAAGCTAGATCGAAAACTGTTTAAGAAAAAACCTTTACATTTCTATCATAAAGAGAAGAATCCTATTAAAGAAAAATATTTTATCTTTTCTACTCTCCATCTCTCATGAGATCAGGATAATTTAAGCTAGATTCAATTTTTCTGTTGCTGTATGGGTTAGCTAACTAAAAAGTTTAATCATGATTCTACTATATATAATTAGATTTATGAAGTGAGATCTAAGATTAATCTAGAAATTTTGAATTATCTTGCATAGAATAGTCTTAATATTGTAAATTTTATGCTGATTTGCTCATATATAAATAAATTTTTTGCTTCGACTGATATTCTTTATTTTTCAAACACCCTTTTATTAGTTGCTAGTCTTGCTTTAATAGCTTGCTTGAAATTTAATTATCAGCAAAATCAAAATCAAATCAATTAAATCAATATATTTTTTTATAATTTATGATAATCAAATTAATTAACTTGACTATAACCCTTAATTGGATTATTTACTTTATTGTTGTCATAGTAAAATCCACAAAGAAAAATAAAATTCTTATTCAATTTCATTGAGTTTTTAAATTAATATTTTAAAAATTTAATATTATAGAAGTAACAAATGATTTTTATCATTCAATAAAATTTATTTTATTTAAGTGAGCTAAAAAAATTAATTATAAAATAGTTTTTTTATTTTATCAGTTTAGCGATTAAATTTTAATTATTTTGTTAGTTTTTCTTTAATAAAAAATGCTCTTAGTATTCATTAATTTAATTTAAAAAATAAAAATCATTTTATACAATAAATATAAATTAGTCATGTTATATTTACTTATTTGCTCTATACTTCTTTATTAATTTTAAAATTATTAAGTGGTTCTTAATTCTGAGCAATATGATATTCATATGTATTATAATATAATTCTTATAAAAGCTTTTATAGAATTGGCAAGCAAGACAGTAGTAAAGTTTATAAAATATTAGGATTAATTAAAAGCTGAAGAGATATAACTAAAAAGTTTAAATTTATTGAAAAATATTTCTACTTTATTAAATTATTTAATTTAAACTTGCTTTTAAAATTATTGATACAGAAGAGACAGGTTATACTTAGAATTCTTTTACTTAAATTAATTATACAAATTTATTAATCAAATTATAAATCTATTAAATCAAGTTATTAGCATTTAATTATCTAAATTTAATCAAAATAGATCTATGAAGTAAACATCATTTGTGATAGCCATCTTCGCACTCTTATTAGTATTTGCGTAAGCAAAAAGACATCATGTAAAATCATCTGATAAATGTAATAAATACTTTTAATATTAAATTAAAATAAATTATAAAATTTAGAATAGTATTTGAAAGAGAGTGCAAATTAAGATGATATAGCCAGATAAATATTTAAAGGAATAGCTAAATCCTTTAATGTAGAGCTAAGCTTAAGCAATTACTAATCAATTACTTATGAAAACTTGTAAATAGACAATCTTGAAAAAGCTTTAAATAATTTTGGAGCTGTTTAAATCGATTAAAGCTATCTGAAAGAAACAATTAAAAGTATTCAAGATATTTTCATCAAATTTAGAAATGCCATTCCTCAAACTGAATAGACTGATAAAATAATAAATTCCTTTTTAAGAGTGTTTGCTGATGAATAAACATTTAATTCAATTAAAATTAAACTCTATGAAGACAAGGGTATTGATTGCTAACTTTATTTGTGGGGAGCTCTTGATTACATTATATTTGACAAATACCAAGTTGTAGGTGAGACTTTGGGCAGAGTGATTTATCTAATGAATTAATATATTGAATGAATTTATTGTATGATAATATAATATATAAAGCTAATTTGTAAAATTAATTATGATACCAAATATAATAAATATGATTAATATCTCTAACTTCAACAATTTAATGAAAAATAGTTTAAAATAAATAAACTTTTATTATTCAATAATTTAATAAATTTCTTTTACTCAAACTATTTCAATATTTATAAAATAGCTTATTTATTTTAATTATGTAGCATTTCTCTTATGTAGACGATATAAATATTTTTCTAAAATCACAAAAAGTCAAATCGATGTAAGTTAAATAAACTTTATTAACAATGCAATGCTATTATGATACCAATTTTGTTTAAAATCTTGATAAATATATTATAATTTAATAAATTTCTTTTACTCAAACTATTTTAATATTTATAAAATAGCTTATTTATTTTAATTATGTAGCATTTCCCTTATGTAGAAGATATAAATATTTTTTTAAAATCACAAAAAGACAAATCGATGTAAGTTAAACTTTATGAACAATGCAATGCTATTATGATACCAATTTTGTTTAAAATCTTGATAAATATATTATAATTTAATAAATTTCTTTTACTCAAACTATTTTAATATTTATAAAATAGCTTATTTATTTTAATTATGTAGCATTTCTCTTATGTAGAAGATATAAATATTTTTCTAAAATCACAAAAAGGCAAATCGATGTAAGTAAGTTAAATAAACTTTATTAAAAATGCAATGCTATTATGATACCAATTTTGTTTAAAATCTTGATAAATATTTTTCTATTTTATTAAAATCTAAATTAAAATAATTTAATTTAATTAAAAAATTAATTTCAAGAGGAATAAATAATCTTTTTTTTTTGTATTTAGCGGTTTTATACAATTTATATAAATGTGTTTTTTTACATTAATTAGAATTATTAATTTTTAGATTAATGTTTTTTTAATGTTTGAGCATATAAAAGATATATTTATTTTATTTGAAAAGAGATAATTAATAAATTAATTAATAAATATAAATCGTTTTAAATTAGTGAATGATTAATATAAATATAATAAATGGTTCAATATCTTTCAATCATCGATTATGTGTTATTAGGTTTTTAAGCACTATCAAAAATATTATTATCGAATTCTGTTATATTTATTGATTCAGTATTATTTTAAGCATGGTCATTTGAAAATGATCTGACACGACTTGAATCAACAGACTTCAGCTAGAACTACTTGTGGTTCATTAATGATAGTCTACAATTTTTTCTATGTGATAGAGTTGTTTTGCGTCTGCTGCGAAGAGATATAATGTCTTCTATATTTCTTTCTTATTTTAATTACTCTAGAATATTTTAGTTTCCTTCTCTCAGATGTTAGAAGTCGAGAGAATTTCTTTTACTGTTTTCTCTAGTGAAAATATCTTCTTTTTCATCTTCTTAAATTACATCATCTAAGATATCCTCTATATTTGTTTAACTGGATATACATTTTTTATTATTATTTGGTAAAGGTTGAACGACATCAATATCGCTTAGAGAAGTATCTGATTCATTATTAATAGGTAATGATAAAGCTCTATTAAATGTTTAGTTACGTCTTTGTTCTAACCTTTTTTTGATATCATCAACTTAAGTTTCTACCTACTTGTTTACAAATTCTTTAACACGTTGCTAGTCTAGCTAATGCATTTTTAATATAGATTTAGATTTATCTTCATTATCTTGCATTCCATATATGATGTTCAACTTGATGTTTTCTTCAATTGTTTTCTTTTTTATTAAGCTAATTTATTTCACTTTTTTCTCTTCTGCCGCTATTTATTTTTCCTATTAAATTTTCTCAACACTTTCCACTTCCTAGCTGAATGTATTGTGTGTAGCTTCTGACTCTCTTACTTGTGAATTATGAGATTATTTCTATTCCTATGAAACTTATTACATCTATTTCTGCTCATCATGTATTTCTTAAAATTATCCATTTTACTCTTAGCTCTATATTTACTATTTTGGTTGACTTGCAAAAAAGGTGTCTGTTTAGAGACTTTGTCTCCTTTTGACTTCTTTTTATTCTTTAACTGAGTTATTCATTGATTCTAAAACATTAGGTTTCATCATCAAATTATTCATTTTTTTATGAAAGTACAAGTATTTTGTATCTCCTATTGACTCATAGTAGCCAACTCCAAGAGCATAAAGCTCAATCAAGCGGTGAACTTACTTTAATTCTAAAGTTTCACTTATTTCGATATCCATTTCTAGTTTCAATACCTCTTCTGCAAAACCCTTTGGAAGAGATTTTCCATTTGATTCAGGGGTAGTTCCATTGCTTTCAATGTCTGAAGTAATAAGTCCCTCAATAGGAATAGTGTTAATTTATATAGATTTCTTTTTAGCAGTACGAGCAGCCATTTAATCTTACAACTTATTTACTATATTTCTATTTTTTTATATGTTCCTTTTGTTATTTTACTATAAACCTTCAACTTTTTGCAATTATTTATACTTACTTCTTTCTGTATTTTTTTATAGTAATATTATTATTATTATAAATAGTTTGACAAATTTATTTATAAGCTATCAAAAGCTAAGTAAAAATATTAATTTTGATATTTTGAATATATAATTTTCATTTACACTATAATATACTAGCTGAAAATATTGGAAAAATTCAAAAGGTTATTGATTACATTACTAAATACAAAAAATTTAAAATATCTGTAAATAAATTATTCACATTTATACAATAAACAAAGTGTTTTTACTTAAAAAGATATCCATTTATTAATTACCTTAAAATTGATTATAATCAGCTTTTATTTTTAAAGCATTCAATTCAAGAATTTAATAAAAGCAAATTTTTTACTGAGCTACTTATTAATAAATACAAATAATAAATTTCAATAACAAGCTAAATAATATTTTAAATGATTTTTCTTTGTTTAATAAATATATTTTTTATGAAGCTATAAATGAATCTCTATCATTTAAATCATTACACAATTTTTTGATGTTCTATAATAAATTTTTAGCAGAGCTTTTTATTTTACTGGATCAAATTAGATATAAAAAATTTTAGCGATTTAATTTTACTCAAGAAAATAAATGTGTTAGAATAGACTTGTAATTATTTGTTATTTTCATAGATAGGTTAGTAAATATTCTTTCGTGAATAAATTTAAAATTTTACAAATTGCTTGTAAAAGGAAAGTAATTTGTTGCAATTACTCATTGAGTTGCAATAAAAAACAAAGGATTAGCTTGAATAAATTAATAAATTTTTGTTTTAATAAGTTGTCTTTTAAATGAAATTATAATTTTATATGAAATTACAAGATTAATATCTAGTTTTAATAAATTAAGTTGAATAAAATTAAATTTTACTCTCAATTATTCTTTGCATATCTTTAATAATTAATTAATTAATTTAAATAATATAAATTATTATTTAAAATTAAGCAAAAAAAAAATAAAAATAATTTCCAAATTAATAAGACTAAAAAAAGCATTTTTTTCTATTGATTTTATTTCTATTATTTAAAAAAATCTTCATAAGGAATTATCAAATAAACTCTCAACAATATGACAAGGTAAATCTTTTCTAAATTAAGTGTAATAGGGAGATTTTTTATAGGCTTAGAGGAAATAAATAATATTCTTTCTAACTTTAGGCAGTTTTATTAAAGTAGAGAGATATTTTATAGTTTCATATTTCTCAGAATGAGATGATATGATAAGTTTTGTGAGCAGTTTTAAATCGAAAATAGAATTTCTCAGAATTTTCATCCCACTCCATGAGACATACTCATGGACATGTATTTCTAGCTGCTATAAATGAGCTATTTTACTTATTTACTTCATAAAGAGCTATAACAAATCTGGATTGACTTTGTTATTATCACTATCATTATAGTTATTACCTCCAGCAGCACTAACTTGGTGTTTGATATTTCTTTGGTCTTAAAATCCTGTTCCAAGATTAAAGAAAGATACATTTAACGATTTGCATTATTTTAGATTGCTTAAAAACTCTGATAATGCATGAACAGCTTGATCTTAATTTTACTAATTGAAATAGCTCCATCTCTAAAAGTTTAATTCACATGCACTAAGTTGATGAGCACAGCTAGCAGAGAGGGAGTTACAAATCATCGCCAAATGCTTGAACTCAATATCTTCCCACCATCTTAGATTTAACGATAAGTGTTTTAAGTATTTTTTATTTGAAAGAGCTAAACAAAATTTCTTAGCAGAATTGCTAGGGTCTTTGATATTTTGCCTAAAAAACGAGAACCAACAAGCAAGCTTTAATTTAAGTGTTCTTAATTGGGTCAGCTTTTCCAGTCCTTCACAAAACCCAACAAATCCATCTTCATTTATCTATTTCTTTCTTTCAGAACTTGGATCATCTAAATCGAGCTCAAGCAATGTTAAAGATTGCATATTTTATAATATACAACCTAAACTTTTGACTGTCTTGTTAGTAACAGAGGGATTCAGAGAACGATTTGAACTGATAATTTAGAGTTCTAAAAGATTTTATCTTCCTAGTTAAATTAGAACACTCTCAATATTTGGAATAACCATAAAAAGTAAGCCCCAGTGATCTATGTTAATGGATAAAGATTTCAACTTGTTAAATCTATCACTTATTCCTTAAAGAAGATAAAACAACTCATCACCTCCTAATCCTGCTTCGTCATTTTAGTTATTTTGAAAATATAAAGCTATTCTCTGCTTATCCCTGCTCACTTGTTTAATTCTCTTTTAGAAGTATCTCAGAATATCATCTGATATTTCAATCCATTTAGGGAGAACTAATGATAACTCAGGTACCTTAATCTGATTAATTCTACTTTAAGCATCGTTTTAGTTTAATTTAATATGCTAGGCTTAATGGATAGAGCTTTAAGCTTAATTAATTTTATTTTCATTCTCCTCAAAGTAAGCAAAGTTATATTCATGCTCTAAAATTTCTAAGTTTTTTAGAATATTCATTTTTAGTTGTTTTTTCTATATAAATTTTAATTCAATTAAAACCTATTTTTGATACATAATTATTTAAATTTTTGTTGGCAAATAGTAAATATTATTATAAACCATCTAAAAAATCATATTTGCGCAACATAGAAAGTTCATGTTTGATTAAAATAATCATTTGTAAACAATCAAAGTAATATCATTTCTGCAAAGATCAGATTATTTATTATTTCTATCTATAATTTTTATATTTATTTCTCATATTTATTGAATATGATTTAATTTTCTTGAAATCTTTACAACATTAAATAAAATAAATACTTAATTAAATTAATTAATTATAAAATTTATAAAATTAAATATAACTTTTTTCAAAACAAGTTGATTAATAAAATAATTTTGATTTTCATAATATTTATTATATAAAATTTAATTATGATGAAAATGAAATAGAATATGCTATTGGTTAATATTAAGAAAAATGCATTAATAATAATAATAATGATTAATACATTAAATATTTTAAGTTGCATTCAATTTTGCTATTTTGATAATCAAATTAAATTTTTTTTTCATTTTCTCAAAATATTTTTATTAAATTATAAATTATTTATTCAATAAATCAATTTTTTACTTTATTGGAATTTTTTAATTATTTTAAATTGTATTTTTATCGTAAAACTTAAATTAATCAATCATAAAATCAAAAATAAAAAAAATATTTTAAAGTATTTGAAAACAATAAAAAATCATCAAATATTTAAAAAATTTACATGTTAAAATTAATAATTTTAAAACTTGAATGCTTTTTAGTTACTTAAAATTATTTTAGCAATTTCTCTTCTATTCATGGCGCTATACCTTTTTGCATTTTTATAAATATTTACAAAGAATTATTTGAATTTATACAAATAAAACTTTGGAGATTTTAATTTTTTAAACAAATAAGATTTTGAAATAAAATATTTTTCGAAATGAAGTTTTAGTTAAGTTTTTTATTGCTATTAATAGTAGATAGATATAATAAGTATTCAAGATTTTGAAAAATTATTGAACAAAAACCAATAACAATAAATTTTATTTATTAATAAAGAAACAATCAACGAAATAAAGTTTCAACAATATAAAAAAATTGAAAGACCCATAAAATTGTTTAATTAATTTTTGATTGATATTTAATTGCTTAATTAAGAATATCTTTAAAGTCAAGTCAATGAGTTACTTCAAACGCTTGTTAAACTCCCCTTATACTCATGGCGCTAAACTTTTTTCAACATTTATTATTTAAGTATTGCAAAAATTATAATATTTAAATCTATTCTAAAATATCATTAAAAGACCCACAAAAAATTTAAATTAATTTTTGATTGATATTTAATTGCTTAATTAAGAATATCTTTAAAGTCATGTCAATGAGTTACTTCAAAATTGGCTTAATTTATCTTATACTCATGGCGCTAAACTTTTTTCAACATTTATTATTTAAGTATTGCAAAAATTATAATATTTAAATGTATTCTAAAATATCATTATAAGACCCACAAAAAATTTAAATTAATTTTTGATTGATATTTAATTGCTTAATTAAGAATACCTTTAAAGTCAAGTCAATGAGTTACTTCAAAATTTGATTCAATTTCCCTTATACTCATGGCGCTATGCTTTTTTCAACATTTATTATTTAAGTATTGCAAAATTATGATATTTAAATCTTTTCTAAAATATAATTACAAGAAGCATAAAAAATTTTAATTAATTTTTGATTGATATTTAATTGCTTAATTATGAGTTGAAAAAAGTTTAGCGCCATGAGTAAAAGATAAATTAAACCAATTTTGAAGTAACTCATTTATTATTTAAGTATTTATTGCAAACATTTTAATATTTAAATCTTATCTAATATAAAATTACCAGAGAAGATAATTTAAAAGGAGAAAGTATAAGTAAGTAATTCTTATTATCTATAGATATATATGAAAACTTAACTAATTTCTAGTTTAATATCCTTCCCTAGCTTATTTATTATGAACCTTTATTTCTAAAATTAATTTACATAATAATATAGTAGATAGTATTAAGTTTTTACAAAGACCCTAAAGTTTGTAAAAAACCTTAATTTACTTCTATTTCTTAGATTTATTAAGTGGTATTTCTTAAAAATAATTTAAAATAAATACAATAAATGTTAAAGAATTAAAACTAAATAGTTAAGGATCCTGTTATTTAACAAATTTTAACATATTTTTATAATAAAAGAATAAATAAATATATATAAATAAGATAAAGCGAACTATAATATTTAGAATAATTGCTCTTTAGTTTATTAATTTTTTGAATTTCATACTTTTCTTTAGTAATTTCCAATAAAATAAATAAATAAATATCAATTTAAGTAAATCATTTAAAAAAATGAAAAAATAAATTTTAAGCAAAATAATTAATTAATTTGAAATATTTAAGAGCATATAATAAAACATATAATTAAAAATAAAATTTTTAATTTTAAACATAAATCTAGATTTTATTTTTCAATAAAACTTTTGTTTAAATTTTTTATCAAATTTTCTTATCACTAACTTATGAATATTAATATATAATAATTATTCTTTTCAAAAATTAGTTAAGGGACATTTAAAAAATTTAACAAAATTGACTCCTTAACTTCAAGTTTCACATTAAATTATTACTTTTTATTTGTTTGAATTAGATGTAAATAAGTAGTTTTATAAAAATAATTTTTTAAAAATAAATAAAATTGACAAAAAAATTCTTAATCAACAAATTATATTTGCTTATTTTAAATATTTAATTAATGATAATATAGCCATTTTTATACAAGTAACTAATTATAAATTGAAGTTGTAGATTATTAAATAATAAAAAGAAAAATAATATAAATTTAATATATTATCAAAAATTAAATGATTTTTAATTTCTTTTTGAAAATAATTTAATATTTTTAAAAAAGAATATAATAATTCTTTTAAATTAATTAATTTATTTTTCTAATATTTAAAAGTCTAAAATTTAATTTGTTATATTTGTATTTTAAATACTTAAAAATTGCAACTATTTTATAATTTAATCTAATAAAATTTATAAATATTTACAATATGATTCAAACATTAATTAAGTAAGAATATATAACACATTTAAATATTATTAAAAGAATTTTTATGAGTGTTTAAATTAAGTTTCGAGCAAAGTTTTAATACCAAATTTTAATATGTGATTGGGTAGAGACTAGCGAATTTTAATAAGTTAATCATCAAAAAACAGTATTATAATATCCGAATTATCTAAATCTGCTTAAAAAGTAGAAAAACAAATAAATCAATCAATAGAATTTAGATTAATATTGTTCTTTTTGGTTTTTGAGTCAAACACCAAATAAAAAGTATAAAATAAGCTTTTTTAAATAGATAACAACATAGCATAGGTTTAATGGGGTCATGCAGCTCAAGAAGTGATAAAGGTAAATATTTGGAAAATTTAATGCATATAATTTATGGTATATTTTGTATGTATGCGTGTTCAGGTTTAAAGTATTAGTTTAATTTTGCTACTTTATAAATAAACTTTTGAGATTGTCATTTTTTTAATGTTATAAATAATAGATGAAGTCAAAGATGTTATTAAAATTTAGAAAGGACATAATAATGAAATGGAGTAGTCAGCTGATAAACGATAAAAAGGAGCTTTGAATAAAAGACTAAGCGTAATTTTAGTTTTTTTATTTTTAAGGAATCTAAATAAATATTTAAAAATAAGATCAATTACAACAAAATTCCAAACAAAATTCACAAATAAGATACCCGTTTTTAGCAAGGAATAATAGAAGTAGATGAGATATCAGGTTTGGTTGGGTTATCAAACTTGGGTAACACCTGCTTTATGAATTCAGGTAAAAATTACATTTAAAGATATAGAAATTTCTAGCTTATTTGACTTTTAAAGTAATTTGATATTTTTTACTATAAAAATATAGCACTTCAGTGTTTAAGCAATGTACCTCCTTTATGTGATTACTTTTTAAGCAAGCTGCATGAAAAAGAAATAAATTATGATAGTTTTCTAGGTTCATAGGGTAAAATCACTCAATAATTTGCAGAATTAATGATGTAAAATATAAATAATTAAAAAAATTAGCATTTTAAAATAAAGAATTACATGTCAAAATAAATGCTTATTAATGATTATATTTTGCTCATTCTAAAATTTAATAAATAAACGTTTTCTTTTTTAATAAAAGAGATATGTGGAATACTTCAGATAGTTATATTATCCCTTAGAAGTTTTTAAGGGCTATTGGTAATTTTGGACCTTAATTTGCTGACGGATCTTAATAAGATTCTCATGAATTTTTGGCATTTTTGATGGATATTTTACATGAAGTAAGTTAATTAACTAATTAACTTTAGTAGAATAAATAAAATTTTTTTGAAATTTATAAGGATTTGAATAGAGTCAAATAAAAACCTTATATTGAAGGTAAAGATTATAATGGAAATGATTATGAAAAATATGCTAAAGAGTGTTGGAAAGAATATTTGATGCGTAATAGATCTATTATTGTAGATTTGTTTTAAGGGTAGACCAAATCGACTCTTAGATGCTTAAAGTGTAATACTGTTTCTCATAAGTTTGAAACATTTATGTATTTAAGTGTTCCTATTCCTGACTCATAAAAATCTAAAAAATTATCTTCTAAGAGAAGTATAGAAGAAGACAGCGAATCATTCTCCCTTTAAAGATGCATTTAAGAATTTACTAAAGAAGAGAAATTAGAAAGAGGTGAGCTTTGGTTTTGTCCTAAGTGCAAAAAACACTAAGAGTCAACTAAAAAGATAGACTTGTGGAAAATGCCTAATATCCTAATCATCCATTTAAAGAGATTTGAATTTAATAAAGACAGAAGATGCAAACTTAGCAATAAAATTGATTTTCCAATTAAAAATTTTGACATTTCAAGTCTAACAGCTGGAAAATAAAGAGATATTCCCATCTATGATTTATTTGCAGTTTCTGTAATTTTTCTTTGATTAAAATAATTGTTATCTGTTATAATTTTATAAACAAGAACCATGGAGGAACGCTCTCATCAGGTCATTATACATCTTATGCGAAAAATAGAATAGATTAAAACTGGTATTTCTTCAATGACACTCAAGTTTAGTATGTTGAAGATCCAGAAGATAAAGTAAATAATACATAATTATATTTTAATTAATGATAATTGTAATAAAAACATACATTTTAGAACAAATACGAAAATTAAACTAATTGAATTTATTATATAAAGTTAAGTAGCAGTTAGTCTTATGTTCTCTTCTACTCAAAGACAAGTGTTGAAGAATTTTATAGGTAAACTCTTTCTGATCCTGAAAGTTGGCCTCACTTTTATGATGAAGATAAGCAAAGTAATAAGTAAAAGGAAGATGCTAAAGAGAGTGAATTAGATGAACTGAACAGAAATAGGAGAAAAAGAAACACTAAGTAGCACACTTATAAATTCACAAATGAAATTTAAAAAAGAGACTCTAAACTATACCCGACTATTCTTCCTTAAAATTCTAATATTTAAAATATCGAAGAAATTAACAACAACACAAATTAAAATAGAAATGGAAGTCAAACAAGACTTAATAATGGAAAAAGCTAGACAAACATAAAAAGCTAAACATAGTTTGAAATGATGAATTCTGTTATAAACGAAGAAGAATTTTAAGGTAATTTGGATTATAGTTTGAATATTAGTAAGGAGATTAAATAACTAGATAAAATGAACTCAAAGACCTTAAAAAGTAATAAAATATAAGTCTCAAATAGCTCAGTAAAATAAAGAAATATTTAATATTTTGGTAATGATTAAAAATCTGCAAGTATAAACGTAATTATTTCTCCTCGAGATGAGAATAAGAATTAGAATTAGATACAAAACAGTAGATATCACATTGAAGATTCATATGCAAAAAACCTATCCACTTAAAATAATTAACAAGCTTACAATTATAAGTATCAATGAACAAAAATGTTTATTCTTCAAGAATAAAATTCATTAATCAATCCCTCATTATTTAATAATTAAAAAGAATAAAAAAAATAATATTCAATTGTTCTTAAAAAATATAAAATTTGAAAGCAATTCTATGAAATAATCATGAAACCTCTCTCTATCAATTAAAAAAATCATATATTTAAATTAATTACTGTATATTCATTTTGTACATAGAAGTCTTACTATTTATAATTATTATTGTTTTAAATAATACAGTTTAATATAATTTTTAAATAACTAAATCAACCCTTAGATTATTGCTATTAAATTTAATATATATTAAAAAAATAAAAGATATTTGCATAACTATAATAACAATAGGTACTTAGTATAGTTAATTCATAAATTATTAATAATTTACTACTTATTTTTGGGTTAAATAACTCTAAAAAGTACAAATATAATCTTTCATTACGAAGAAATATCAATCTTGAACATCATTAATCAATAAATGAATTAGACCTAAAATAAAGTATATTGTATGAATTATGGATTTTTTAATAATCTTTTAATTGTATTGTGTAATAAAAATAAGGCATTAGGTGATTAAACCATATACTAATTAAAACACTTGTTTAACTTATTTGAATATAATTTATTTAGCTTTAAGGATTTATAAAAATAACTTTAAGCTGTATTTAGCTTAACAAAATAAATATTTTAGAATTGGTTTTATGAAATTTAAACGATAAAATTTTGACATAAAATAAATATACTGTTAAAAAGAAAAAATTAATTATGGTAAAATATAATTAAATTATTGAATTAATTCACAAAATTCATCCATTAATTAATGTTCATACTTTAATATTGCTCCATACATTTATTATTTTCAAGCAAGCAAGCGTTAAAGATAACTTTTAAATTATCTCTCTACAAATGCAAATTTTAAAAAGAATTTAATCATAATCAAAAACCTTTCAAAAAATTAAAAATATTAAAATTGGAATAATTATTCAAACAAAACTAGTAACGAGATAAAAAAAGCGTTTAGTTTTTATCATAAGAATCTTAAACAAAGAAATATTTTAATTAGGATATAAGCCTACCTAGGTATGAGTGGAAATGTGAACGTAGCTAATTATTGTAATTTTGGTTCTAATAGGACATCAAATGTGAGAGTAAATCAAGGACCAGGTATGTTATTTATTACATTTTCTTTTTTATTCAATATTTTTATTATAACATTCTCAAATAAGGTGGTAATAGCTCTTTAAGCTTAGCATGGTGCACTGATGACACATAGAAGCCAAGTGTTAGAAGCGGAAGTTAAAATAATTATTATCAAAGGGAAAGCAATTCTTATGGTAATTAGTATCAGAATTCCTACAAAAACGATAAAGGTAACAACTCTGATAATTAAAAATACAATCCCATCACTGGAAACCCTGTTTCAAGCTATAATGCAAACAATTACGCTTAAGAGACCAAATACTAAGAAGACAACTTCAACCAAAACCAAAATCGTTATGACCCAGGTGACATTAATTAGTATTATGTGTAGCAAAAGAAGCAATAAGGATATAACCAAGATAACTATGATGCTTATTAGAATAATAATGCTAATAGCAATCCTTATAGTGCCAAACCTCCTGTTTTTGGTAAGAGAGTTGAGACAAAAACTGAAAGTAACTATGATAACAACAAACAGTCTATCAAGGTAGTATTTAATAAAAAAAATTAAAACTAAATTAAAAAATTTATCTCAATAGGTACACCAAACTCCAGGCGGTAGATAAAATTTCTAAATTGGAGGAGATTATAACTACTTTAAAGATGATGGCGGTAATGATAAAATAGGTGGTTACAAAGGTAACTCACCACAAAAAAGTGACTCCTATTAAGCATTGAAGAACAATTATCGCAATATGGTCTCAAACGAACCACCACAATAAAATTATTAGTAAGAATATTAATAAAAGTATATGGCAAACAATTATGCTAACAATTCCGGAAGCAGTAATAGATCTTCCAGCTAAAACATATACAACAATGATCCATATGCAAGAAACCAAAACTAAAACTATGGAAACTATTACCAATAGTAGCAGCAGTAAAGTAATTAACCACGTCAACCAAATAATCTCTAAGACGTCAAATTTGGCTATAGAGTGAACTAGCCTCCTGGTAAATAATATTAATTATAATCAGCATTTGTCTATTTCAAGAAATATTTTTTATAACTTAAGTAAAATGTTAATTATTTTTTTTAACTAACAAATTAATTAATTAATAGGTGGAAAAAGCAACATCACTTTCGGTTGATAATAAAAAAACAAACAAGCAAAAAACATAATATTTAAAAACAAGAAAATATATAAACAAATAAATAAAAGTTAATTAAAAATAAGTAATTATTAAACTTACTTAAACTAATTAAAATTAATACCTCATATAAATAATTTTATAATAAAAATAAGCATCTATATTTGTAATGCATACATACATACATATTCTACTATATTGCTGAATTAGTAAATTTATTTCCTCTAATTTACTTCCTTCCACTTATTTATTTTTTTTAATTGCTTTAAGTAATTGTTTGTTTTTTTTACTATTTTTAAATGATTAATAATACAGGCCTTTTATACCTTTTAATTAATTTTTTTTATCTATTTTTTATTACTAATCTTTTTAACTAACTTCGTTGATTATTATATTAATTATTTTTAAAAATAAATAGCACACATATTTTAAATCATTAGTAATATTTGCTATATAATATATATGCTTTATAATTCATATAAGGTTTGTTACCAAAAATTGAAATTTTGGGCACTGAGGAACAAAAAATAATTTCAGAATTTATGATTTAAACAATTATTGAAAAGATGGATATTCTATATTATATTCTAAGTAATTAATTAATAAAATTAACTTATCAACAAAGTTAAAATTTTAAATTACTAAATAATGTTAACAATATCATGTGATTAAATAAATGATATATTTTAATGGATTTTATTCAAATTAATTACATCATTATATGAATCCATTTTATTAAAATATATTCTCTCCAAAAATATATAGAGTAAGTATTGATGAAAATCCTTAACGAATTTTTTGCTATTATCACTTATTTAATCTGTTTTTAATAACTTCATTAAAAATCATAAATTTAAATGTTTTTGTTTTTGTTTTAGAAATTTATTTGAAATAAAGTTATTGAAATTAAAAAATTAGGATATTAAGTTAATTAATTAACTTCTATTTTGAACAGAGATGAAAGTAAAATAATATGTTTGAGTAGATTAGAGTAAATAAAAATAATTTATACAAGTTTATAGTATTTTAATTTATTTTAATTATTGTGATAAATATAATAAGTATTGGTAAATAAAATCGTTTAAGTCTAAATGAAATTAAATTAAATTAATTAATAGATGTTAGTTAAATGCCTTATTTTAATTTTGTTTCACTTTTTATCTACATTTTAAATAAAGTTTTCCCACTTTAAAACATTTCCTTATTCGTCTCCAGTTACCAAAATATCTTTGCTTTGATCATATACTGCCATGAGAATAGGTACTGCAGATAGAGTATGGGAAGATAATTTAAGAGTTATAGATGGAGAGTTAGCTCTTAAAGGATGTAGTAGATTTTTTACTTCCCAAACAAAAATTTAACCATCAAAGGATCCTGCTATAAGATAATCTTCTGTTAATGTGAATTGCTTTTTATTGCTAGAATTTCTATAAATCTTTTTAGTAAATTCCATAATATTAAATGTTTTCTTTTTTTCAGGAACAACGATGTAAATATTATTAGGCTCTGAAGTAATACTGGCTGCTATTGTAATTGAATCTAAAGATATTTTGTTATCAGTAATAACTTTTTTATCTTTATGATAAGCAACACTAATACAATCAACACCAGCATCTTTTAAATTTTGCTGGTTAATATTTATTTCATAAATCACATCATATTTAAAAATCTTCTGTTAGTCTTTTTAAATTAATGAGAATTCAAGAATTTTAATGCTTCCATCAGAAAATCCTGCAATAATCTGATAATATTCTTCGCTATTATTATTCTGATTTAAATTAGTTATTACTCTATATTTTAGAACCTAAGAATAGGTTATATTTGAGTTAAAGCGAAAAGATTTTATTAATTGCTAGCTATCAATTTTCCACATTTTTATGATTCCTTTTTATGAAGATGAGAGTATGATATTACTAGATATTAGTTATAAATAAGTGATAGTGTCAGTATGTGCGGGGATGATTCCAATTCTTTTAAGTGGTTCAGGGGGTTGTTTGAATGTCCATATTTCTATTTCTGTGCTATTTTCTGTGCACCAAATAAGTTTATCACCAAAGACACTAAAATTAGAGAAAGATTGCCCAACCGAATTCGAGTATATGTTATTAGCCAACATTCTTTTTTCTATGTTATATAATTTTAAAAGTGGTATTGGTTCATCTTTTTCACATTAGACTAAAATATCTTGGTCTTGTACGTAAAAATACTATTAAACCAAACGAGGGATAGTAATTCTAGTAAATGGCATAGATTTGGAATCAGTAAACCTTTGACTTAATTCATTTTAAAATACTTCAGTCTTTAGAGCTGTTTCTTCTCTCAAATTTTTTGTTTCACGTTCTAGTTGTTGAACTTTATTTTCTAATTATTAAATGATATTTTTTTACTCAAAATTCTCAGACTCGATTGAGTATTTATATTCCTAATTTAAATTTTACTAAATTTCGCTCTAATCATTGCTAATTGATAAATACTTTCCTCTTTTCTCTATTTCCTGCTAACTTTTTAACAGTTTTGAAATTTTAAAGCTATTTGTTATGATTTCTTCATATGGTAAGTATTGCATATGCTTTAAAATCTTTAACTTTTAAATTATTTTTTCAGTGTCAATTTTCAAAGGTTTTTTTATTATGTCCTTTGGTTGCCTTTCGCAATCTGTTTAATTTTCCATCTTTGAATAAAACTTTTCTATAAAACTACTTTTATAAGCTAAAATGATAAATTTTTATATTATTAGCAAAAATGCTTTGTTTGTTTTGCGATTTGTTTGCTTTTTAACAAATATTCTAGCTATTTATTGGAAATTTTAATAAATGATAAATTAATTAATTGATAAATGATTTAATGATTCTGATCTATAGATATTAGTTCGGTCGAAACCTTTAAAATTAATTAAACATTTATTTTTCAAAAAACATTTTAACTAAAATAACAATTTTAATTTTTAATTAATTTTTTGAGAAAAATAAATTTTTATAAAAATGAGATTTTTATTTGGCAAAAGCAAAATGTGATAAATTTTACATTAAAATGGACACACAAGAAATATTTAGGAAAGAACAAATTCTAATTAAATAAATGAATAGAAATATTTTATTTTTAATAATACATTATATATAATATTTTATTGAAAATTAGGATTGAAATATTTATTATGTTATTGGATTTATTTTTTAATGAGAAGCAAAAGAGAGTTAAATAAGGACCATTTATGGAATTAAAAGATATCAATCATTTTTAAAATTAAAAAACTAGTTCAGAAATTTTAGAGTATCTAGGAAAATTGAATGTAAATATGAAAATATCAAATAAATAAAAAATATTGATAGGAAATAAATAATATGGGAAGGGAGAAAGTATTTATTAGTTTGAAAAAGGGAAATAAACAAACAAATAAATAAATAAAATGCGAAGAAAGAATGAGAGAAGAAGTCTTTTGATTATATTGAAAGATGTTTGTTTGTTTATTTATTTATTAATTTATTTGATTTTTCTTGCTAATTATCATGGAAAATGAAATAAATCTTGATTGTTGTCAAGAAAAAAGAAAAGAAATCTAAAAATAATAAAATTAAGAGAAAAAAGTCTTATTTGATAATTAATAAATAAATAGTAAAAGGCACACAATGTTCAGAAGAATAATTTCAAATGGTGCTTTATTGAGCACTTAAACGTAATTAAAACATCATTTAAATATTCAAATTTCATCCTAAGTCTTAGCAATCAATAAGCGATTCTCATAAATTTAAAGACTTTCTCAACCAAAATAATTTTAATTTAGAGTTTTACATATCAGCAAACAAACTTATTTTTGATTTCTTATACAAATTAAGTTCTAAAATCATTATTTTTTTTATTATCTTAACTCAAATAGCCAAAGATGGTAAGACTTATCTAAATTCGCTTGCCTTAGAGCTTCTCTTAACAAGGAATCCGAAAAGGCTTTCTAAGAGCTTGCTAAAAAGAACAACGTTTGTATAGCATTTTATTGATTAGCATGTTATTAACCCTCTATCTTTAGCTAATATTGCATATTAATTGTCTTCAATCGATAGCTATCACATTATGATTCAGATCAAGCATTTTTCACATGTTGAAAGCATATTATATAGGTTTAAAATTTATCTACATAAAAAGTGTAACCAGATATTTGGATAAAAGCTTTCATTTTATGCTAAAGTGAAAATGGATATATTGATTGAATGAAATTAGCATAGCTACAGATAGAGAGCGAACCTTTTTTAGCTGGAAATATTTCTAATAATTTTTCATTCTTAATTTAAAAGCACCCTAAGAATTAGTTGAACTTAGCAAGATTGTCTCTATGAATTTAGACGTCCTTAAGCAAAACATTAACTCTGAGTAATTCCTTTTAGAAAAGGAATCTACTCTCAAGAGATACAGATAATCCAGCATTGGTACCAGAGGTCATCTCCAAAGTAGGCTATTAACATTTTCTTTTTAACAAATAAAAAAGATATCAGATATTTTTTAAGTCTTCATAAGTTCTCTTAGTTGCATTCTCATTCATTCATACATACATACATACATAGATACATAGATAAAAACAAACAGATTAAAGAATCTAATAAATTAATAAAAATAAATACGCCTTAATTAAGATATATTGAAAATTAACAAATAAATTAATAAATAAACAATAGCTTCTTTCCTATTTAGTATCTTTTAAAATAAAATTATATAAGCAAAGGATATCAAATTTATAAGATACTGCCAAAATAGATAAAAATATATACATCAGCCATGTCTCATCATTCAAATTATAATATATACCTTGCTTTAAAATCAGAAAACGCTAGTTTTTTTGCCAATTTTGTCGATTAAATGCATTAATGCATTTTGTCATAAAGCACCCAATAAGGAGTGTTTTGAAAATGAGATTATATAAAATTTTATATTAGAAATGTTTTTAAGTTAGAATGCATTTAAAATAAAGCTAAGTTCTTAAAAATCAAGCAGAATATTATTTGAAATTATTATAATTGAGCTTTAGAAATAAATAATGATTTTGAAGATTGAAGCAAGAAAATATTTTAATTTTATAATTTTAATAATTTTAGCTGTCAATGAAGCTGTTAACACCAAATACCCTACTTTGGCTGAAGGATTAGGTCAAGTCGCTGGTTACAAGGAAGCTTACTAAGCTTTAAGAGAAATCTTTGTTCATCCTTCTATTTCTGTCAATAACTTAAGATAAGGTTCTTATGGTCAATAATTTGCTGTTGATTTCAGAACTAGAGCTGATGAATACGTTAAGGCCCTCTTAAAGGATCACTCCAGCAACCCTCAAGCTGTCTAAACCATATAAGAAATTCAACACACTCTTCATTAAATTATTAAAAACTACGAATAAAATCCTGCTTCTATTTATGCACGTATTTTGACTGTCCTCTAAACCAGAGGTGTCAACACTTTACCCGTCTCCAAAACTGCTGACTAAAAGGCTGTTGCTACTATCCAAAAAACTTCAACTCCTTCTCTTACCATTGACTAGTAAACACAAATATTTCCTTTGTTAAAAATCTAACTTATACAAAAATAAAAATAGATTGACTGTCCCTGTTTAGGAAAGAGTTTAAACTTAAACTGTCTTTGATGCCGAATTAGCCTTCATTAAGGAAGCTAATGAAATGATTCAACAAAATACTGGTAACTTACCTTGGGATGGTGGCAAAAAGAAAATCTTCTAAGGTTAAGCCAATAAGGTAAGCATATATTGAACTTTTAAAAGGCATTTATTTATTTATTTATGTTTGAAATATTTTTAATATAAAAAGTACTTAGAAACTCCCTACTACTTACTTGCCGCTCTTTCTGGTTTGGGATTACTTTACTTCTTATACAGTGGTGACGCTAAATACAAAACCTTAGTTTTGACTCCTGTTGTTGGTATTGCTGCCTTCGTTTTATTAAGAAGAAACTAAATTTTAAATAGAGTCCCTACTTTAACTGAATTATTCTTACATAAGGACGGTAAGTTTGTTGATGCTGTTGTTTCTGTCAATGGATAATTGATTAGCAAGAACGACATTCCAGTTTCTACTCTTAAATTATACAGAGGTGACCACACTGTTAAGGTTAACTTAAATGACTTCGAAGATGCTTCTGCCAAGAAGTTCTTAGCTTAATAATCAGGATAAGAAGGAGTCATTAACGTTCACTTCTCTAAACTTAGGTTTTTATTTAAATGAAATATTTATTTTTTTAATTTTATTTTTCAAACATAGAAATTTGGCTGCTAGAAACGGTTAGGTTTTGAATTTGGGAGATACTGAAGTTGTTGTTCCTTTCGAAAACTAAGCAAATAGAATCATCTTAAAGCAAATCTTCAAGGGAGTTGAAGTTCTTCCTTCTTCTTGATTGACTAATCTAACTTTCTATCTATATTTTTGGCCAGCTAATTTTAATAAAAATTATTGAGTTTAACTAATATTTCAAACTATTAAAAACTCGTTATTTTACTTATTCCCAGTGTATTATCTTGGAATATTTTATAATCTTCAACAAAAATTCAATCAAAAATTTATTTTTTTCCAGCTTTCTTGTTAATTTATAACTAAATCTGTCTCAAAAGCTAAATATTATAATTCTAATTGTATATTATTTTAAATAAAACAAACTAATTAAAAATCCTTTAAAAATAAAAAATCAATTCACTAATGTTTTCATTTAAAAGAATTTTTTTAAAAAAAGTTTAAAGTTAAAAATTTTAAAGCGGAAACAATGATTTGAGTTTGAAATAATCATAAAAATATCTAATTTAGGATTTTTTTGGTTTTGCAATTCAAAAAATAAAAAATATTTAAGTAATGTGTGCTTTATCTTAGAATAAATAATGTAAAGAAAATAAATATTCCTATAAGCCGTTTGTTTAGTAAATTTAAAATTTTAATTGGATTATTGATTCCATAAAACAATAAAAAAAACAATTCACTATAGTTTTTATTTCATTTTTAAAAAGTTTAAAGCTAAAAATTTCCAAGCAGAAATTAATATTTTGAATTATTAATAATCATAAAAATATTTAATTTAGGATTTTATGGTTTTGCAATTCTATAAATAAAAAATATTTAAGTAATGTCTGCTTTATTTTAGAATAAATGATATTAAACAAATAAATCTATCTATAAGCTGTTTATTTTTGAAATTGAAAATTTTAATTGGATCATTAATACTATTATCCAAGAATAAATATATGAATAATTAATTTAATTAATAGCTCTCAATATTTTTATCAAGAAAAAATATGGAAATATTGATTTAAGCTTTGAATAAAATTTTTTTTTATTTTTCTAATTAATTTAATCATTAATTTATTTTTTTAAACAAACTCAATAAATTTTTTATCATATTAATTTAAGAGATTCTTTGAATTATCATTTGAATCAATTAGATTGAATTAAATTTATCTTTAACAAAAGAATAATTTAAATTTATAAAATAAATATATTCTCTTGACTTGAAATAAGAAAAAAATGAATTTGGTTGAATAAATTAAACATCTTAATACAATACAATTAAATATTTAAAGTATTTATTTAAAATAAATTTTTATGTAAAATTATTTTAATAGAAATCATAAATTAGATCTATTGACTCTATCTTTTAAACTCACTGTCCTGTTAAAGCGTATTTTATTTTCTTAAATATCTGAAGTTGCTAAAATCTTTAAATGTTAAATCTTATTTTTAAGTAATTAAATTTAAAATAATTATCTCAAAAGATTTGACTTAAATTATTTTTATTCTTATATTTGCTCTTAATAAAATGTAGATAATGTCAACTTGATTGCAAAGACATGTTGAATTTTTTTAAAGAATTAAATAATAATAAAAAAATATTCCATATCCATATTCAATTTTATGGGTAATTTAATTTTTCTTTTTTAAGAAACAACTTTTAATTAGATATAATGTTAAAATTAGTTGCATATGGATTAATAGAGATAAAGGCACATCATTTGTTAATAACTTTTTTTCCTCCTGTAAAAAGTAGCCTAACGTGTTATTGTAACTGCATTTTACTTTATTAAATTAATAAACTAAAACAATGTCAATAATTATATATATATATATATATATATTATATTATTTACATTTACTAATATAAAAGGGATATTGAATTTAATACAACTTTTCAAAGAGAAATAAATTCATTTATTAATACATTAGTTGACATTCAATATTTAAACCTAAGTATACAGTAAAATCATATCATGCTTAAATTTATCAAGTCTTAAATTATTTTTTTAAAAAGAAATATTGTGGAAGAGTATATGACTGATATAGGATATTAAATGTCTCAATTCAAGAATCTAATTCAGCTAGATCTGAGAATTTTGTAAATTTTAAAGAATTTAAATAGATATATTATACATGATTGAAATATTTACATACTGTCTATTTTACCTTTATAAAATAATATAATTTATCATTTTATTTAGTATAAAATTAGAAATATAAAGTACAAGAAGTATTTATCAGTTTATTTCCAATATTAGAAATTGTAAAAGATTGAATTCATTCAATCTGAAATTATACATAAAACAGTAAGAATTATTAATATAAAATAAAATTAATTTTATTTATTTTAATAAAAGCTCGTTTAAATTAAATAATCATTAATTTGAATCTGAATTATTAAAATCTAAGCGTATTGTTAAGGCTTGCTATTATATAGATGCTGAATAACTATGAGGTTAACTCATTGCAATATAAAATTTAGATGAAATAATGTCAATAAATCTATCAAATATATATTTATTTGTGAAAAGTATTAGTAAAATAACTTAAAAATATTAATATATTTTTCATTAATTTGTATTCCTTTTTTATTATAAAAAAACAATAAAACTATTTAATTTAATTTATAAATAAAGTGAAATTAATATACATTTTTATGTTCCATATAATATAAATAAGCAATATCTGATTTATCAATTGCTAACTGACTTAATTTAAATTATACTGACAAATATTTAAGAAAGAACAAAATTTTATTATTTCTTTGATTAATAAAATAATGCTTTTGCTAATTTATAAAAACACATCTAATAGGATCCAAATATTTAGAGAGCTTTTTTGTTGGAATTTTTATACTCTAATTAATATATATATATATAGATTATATAAATTTTTAAAAATCTTTTACTCATTTTGGCGTCAATTATTTATTAAAGATATCTTTGAAAAAAAATATATAGGGGGGGAAATTTTGAAATATACAGTAGATTGAATTAAATTTATCTTTAACAAAAGAATCATTTAAATTTATAAAATAAATATGTTCTCTGACTTGAATTAAGAAAAAAATGAATTTGGTTGAATAAATTAAATATCTTAATACAATACAATTAAATATTTAAAGTATTTATTTAAATAAATTTTTATGTAAAATTATTTAAATAGAAATCATAAATTAGATCTATTGACTCTATCTTTTAAGCTCACTGTCCTGTTAAAGCGTATTTTATTTTCTTAAATATCTGAAGTTTGGTCAAGTGTGAAATAACCCACTCTCTCAAATTAGAATGTTTTATATTCTTTTGACAAGTTAATTAAGTCCTTGTTAATATAAGCATTATTGTACTCTTCTAAGCTGTTAGGGTTTACTGCATCTAGAATATTATCGAACTGATTAGGATCTGCCACAGTGAATAGATCATTATATACTTTTACTTAACATTAAACTGCTTCCTGGGGATTAATCCAATGTATTTACCCTATAGCCTCTCTTCTTTCTTTTTCTTCAGTAGATATCAATCTGCTTTTAACTACTTTTTCTTGCATATTTACACTTATGATCTCAATAACTCCAAAGTATTTAAGTGCTATCTAAGAACCAGGATAGATTCCTATGAATGTATTTTTATCCACCTTTTTAGTGCTCTTTTTTTATAAATTTTAGTGATCTTCTTATTTTTTATTTGGTTCACTTTCTCTGACATCAGAAGCATCTACCAGCAACTCGGATGAAATGTTTAATTCTCTAAATCCTCTATTAGGTTCTTTAGGGAAGAGAGGAACTTTAACTTGTTTTACATTAAAATCATCAAAGTTAATTATTTGTAATTTGATAGGTTCTAATATGGACATAGTTCTGGGGGAAATATTTTCTAAATCCTAGCGAATACAATAATCTAAAAGCTTCTGATCGATAATATTTTCATTACCTCTTCTAGCTACATTTACTAAATCTACAAATGCACTAATTGCTTCTGGTCTGACACCTCTTCTACGAAGAGCATTGATTGTCAACAGACGAGGATCATCCCATCCATCTACTACTTTATTGTTAATCAAGGTCAAAAGTTTTCTCTTACTTAAAACACTATTTGAGACATTCAGACGAGAATACTCCCAGACAACAGGCTTATACAAATCAAGTGAATCTAGAATCCAATAATAAAGATCTCTTCTAATCTCAAATTCAAGAGTACAAAGAGAATGAGTAATATTTTCAAATGAATCACATAGGCAGTGAGTAAAATCATACATTGGATAAATGCACCATTTTTTACCAGTCTTAGGATGGGGATGATATTTAACTCTATACATAACAGGGTCTCTCATAGTTGGGTTAGGATGTTAATAATCAATTTTCATTCTCAAACAGACTTCATTTTCTTTATATTTCCCTTATTTCATGTCTTCAAACATTCTCAAATTATCTTCTATACTCCTATTTCTGTAAGGAGAGGCCTATTTATTTTATCTAAAAATAATAATTTAATATATATTAATTATTTTTAAAAATTAAACCTCAATTCTGCCATCTGCTCTTATGACAACTCACAAACATAGGCTAATCCTTTATTAATGAGCTTGATAGCGCACTCATATATTTCTTAGAAATAGTCTGAAGAGTATGTTATGTTATAAGGTTTGAATCCAAACCATAAAACATTATCTTTTATGCTTTCAATATAGTCTAATTTTTCCTTTTCTGGGTTTGTGTCATCATATCTCAAATAGCAAACTCCTCCTAACTTTTCAGCAGAATAGAAATTTGTTCTTAATGCCTAATTTAATTATTTAAAAATAAAATACATTTTAACATTTTAATAAATAATCTTAAAATGTAATTTAATATTCTAAATTCTTTGAATATTACAAAATACCAACAAATCTAATAATTTATTTAATAAATTTAGGTATTTTATTCAATCAAAGTAAAATTTATTTAAATTATATAAATTGAATAAGATTATTTGAATTAAATCATGAAAAATTTGAATCAAAATTTTTACAAATTATTAAAAAAAAATAAACTTTTTTAAGCAAATTAATTAAAATTATAAATTAAATATTTGATTACGGATTGCTCAAAACAAATTAGGCTTCTTATTCTTATTTTAAATTTTTATTTAATTTATTGAAATTTTAAAATTAAAATTATTTAAAAATTGATGAAAAAATTATTTAGATTTTTTAAATTAAGTAAAAATATTGAGGACTTTTGCTTTATTTTTTATAATTAATTTCATAAAAATAAGAAATTTAATGTTTTTATTTAAATTATAGATAAAATAAAGGTTTTTTTATTTAAAACTATTTAGATTTCATCCATTAAAGTTTTTCTTAGTTTTAAAGTTAAAATGATATTTTAGAAAAATAGCTTATGATACTTAGATTTGCAAGATTTAATCTTCTTAGTATGAAGTTTTTAAATTAAAAAAAATCTTTAGTATGATTTTCATGAAATAGGTTTAGACATTAATTTTAATGTTCTTTTAAAAAATTACTTTTGCATGCCCCAAATGAAGATATCCATTAGGCTCAGGTGGAAATCTGAAAATATATTAATATCCATTTCTTTCTTTTAAGTGTTTTTCATAAGCCTACTTACTGTTATTTTCATAGCATAAGTCACGACCTTTTAAAGAAGCTATTTTATCCCAAATATGAGTTTAAAGGTCTTCCTTAATAAAGATACTATTTCCTTAGCTTGAATGAATTACTCCATCTTTGTCTTACGCCCCTTATTAATTAGTGTTTTTCTCTTAATTTTCAATAAACTACTAAACTGCTTTGTCAAAACATTAAAATATTAATTTGCTTTCATGCTATTTAAGCTTATCTCTTACTACTCTTAAATTCTAAGAGGAATATTTCTTATCAGAGCACAGTAATTCCTTGTTTAAGTTAGGTATAGAGTTAAGCTCTGTTACTATATCTGAAATAACTTATGATTCGTCTATCTATATCCCTAGTCCTAATGTCTACTCGAATTATTTCCAATCTAATTGATTATTCTTTTTAGCATAATCTTTAACATATGCTAAAGCCTTGTCTAAATCAGCATTTGAGTTAATTTATTCGTTAATTATATATTAAGCCAATTCATACTTATATGATTCTAGAGTAGGTGTCAATTTGCTTGATAAACTAATAATTAAGTTGGCTTTCTTTTTGTTTGCATAAATGGATTCTTTATATTTCTGATGCAAATCTTCTAGATGATTCGAAACTTGTTTGCTTTTCTCAGCTTACTCAATGAAATTTTTACTGACACCTATCAATTAAAAGCGCTAAAACAATACATTACTGAATCCCTAGTATATTTTATAATAAAACTTATTAGCATATTTCTAAGTTTGAAAAAGTCTTCTGAACATTTCTCTAAAATTTATATCACCTTTTAATAAAAAATAAGTAGCAATTAATTTACTGAATATTAAACAATCAAGAAAGATATATTCTTTAAAAACTACCAACAATTAATATCTTGAAATATAAAATAAACAAATATGTTTTTTATTTTAACAGTCCAAAGTGATATTTTTATTATTCTAATTTAAACAAAGTTCGAATCTTAATATTAAGGTCATTATAAAGAGTAAAGACACATTGAATTAAAATAAAGGTAATTAATTAGTCTAAAGAAAATCAAACAAATTTAATTGTAGCTAAAATGACTATAAGTATATAGGAGTCTTTATTTTTGGTTTTCATCTGAATATTTGCTATTGTTCATATATAAAACCTTTAATATAATCAACAGATATCACTTTAATAATTTTTTTATTAAAAATTAATATTTATTATTTTATTTAAGCTATTAATAGCTTAAAAATAAATGAGATTTAAACAATTAAATAAGCAATCTAAAAAGTTTATATTATTAACAATAAAAAATAGATTTTATTATTTGGCTTTAAAATTGAGAAGTACTTTAAATTAAATGAATAAAATATATTTTTATAAATTTAATTACAAAAAACATTTAAAAACTCAGAAAAAATGTAAATAATTTTAATAAAAATTTAATCATCAATCATAGATTATTTTACATTAAATAAAAATAATATTTTTGAATATCACTCGTATCAATGTATCAATGAATTAATTTAAATATTTATGCTTTAAATAAATGATTAAAAAAATCAAAAATTTATATCTGATAGAAATTTAATTTCAGCTAAAATTGAATGAGTTGAATTGAAAAAAATATTCATATTTGTATGTTAATAAGATTTTTTAAAATTAAATATTGAGTCTAGACAAATGAATCAATTTTAATTTGATGATTAGGAATATGCTATTTATCAGGTATCTGCTTTATTTTGTGATTGATTTAAAGTATACCAACTTGTAGTGTATTATTTTGATATTTTTGATCCTTAAAGAAACTAATATACTTTAATAATATTTTTACCACAAAATAAACAAATAAAGTAAAAATAAATTAAGCATCGAACATGAAGAGTTTTGTCATAATAACACTAGCACTCTATCTTTCTTTATCACTGGCTTTGGTACATGAATGTGACCATAAAGGCGATGAAGAAATTGACGTGTACACTCCAGAAGATATTCATTTACTTTCTGAGGGAACTTTTACTCCTGCTCCAATAAGATTCACATTTGATGATAATGAAATTCAAAATTTGAGCGATCAAAATCTAAAAAATTTATTGCTAAAATCTATCAAGACAGCCTAATTGTTTTATGAAGATCTTATTATTGTAAAAAAACCACATCAATCTGATATTGTTATAACGGATAAATAATGCAATTATCATGATTTCTCCCATTACCCATGTAAATTAATTTCATTAATAATTCGTTTTTGTTTGTTTTGCTTTACATTATTCTTTTATTAAAATTTTGAGAAAAAAAAAAAAAGAAACTCATTATTTTTATACAAATTAATAATTAGAATAAAGCAACTCTGATTTTCATGTGTACATCTAAATTTACCAACTTTCGAGTAATACTATTGCCTCAGCTCAAGCATGCTAATTAAATGAAGGATTGGACTTCAGACCTGAATTAGCTGTTATCAACTTGAATGCATAGTATATAAAAAGTTTAGAAGATAACTATTACAACTTTTAGATGATCAGCAAAATCGTAATTCACGAATTGTTCCATGCCATTGCTAATTCCCCTGGTTTGTATTCTAGATATAACAATATTTAAGGATACTCTAATAATGCATTAAAATTCCCAAATATACTAAAATGGGTAAGAGATCATTATGGTTGCGAAGATCTTAGTGAATTTCCCTTAGAATCTAATGGTGGTCAAGGTTCAAAAGGCTCCCATTGGCCTAGAGATTTCTTGAATAATGATATTAATACTGCTTCTTTCTTATTAGGTAACATTTTTATTTTAATAAAATCTCTTTTGCTAAAATTAAAAAATATAAAAGAAAAATTAAATTTATCAATCTTTATAAAATTTTAAATATGGTAGTTTCCCATAAACTATCATAACCAACACCAAATTAAAAAGTGAATTTTAATTATTATATGGTTTTTTAAATACCATTATCAGTATTTTTAGGGTGTTAATTAATAAAGATAATCAGTAATAAATTTTTAAAATTGTTTCTATTAAATTCTTTTAAAATTTTAATAAGGTATTATTTTAAATAAATTTTATAAATAATATTTTTATTAATAGGAAACATGGTTTGGTCGGGTATCAATAATGCTTTGATTTTGGATTCAGGATGGTATGATATTAAAGACTATGAAAATAAGAATGATCCTATTAATTGGGGATTAAAAAGAGGGTGTGATTTTTTGATTACAGGTAAATGTAATTCTTAATTCCCAGAGTTTTGTACTAACTAAGATTAAACAGACACATTTATATATTCAGGAATAGGTACTTGTAGTTCAAATAAAAAGGACCTTGATGTTTTCGCTACTTGTCCATATATATTTTTATATTCAAATATGGAATGTTAAAACCCTTCAAATAATAATAATAAATATAATGCTTAGTTATTTTAAGATTTTAATGTCGTATTCGGTTCAACAAGTTCAGCTTTCCAAAGTAACATGTAGCCAAAAAACACTTAAGATTTATCAAAAGAAACTGTATTATGTTATCCTAATAAGTGTAATGAAGAAAAAACAAAGATTAATATTTCTTTTGATCGCTATACTCTAACCTGCGAGCAAGATGGTTAAGTTCTTTATCCTCCCAAAGAATCTAATTTCAAAGGAAGCTTAACTTGCCCAATAATTAAAGATTTCTGCTAAAAATAAGTTTAATGTGAAGATTTCTGCTCTTCCAACGGGTATTGTATTGATGGAAAATGTCACTGTATCGAAGGAGTTACAGGTGATAAGTGTGAATGTAGTGAAAATAAAGATTTGAATTAACCTTCATGCAAAAGAGTTTAAATCTAAAATTGTAACATTTACGATGAAAAGGGAAACTGTATAAAATGTTTTTCTAGTTACAAATTAAAAGATAACTAGTGTTTTGTTTTAAATGTCTTTAAAAGCAAATTAACTTTTTCATTGTTACTTATTGTAATAATGTTAAGTTTAATATTCTGACATAATATTAATTAAATCTGTCTATCTGTTATTTGTAAATCTAATTTTTTAAAATCAAAAATAGAATTTAACATCATTTCAAATTATTTTTATTTTATTGTTAAATAAATATTTTAAAAATTTATAAATGATTAAATTATTATTTTTAAAATTGCAACTATATCTAATAAATAAAATTTTATTATTAGCAATTATTTTACTAATACCATCAACACATTTTTAGTTTACTATGATGAATTAAAATATACTAAATATTAATTAAATAAATTTAATTAACATGAAGATATTTTTTCATAAATAGGATTTACATTAAAATATTATGAAATCAAGTATAAAATTTAATTTGTATTTTTATATAAAGAAGGTTATTGATTAATTTTTTTTTTTACAATACGATCAAATAATAATTAAAAATAATGCAATTAAGCTAACGCTTTTATCCTCATCCATTATAATTTAACACTATTTCCACTTAAAATTTATAAATATTTCGAATTTTTTTTTAATTTTTGATAAATATTTACATGATAAAGATAATAAATTTGACTAAATCTTAATTATAAATTTGCATTTATTTGTATTAACTTTTGCATTTAATAAAAAAATATATCAGATTTATAATAATGTATAAAATATTAGAAATAAAGCTTAACTTTAGTTTAATTAATAAATACAAATACATATTTAAAAAAATGCGATGCATAATTTTTTTTCAATTTTCCTTAATTTCTTCATAAGTATAAACAACACGATCATTAATTAAATCATCATGGTATTGAACAAGTTTTTGTTCGAGTGTTTCAAATAGCTTATCTCTTGGACAAGGTTCTTCTACCTTGGTGTAGGTACACTATTTAATATTAAAAATAAAAATTAGAATAATTATTTTTAAAATAAAAAAAGCTTTATTTAATCAAAAAAATAATTTAAAAAAAGGTGATAGGTTTTACCTTAACCTTGACAAAGCCTCCCTTAATTTCTTCTTCACCTAACCAGATAGTGAAAGGAATTTAGTTTTCATAAGCATAATCTAATTGTTTTCTAGGTTTAGGTTTTTCTGAGTAAATAATTTCAGTCTTGAGTCCACGAGCCCACATTTCGTTTACTAATCTAAGTTTTTCTTTGCATAAGCCATTACCAACAGTGCAAACTAAAAATTCTGTTTCAGTTGCTCTGATTGATAATTTTTTCTTATATTGTTCTTCCAAAATATTGAAAACACGTTCAATACCAACAGAACCACCGACTGAAGGAATTTATTTGGAAGAGAACATTCCAACTAAGCCATCATAACGGCCACCACCACCAATAGAGCCGATGTTAGCACCTTCAAGAACAGCTTCGTAAATCATACCTAATAAATAAATAAATATATTTTAGATATTTAACTAAATTTATTTGCTTTTTTACCTGTATAGTAATCAAGTCCTCTTGCCAATGAGAGATCAAAGCTAACATTAGAAAGGCAGTTCATAGCTTCTAAGTAATCGAAAAGAAGAGTCATTTCTTATACTCCCTATCTACCAGCTTCGGAAGCATCAAATAATTTGTCATCCTTGATTTTTTATAATAACTCAAAAGGCTTGCCCTTGTAAGAAACAAAATGTCCTAATTTATCTACAATAACAACATCAAGACCTTTGTCTTCAATTAATTCTCTTCTAACTTCTGACCAAGGTTCCTATTTTTTTATTTATTATTATTATTTTAGTAAAAATACATTAATTCTATATTATTAGTTACCTTATCAAGCTTGTCGATTGAAGAACAAATAGTTTTGAACTTAGAATGAGGAGCACCAGCTATCTCAATCATGGCATCCAAAATTTTACGAGAGTTAACTTTAATAGTGAAAGGAGAGCCGAGTTCTAATGCTTATAAAATATCATTGACGACCTTAATAATTTCAGCATCAGGAATCATAGGATCGTAATTACCAGCAATATCGATATCGCATTGATAGAATTCTCTATATCTTCCCTTAGTCATGTTAGGTTAATCTCTTCTATAGACCTAAAAAATCAAATATTATAATAAGCTGCTTTTTATAATTCTTAAATTACCTTGGCAATGTGGAATCTCTTGAAGTTTGTAAGAGATTGAGTAGCAAGAAAACGGGCAAAAGGAACGGTAAGATCGTATCTAAGAGATAAGAGTTCACCACCTTAATCGTCAAGATCGTAAATCAATTTAGAGTCATTACCATACTTACCAGTAAGGGTTTCCTTAAGTTCAAAAACAGGAGTATCGATTTCAACAGCACCGTGTTGAAGTAAAATACCTTAAATGATCTTGAAAACCTTTCTTTTGATTGCCATTTAAAGAGGGTTGAAATCTCTTGTACCTTTAGGAATCTTAGGCTTACGTCTTTCTTCATTACGAGGGGCAATTAATTCATCGATTTAAGCTAAGAGCTAGTTGTTGTGTAAGCTGAAATAGTTTTAGCTGATATTCTCTTCTACTTCTAAGCACTTTTCTTCACCAGCAATTTTAAACTTTTCTTAAACTTCATTGAATACTACTTCTGTTCCCTTACCTAATTGCAAAAGCTTAACTTCTTTCTTCTTCTTTTTGCTATCATCTTCCTTTCCTTTTTTGTTCTCGCTTAGTTGCTTGTTAAGAGCGTGTAAAGTGTAATAAGAAACAAAGAATTCATATTGGATAGCTTGGTAAAGATAAGAAATATACTTATCGAATTAAAGAGCAAGGATAAAGTTTTCACCTAATGCCTTATAATTGCCAGTCAAATAACTGAAATTAAGTGAAGAGTTATAAGAAACAACTTCAGCGAGAAGAGTTTTTACTTTATTTTCCAAAAGACCAGCATTTGAAACTATTCTATTTAAGGTGTTGATAGCCTAAAGACTGATACTACCAAGTAAAGAAATTAATAAGTTATTCAAACCCATGAAATTCTTTAACTCAATTTGGTTAGTAACTCCTGAAGATTAAATTTTAACATCATCACTTTCAACTGCTAATTCGTCTACTAAGAAATCAAGTAATGATCTATTCATTAGTTAAAACAAAATATTTTTAATAATTAATAAAAAAAATAAATATTTAAAAAATAAATGATATATCCTTTTTTCAACAATAACTACTTGCTACAATATTATTTATATCTCCATTATTCATTTAAAGATTTAATAAAATAATATTTATTATAGCTAAATATTTGCGATATTATAAATAATAACTGATATTATTATTATTTAATCTAAATGACATAAATTCTTAATTTTTATTATATTTTTTTATAATAAAATTGTTTATTTGTAAATTATCTAAATTAATTTGCTAAAATTAAAGTATTTAAAATTTAGTTTATAATTACTGTAAACCATTTCTAACAGTGCCTGCAATTTCTATCCAAGAAGTGATTTCTTAAGTGGCTTTCTTTTTAGATAGTCTGCTGGAGAATAATAAATTTTAAATTTCAGTGGCAAGAAGAGAAATGCTTCTTTGTAAGCTTCTCTTTTCTGAATAAGCAGTTAAGAATTATTCAGTGTTAATATAGCCACTTTCGCAGAAGAATGCATAACTTACGCTGCCTAATTTCAAAACATTCCTATTTAATTTAAACAATAATTTTTTTACAAGAATATTCTATAAAATATTTATAATTTTAATTTTATTCTAAAAAATAAAGCAATATTATTGAAATAAAAATTTTTCAATTAAATTAAATAATTTAAATATCTCACTAAATTATCTAAAATATTGCCTTGCTATGAAATTTAGAAAGTAAGTTTGTTTCCATCATTTAAATACTTTTTCATTTATTATTAAAGCTGGATAATAAAATTACTTTGTTCCAAAAAGATTCCATAAAGTTAAAGCAGAGACGTATGTACTTTGAACACTTAAGAGAATAAGTTCGACTTCGTCTTTTGTAAGTTAAACTGGGGCAATTCCAGCAGTTGTTAAGGCTTCGGTAATACCTTACTGACCATAGAATACTCTCAAAATGTTATAAGGATTAACAGAAAGACCTGATGGCTTGACAAATGCGTTGAATGTAGAAAGAACGAATTCGATTGTTGACTTGCGAATGCTCTTTCTGGACTTAGTAAGTGCTAAAGAAAGAATGAATAAGAAGCCTCTTGAAAAATTGCTTTCCTTCTCGAGCTTCAAATCGAGAATTGCCTATGATAATTTGCTAGAATTTAAATCAATTATTTTGTTAATTTCATCAAGAGATAAAAGAGCTTCTTTAGTTTCGCATATGAAATCGTTAACAATAGTAGCATCTAATTGAATACCTTCGTTTTCAAAAACTACTTCTTGAATTTCAGTTCTATTTAAGTTTCTTAAACCTATAATTTTCACCATTTCTATGAAATTGTTTGTGATTAATAAGTTAGTTGTTGGCTGGCTGTTCCTACTTTATTAAAATATTCTGGAGTGAATTTAATTTTTTTTAATTTTTGTTATTTTAGAGTAAAAGATATTTTTTATACTTTTTAAATAAAAGCTGCCTATTCTACCTGCTGATTGCTCACATGAGTAATTAATATATATATATTTCACAATTTTATTAAAATTATAAGTGAATGTTAAGAAATCTCTATTTCGCAAAATTAATAATCAATAGCTATTACTAAAAAGATTAGCATATATAAAAGTACATTCACAAATCTATAGCCATATCTTTATAAATAAATAAATAAATTATTTGAATATTTATACTCCCTTATGCTTTACAATATTTTATCTTTTTTTCATCTATCTAAAGGCTTAAATATTTTGTGTTTTTTTAACTTAAGCAAAGACAGCTAAGATTCTTCAAAAATGAGATAAAATAAATTTCTCATAATTTTAGTTTGACTGAAATTTTTAGAATAATTTTCATGAAAATAAAGCAAAAAGCAAAAGAAAGGAAAGTTAAAATTTCCAACTTAGAGTTAAAATTTAAATTAAAATATCAGAATATCAACTTCTTGTTTCTTTAATCGACACTTTTCATAAAAAATATTCTTTTATTAATTATTATATCTTAGTATACGTTCATAAATCATTAAGCATAGTAAATTCTTAGATATTATTTAATATTTATTCCTTACCAATTTAGTAGATAAAAAATTGTTTTTTTTATAGATGAGATTTTTATAAATATTGAAATATGTAAGTAAACTGAACTTGAAACAAGACAACTTAATTGTTGAGAAAGTAATTCTTAAAAAATGTTATATCAAGTTAAAATATTTATATATCAGGCATATGAATTTTAAGATTAGTAAATAATTAAACTTTTATTTTTAATTAATAGCATTTATAAAAGGAATTTGAAATAAATTAAATCAAAATTTAGTTTACATATGTGTAAAAATCAATATTTTTTTTATTTACTTTTAATATTCATAAAGCGATTAAAAAGTAATTCTTTTATTAAAATATAGGTATATCACTCATTTTATGTTTATTATTAAGTCAAGTTTAATTAATCTACAATAGCAATATATTTTATTAATATTAGAGTGATATTACTAATACCAATATTTATAATGTAATTAATTATTCAAACTAAATTTAAATACTGTTTTAAATTGTTTGTGTGAATAAATATTCTTATTGGTTAACTTTATGTAATTTAAAAGCATAAAATAATTCTTTTACAAAGCACAATTTATTGGTTTTGAAATAAAATTTTTATTAAAATTTGCAATATTTTGGTTATTTCGTTATTAATTAGTGATATCTGCAAAATGCATCATTCTTTAGATGTCATATTAAATAATATGTATTGAATATTTTTTCTATTAATCTGTCTATTTTTTAAATAAAAATAGATAGATAGATATATATTTTTGAGTTGTCATCATTAAAATCATAGTTCATGGAAGGGTTTAAGATTTTATATCTTTTTATATCATTTGAATTTTATGTTAAACTAAATAAAATTATTTATTTATTGGATTAACTTTTCAAAAATAATTAAAAGAATATTTTATTTTTAAAAATGAGAGGAGTTTTCGCATATCTTTTTATTATATAAATACTAAATAAATAATTTTTATAAATTAAAATAATAGCCAGTTTAAAATGCTTCAAATAAAATAATATTTTGTTAATAATAAATCATATGTTTTAATCTAGAAAATTAAATTACTAAAAAAATAAATAAATTTTGCTAATCAGAAACAAATGTTTGATTTTTTTTAATTAATTATTTAAAAAGTATTATCAGCAAAATAAATAAATAAATAAAGATTAAAAAAAACTATTTTAAATAATTTTTCAATTTTAAAAATCATAAAATAATTTATTTAATTGCGTTTTAATTTAAATAAGTAAATTTGTAAAAGATAAAGTAATAATCGATTTTTTTATTTTTAATTTAAATAGATTTAAATAAAGAATAAAATATTAAATGCTATCAAGAAAATGAATGTATTCACCTATAAATTGAATGATAATAATGCAGTTTAGATGGAAATATTTTAAAATATTCATATTTAATAAAATAACCAAATTTACTAATCCTTCTTTTTAGAAAATAGGTACAAAATGTTACATAGACTTATTTCATAATTTAATATATTTTTCAAATGGAAAAAAAGATTAGCCCGCCGTGGGGCTCGAACCCACGACCACAAGATTAAGAGTCTTGCGCTCTACCGACTGAGCTAGGCGGGCTATTCAATTAATTAAAATTTTTAATTTCTTTTGTTTTACTTTTTTTAAAGAAAACTCATTTTTAGTAATATGAATGAGAGTTAATTAAAATAGATTAGTTAAGATTATTTTTAAATTTATTCTTATAGAAAAAAGAGTAAGCCCGCCGTGGGGCTCGAACCCACGACCACAAGATTAAGAGTCTTGCGCTCTACCGACTGAGCTAGGCGGGCTTTACAACATATTTTTGGAGTTTTACTGTATCACATTTGATAATTTCGTTTTTATCAATCAACATTAAAATAAATAACACCATTTAAATAAAATAAAAAAATATGTTCTATATTATTACTCATTTATGAGATGCAAATATAAAATATTTTTACTCATTTATGAGATGCAAATATAAAATATTTTTACTCATTTATGAGATGCAAATATAAAATATTTTTAACTCCAATAATATTGAATTATAAAATAAATATTCAAAAAAAAATTAGTTTTTGATTCTTTTATTTTTTTTTCAGAATTATTAGTTTTGATTGTCATAAAAAGTAGGAAGTTTAAATTTGTTTGTCAAATATTCTTATCAGAATTCAACCTTTTTTACACTTTTTTTATTTATATTGAATGAATTTTAAATATTGTTAGGGAAGATAAAATTTTTTATATAATAATTCCAAATTTAAACACATTAAACTAATAGTTTTATGCGCATGCTAATTAAAAATATTTAATAATTATAAATATAATTAAATAATCAAAAAAGGAAGGAAGAATGGGCCAATAAATCTAAAAAGCTATTGCCTTTGTTAAATAACCATAGAAAAGAAGTGTGTGTATCTTCGGGTTAGATTAAGCAGGAAAAACAACAATCCTTTATTACATGAAAGATAATAAAATAGTAGCAACTACTTCATAAGCAAGATTTAATTTTGAAGTCTTTTAATATTAAGATATTCAATTTAAAGTGTGTGATTTATAATATAACTAAAATATGAGATTGATCTATCATCATTATTATAGCAATTGTGATGCTATTGTATTTGTAATTGATTCAAGTGATTCTTAAAGATTTAATCAAGCTAAGGAAATTTTAGAATTCTTATATTAAGATCAAATATTGAAAAATATACCTTTATTAGTGTTAGCCAATAAGTAGGACATAGCTGTTTTAAGCATTTAATAAATTCAAGAAGATCTTTAATTAAACCAGATTTAAAATATTTAAAATTGGCACATTTAAGGATGCTCTTCAATAACAGGTTAAGGCATTAAAGAAGGATTTAATTGGTTAGTTAATATTTTTAATTCAAACCCTAAAAATAAAAAAAAATGAAAATTTTATTTATTTATTTATTTATGAAGTTGCTAAATGGAATTGAAAACACTAAAAATCATTAATAAATAATTTTTATTAATTTGTTTCTAAAAGAAATATTATAATTTAAATCTAATCATGAAAATAATTTGAAGAATGTCTGTCATATTTATATTTTTATTATTTATTTTGTTAAAAGTATAAATTAAAATTTTGTTTAAAATCTTTATATAATAGAATCTTTGCTAATCTTATATCGTATTTAATTAATATATAACTTAAAATTCAAGTACTATAAATCTTTGTAAATTTTCATCATCAAATATTTTTACCTAAAAGAAAAAATAAAAGATATTTTTAAATATTACATAAAAATAAAGAAATTCAAACATTAAAATGATTTGTAAAAAATAGGAGGAATTACTATATTAATTTATATAAATAATCTTATTTTATTTAATTCATCTTAACAATTTAAAAAAAAAATACCATTTTTATTTCTTTAAATATTTTTAGACTTTTCTTATTAAATTTACTTTTGAAAGCTTAATGGTTAAAAATAAATATTTTAGATGGAAGTCTTTGTTTTTTTTGTTGATTGATTTGATTTAATATAAATTAATCTAACAAAGTTTTCATGATTTAAGCTTTTAAAAATTATCAAAAGCTTAAATCAATTAATAAAAATGAGATTGTGATTTATCTCTTGATTAAAGTAAGCTTTATAAATGTTATCTACTGATGTTGCTTATTTACCTTAAAATAATCTATAAAATATAATTAAATCAATTTTTGCTTTTTAAATTATTTTTAGATTAATTAATCATCTATTTGACAATGTACTAGCATTTAAATCAACATACTTATCTAATATTTATATGTGAAATTAGTATCAGAAATAAAAGTATTTATCAGTGCCTGTTAAATATAGTACCATTTTTTAATTTATTAGATTTTTCTTAAAATATACAAAATTTTTCTAATATTGATTTTCTTAACTTTCTTATTCTTTGTTATACTCATTTTCTATATTAATATTTTTAATAAAAAGCTACCTACTTTCATTGTTTTGAATCATTATTTTAATATCTAAAATATTTTTTTGATATTCATAAAATACTAAAAAATTCACAAAGTAAATTTTTTTATGAAGTTTTAAGTATCACTAAGTAACCAACCGTTTGTTTACTAATTCTTTATATGATATAATTTTAGATTTCTTTATTTAATTATTAGTAAAAGTGACAATTTTAGAAAAAGTAGTAGCTATTACAAATAATATTAACCATCTGATAAAATATGATTTATGTAAATCTATAAATAAATACAAAAATTATTAGAAATATTTACTACATATCTTAACAAAATGTTTAACTAAAATATGCCTAATTTTATTATAAAATTATTTTGATGAAAACCTTTTAATTTTATATATTGTATACAATTTGAATTATAAAAAATTTATTTTTTTTGTAAGTTTACAAAGATAAATTTTAAACTATAAAATCTTACTATTATTTGATTAATAGATAAATCCTTTTGATCTATAATTTGATAAATTTTTCTGAAAATTAGTTAGCAATTTTAAAAAGATTTTAGTTTTAAATAATCATGTCTTTATTTAGAGTATCTTTTTATGATGAAATATGAAAATTAAAATCATTAAAACTTATACATGAAATGAAATTTAAATACATTAAAAATAAATAAATATAATAAAATCATTTCTTTTTTTGAATTTAACTATTTCATAATTTGTTTTTTATAAATTGATCTCCATACTAAACTGAGGTTTTATTAAAAAAACCACAGTTTCTGAGATAATATCCATTTATATCATCTACTCCTCCATCATAGTCTAATCTTTATTTCTAATTAGCTGTTTCATCATAAGAAAAAGAGGCAGATAATACTTTTATTTCTTTGCTTTGATAATTAATAGCTTTTTAGTTATTAAAATAAGCTTTTCTTGAAATATGCCCATTTTCAGGACTAAAATTTTCTAAAAATGAATGCAAATTATTTAAGTATGATTATGTTTTTGGTCTTTTCCATGAAGCTATCAAAATGTAATCTTCAGACTTTGTAGGGTCATTAAAATAAGCACTAAATATAGAATAACCATTTGATGATGGTTTACCTTCAAGTTTAAATTTATATGCAACACCAGCAACCCAAGGGTAAACAAGATAGCTCTGTCCACCAGATCCTTCATTTCCAAAAGAATTAATCACAGTATTTTTTCCCTTAGATACCAAAAGCACAGTATTTTCTTACAAAACCTGCGATGGATCATCAGTTTCTTGAGGGCTCCAAACAGAAAAAAGAATTCTTCTTTCAGAATCCGAGTTTACTTGCATACCAAAGTATCCATAACTGAAACCTATAGCCATGGCATAAGTTCCAACTGCATCCCAAAATCTAGGAATTGTAACTTCGTTGTAGAATTACTAAATCTTATAATTAGATTCCAATTGATAGTTTAAATGAACAGAGGGACCTCTTCTACCAAAATAAGAACTGAAATCTTCATTTACATATTAGATTGCATTTACATTTTCAACTTTTGAAAGAACCAGAGACTTAAGCTTAGGATAGTCTCCAGCTTTTCTGTTGACCAAAGAGTTAGTACCTTTGAAATACACATGAACATAACCTGGACTTTTAACTTATATACTTCCTATAGATAAGTATAGACTATCAGGGTTAAATCTGGCATAATAGTTGTATTAAATAGATGGGATACTCACTAATACTTCAGCTTCTCTTTATACTTCATCAGATAATAAGGACATATCATAAGCTCCAGCAACTGCAACATAGAAAAATAGACTTATTATAATATTAGAATCACTCCAATAAGACACTCCTTGCTCTTAAATATAAGAATAGGAGCATGATACAGCAGAGCAAGACTAGTAAGCATTCCAGCCAAATGGTATTTGTATATCAGTCATTTTTTTATTATTTATTCTTTAATTTACTATTATTTTGAATTAAATAAAATAAAAGTATGAAACTTAGCCTGTATTTAAATCGATATTCCACATCATAATTGATTAATTAATTTTAATCAAGAAGCTACGTCACTTATCTATAAATATATATAAAAAATTTTATCATTAATTTGAGAATAAATAAAGCCACAAAAAATATATTTGTTACAATTATCTTACTATGTATTTTAAATGTTATATGCAATAATATTTTTACTACTATTGTAAATTTGAGACAACCTAATAGATTATTAAAACTAATAAAACTACAACTCCAAATATTTATGTATTATATGATGTATCTAAATTTTTATAAATATTTTAAAATCATTACTATTCTACATTATATTTTTACAATATTAACAAACAATTAGTTAATAATTATAAATCATTATTTACGACTATAAAAACGAATCTTATTTTGGTTATACTAATTTTTTTTCTCATACTAAATTTGAATACACGTAAATTTAGTAAGATTTTTAAGGTATTGTTTCAAACTAACAAAATATTTTAAGAAAAAAGTAAATATTTTACAAAAAGGAAAAATTTCAACTAAACTAAATAATATTTTTATTAAAAATTATATTCCATGAGAATTTTCATTTTATAAATCATAAAAATTTCTCTTTCTAAAATAGAAATTATCAAAAAATATTTCTGAAACCTATTTATTAAAGTTAATTAAAATTGTGGAATTTTGATAGTATTATATAATAAAAAAAATGTTCTTTAAATAATATAAAATATTTTGTTTGAGTTAGAAAATATTTTTGAACTTTAAAAGTAATAAATTTCTTTTAGTTTATTTTAAGAATTACAGAAAGTAATAAAAAAATAAATACCATTATTGATAATTTATTAAAAGAACACTAGAATATAATTAATTAGTTGATACTAATAAAATATGAAAAATTATGTTTTATAAAGTATTCTGATAATTTTTATTCAATGAAGAATAATTAATTTGTAAAATAATTAAAAAATATTGGCAAAACCTTAGTGTAGTTACATAACATTAAATTTTTGATTTATTTTTTGTATTACAAGTCAATAAAAATGCTTTATTTATTATTTACAAGCTTAATCTATATTAAAAGCTTTAAGTTATATTTTTACTATCTATTTTTGGTCTATATTTTATATTTTCTATACTTTTATTCCAAATATTTTGTAATAAGTTTCACTAAAAAAAATAAAAAAAATGAATAAAATAAAAATAAATTAAAATAAATTTAGATGATTTATTTGTTCTTTAAGGTTTAAGTAATTTATTTTGATGATGCTTCTAGTTGCATAAGCTTACAATGGATTTTTATGTTAAAAATAAAATAAATAGAACAAATTAATATATTTATTTACCTTAAAATTTAAAAAGTATTACTAGCCTTAGAAATATAAATCTAAGTAAAAAAAGCTTCATTATTAATTAGATGCAGTTATATTTTTTATTATTTATTTTAACTTTACTATAGACTTAGAAGAGATATTTTTAAATTAAATTTAAAGTCTTGTAAAAATTAAACAAAGAATAAGCTTTAGCATAAAATTTATATTTTAATATCTATTTTTGGTCATTATTTTATATTTTCAATATTTTTATTCCAAATATTTTGAAATAAGTTTCACTATAAAAAAAAAAAATGAATAAAATAAAAATAAATTAAATTAAATTTAGATGATTTATTTGTTCTTTAAGGTTTAACTAAATTATTTTAATGATGTTTCTAGCTTGCATAAGTTTACAATGGATTTTTATGATAAAAATAAAATAAATAGAACAAATTAATATATTTATTTACCTTAAAATTTAATAAGTATTACTAGCCTTAGAAATATAAATCTAAGTAAAAAAAGCTTTATTAATAATTAGGTGCAGTTATATTTTTTATTATTTATTCTAACTTTATTTTATATTTTTAAAAGATATTTTTAAATTAAATTTAAAGTCCTGTTAAAAATTAAACAAAGAATTTTTTATAAACAATACAATAAAATAAATATTCATTCATTTATGTTTTTAATTTTCATTCATTTATTTTTTTAAATTGTTAATGAGTCACTTACTTTTAGTAAAAACTTCACCTTTTCTTACTTTAGTTTTATCAAAAAAGCCACAGTTTTTAAGATAGTACCCATTTTCAGCATCTACTCCTCCATCATAATCATATCTTTATTATTTATCAGCAGTCTCATCATAACTAAAAGATGCTGACAATACCTTTACATCTTTTCCATTATAGTTAACAGCTTTTTAGTTATTAAAATAAGCTTTTCTTGAAAGATTTCCTTTTTCTGGATCAAAATTTTCTAAGAATGAGTATAAGCCAGTTAAGTAGGATTAAGTTTTTGGTCTTTTCCATGAAGCAATCAATATGTAGCCTTCAGATTTAGTAGGGTCTTTAAAATAGGCACTGAAAGTAGAATATCCATTTTTATTGGGGTAACCTATAAGTCTGAATTAATAAGAAACACCAGCAACCCAAGGATAGACAAGATAACTTTATCCTCCAGATCCTTCATTTCCAAAATCATTGATAACAGTATTATTACCTTTTTAAACTAACTTAACTTGGTTTTCTGGTAAAATTGAGGATGGATCATCAGTTTCTTAGGGGCTCCACACAGAAAAGAGTATTCTTCTCTCAGACTCTGAGTTTACTTACATTCCAAAATATCCATACTAGAAGCCTATTGCCATGGCATAAGTACCTACAACATCCCAGTATTTTGGAACTGTAACTTCATTGAAGAAATGTTTAATTTTTGTTTAGGAAGCTAAATTGTAATTTAAGTGGACAGAGGGTCCTCTTCTTCCGAAATGAGATGAAAAAGAGTCTTAAACAAATTTAATAGCATTTCTATTTACTACATTTGAAACAACTAAGGATTTTAATTTTGGGTAGTTCCCAGTTTTTCTATTGATCATAGATTTTGTACCCTAGAAATTTACTTTTACATAGCCAGGATTATCAATTTATATGCTACCAAGTGATAAATTGAGATTCTCTGGATTAAACTTAGCATAATATTTGTATGAAAGAGTAGGGATGGTAACTAAAACTTCTGCTTCTCTTTGTATCTCATCAGAAATAAGTGACATGTCATAAACACCAGCAACAGTAACATAGAAAAAAAGGCTAATAATAATATTAGAATCTCTCCAGTACGATATTCCTGATTCTTAAATGTAAGAATAAGAACAAGTCTTAGTTTAACAAGATTAGTAAGTGTTCCAGCCAAAAGATATATTTATATCAGTCATATTATTTTATAAATTTCTTATTTATAAGTTTTTAATAAAAATAATTATTTTAAAAAAAGTGGAATCCTTTCATTTAATACGTTTATTCTTTTATTGAAAGGTGCTAATATGAATAGTTTATTTTTTTATGATTTAAATATTAATTGAAAGGTCTATAAATTATTTAATTTGATAACTAGAACAAAAACTAGTGATTATAAACAAATTAATTAATTATTATTTTCTTGTTATCAAAAGGACTTTTTTAATGACTTAATATTTTAGAAGTATCATTAGTAATAATTCTAATTATATCCAGACACTTAAATCTATTTATAAGTTTTGGATACAGACATTGAGAATAGGTAATAGCTTAAAGAGAGAAAAAAACTAAACAAAAAAAATAGATATATTCATAGCTGGAATTAGGGTCGCAGATGTCGCAGATTTCGCAGATTTTTTATGGAAAAACGAAGAGGGATATATTACTTTTATCAATGCTTATTAAAATGGTATGTCAGCTACGTATTATTGGCAAGTATTACATAATCATTACCCCAAAAATTTACATGCAAATATTGTTTTAAAATAATTATTATAAAATAAATGTTAGATAAAGTTTGTAATTTTAATAAAGTAATTATATAAATATAAATAAAAATTATTGTAAGCAATAAAAAAATTAAATCTAAATTTTAATAATTACTTAAAATTTTGCTTTCAGATTATGAATTTAAAACATATAAAATAATTTTTTAAACATAATTAATTACAGACCAAGTAAAATTAATTATCTTTCAAAATTTTAATTTTAGTTATTTTAGAAAAATTTAAGAAATAGTTGAATTATCAAAAGTTTGGAATATCAAAAATAGATATTTCTAGAAATATTTTAATGCCACAAAACAGTAAGTATATAAAGATTAAATGAAAAATTGCTTATGAAATATTGAAAAATGATTTATTCTAAAAATATACTTTTTATTACATTTCAAGATTTTAGTAATACTTGATATGTATTACAGTATTAATTATAATTTTTTGTAATAGTTTGCTTGGATTAATAATTAATTCATTAAATTTAATAAGTAAAACAAAATTCATTCTATTTTGTGATAGAAAGTTTAGAAATGTGATTTTATTTATAGACTTAGTTTAATATAAAAATTTACTTGAATTTTAAATGAAAGCTAGTTCTTAATTTATTTATATCCGCTAATTAATTATTATTAAATTAGAGCATAACAAACTATAAAGCAAAGTTAATTAATAAAGCATCACTAAAATTTAATTTAATAATTCTGTTTTAAAATTATTCTTAAAATTCTAAAAAAGTTAATTATTTTTCTTCCTTTCAATTTAAATATTACAAAAAAAAGAAATTTAAAAAATGATATTACAGATTTCATCTCAATACAAGTATGATTATACTCTTAATTTAATTCATTATTAATTTATAGAACAAATTAATTATTTATACTTCTTTATTGTTAATTTTACAATAATTATGCTTATTTCAGAATAATCCACATATATATTTAATAAAATTCAAACATATAAACTATTCTTGAATATTAAAGGACTATTTTTATCATAATTTTATAATTAAAATGCCAAAATAGCAATATCTTTTAAAGAATTTGATAATTTACAAACTAATAAAAAAAATAAAATTATTTATGTAATTATAATACAGTTTAAGATGTTTTAATAATGTAAAAAGTCGATATTTGGTATTAATTTTTAAAGGTAGTTTTAATACAAAAACAATCCAAATACTGATTTCAAATATACTTAAATCCTCAAATATTACCACCATCCCTCCATCATCAAATAAAGCAAAAAAGGTCTTAATTGTTAAAAATTTTCTTTCAATAACAAAAATTTTTTTTTTCCTTTCACTTCTTTGGGTCTTACTAAATGAAGATTGATAGTATTTATTTTCAGAACAAATTAATCTTAATAGTTTTTAAATGTTCTAATAATCAATACATTAAATTGAATATTTTGTTCTGACTTTTAATTTAAATATTTTAATCTTTTTAAGAATATTTTTTGAAAAAATAAATCATTTATTCATTATAAAATGTTTAATAAAGCACTTATAATTTTTAATTTATACTTTATAATATAGAGATTATTAATACAATTATTAATTAGATAAACAATTTTATATGGTATCATTGTGTTTTCTTAAAAATATCGCCTGTTTTAACATTAGTTTTATCAAAAAATCCACAATTTCTCAAATAATATCCATTTATATCATCAACTCCTCCATCATAATCATATCTCTATTATTTAGTTGCAGTTTCATCATATGTGAAAGTAGCTGATTAGATTTTTACGTTTTTTCCTTTATTGGTAAAGGCTCTTTAATTGTTGAAGTAAGCTTTTCTTGAAATATTTCCTTTTTCAGGATCAAAATTTTCTAAAAATGAGTAAACTCTTTCTAAATATGTCTGTGTTTTAGGTCTCTTCCAAGAAGCAATAAGAATGTAATCTTCAAATTTTGTAGGGTCCTTAAAATAAGCAGTAAAGACAGAATAACCGTCTTTAGTTGGATAACCTACAAGTTTGAATTAATATGCTACTCCTGTCACCCAAGGATAAACAAGATAGCTTTATCCGCCAGAACCTTCATTTCCGAAAGATTTAATAACTGTTTTTTTACCTTTAGCTAACAATTTAACTTCGTTTTCTGCTAAAATTGTTGATGGATCATCAGTTTTTTAAGGACTCCATACTGAAAAAAGAATTTTTCTTTCTGACTCTGAGTTAACTTGCATTCCAAAATATCCTGAGCTAAAGCCTATTGCCATAGCATAAGTACCAATAGCATCCCATTTTTTAGGAACTGTAACTTCATTAAAGAAATATTTTATTTTGCTTTTGGATTCTAGATTGTATTTTAAGTGTACAGAAGGTCCTCTTCTACCAAAATGGGATGAAAAAGAATCTTGAACAAAGCTAATAGCGCTTATATTTTCGACATTTGAAAGAATTAAAGTTTTCAATTTTGGATATTAGCCAGTTTTTCTATTGATTAAAGAATTTGTACCCTAGAAATTTACTTTTATGTACCCAGGATTATCAATTTATATGCTTCCTAGTGACAAATTTAAGCTATCAGTATTAAACTTAGCAATTTAGCTGTATGAGATAGAAGGAATATTTACTTAAAGCTCTGCTTCTCTTTAAATCTCATCAGAAACAAGAGATATATCATAGACACCAGCAACAGTAACATAGAAAAAAAGGCTAATAATAATATTAGAATCTTTCCATTTAGATACTCCTGATTCTTTAATTTTCGAGTAAGTGCAAGTCTATGTAGAACAAGTTTAGAAAGCGTTCCAACCAAAAGATATCTATATGTCAGTCATTATTTTTTAATTTGGTTTGTTAGTTTTTTTATATAATTAATTATTTGAGAAGATTAATGAAAAGAAGGTAAATATTTAAATTAAGTTTAGTAATACCTATGATTAAAAATATATTAAGAATATAGATAAATAGATAATATATCTGTCTATCTGTATGTCTGTCTGTCTATTTGGTGCTTTAAAATTAATAAGTCTACAAAAATTAGTTAGCAAGTATAAATATTTCAATATCAAAATATTTACTGTTTATTACTAAAGGTTAACCAGATACAAATTTTCTAGAATACAATATAATTTATTATTGTAAATATTACAAGCATAGTTATTCGTCTCTAATATTAAATATTAAAATTTATATAGTAAAATGTAGTTTCATCTAATTTAAAGCATTTAAATCAAAAGTTGAAAGATGTAAACCAAATTTATAATATAAAATATTATTCCATCAAAATATAAATCCAATATTTTTACTCTAGTCAAATAAGTTAAAGTGATAATTAAAATATTTCTTTTTATATGTTCTTTACTTATATTTTAATATGCTTCTATATTTTAAATAAGTTCTAATAAGAAAGACAAATGCTTCTAAATAAAGAGTTTCGATATAATTATAATCGCTTAACTTTATATTTAGTTATTTTTGTTTTGAATTGAAATAGACAATTAATTAACATTGAAAACAATGAAATTATATTTATGTTTATATAATTCTTTTTAGATAAAATGATATCAATTAAAACACTCTCAAAACAACTTTAAAGTGTGATAGAATAAGATGAGAGTAAATTTGAAAAAGTAAAACTTTATTCAAAATTAAATTAGAAATTATATAATATGATTTTTTATGTTTATTTTGTATAAAATTATGTCTAAATCAAAACATAACAAAATCTTATTTTTCTTAAATATTTAATGCTAACTGAATGCTATTATCACTTTATTTTTTAGATATTAGAGTTTATAAAAATTATCAAAGGTATTAAAAAAGGTATTAAAGGATCATCAAAATATCCTAATATTAAAAAAATATTTTTTTTCAGAAAAGTTTTAAAAAATTTATTTTTAAGACTTAATCTAAAAATATCATTTCAACTAAAAAAATGACTTTAAAATGGTATTTGATTTTTAATTTAATACAAACAAATAATGTAAAAATATATAAAATATCTAATATCTTAAATTTTATCATTTATTTTTTATGAAAGTATCCCCATACTAGACATTAGTCTTATTAAAAAAACCACAGTTTCTAAGGTAAAATCCTTTTACGTTATCAACACCACCGTCATAATCAAACCTCTACTTTTTATCTGCTGTAACATCATAAGTAAAGTAAGCTGATAATACTTTGACTTCTTTGTTTCTGTAATCAATAGCTTTCTAGTGATTAAAGTAGGCTTTCCTTGAAATATGTCCTTTTTCTGGATTAAAATTTTCTATAAATGAGTATAAACCACTTAAGTACGATTATGTTTTTGGTCTTTTCCATGAAGCAATTAAAATATAATCTTATGATTTTGTAGGATCCTTAAAATAAGCGCTAAATACTGAGTACCCGTTTGTAGAAGGCTAACCAACAAGTTTGAATTAATATGAAACACCTGCAACCCAAGGATAAACTAGATAACTCTGTCCACCAGAACCTTCACCTCCAAATGAGTTAATTACAGTGTTGTTACCTTTAGATACTAAAATAACAGTATTATCAGCTGATATTTGAGATGGATCATCAGTTGACTATGGACTCCATACAGAAAAAAGAATTTTTCTTTCAGATTCAGAATTCACTTACATTCCAAAATATCCATAGTCAAAACCTATTGCCATTGCATAAGTGCCCACTGCATCCCAATACTTAGGAACAGTAACTTCATTGAAGAATTGCTAGATATTTGTTTTGGATTCTAGGTTGTATGTGAAATGACATGAAGGACCTCTTCTTCCATAATATGATGAAAAAGAATCATTAACGAAATATATAGCATTTTAGTTTTGAGAACCTGAGAGAATCAAAGAGTTTAATTAAGGATAATAGCCAGTTTTTCTATTTACCAAAGAATTAGTCCCTTGAAAATTTACTTAATAGTAGCCAGGATATTTAATTTGGATGGTACCGAGAGATAAATTCAAGCTATCAGTGTTAAATTTTGCAAAGTATCTGTAGGAGATAGTGGGAATAGTAACTTAAAGTTCTGCTGATCTCTATACTTCAGTAGACAAAAGAGAAATATCATAAGCTCCAGCAACAGCAACATAGAAGAAAAGGCTTATGATAATGTTAGAATCTTACCAATAAGAGACTCCTTGCTCTAAAATTGAAGCATTGGAACACTACTATGCAGAACAAGTTTAGTAAGAGTTCCAACCAAAAGATACTTTTATGTCAGTCATTTTAACTTTATCTTTATTATTATTTTTATTTAATAATGATTTAAAATATAAAAATTTGATTGATATTTAAAATGGAATTCATAATTTAAACAATTCTATTTACTAATAAAAATATATGTTTGACTATCCCTTATCTAAACTTATGGTTAAATTTTGGGTGATAGAAGATTATTCGAGTAAATTAAGTAATGTATCAAAAAAATTATAGCTAATTTGATAATCTTTTTCTAATGGATTGGTATTATTAATATTAAGCCAGTAAGTAATATTTATTTATCATAAATAATTATAATTATGCATCCTTATGTTTGTTAATAAAAGCTATTATTATTTTTTCTAATAATTTTAATAATTAAATATTTAAATATATTTTAATCACACTAAATATGCTATTCATTCGCACTTAGCTACTTTACATTTTAACTGAATTAAAACAAATTTTGACATTCCTATTTTTATATATCTGACTTAATTAAAGTATTAAGCTAATATGTAAATAACATGGCAAGCAATCAAATAACAAATTTACTATAATACCTAAATCAAATATTTTTAAAATGTAATTAAAAAATAAAAATAGCTATTATATAATTGATTTATTTAGATTTTAAACATTTTAAAAGACTTTAAAAGTAAAAATATTCTCTAAAATGATCCTGTTACTAAAATTGAAATAATGATAATTAACCTTAAATCCAAGAAAGGTTTAGTAATTCCAAATTACGTATGAATTAAGTTTGAATAGATTTTTAATCCTACTAAAATTTATCTATTTTACTAAATTAATTATTTATGTAAGCTTAACTTTAAAAGAGTAATAAATAACATTATTTATGATTTTTTAAAAAGTAGTAGGAATATTTTTGTTTAATAATGCATATTAAATAAATATTATATTCCTTTATTAATGAACATAAAACAAATCTAACTAACTAAAAAAATGAATAGTATGTAAATCTTGACAAAGATAAAGCAAATATTTATCAGTTTAATTTTTTTATAACAACATTTACCTCAAATATTATAATTTTTAGTGTTTAGATTAGATGATGATCCATTTTAAATTAATAATTTTGTTTATGTTAAATAAATTAAAAGAAATTATTTAATACTTAAAATAATTGCTTATTTTTTCTTTAATTTAGATGTAAAGAAATTTGAATTTACCTGACAGGTGTAATAAAACTAAAAGTAATGGTATTTTACATTAAATTTAATAATAGATTTTCTAGAAATCTAAATTTGAGTTGTAGGTAGTATATATTTATAGAACAAATAAAAATCTGTTTAAATTAAATTATAATCTATTTAATTAGCATCATTAAATAATAAATAAATCCAGTATGAACTTATAAATATCTTGGTTGAAGTATATTGCTAATCCAGGTATTGAAATTTGAAAGCTAAGTAGCTTTCTTGCTTTTTTTATTTTAATTTGTCAGAATTTATCAGATCTACCTGTGATTTTATTAAAAAGAAAGGCCTTTTAATTTTTTGTGAAAAATTAATTTTTTTGCTTTAAATTATTTAAAAAGAATATTTTTTTAAAAAAACCTAGCCTAATTAACATCTAGAGGTTGCCATACCACTAGATTTTAATTAGGCGTTAGCTATAATAAATTTACTAAGAGTCAAACTAATTCATATCTTCCACTTAAATAATATGTATTTTATTTAAGGTTTTTGAACTAAGTTTAAAAAGATAGTAAGAGGTTATTCAGAGTTTCTCAAACAAAAGCTTTAGAAATTAAACCTTTCGGCTTTGATTCGAGTATTTAATTAGGAATTTCTTTTTTATTAGTTGAAAAAGTAAAAGAGTTAATGGAGTGTTTCTAAAAGACTTTTTAAATAAAATCATAATCAGTCAAAGCTTATATCGAAGTAAGTAATTCAAATGAGCTAGGAAATATTACAATAAAGTTTTATAAGTTCACCAGAAACAATTTGAATCTTTTATTTTCTTCTTATTTTAAAATTAGAAACTGTATAACAACTTCGACAAAACAAATGAATATAATATTTATTCTAACATCTATTGAAGAATCATTTATGATTTTATCAAAATGGATGAAGAAGTCAAAAAAATTTAATCAAAAGCTTTAGAATTCAAACCAAAATTATTTTAAGCATTCTTTTATTAGAAGTGGGATCAATGAATGAAAATATTGAAAAAGAAGCTGTAACCTTTTTATTGAAAGTTTATGATATTTTTTCAAATTATTTTCAAATAAATAAATAAATAAATTAGTAGGATTATTTCATTTATAAAATGGAAAATAATATTAGGCAAAATAAATGCTATTTTTAGTATTTCTTATTAAATCAACCCTCAAGATTATAAATAATAAAATGATATTCTTATATAACTTTAGTTAAGCTGAAACTTCAAAGCAAAATTATTAACATTTATACTTTTTATCTATTTGTTTCAATTTTTTTATTTGTTAAAATTATTTTTTTTAAGTTTTAACTGGAATCATATTAAGAAAAAAGAAGTGTATCAATTTTTAAAATTCTTATTTTTTCTAAAAAATATTTTTCGTACCCAATCTCTAACTAAATATTTATTCTTCATTTTCTTTATTAAAAATATATAATAAAATCCTTTTTAATACATTAGATTAGATAAATCAATCAATCAATCAATCAATCATATTGTTAATTAAAATATAAGAAAAATAGTCAATTACTTTAAAATAGATGGCGAAATAAAAAATATATCAACCAAAAGCTCTTTGTTGATTAATCAAAAAGATTATATTGAAAACATTTTAGCAGATCAATCATCTCAAGTACTACTTATTTCGAATTTAGAAGATAGGTGCATATATGCGATTAAGGGAAATTAAGCTTAAATAAATGATGATTGTGCTTTTGCAATAAATATGGACTAATATCAACTTTAAAAATCATTTTTGGAGTTATTGTTTTTACCCTTTTACAGAAAAGTAAAAAAAAAATAAATAACACTTACTTTAGCTAAAGATTTAGCAAAAATTTAGAATGCGAATTGAGTAGTAACCTAACAAAATTCGAAAATTCTTCCTTTTTTTGTCTGAAAAAGTATGTTTAAGTTTAGAAAAACTATGTTTTCAACCTCTTGCAAAAATGGAAAAAAGGAGTAGCAATCTCACAATTTGAATTTAAGGTAAATACTGTTTATGGTTTTATATTATGATTAATTCTAAATTTAATAAAAAAATAGGCTTAAGCAAGTTTAAAATCTCTATTATTTCCTAAATAAGCCATTTTTATTGCTGAGAAATAAATAAATAGATGAAGAATATATATCTACCATTATTATAGAAAAAAAGCAAGCAAAGATAAATTATTTTATTTATTTTAGTTGGCTTTACAAAATAAAGCTTAATCATATAAAATATTTAAAAGATTTTAATAAAATAACTCTAAAAATATTCTTTCTAGCTTCATTTTAGCATGCTTAGATACTTAAAAAAGCCTTCCTCAGAATTATAGTTAAAATCCAAGTTTGAAAAAAGTTGAAAAAGGTGTTGAGATATCAGCGAAAAAGAATTTCCATAAAAAATAATGTTAATAATATAATTCTAAGTAATTAATGCATATATATATTTATGCTTTTAAACATTATTTAGAAGTTTTTATTAATCATATTTACTGCTTTTTAAAAATAAAATAAAGCTTCATTCATTCGTATGATTCTTTTTAATATACTTAGTGAAATTTAATATTCTATTTATTTTTCCCCCCTCATTTACTATTAATAATTTAAAATGTTATTTTGAAATAAAAATAAATTAAATTATTTATTAATTATAATTATATTATAATACATATATATATACATTAAATTTTTTAATAAATAAATAAAAAAATATATTTCATAAAAAGTGGAATACAAACCATGAAATTTTTGTATGGCATCTTGCTATATTAGAAATATTATAAATATTCCCAAAATTACAAAACTAAAACAGAAAAATCTACTTATAAACGTTATTCTTATAAAATTTAAGAACATTAACAACTAGAATTTTTTCAAATAGGACTAAATAAATAACTGACCATCTCTAATTCTTACTATATATATTTTTAAGCGTTTGTTTTAAATACAAATATTAAAGAAATATTAAGTTTAAATAGTGAATGTTAAATTAATTTTTCTGTGATATCTCTTCATAAAACCAAATTATAAATTTATATTTGATAATTAATTCATTATTATATTTATTTGTTCTTTTTATCCATTTATAATTAATTAATAAATTAATCAAATTTAATAAATTGCTATTCAATATTTTTGAAAAATAAATAAATGATATAATAGATTAAAAAATATAACTAATTAGAAGAAGTAATTATTAATTTTTATATTAATATCCTTTAAATTTATTTTAATTTATAAAAAAAGTTTTTAAGGTCTTCACATTTACCTCATTAGATTCTACATAAAGCTCTGAGGTATATTTAATTAAAAGATATTATTTTTAA